CCCAGGAATTAATTAAAACGATATTTTTATTCTGTTGTTTTTTTTTTTTATGAAATGTCAGCTAGGTGTATAAATAAATAAGAATGATTTAGTTTTCAATCATTTTGTTTGTCTAATCTTTTCCGCCGTGACTCCAAAAAATTATTAACAGTTATTTACCACCCCCTCTAACAAGTATTTTTTTTCCAAAACTCAAGTCATATTTCTACCAAGTTAAGTTGAAATTGTTTCTAGGCGTATCAAAGATCTGGCGGAACCAGCCATTTAACATACATTTATTTTTTTTATAAACTAAGCTGATTGGTGATGGTCCCGTTGACATAGAAACAACTATAACGGTATTAGTTTCCTATATACTTTTATAATACAATTATAAGCTTAAGTTAAAAAAGGTAGCAAGAATATTAGAAGATAAGCCAATGATAATTACGGTTTACGAATATATGGCACTCAATTGTTTTATTTTGTTACTATATATCCTGTCAAGTATCAATTACATTAGGTACTTGAACTTACCTTTTCCATTTGGAAACCTTTCATAGGTTCTAAATGAAGACATTCATGTCCCGAAACGACATTCAAAGAACTGACTAGCAACATAGATATAAGACACAAACCATTGAACTTCATTGTATGATGGTGTAACCCACGTAAATTGAATACTTTAAAAATCTAAAAAAAAAACCATTGCAATTATATCACTCAAGTCGTCATCGTGTACGGTAATCATGTACTACGTCATAATGCTCATAACATTTTTCTTAATTTTAAAATCTAAAAAAACCTATTATAATTAATAGAAAATTAGGTAAAAATTAGGCGAAAATTATTTTTAATCAAACTTTTGCCATAGTAAGGAGAAAAATAACATTAAAATTTTTATAACTACGAAAACTTAATACCTATTGTCCCACTTTAAAATTAATTTAAATTTGAAAAAATTAAATTAATATTTCGGCAATATTGTTCGAAGACCACGACAGTATTGATAATGTTTTGGGTGTGATGGAGAAAATTAGTAAATGTAATGTCGGATGTATTTTAATATACATATAATTAAACATTATGTATAATACAATTATTTGATTTTAATATTTAACTTTAAAAAAAAAGACGTTACCTCACTTAACCTCACTACACCTCCCTCCTATCTTAAATTACTAAAAAAAATAATCCAAAAACTTTTTATCGAGTCAAATTGTACATTATTCTTAATTTTTTTTTAATTTCTCAATTTCTTATTTCATTTTCTAATTTACAATAAGAATAAAATAATTGTTTATTTTGTTAATGTAAAGCTCTTTTTTTTTTAAATAAATGAAAAATTAGGAAATTAATTTATGATTTTGGTGAGTGATTTGTTAATTTTTTTGAAAAATATTAAAAGACGTTTAAACCAATATGACCTAACCACACTTGATCTCCTATCATAACAAAACAAAAATGATGTGCATATTCGTTTATAACATTTGAAGAGTGGAATCAAAAAAGGCTTCAAGAGCCATTTTTTCCAAAAATTATTTTCTCAGCCAAAAAGTATTTATGTTCCAACGACAATGTAACGCAATAAGGCAGAAATTTTCCTCGTTGATTTGCACTTACAGCCTTCTTTGATTCAACTCTTCATTTATAGTCAAATTTACAAAAAAAAATTGAACAACGCATTAGTCATAATTCTTCTTACTATCATTATTGATTTAAAGCAATATCATTCATTAAATAATCATAAGAGGAAAACATTTTTATAACGAATGTCATATCAATTAAAATAAAACCTTAGTAATAAAGTTATGGCCATTTCGCCATTTCGGATAGAGAAAAGCATACTCACAACTTTCGAAATTTGATAGTGCGGCTTACTTAACGGTGTACTGAATTTTAACACAGAGTTTAAACTTAAGTGCTTTTTAGTTTTTGGTTTTACACACACAACGATCGTCATGTCGTATAATGCAGAAAAATTTGGCAGGTTAGCTTATGTGAATTTACATAGCTGTTTGAGTATGACAATTTATCGTTAAAAAATATTGAATATAATTAATATTGTTTATTTGGGTCATGGAATATAAATATGTTATAAGTAATAAATATTATATAACCTTATATGGTATTCATAGGCGCAATTTTAATTTTTAATTTGGGGGGGCTGGACATTTTTTTTAAATATATATATATTATATAAGTAGATATATTTTTGTATTTTAAAATTGTAAGCATAACCTAATTTTTTGGGGGGGCTAAGCCCACCCTAGCCCCTCCGTATTTGCGCCTATGATGGTATTATATGTGAACACTGTAGAAATCATTGAGTAATATTTAAAAGTTGTTTTATACAAGGACCAATTACATTTGTAACCTAGATTATATCATATATAAGACATAGTTTTAAGGTGTTGGATTTACCACTCTATGCTGCTGTTATAACTGTAACGTACGTTGTATATATTATTCCCTATACTGTGTGTTTTTATGTTTAATAGTATTGTGTTCAAACATATTATTGTTGTGTTTTATTTTCTACTTAAATACTAACGTCTACCAAGATATACAGGCGTATATCGCAATAAAACAAATATTAATACAAATTCATACTTGATAGGTGTTTACCATTTTTCTTCGTGGTAGAAATGTAATTTAAATAATAGTTTATACACTTTTTATGAACAATTTTTTTGTAGAAAAAACAACTTTTTTTCCTATGGACCGAATAACTCGTGAAACACTTCTAAAGATCCTAAATCGAATGCAGATAGTTATGGTATCCGAAAAGTAGAAAATGTCAACCCAAAAAGGACTTTAGATGGGGACTTTAGTACCTCTAAAAATTAAAGCTCCAATTCTTGATTTGTACGCATAACATTTTAATAATGTAGGTACATAAACTGTGTACTATACTACTATATAATCACAAACAAAATAAGTATAACTAAAAAAATGAAAAAAATGAAAAAATTTGGAAATAATATAAAAATTGGTTTTGAACCATTTAAATAACGTTATTATACTTTGCAAAATATAACATAAACAATATATTATGCCGATTAGTATACTTACCTATTTTAAAACAAATTATGTTTAGGTTAATAAATAATAAAGTAGTGCAAATTAGTAATACATTTTATAATAAATACTAAACATTTTAGTTAGATATTTAATTTATTAATAATAAAGACAGTATCTGTATGCTTCAATGTCAGTTTTCTATATACGTCGAACAATAAATATTCCACAAGGTTTATTTCTTTATCTAAGAAGCAAAATAAAAAAAAGTTTAGGTGATGACCAACGATCGTCGTAAACTTTTTAATTTATAATTTGTGAAATTACCATCGATTGTAAATGTTTCAACATTCTGGTTTTTACTTGCCGAAACTTTTTTGCTTCGTTATTGGAGAGTATACCGTCTTTGTCTTTGTCCTAACCTAACCAACTGGAGAGATAGAGTGCCTAATTTTACACTAAACAACGCTGATCTTCTATAGGTGTTTTAAAATCTTCCATATACTCATTTTATAAAAAATAAAATATAATATACATGTGAATAATATGTTTATTATATATACCCTATGAACCGCTAAATACAGAAAGGGCATTTTAAACTTAATAAATCATTTTTTTGAAAAACATTTAATTATACATTTCATGTTATTGAATGATAGAGCATTAGACAACAAATACTTATTTCTACAATTATTTAAAGAATTGTAAAACTCTATGCACTTTAAGGGTTTTAAGGTCATGGACATATGCCGTTCATGCTTCAAATTACTATACGATACAGCGATTCCTATATAAAATGTAGTACAAAGGTACTTGAATGAGTGTTTTTACACGGTCCATCCGAAATGCCATGTATTTGTTTTTTATTTTGATTAACGCCGCCAATTGATATTGGTCTCACGTATAAGCCGTTTAGTTTCACAAGATTTGAAAAACAAATTTTTTCTATCTCTATTTAAAACCCGTATTTTAGGAGATTTAACAAATTAATGTTTGTTGACGAGTCGAATAGAAAAACAATTGCTTTATCCAGATGACGTTAATGGGTTACACTCTTTTTTTTTTAGTAGTTAAATTATTTTTCGGACTATCACAGCATCCTTGACGGCGATTTAAAAAAAAATTCTGTTGAATTAAGTTTTACGCGGATTAATTTTTCTCAGTCTTCACAATATATACAGACATACAGTTAAGGAAAGAAATTCATACATAATATTATTTATGACAAAATTATCTGTGTTCCATCATCCGTATTTTTTCGATATACATAATACAACCAACGCTATATCATTTTTAAAAAAGTCAAAAAAGTCCTTTCTTAATAAATTAATTATTCATTAACTGGTTGAAATATTAAAAAAAGGGCGATGGTAACACACAGACAATGTTGTTGTATAATATATTATGTGAAAATTTGGTTTCTTAGTTTTGATTACAGCCTTTGGTAAAATTTATCCGCTCAGAGTAATATTTAAAAAGTGAAAGAGGCGAATCGTTATACAAATATCCATAAATACTTGAGGGTAGTATTGTACATGGCTGGGCCAATAAAACAGCTAAATAGAAATAATGGTATTAGATTTTTAAATTAAAATAATTCCAACTTGACGTTAAGCAAATTAATTTAGTACTTATGTAAATTGCATTTCAATTACATGTTAACAAACTTTTTTTTATAAATATATGAATTACTTACAAACAGAGACTACATAATTTATGAGGAAATAGGATACTTTTAAATGTAAGTTTTTTATACACTTTCTAAAATGTCTACAATATACACTAATTTGTAGTGTATATTGTAATAACACTATAATATTTTGAAGGATATTGTCAAATAATTATACAACACATTGTTTTTGCTTTTAACTTCAAATTTTTTATTTCACTAAATTTAAAATTGCAAATTTATAATATAATGTAAAATATAATGTTACCTCGGATGCCATTTGAAATTGCAAGTCAAATTCATAATTTACATGTCAACATTGAACCTAGAAAATATAACACGCCAATTTAATAATAAATTTAACATGGAACTTTTTTTTTAGACTATATAAAGTACATATTATATATACATATACATATTAATGTAACCAAATATGTTTCTCTTATCTATATATTAAAAATAAAGTAACATGGGATCTTATATAAAAAACGTAGGTCGATTTGACCTACGCCGATGGTCGTCAAGACCATCATTACCTTTGATAGTAATAAGACAGCGATTAAAAAAAACAATTTGTCCTACATAATATAAAAAAACATACGGGTAAATGCAGTGGCGTAAATACAAACTTAATCGATGGGAGTGAAGGAAATTTAACTTACATATAATATTGAGGGAGACTATGTTTGATTTAAAAATGATAACATACATACGTTCAATTTATTGATAAAATAATTTATCAATAAATTACACTTTGAAGAAGAATGAAAGACTAAAGTCTAACGAGTGTTTGTCCTTCCTGGAAAAAAGGCTCGTTTCCAGTGTTAAAGGTAATTTTATCCTCCACCTCTCCTCTAGCATTCAGTTTTTGTTGAACTTATATCAATTTAAATGTGCATATTGAAATCACAAAAAAAAAGTAAAAAAAAAAAATCAAGTGGGATCATTTCCATATTACCGCCTCCGTAAATACGCCACTATAGATAATATTCTTATGGCTTTCTTCTTCGGTATTAATTTCATATATACACAAAGAACTTTAATTTTTTATTGTAGTCTATTGATTAAAAATAATATAAATGTTTGTACATTTTTTTCACATCAAACACTTATTATTTACATTGGCTGCATATTCAAAGGCTATTTTTATCTCAGATATTTTACTTTTGTGTCATAAATACCTCTTTATTATAAATACCTGACAAAAAGACATGTAATTTTTGACGATCTGCAGGCATTCAAATTAGATGAATACACACGTTTTGATACAAGCGCCCAATATGAGCCACTGTCTTCAGCTACATAATGGTATCAACATATTTGCATTGTTTTTTGTTCATTTGATTAAAATAAATTGTTTTATAAAATAAGTTTTACCCAATTTTCGTTTCAACTTTATACACCACGTCAACAACATTGTTTTATTACTGTTATTTGAATATTTTACAAAGAAATTTTAATAATATATTAAAATTATCAATAAATAAAGTAGTCACCTGAAGTTTTGAATATTAAAACATGATATTAGTCATAATTTTGAATCCAATAGTCTAGTAACGATCCTTTCGAATATGTCCATTGTGCCCTTAAAAAAAAAAAATTGTTTAAAGAATTTGGTTTTACAAATTGTTTTAGTTATATACCTCTATGCCTATGACTACTACTGTGACGGCGGTCACGGCTTCTACTTCTTTTGCGATCTCTTTCATGGTGATCTGGTTTTCTGTAAACATTGTTTTTACTATTAAAAAAAATCTCAATTAATAATTTAAGTACTAAATTAAAAGTCACACTTTACCTATCACTTTTATGGCGAGATCGATCTCTAGAACTACGATCACTTTTTGATCGCCTATCCCGATCATGGTCACGACTATGTCGATCTTTGTCCTTTGAATGACTTCTAAACGTTGCAGAATAATAAATATATTAAACCAACAGTCACTCAAATAATATTAATAGATTTAAAAATGTATAATAGATAAGAAAACATTATAAAATACCTAATAGTGTCCAACCTTTTTTTTCTTTCTTCTTCTCTTTGTTTTTCTCTTTCTTCCACATATTTCTTTCTTTGTTCTTGTATTTCGTTTACAGCGTTTTTTAACCGTGCATAGCCCATATGCTGCTTGCCCATTAAATGATCATCAATACGAGACTGGGCATCTCCAACAATTAAAAATGCTCCACAAACTTCACACACTTCCATTTGCTTCTCTTGTGCAGCAGCTAACTCGTAAGTCTTAAAAGTGATTTGAGAAAATATTTATTTTTATTCTCAGTTATTACAAGCACTGTAAATGTTGTTATACCTGTGACCAATGTATACTTTCATTCTGTTTCCTTAATGCATCACGTTCCTCTTTTAGTTGATCACAAAGTTTCATAAGTCCTTGAGCTTCTTCTACGTGACCGCTAATACCCATTTGTTCAGCTTCTTGAACTAATCCATTAATTTTTTCTGATAACAATTTGATTTGCTCTTGGTTTTTTTGACTCTGACTATTTGAATGAGAAACTGGCTATAATATATTTGAAAATAAACAATTATATAAATACATTTAAAATTTTTAAATAATTAGCACATAAATAATTTTCATTATTATTATGTATTAGTAAATAATAAGATGAATTTTTATGTTGTATAATAGTGATTTAATGGCTGTGAACAGTAAAAATAAATATTTAATACCTACAATAATATTAGAGTGAAAATATTATATCTCGCTATTATATTTTCTAACTTATTATATAAATCTTATTCTATATTTATAATTATTAGTACATAATTCAACGTAATATATTAATATATAATTATTTATACAATTTGTTAATAGGGAAACTAGATTTTTAAAATAAAATGAAAAATGTATTTGTTGGGACTTCTAATAATTAAGAAATCATAAAGAAATATACAAAAAAAATATTTAATCAATAAATTATAAATATTTATAAGATAAGTTAAGTTTAACAATTTGTTTTGTTATTAGATTTTCTTACGGTATGACCCTATTAAATTTACCTAATAGACATTTTTAATTACCTAGTTTAGAACTGATTTTCTATAAGCAGTATAAAATTAATGATTACCTATACAACAGTGGACTGTGTTGTCCACTATGAAGAAACGAATGAATGAATATTAAGATTTTTATAACAGAAAATAAAATTGTTTAAATTGTACACTTATTTTGACATTAAAATGTTTTACTTATAGTAAATCCAAGTATATATATATGTTACTAATGTATATATGTGCTACTAATATGTCCACCTAATGTATAGTTTTAAAATTAAAATTATAAATTGGGGGAATTAGTTAATGATGTACCTCGAAAACCTTTGACGTGGTAAAGATTCGAGGCCGTTAGCACCATGTCCACAATCAACATACAGCTCCGATCACGATCTGCTTTTATTAAATAAACCTATAGAATATGCTTATAACTTTTAAGGCCAAATGAAATTATTAATTTCATTTTTTAAGTTTTTGAATATATTTTTTCAAGAACTTACATTTAAATGATGTTGTTCCTAAAATTAAATAAAGTAGCATAAAAATACTAACCGTTTCAGTTTTATTCATAAGCTCCAACCTTTGTTTGCCTTTTTCAATACGTCGCTCAACATCATTTAACAAAACAGTAGCAAATCCAACAAATTCATCTTCGTATTGCATTTTTGAACGACTGCTTGCTTCTAAATACTGATTTTTTGCTTCCTCGCAATGAACTTTAGGGCAAGCTCCAAGATCAGCACGCGTGTTTACAAACAAATCATGGGGACAAAATTTGACTATGAAGTATTTACAAAACTGAAAATATATTTAACAAAAATGAATAATTCAATCATACATTAATTGGGCACTATTAAATAATCTATTCTAATATAATATAATTTTTGCTGCTTTCTATTAAGTATTAGCTTAAATTTCCTATCACTACCCTATTTTCCATCTGCCTTTTTTATTAAAATATGATGATAAATAAAACTTTTAATACTGATAAAGAAACAGGTACCTAATCAAAATCACCAAACCGTTTTAAAATTACAACACTAAAATAACTTAGAGCCATTGAAAGATAACTCGCCGAAACCATCAGAAACACAACCTAGAAATAGCACCTTACAACAATTTCATTAAAACAAGAATATATAACAATTATGTTATAAAGTTAACTAATAAAAAAATAATAGTTTTTTTTAAGAAACTTTAATTTTTTTTGCAGACTTTTGAAAACAATGTCTAATAAAATCAAACCAGTCAGTATTTAGAGTGAAATTAAGCGAGGGTAATTTAAAATGAATATTAAAGCAGCAAATGCTCATAAAATCATACTGTCAGTATACTATAACAAATATTGTACATTCGGCGCGAGTTGGACTTTACCCTCATGGACAGTTGTAATAGGTAAATTATATTTTATTCACTTATAGTTAACGGCCTGTGCTGTAAGAATTACAAAGTGTACGGTAATACACAATAACGCCAAGTCCCGTAATTTTTCTATAACGTAATATTGTTTAATAATTTGTTATTGGATGCAAAAAATACTCATTTTTTTTTTTTAGATTGGTAGAGGTGTACCTAGCTGTAAAATTAAATCGAATCACCATGAACATTAATCATAGGCATATCTCGTAAAATTACCTCTGGATCTTCCCAATGAACTGGCTTCTTCTGGGCATTCGGGCCATCGTTCCGATTGCGACCCATGAGTTCATCGAGTAATGCGGCAGCTGCCGAGACGGCCATTTTTGAAGTTTTTTTTAAATTTAATGAACTTTGTAAGATTTTTAAACAGACACAAAAGGCGTGGATGTGTCAAAATAAAAACAGCTATTGGTAAGATGTCATAAAATATAACACAATGCAATACGAACGTAATATATGAACGGTAATCTATGTATCTATTAGCAGTATTACATTATGTCCATAGGAACGATTTAAAATTTAAAGTATATTAATAATCGTAAGCGAATTACAATATGAAGTGTACTGTGTAAAGTGAACACAGAACAATGATAACAAATACAAATAATTTAAGGTGCAATGCCAATAGGCAACAATATGTTTGACGATCTACATAGGTATATAGTAAGGGCGGAAGTCGGTAGAGAATATAAATATTAAATACCAACCGAATGATAAGTAGGTTGGTATTTAGGTATTGGGTATACTTTTTTTTTTAAGGCACTGAGCAAGAAAAACTATCCGACAAAAATTCCTCCGACCTCGGGGGCTCGGACGCCAATCTTTGGATATTCACTAAACGACAAAACTCCTACCAAATACAATGTACCAACAAAACTCCTTTCTTCCAGGTTCGCCAACATATTAAATGTACAACAATTTAGTACAATAAATTTAAAAATGTTGACGATTCAAATTTTTTAATTTCACAATCCACCAAATGGTATTTATAGATTATTTACGATATTTGATATTTCTTATTCTTTATCTTCATTCTTCATCTTATTCCATACACTTCTTCCCAGATTATAATTATTTCATCATGTCAACAATATACCTAATAAGAATTCTTATTAGGTCCATCGTCTATGGTAAAAACGAACTATTTTTTTTGCCATAGTTCACGACACCAAAATAATTATTGATATTTAAAAATACTGTACATACAAATGCTATTAAAACGTTTAAACTGGCTATGAATTATGATCAAAAAAATATGTAGTACTGAAAAATGTTTATGTAATATATTATTGGATGTTATATCTCGATTCTCGCGTAAAATTGGCCTGTTATGAGATATTATAATTATTGATTTAGGCTCGATCTCGAGCTTAAGAGTGACTAGGTAGTATACTAATTACTATACTAAAACAAATTGTATACAAATTAGTTCGACAACAATTATTTTTTCATGAGAAATTTATTTTTTTAATCGACTGCTATGACAAAATGGATTACATTTAGTGTATTTTGTTATGTCGACTGCGGTAGGCGAATAAGCTATACTACTATTGCTACTCTGCTTACTTCTACGATTTGCCTAAATTTTGTTAATGTCTTCTAACTTATGACATATTAAAGTATTTTTTTATACAATTCAGTTGTGATGTTATGACATGCAATAGTCGAATACAAAAAAATAACATTGACTACTTATTAATGGTAAATGCTCGTCAGTCGTCCCGCACGTTTGATAAATAATTCACATTTCACGGGTAAATTGTGTTGTGTACTAATACCTCGTATTATAGACATTAGACACCCCTTCCTAATTACTATACAGTAGTAGTACACACTTTTGGCAAAAATTTAATATTCCACTGGCAGACGGCAGTGCAAATTGCAATCAGCAGTGTTCTCACTTCTGACTTTTCTGCTCACCGTCGCATGTTGATAAGACAGAATAGATTATAGAAGACTAAAGACGTTGGTTAATGGTTTGTTGAAATTTAGACCATCACGGTTTGAATTAAAAAGTAAGTGTATACTTTTTTAAGAACTTACAAGAATAGCTAAATCAACCTCAACAATTGTATTTGCAGATAGATAGCACAATGTACAATAATTTAAACATTTTGTTTTGTTTTTCTACTGATGTAAAAATAAACGTTTGTTATTTGTTTGACCAGAATCTGTTAACAAATCCTGGTATGATATAAAATAAAAATGGAAGAATCCAATGATCCGTTAACTGGCAGTTCTACACTGGTATTACGTCCACATCCGACAGACAATCAAACAGTTCATTTGAAATTAAAAAAACCTAAAAACACACAAAAACAAGTAAGCTGGGAAGCTCATACAGTCGATAACGAACATTTGAACAAGAAAAAAAGTAAGTGTTGTTGTATTTATGAGAAGCCTAAAAAGTTTGGAGACCCTGATGATGACGACGACAATAAAGATGGTGATGATGATGAATGTGACAGCTGTATGGGCAAGAAAAAAACACATCATTTGAAGAAGACTGATAAAGTAAATGAAGAGCCACAAGAAGATAGTGGATGACAAGACATATTAGTTAACTATTTTTAGCATGTAAGTTTGTGTATTTTGTCTGAAGTAAGTTATTATATAAATTACACTTTTCCACAATAAATTTAATCTATTGGTCTATATGTTTATTATTATATATATATATATATATATATTATAGAATTACCTAACTCACTATTCTTGCTTGTTAAGATCAAAAGAACAGAACAACTCTACTCAAAATATTGTTTTAGAACTTAACATCAAAGTCTCATTCCTCAACTGTTTCATAAGAAAATTTAGACAGTCTTGTCAAATGTACTAACTTATACATTCCAAGATACCTAATTAGTTATAAAAACTTTTTCTCAACTTCCTACTTGACTACTTTTCTTATAATCATCATATTAATGTCCTCAAATAATAAAACTAGAGTTCTAAATCTATTGAAAGTATTTAAACATCACTATGCTATGTCCAGTTTTTTTTATTTATAAATTGTGTAGTTCAATAGAAGTATGCATAATATGCGATTAATACATTTTTTCAGAAATTTAGTCATGTATAGAAACAGATACCCGATAGATTTTTACACATTGCGTACAAAAATAAAAAAATTTGCTACTTGAAGCTAATTTATATTAATAAAATAGTATATTACATTTTTAAATGTTGCTGTAAAATTATAATACCCTTATGACACCCGTGTGCTGTATCACCTAATACTGTTATTTTACAATTTTACAACATTCAATTTAAATCTATAACAGATGAGAGTAAAAAAAATAAATACAGTTTAATTCATTTATTGTAATAAAGTATAAAATATTTATAACAATAATAACAAAACATTGTAAAAAAAACTTAAGTAGAATGTTAATGGAATGAAAACAATGGTTTTAAAGCTAAATAAATAACAATAATAAAATTTGTATTTTACTGTTAAAATATTTTAATATATAAATTTAAAAAAAAAATTATCAGTATTTGAGTACATCTAGTGCTCCGCCAACAAGCTTTAACGAGCCTGTAACTAACACCCGAAAAAATATGTTACTGTCGGAAGAGCTTAATGATGATACATGATCAATTGCTTCTTTAATCGATTTCAATACTTTAACGTTGCAAAAACTTATAGTCTTTCTAATTTGTTCACATTTTTCCAATTGTTCTTCATAAACATAATTTCTATCAACTGCATCTAAAATTTTCAAAACACATAAAATATTAATTATTTTATGTTGCTTCTTGTGTGCAATAAACGAGTGGTAAAAAAAATTGTGACCTGGTCTAGAATCGTTAAAATACGTAATTATTGGACACAGTATAACCAAGTCTATTTCATTTCCATTTAACAAAATGTGTAGAAAGGTTCTATAATCTCTTTGAGCAGTAATATTAAATATTAGTATATTTTTCACCCTTCTATAAAAAAAAAAAAAAATTAATATTCGATAACAGTCTTATAAAACTACATTAACCATTAAAAACATAATTTTGTATCAGTATTTTTAAAATTCTACAGTATTTAATTTATTCCAATTAATGAAAAACAACAATTATAGAAAGAAAAAAATTAATTAATTAATTTTGACTTACTCGTGAGACTGTGGATAGTGCTCAAAAAACCATTTACTACATAATGTTATGCTTTCAATTGTATGAGCTCCGTCCAAAAAATAAGTCAAATTTTGTGATACATTTATTACTTGATTTCGGCCTGGGCACTTGACATTATTTATTACAGTTTTATCATGTTGATTTAATTTCCAAATCGGAGCCTGCTGTATACCTTTTGATCCCGGTTTGCATTTTTCAATCCATACTAAAATATACAATTTATATCTTACTACACATACAGCTTGTATAATTGATAGATATTAAATAAAAATTACTTCTTGATTTCAGAATCAATAAATTATATTTGATATTATAATATCAAATAGATCATAGAATTTTTTAGTACAAACGTTAAAACAAATCTGTAGTTACCATTGGTACTAACCATGAATGTTATTTCGATTAATCCAAGCATAAGCCAGCTGGATTGCAAGTGAAACATTAATCTTTTGAACTGAATTAATCATGTCTAAATTAAGAGGATTCCCATGCCACTCGTATAAATCAATCGGTGGAGCTTCCAATAATAACGCCTTATATGAAAAAGTTGTAATACTAAATTATTAAAAGCTGTAAGTCCAGCATCCACAAAGTGTGCCGTTATACTTTTTTCTCTAAACTGCGTTTCTTAAGGGTATTATATGTTTCCGGTGGCTGATCATGAGAAATTATTGTTACAGAGTTTGGCTTCATTATACCACTCTTTTGCCATGCTATTTCTTCTAATGTATTTCCTAAAACAGCTGTGTGGTCAAAACCCAATGACGATATTCCTACAATTGGTACTTTCCTATGAAAAAAATGTTTTTGGCTATTAGCAAAAAATATATTGACTATAATAAAATTATAGGCATGTACTTTAAAATATTAGTACTATCATATTCTCCTCCCATTCCAGTCTCAATAATTGCGACATCGACTTTTTCATTTGTGAACATTTTGAACGCCATAACAGTTAAAAATGCAAAATACGATGGCATATCTCCTTTGTATGTCTACAATGAATAATACGTTACTAAATTATATACATTAAATAATTATAACTTTATAATTGCATACATTGTAGCATTCTTTTTAGATTTTTTTAGTTTGTACTTACTTGTTGAGATTTTAATGTATTGTAAGTTTTCCAAAAGTAGGTAACAAACATTTCTTCTGAAATACTTTTGCCATTGATTCGGAATCTTTCGGTCACAGTGATTAAATGTGGAGACGTAAATAAACCGGTACGATATCCTTTTTTCATCAATAACTGTTCGCAATAAACGCATGTTGATCCTTTACCTTTCGTGCCAGCCACATGAATAACCGAAAGCTGGTCCAAGTCTTGACAGCTTATACTGCATCTATTTTCATTTATAGCCTTCAGAATAATTTATATTAGCTACCAAACCCATTTAAATGTATAGTTATTATTTATTAAAAGCTAAAATTATTTATTTTAAATTTACCTATTTAAAAACATGTTCACCTGTCTTAATTTCGATTCATCGGGATGTTTAGTTAGTTTAGGAGTAATACTCTGAAGGGAGTTTAATGTCTTAACAGTATCCTGTAAAGAAACATAGATCATAATTTATAAAAAGCTATCCAAATTTTTTTTTTTTAAACAAAAATAAAACTAAGTTGTTCATTTTTTTTCAAATGGGATATTTTGAGTATGAAAATAATGAGCGTAAGAGGCCCCTTAAATATATTCCTGATACAACGTATGTAACAATATATTTTATGAGACTCCTTAAATTAATATACCTCTGTATTTAATTTAAATTTGATATATGGTTAATATATACAGATATACAGTTCATTTATGATAACCTTTTCAAAATAGTAAAAAAAAATGCCATAAATTTGTAAACTTTTTTTAGAAAAATCAGTCTACAATTTTATAACTGTAAAGTTCATACATAACAATGATGTAGTTTAGTCATAATTTAAGATATGTACAACATTATGTGGTTTGAATTTGTTTCAATTAATCAACTTTTAATAAACTTACGGCGTAGGAGAAAGTAACGTGGTTCATGATCCTTATGTTTCTTCTTTTACTAAGTACGGAGTTGACAGGGAAATGTTTTAAAAATGCTTTGGTCATTATAAAATTATATCTACAAAAAAAAAAAAAAACAATTAAATCTAGGCTATTTCAATTATCAAATAACTTTTGTTCAAGGTGCATAAAGGCGGGATGTGGGAACAGATTGCACAATTTTCTAGGTTATATATTTTAAGATTAAATGTCGTTATAAATCAATAAATACCTACAATTTCCACACAATTCTATGAAAAATCGGCATCTTTGATTATATTTTCACACAAGGACGACGAAAGTGCACGTGATATCGCAATCCAACATTGAAGATAGATAAATGATAACTGATAAGTTGCCTGCTGTCTGTTGCAACTTGCAATAGGTTTGTCGACTGCAAAGCGATTTTGTGATGTTCAATTCATTTAAATTTTTGTCTTGCGCCTGTTTGAATAGTCGGTGTAAGTTAATAACTAATCAATTTAATTATATTCTCGTTTGTTGACATTTTTTACATTTAAATATAGTCTCCTTATAGGTACTATAAATTATAAAATCTTAGTCAAGTTATTTTTTTATGGACGTATGAATTGTGATTTACAGTAGAATTATGGACAATACATTAAATGATATCTTGTCTATGGATAAAGGAAGAAAAAGTTTCAAGGCAGGAGATACCATATTAGTCGATAAACCATTTGTACACGCACTGAAGTCAACATTTAAAAATGAAAAATGTGACCAATGTTACTCTGAGTAAGTGGCATAATTGATTAAAATTAAAAAAATATATGTATTTGTTAACACCATGGATGTTTCTTGAAATCAGAAACAACCTGTCCAGGTGCTCGGGCTGTCAGTATGTTCTCTATTGCAATCGTACATGCCAAAAAGTAGCTTGGAAAGAGCACAAACGTGAATGCTCTAGAATGAAAAAAATTCAACCAAAAACATTACCAGATGCTGCAAGGATTATTTCAAAAATATTAATTAGTCTAAAGGCAATTATTTTAAGTGTATAATCTTGTTATCATAACTAAAAACTTGGTAAACTTTTACAGAATGGAGGAAATATGCAAAAAAGTTACTATACGACTACTCGTTACAGAACATTCAAAGATCTCATGTCACGTAATTTTATTTTAAATTAAACTATTTAATTCCAAGCAGCGATGTAGCAAGTGTGCTACGGTAGATTATATAATGGAACAAAACTATAATATATATTACCATTTTTTTTATGGAGTGCTTTTAAGTTTATAATGCTGATGAACAACACAAAACAAGAAACGTACTGATAAAATTAGTTTTAATATTTCAGGTTTTTATTTTTAGCTTTCAGATCTTGCACACGTGCAGCCACAACTTATCTTTTTTTATTGACAATTTGTGTTGCTTACGAATATAACACAGTTATAGGTTAGGTGGTCCAAATGTTTAGACTTATGACTAAAGCTGACTATGAAATACACTGGTTATAAAATCTACCGTGATTAGCACTATTAATAGTTTTATAAGTAGGTAGTTTAAAACAATTTCATTTTCATTTCTTTAAAGAGGAGAAAAAACTAACTTAACCTTTACGCTTAAAGTACATTTATGCTTAATGTTTAGTTATACTGGAACCTTTCGTCATAATTTACACCCACCATAAAATTTGCTCTGTCAATTAACATCAATTTTACAATATCCTCGCTACTTAACTGCACTGAAGAATTATTTTAATATGCAAGTTTGATTTTTAGATTATCCTGATCTTAAAAAAGACGAAAAACGATTAGAGCATTTTACTTCACTATTTGAAGTCCTTAAAGAGTATATGGGTGAATCAAATTTGCCAAATACAGTTGAACTCCTAGGCATTTATGGACGAGTAAGTTAATGGTCTTAATTTTTTCAGGCAGCTTGACAGCTCTTTTACTGGTTGTTGAATACTGGTTGTATTCAGTAATTGTAAAGATATTATCATTTGTTTTTTTTAAACTTACATCTAACACCGTCTTAAAGATTACTGGGATTTTTTTAATGTGGTGTAGTAGTTTTATTTTAAAATGTTTGCAATTTTGTAGTTTTTTTTTTAGAACACTTTTATGCTACATTACAGTATTGAACAATATTAAAACATTTTTTCTTTAGTATTATCTATAGCTTTATCAATTTTTGAAACTTGTTGTTTTTATTTTTTTAAAGAATTACAAAATAGCAATTATTTTAAGAGTAAACTATTGTGGTGTATTAAAAAAATCACTTGGTTTAGTACTTAAATTTTTAACAAGGTTTGCAAATATTTTACATAGAAAACTATATTACTTTTTTGTGGTTTTTACTAATTTTTAGCAACTTAATCAATCCCTGATTTTAAAACTAAAACAATATTTGCTAATAATTTATTTTATTAAAACAAAATTTTTTTTTTGTATCCAAGTATATCAGGCAGTTTTGATAAATGCAATAACTGGTCTGTTAATATATATATACATATATATGTTATACATGTATACATTTTACTACCTATAAACCTTTTTTTTTTATTATGTATTTAACTACTTTTTTGTTTATTCCCATAACTTAATGACACTTTTTTTTCAATTTTCTTAACTCTACAGTAAATACCTATAATGGTGTACACTGTTTTTTTTTTATGTGTTGGGTTATGCTAAAATAATTTCAAAATCGTCACTCAAAAAGTTACATCCCTGCTTCTCTCACCAAATAATCAATAGACAATATTTATTTACCATTTTTCATGTAAAAACACTCCCTGATGGCTAACTTCTTGGATCCTAATGAGCCCTCTCCTATTGAAAGTTTGGTTTTCGGATTTTTTTCCCTATACGTGTGGTCACAATTTTGTGGAATATCTTTAATCGACACTTTTAATGAAAAAAAAAATCTATCTAGTTATTTTGAAGTTGATTAAAATGTCTTATTATCGTGACACCCCAGTAAAAATGTTTCCAACTTAATTAATGATTTTTCAAGGTTTTACCATTTATGATAAAAAATTAAGATTAGTTTCATATATATGTATATTTTTTTGACACTGTAGATGAGCCTCTACCAAAATGTAGCCTGGAATTCAAAATCTATTAATAACACTCTCTCTGCAAGAGAGGAGATTTTTCATACAGTTTTGGACGATAAAAGTTGATAATTAGACCGAAGGTATTTACTGTATTTTTATAATTCATAATAATAAAAAGTTGTAAAATGTGTTACATAAATCTGTAACTATAATTATTAGAAATATATAAACACTGCTTTAAAAGATAATTTCTGGTAATTGTATCCAACTCAAATTAAATTATAGGTTTTTTTAATTCTAGAAGTGTAATTGTTTTTCTTTTGCTATGATATTTTAAATTATAATTAATTTTAAAAATTGTATACATTAATACAATGGCTAATTGACCATTGATAATTGAAACATAAAAGTATTACAATTATTAGAAGGAAAATATATATCTGTATTGACCAAGTCTACAGTTATTGCATTATTCAGGACTACTTCAGGTTTTGTGACGTGATGTTGTTATGCTTGTATGACAAATTAATCTACTGTCTTTGATTCAATTTTAATAGCACTTGTTATTCATAATATTGTTATTGTACTGAATGACGTGCTTAATCTTATTTTCAATTTCTTTTTAATAATAGTCTTTCTCCTGTAAACGGTTCATCGCCGTTGAATATTATTCGGTTGATTTTCAACCGAAAATCTTGTCCATTCCATTTTAATTCACTTATCCCTAAAACATCTATTTTGTTGCAATCTATTTGTTACGTTAATTTTTCCAGTTTCTGACGTATAAAATTAAAACAAATGAGGAAAGAGAATAAGAAAGGCTTAACTAAAATGCAAAAATAGATGTAACAAATAATCATTTTAACCATTCGTTTGTCAGTTGAGAAAGATTGGGTTTACCAAACACCAAAAAAATGAGAGAGTATGATTTTTAAGTATATAATCTATAAATAATTTTCTTGTAGATGTGTATAAATGCATTTAACATATTGGACGATAACTTAAACACAATCGGTACTGGAATTTATTTGGGTGCTTCTGTATTAAATCACTCCTGCGTACCTAATGCAACTGCAACTTTTGACGGCACAACATTGAGGATTAAAGCAGTAACAGATATTGAAAATTCTGATCCAGAATTGGTAACGAAACGGTTGCATAATAGATTACATATTATAAACCATTATTTTTATGAACAATCTTTTTCAGCATGTATACATATCATATTTAGAACTTATGCAAACTAATGATGAACGAAGACGTGAACTACAAAACAATTATTATTTTTTGTGTGAATGTAAACGTTGTTTAACTGAAGACGAACATACATTCATAAGTTCTATGACTTGTTCTAATGTCAAGTGTCAAGCACCAGTTCCTATGAAGTTAAAAAGAGATGAGGTGAGCTGCTTATATTATGTATTATATAAAAAAAATATTGATCAATATAATAAATATAAATATTTGTACACATTTTTATTATTTTTTGTTTTAGGTTTTAAACTCTGTGAATTGTCCTGAATGTTTAGAAATAGTCAGCGAAACAAAAGTAAAAGAGTTTTATGATGTGACTGAATACACAGAATTTCAACTTCTTAAAATGAAAGATATTGGTTGTATCCTTTTTAATAATTTGTTTACCCTTTATTTTTTTTTAATAAAAAATGGTTACTGCAAACAATATTCTAAAGTAACTTTTGAACCACTATAATATACATATAAATTTTTAAAAAAACACGCATTTTCAATAGTATAATTCACTTTTATATCTCTTCAATTTTTGTAATTAATTAATTTTAAAAGTTTTTGTTAAATGTGTAAAATTAATAAAGAAATCAATTCGACTGGTAGACAAGTAAAATATTAGCTATATTTTATCAGCATAAAACTATTTTCCATTACCTACTTTTTAGACTTGGATGTTTGCAAAATGTGTTTGAAAAAACAAAATAGCGTTTTCCATTCAAGCAATATCAACCATGTTAAAATATTGGATTTAGCTTTTGAAAGTGCAATTAAAATGGAACTATGGGCTGAAAGTCTAAAATATGGGATAAGCCTAATTGAAGGATATAAGTAAGTTAAATATAATTGAAATAACTGATCGTTTTATTTTGTATGTATCATGTATAATAAACTAAGATACTGGAGAACTTTTTAGAGAAGTGCTTTTTGAGGGGTTGAGGCATTTTTTATTCATAATTGGGTAATCCTCTGAAACCAAGCAATTTTAAGTCCGCAAAATTTTACTAGACTTGTGTTTTGATTTTTAGGAAACATTGTTTACTCTTTACGTAAAATAGTTCCAGAACAACGTTTTTTTAACAAAATTAAGGTACTTAAACTATTTCCTTCTAATTAAAAAACAATTTAAAATGGTTGAATTATCAGTCCCCCCTCACAATGTCCCACACCCCGTTTTCGCATTTTAAACATGTCCTAGATGTTTGACTTCAATTCTCAAAAATCAAAACCTGACATTATTCAGTTGAGCAAGTACACTCGTTTTCAGAATCAATTATGGTTTTTTAAATACTTCAACAATTTCCTCATTTTATCCTATAAACTATGTGTCCCTTACTTTTGTTAGTAAAAAAATGGATGTAAAAATTACTTAGTTTCAGAGAATCACTCAATAATTACTTTTACCTTAGTATAACAGTAATTTGTATATTTGTAACAATACGGTTATCATGTATTTACAATTTCTACTGTACATGTAAAGAAATTAATCCACCGATATTAATAGTATTTTATCATTATATTTGTATAATTTTTAAAGTAAACTGTTGCAAAAAGTAAGACTACATTTGTCAGATCAATGAGACAGCTGATAGGTACACTTTAGGTAATAGAATACAAAATTAAAATTCTTTCGTATTGATTTAGTAAGTACTGTAATGTAGTACTCATTATTGCAAAATGTTTAAAATGTTTAAAGGTCGTATTATGGTGAATACCATCCATCGTTGGGAATTCTATATATGAAGCTTTTCAAATTAAGTTCTATTGTGGAAAATGCGGAAACGGCTGTGAAGTATTTGAAAAAAGGAAGTTCAATATTGAAAGTGACTCACGGCGAAGACCATTCCTTGTATAGAAATGAAGTTATTCCATATTGTAATGAATTATTTAAGTATTTTTAAAGCATTTTCGAACCAACAACTAAAACTTGAGGACATACATGATGCATAATATTCAATCAGCATTTGGTGCTACTATTATTATTGAAAATATTTGCAAAATTAAGTGACACAAATAGAATTTTAATTGTTTGCAGAGTAGTGAAGGGAGAATCGTTAGTTACTTTTTAGAAGTATTTAAAGAAATACTAATAACTAACGACAGTAACAGTGCAGGACTAATTTAAATTTTCATTTTTTTGTGTCTAACAAAACAGTATTTTAAAGTAGATTTATTATTTTCTTGATTGATCAATCTATAGATTTTATTTCTTTTTTTTTTTTTATACACGGCCAACTAATAAAAACTGCCAAATGGTTAGCCGAAAAAGTGTTCATTGTTCCAAAATAGTAATTATTTAATAAATTATTTTTAACGTTAAATAATATTTATTGTTGTCATTTAAATAGATCGTACACTGAACTCAATGAGTTCAGTGATCGTGAATGAGCCATTAAGCTTGTCAATCAAAATTGCTCACTTGCAGCTATATCAACGTAAGACTTTTGTACTGTACTCTACTGGTATATCGTATACCGTGGTTGCTTTAGGTTATATACTTATATCGCAAAAACAAAAATTGACGAGATTTTGTTGAGTATTAATTGAATATTAATGTGACTCAAGATATCTTCTTTAGTCTACAGTGTAGTAATGGTCAGATCTCTTTGAGATATTGTAATGACCATGGAATGCAATTTATTGCTTACTGTTGTTTTGGGTAACTTTTAATTAATGTATAATACTTAGTTAGCATTTAAGCATTCTCAGTTATGTATATATGACGTTAATACTTGTTTTCCACAAGTATTAAGATATGCTTAGCTTGTACTCTTTGTAGTATTAAACCCCAAAGGAACAGCTAGTATTCATTTAAATTGTTTTGTCTTGTTTCACCCGAGCAGGTTACTGTCTGTGTAAAAGTTATTAATTAAATTACGTTGAATCAAACCTATCTTGTCAGTTCTTATTGTTTTACTAAGTGAATTAAAAGTACTAATTCAGTGAATTAACTACATTTCTAACACTGTACATGATAGTACTTGTATTGGACTCTACAGTTTGTTACAACACTTTACGAGCTCGTGATCTAACTAAATTTTAAGGTGTAATATGTATTATTAAAAGTCTCATCCGAGTAATTTTTTAGCTGTAGCGACTTATGCTATTATTAATTTTGATTATACTTTAAAACAAATATTACATAGTTTTGTTGTTTTTTTTTTCATATTAATTAATGGGAACGGAAAGCGTCAATTTGTTTACGAATAAAAACTAAACCGCGTAGTCACTTTCTGAAGTGTCTACCTAACAGATTTCAATCATTTTTTTTTTTTTTTATAGTTTAACATCTTCTCTATGGGGGCTAAAAGGTCGATTTTTTTTTTTTTTTTCAAGAAATATTTATAAGCATTTTTATTTTAACTTCTTTCTAGTACTACTTTTTTAATCGCTTTAATAAAAAATCAGCCTTTTAGCCCCCATAGAAAAATATAGTAAGCTTCGCATAAAAAAAAAAAAAAACTGGAAATCTGTCCAATAGATACGCTAGAAAATTACTTCTACGAAAGTAATTTTGAATCAAAACTTTCGTCATAACTCGGGAGAAAAACAACATTAAAAGTATATAATTCAAAATTGTAATATGCGTTTACCTTGAAATTAGTAGGCATATGAAAAATGGCTGTAGTTCAATTTTTGTCAAATATTGCCTATACTTTGCCCCTTAATAAATAGCGTTTTCCGTCCCCCTTAACTGATAATATTGTTGTCTTAGTGCCTTAAATTTTGTTACCTAGCCTTTACTAACGTTGTATTATGATGGTTTACAACAAAAATGTAAATCTGGGAGAATATCCCTCAAAATTGGTCAAAATACAGTCCTTTTTGGACTATATTAACTTTACGTTTATATGCTTACGTAGATAAATAAATAAATAACAATTTAGGTGAATTTTTTTAATTTTTACAATATTATATATATGTATAATATTTTACTTAAATTAGTAGATTATTAATCAGTATAAGTTACTGTGTCCAAAATGTAATGAATTGAATATTATTTTCTAGAAATAAAAACTGTTGGTATGTATAAATGTATGTAAATAATTAACCTGACTGCCTGGTATTAATTTTATTGATTGTTATAAATTTATTATTTTCTAGCACGTGATGATGACGGTATGTGTACGTTTAGAGTGATTTTATTCAATTTTATCACTTTTATTTATAATAATTCTTGTAGACCTGTCACCTCTCCGTCCCCTCGTTGCTTTGATTCCATTATGCCTATAATCTACTGTACTAATCCTCTCGGATAAAATCACTTTCAAATTAACGCTTTGATGCTTATATGTAAATACAGCACCTCAATTTAAAACTTTCTAACTTTGCTGGTTTATACTGTGCTTGGTTTGGACTGTACTGGCTTGGAAATACTAACTACCGATTTGCATCGAAGCGTTTTTTCGAAAGTGATTTTATCACTTTCAGATTTAAGAATTCCTGTAAACCTGTGACCTCCCCGACCCCGCTGTGATGGTTGTATTTCTATACATTTATAAAACTAAATTCGGTATATTGACAATTGCCCTACAATTTTAATTACTCAAGTAAAAAATGCATGTACCCAAAATACAATAATAATAATCAAAACCGTTTTAACGTTTGAGACTTCAAATAATATAAGTAGGTCAATGATAAAAGATGTTGTTTTTGTCTGTAACTATTTGAACAAGCATACAAAACAACAAATCAAAACGAGTAGTCCTCTTATTTTAAATAAATAATACAACTTCAAACGTGTTTTCCCGTTTTAGAAAGTGAATATACAATTATTTAGAAAAGTAATGATAAAGGTTTAAAATTTTGAAAATAAAAATAATATAGTAACATTATTCATGATGTAGACATTTTTAAGTGTTCCAAGACCAATATTGTAGGAATATGGATAATACAATACAACAAAAATATATGTATTCATAATAATTTATAATTTTTTTTATTATTATATAAATAATAGTATATTATAAATGTGTTTACAATTTTCTCATTTCTGTAAATTCTGCCTAAAGGTATACATCACATGTGTATCTATATCGAGTATGTTTAACATAATAAAACTCCAAGGTCTTTTATATACTAACGCATTTAATAGTACGAAAAATCTGAGTACATCTACTATTGAGGAGCTTTTTGATGTGTATTATTACGACTCGTATGTTTTTTCATACCGATACGAATTTAAGGTAAATAAAACGCAAAAAAAAAATATATTACTAACCGTATAATGTTTACGCATTTATAACGTACAACGAAAATTCAGAGCATAAAATAAAACCTTACATGATATTGTTTCGAAACCCAAATTTGGGCCTCAAAGAGCAATCCAGTGATCACAGATAAAAATACAAATATCGATAAGATAGCATTGTACCTAATAATAAATATGTGCTTGAAAATGAATGTTTAGTTTAAGGGTGGATATGATTAGGGTCACAGTTGTTACATTTTTGTTCTAAATGTTTTCAGTTTTTGTAATCTCTGGTGGAACCAGTTGACATTGACTATTTAATAAAACATTTCAATTAAACAATTTTTAGTCGTTAGATAAAACTTCTCTTCTATATTGGAATCTATAATGTAAGAGTGACTAAAGAATTAAATGCTCTCAGTTTGTTAGTTGTACATTTGTCACTAATTACATACTAAACATACTACAATATACATTTAAATGACAATTACACATATGGCTTTACACATTAAAGGACTTGCTTCCACAAGGAGTTAAACAAAAGTAAAAAAGAAAGCAGAGTTTAAACATTATGTTATCTTTATAAATTAGTCACAAATATAAAATAGATATATTTATTATCCACAAATTACAAAGCAATAGATATTCACAATGTGCATTCTTTTTTTGCAAGCTTTAGAGGAACTATACTCATCGATTAATATGTCATCATACTCTAAACTTTTCTTCGAATCCTTCATTTTTAAGTGTCAGACACATTTCTATAATTGATTCACTAACAGAAGATGGGCTATGTACAAATCTGATGGCGCCTCTAAAAAATTGCCCCCTAGAGCGATCGCTTTCCCCCCTCTAAATACTTCACTGTCGTCTCTCTATATAAATGTATTGCTATAATAACCCATATATCGTTGGTAACAATATAATGAAATATGTGTTCATTGCCTATTTACTCACTCACACATGGCAACTTAGAAATTAACTACGGTCAAAGTGTAATTTTTCCCTTTTTTTTTGGGGGGGGGGGGGTTGCCTTAATTAAAAATAAGTTTGATCATAGATTTTTTTCAGAAAATTGTATATGTTATAGTTCCATTCTAGATATTATACCTTAGGTCTAATTTCCCCGACCTAAATCCCTAAAACTTTGCTTCGAAAAGTGAAATAAAGAAAAAAATTCTAGCTTTTCTATGGGAAACGGTTTAAATTCCACACAAATTTGGAATTAGTTCGACTTGGTAGTTGTTAAATCTTGAAACTGCGCCAACCCAATTTTTTAAAACTCGGCCTTTTTTATTTGTTTGTTGTTTTTTGGTTGTTGAAATTTCGGGGTTTTCCTTGTGCGATTTTGTTGATGAAACTTTTTATATAGAAATAATGCTAAGGTTATAAGAAATCGAAAATATTTTCGAAAAACATACACTTGTGCACACATCAGAATGTTTTAGTGATTATTTTTTGCCATCGATAAATTTTCATACATTTTAAGCTGAAAAATACGTCGATCGAACAACAAAGAACAATATATAAAATTGTCAATGTTCGAATTTCTCATTTTTTTTTTCTGTGCACATCTTAGTGTTACTTTTTACTTCGAAAATTTGAAGGTCATGGCAAATCGTCTAACCTGAAAATGTTATCGAATCGGATACACTAAACTTAAGTATGGCTATCGACGGATATTCTCAAAGGAAAAATCTATTACAATTTGGGTCGGGGGACTTGAGTTGGGCCGAGTTGATTGAATGTGATAAATTCACTTTTTAAAAAATTAATTTAAACCTTAAACTGGTACTTGAGCACTCAAAACTTGCTGGGGCCCCACTCTAAGGAGTATTCATAAAAATATTGGAATGATTTGATAATTTTTTTTTTGTTTAAGATTTAACACGTTATTTGTACATAAGAGTTCTAACTCCAGACAAATTTTCAACTAAAAGGTCCTAAAAACCCCAAAAAACTACTTGCATCCCGCCGCAAGGGGGTGGGAAATGGGTCAAACTTAAATTTAAATCTCAAGTAAAAATTCCACTCTAGAAATTTCAACTTGATTCGACCGTTTTTCTCGAAATTATAGCCAGTAAAAGTTAAAAGTTAAAAATTCGTACGGTTTTTTTTTTGTTTTTTCAAATTTCGACTGTGAAGAAGTAAACTTTTAAACTTTTACCCCCCGCCCCTCCCCTCAAGTACCAACTAGATGAAATTTGCGATTTATAGTCTCGAAAGAATTGGTCCAGTATTAAAAAAAAGTTACAGTGTATATAGATAAAAAAAAAAGCCCACATCAGAGTAAAACTAGTACCTTCGCCGCTCTGCATCGAAGCTAAATAACATTTGTTTAAATTTCAGCTTGTACAGAATGTGAGTATACTAAAATCGTTGTACTTTTATCAAATTTAATCCTTTATGATTGTAAAATATTATTAAAAAAACATTTTTGTTTAATTTCAGGTTGCAAGGGTGAGTACACTAAATTGATTTTATTTTTATCATGTTTATTTATTTATAGTTAAAAATTGTTTAAAAACATATTTGTTTTAATTTCAGCTTGTGATGATTGTGAGTATACTAAAATTGATTTATTTTTATCAAATTTAATAATTTACTATAAAAAAAAATATTTTTAAAAAAACATTTGTTTTAATTTCAGTGGCTAGTTGTGAGTATACTTAAATTATTGTACTTACTTTTATAAAATTTAATCATATTTTATTATAAAGCCTATATTTTATTATTATTACAAACAAAAAATTTAAGTAAAAACGTAGGTAAACCATTGGAATCAAATTGATACGATATTATATTTTTTGATGGCTGTTCCATAGTATAAAATATTTGTCAGATGTGAGTAATTACTATAAGTCTTGTATAATTTGTTTGTCTTTATGCTATAATTTTATACTTTTTAACTACAGTATGCTGATCTGTAATTCATCTTAACTCAATTTTAAAAAAATATATTTTCACTATGAAATAATACATATTGTGATCATGACTTTTTTATTTGTATCTTACATTTTTATGTTGCTTGTTAAAAATTATAATTGTCTTTTATGCGTTGCACGAATTATTTTTGTTTTAAAATATGTATAAATTGTTTAAAATCAAGTTTTCACATTTTTTGTTATGTACTAAAATTCATGCAATTATGTTTTCGTTCAAATGTACATACACTTAACATTATAAATAATTTTCTTGATTAAAATATTTAATTGATGCCATAACATAATGTATTTATATGTATTTATACGTCATGTTATTATACCTACTACATATATTATTTTGATTATGCTTTGATTTTTTAATTCCTATTAAAGTTGACCAGCCAAAAATCATACATTACTCCCTGACTAAAATAAATGCAGAACAATTAAAACCTATTCGTTCCAAAAAAGTGAACATATAAATACTTAAGCGGACAACATTATAAAATAAATAACAACACTTTTAAAAACTAGGCCAAGCCATACTAGGAGCTACCTATAAAAATATTTAGTTAATTTCAACTTTGTTTGATAATAAGTCATTTATTATTATTACAGGGTGGCCCACAAAAATATGGCCAAAGAAATATCTTTTGTTCTAGCGAATATTTTTAAGATTTTTTTTTTTTAAATAGTTTATACGCTTTTCATCTTTATAATTATTCTCTCCACCCTATACTAATTATATCTACCAAATAATTTTTTTTGTCATTTGTCTACAATTTTTAACGCTTATAATTAATTTATAAATTTAGGAAGAAATTCTACCATAGTGTACCTATTTATTTAATTTTTCGAAAATTATGTATGTGATTTTATTTGTGGTTCAAATTGTTTCCTTAAAAACATTTCAACAGCTTAAGAATTTACAGTATTATTGTAAAATGTAGGTATTGTAGGTTAGCTATATGAATTATGAACTCACATATACTTTATTTTAAATTGATTACACATAACTATTTTACTTATTTTTAATCCTGTACGTGGACATTATTGAAATATTTTTGGTTTATTTCTTATAAATAAATACTTATAATGTATGCAATTCTGTTTTTTATTTTAATAAAGATCCAAATGATGGTTTTAGATATATTTACAAGTTTTATTTTTAATTATTTTGTAAACAAATATTAAGTCATCTATAAAAAAAAAATTAATATATGGATAAATTTAAATAGTTTAATTATTATTAAAACAATAATATATTTCGATCAAAAATATCTTAAAATTTTTCATTTTTTACTCCTCGAGCTACATTGTGTGCTTTAAAATTATGTGCATTATTGACAAAAAATGTGTATATGTTCATTCCTCCCTAAAAAGAAACTACTATATTATATTATCTAGGTAATTTATTTTAATTACATGATACATTACACATCTTATGCTGTTGTAATTATTACAGTTTTACTCCCTGGACTTATAATACTCATACTTTGATATACCACCACATCTTAATCACTTAAGCATATAAATACCTTTAATGTTTCATGTCGCGTGTATGTCACGGTGATTAAACTCCAAACGCTGAAGCTCACACTTGATTTTTATCCGTCTAACTTCTAGACATTTTATTTAAATTTAAAAAAAAAAATTAGCTTAATTTTCAAAGAAGCAGCAATGCACACTAGGTTTTTTTAATGTGTAGGATCGTACTAACTTGTCCCATCTGGGAGATAGTCCATACAGTGGCGGGTCCAGGGGTTGTCCAAGAGGGGGGGGGCGAATTTTCGTTTTTTGTAGGTATAATAAAATTACCTTTTTTGTTTTTTACTTTTTATTAATTGACTACAAAATATGTTTCAATGTATTCATTATTTTGATTAGTTATTTTTTAATTAATCCAGTTTAATTTTGACCCAATAAACTTACATAGAAAATAGCTACAACAAATTTGTTTAAATTCGAATACATACTTATAATTAAGTAAAGTACAATTCTCAGATATTTAAAATATAAAATCATTGTCTTTTTTTTTTCTTTAGCAAATATTTCAATAATATCATCTACATTTAAAGGGATTCGATACTGGCCTTTTTTTTTTCAGTCAAAACACATTTTTTGTCCATTGCACAGGCCGAACCAATAATCCGATAAAAAATTTGAACACAGATTTGAATTCGCCACAAAGTTTACTTAGGATCGGTCAGGGTACTTTTTTAAATTTTTAATTTTAACCCTTTCCAAATTTTAAATTTTAAAATTTTACAAAAAGTACGCTGACCAATCTCAAGTAAACTTCATGACGAATTCAAATCTGTTTTCAGCGACGGAACAAAAAATGTACAATTATATTAACTAAAATGGCTTTTACTCATAGACAAAACGATTTAAATTGAAAATAATACCATGAAGCTTAATCAAATTAACAGATAAATTAATTGACATGGTCGAAATTTTTACAACCTCTTTTTTCTTAGGCCAAGGGGAGGGGGCGATCCCCCCATCGCACCCCACCCCTCAAATCCGCCACTGAGTCCATACTTATATTACGCATAAGATATGAAGATAAAAATGTTTTAAGTACTAAAAAATATAGTAAAATATGTATCTACATATAGGTATAGGGAAAAAAATAATTTTCAAAATATTCATATCTTCCTAGATAATGAGTGTCACACACAAAAATCACCCTGTACTCAATAAAGTAAACAGCTTTTGGATACAAAAAATAGGACACGTCTTGTTTTCACGTAGGTAAAAGTTTGGTTGGTACAAATAATAAAATTGTTTTTGTGGTTTCTTTAAATAAATAATACTTCAGTAGAGAATTTCACTGTATACGTTACACTGCTTTCAGTTGTACTCGAACCGTAGAAGCCATATCGTTTCAAAGTATAATTTTTTTCCTAGAGCAATAGCAAATTTTAATGATGGCATTCAAAGGAAGTTTTATCAGAATAGTAGTTTTGTCATTTATTGTTTTAGCAATGACTACAGGTAATTTATTATATATTTTTACAAATGTATTATTGTAAATAATGTAATAACAATAATTTTTTTAAATATTTATAATTTTTAGTCTAACACGTACTTATTATATTATAATTTTAATAATTTTTTTAGTAAAACTACATATGATTTAAATAATTCAAGCCTTTGGTGTCAAACTATGGGCCTTAATTTAAACGAGTCATAATTATTTACATTTGCTTCATTCTGTCGCGCAGAGATAATTCTTTATAATTTTCAAACTTAATGTTCACGGTCTTATTAAAGTTTTTCAAGTCCCCGTAACTTAAGTTTTGTAATTATCAGAAGATTTTAATTTTTCTGAACACGTAAATTAAATGTATTCTAAGTAAAGAAATTTACTGTGTGTGTGTGTTTTCTTTTAATCCTTATTGTTGTTGTTATTATCTTTATTTTTTTTTCAGTCATAGCCGGAAGACCCGGAAAACCTGAAGGTGAGTGTTATTAATACATTTTGATTGAACCAAAACTAGCCTAAATAGAGCCTCGCAGAGATTGAATATTTTAAGACGAAACGTTTTATAAAATAATAGAAAAATGTCTTTAGAAATTTGTAACTGTTCAATTTTACTCAATTCGAATAGCTATCTAAACATTTGTTTTAGAATAGTATAATAGTATAGGACATAGGATCTATTAACCGGATAAAATGATAAAATGAACTGAACAACTTTTAAAAGACTAAACTAAGCAATTATACTACGAGCTAATAAAATTAAGCAACTACAAAAATCATTTTTATTTTACTTCTTTTTGTGATCATTCAATTGATTTTAATATAATGTATTATCAGTTATTTTAATATACGTCTGATATGATGTGTGAAAGATAAATTTTTGCAATACAATCCAAAGGCAGATTAATTTTATTAATTCATTATGTTTATAATTTTTTATATAATTAGTTAAAATTAACGTTGCGTTGACATTTGATATTAGTTTAATGATGTACCTTTTTACTGTGTCTAATATTTAATTCTATAATTGTTATACATTTATCATGTTCTAGCACGTAATAAAAAATAATTAAACTACTATATTATTACTAAAAAAATAATTTAATCGAATTTTGCATTTTATTCAATATTACTAATTTGTTATTTTCTATGAGTAGAACAACCTCCTCGTCCCAGGTTGCATACATATACGTGTATAAATAAATTTTAATTTTTGAACATTTTTCATTTTTAAATATAAAATTGTTATAATATATTTTACTTTTGTATGTAGGTAAAGTAGAGGACCAAAAAAATGAGAGTAATGAAAGTACATATTGTGACACATCTCTTTAGATTTGCTCTAAAAACTATATTTTGTTTATAATAATTATTTTTACAATAAACTGTAGTTATCGTGTAAAAAATATATAATTATACCTATTTAGTAATTTATTTTGGAGTATAATAACCGTAGATAATTTTATTAAAATACTTAAATGGTATTTATGTACACATTTGGAAATATAAATAAAAAAATTGTTGTATAATATGCATAAAATATACATCAAATTTTTTGTAAATTATTATATTTTAACTTTAAACGTTTACAACATATTAAATAGTCATTTACATAATATTTGTATTCTTTCATCGTGATTGAAACAAATGTCTCGTTAAACGACGAGTTGTAAACCATTTTCGCCATTTGGTCAAATACTTCTGCCTTCTTTTAAATTAATACAATTTAACGTCATGTATCTATATGTAAAATAAAAAAAAATGTTTATACTATAATAACCGTAATTTATTAATTTTGTTATTTTCTAGTTACCAAAGACACTAAAAGTATGTACATGTTTTGATAATAAATAATTATCATATCTTATATGAACCCAAAATGGTTTGTTTGATTTAGTTGTACATTAAATTTATTGTATTGGTCACTTTGGTTTATTTTAACTTAATTTTTTTTTTTTTTAGCAAAAGCACCACTAATCGTTGGTATGTTTACGCTTATAAAATAATAAATAACAGTTTACATAAATACTTTTATTCATTTAATAGTAAAAATTTTATTTAATTTTTAATTTTATGTACCATAATAATTTAATCTGGATTAAAAAAACTTTCCGTTTATACGTTTACGTAGATAAGTAAACAATAATTACTCATTTTTTTAAATATAATATACGTAATTATACGATACTGCATCCTTAATTTAATTAATTGAATATTATTTTCTAGAAATGTCATCTATCGGTATGTATTCGTTTACGTAATTAAATAAATAATATTATACGTTACACTGTGTCAGATATTTTTTTTTCAACACATATTTTGATTAACTTTTTAAATAATTTGCTAAACATTTTGACTGGTAATCAAAGACGCGTTTTATAAATGATTAAAATGTTATTAGTGCTTTAAAAAAAAAAACATAATTCCTTCTTCCATATTTAAGATCATTACTTTTTTTTTTTGGACTGTATAATAACTTAACGTTTATACGTTTACAAAATAATAAATAATAATTTACATAATATTTGTATTCTTTTAATAGTAATAATTAATTTATATTTTTAATTAAATTTAATGTACAATACTAACTTGTTTTTGATTAAAATTAAGTTAACGTATATAAGTAAAGAATAATATTGAATTTTGTACAACATTATATAAATATACATTAATGTATCCAAAAAATAATTAACTGAATATTATTTTCTAGGATCGGAAACTGGCGGTATGTATACGTTTACGTTGATAAGTAAATAACAATTTAGGCGAATTCTGCATTTTTTTTTCAATACATTACGCGTTACTGTGTCCAAAATTTAATTCAATGATTATTATAAATGTATTATTTTCTAGGATCAGCACAACGTTCTCGTTCCGGTATGCATACTTTTAAGTACACATATTTTATTTGCATTTTTACAATACATAATATTTTCAATAACCAAGTTTAAAAAAAAACCATAAAAGTAGATAACTTTAAGAAAGTTGTTTTTTTTTTGTAGTCGTTCTCGTTCTTAGCTTAAACTAGTTAATCGTATATCTAATGAAATAGACATTAAAACCATTCTAGATTTATTCAACTATTTAGGTTAATTTTGATTTTTTACAATATATAATTATACGTGACTGTGTCCAAAATTTAATTCAATGATTTTTATTTTCTAGAAGTAGCACAACAAGGTGTGTACATTTTTTAAAGTATATAATAATGTTTTACAAAAACCATGCAAGTACAAAACTTGTCGACAGTGTTGTTTTGTTTATAAGGTTTAATTTTCTGCTAAAACTACTGAACTATTTTTGATGAAGCAGACACTAAATTCATTCCAGATATATTTTTAGTTTAATTACTTCTCACGAGCTTAAATAGTCTATTAATTAATGTATCAATTAAGATTTTTTTATTAATGTTCGGTAATTTTGATTTTATATGCATTGGGTAAGGCAAAAATGTAAACTTACATTCTTATTATAAAAAAGTTTTATTTTTCAGAAGTCGATATTTGTTGTAACGGTAATACAAATTATTTTAAATTATCCTTTTTAATTTACGTTACTATAAAATAGGTATATCGATGTAAAATAACTAATTAAAAACTTAGTAAATTGAAAGGTTTGACTATTTCTATTTAAACAGAATACCCTGGTAAGGTTATAGGTATGTGGTTATATACATATGTGTATGTGTGTGTGTTTTATACTAAAATAATTTTACTTATATCAAATTATATAATTTATTTTTAAAAAAATATTTAAATATCATGATATTTAGAAGTTCAAAATTATAAATAATTATAATAAAAGCATTTTTATTAAACTACATAAAATGTCTGAGTATTGCCATTAAAGTTAGTTAGGAGAACACACATTAATTTTTTTTAAATATTTCTTTTTCAGTACTAAAACCTCTAAAAGGTAATACAAATTGTTTTTAATAATTTTTTTTTTATTTTATAATTATATTATAACTATCAATCTAATATACATGGTTTAAAATATTTTTTTAGTGTTAGTTATACCAACATTTTGTTTTCAGAATTCGTGGAAAGCCCTTGGAAGTAATATAAATAATTTTTTTAATGATGTTATTTGTATTTAATAATATTGTAAATGTGTCTTTAGTATGAGGAGAGGATCGTCATCGTGAGTGTATTAAAATAAACTTTTATAAAATGAAATAATGTATAAAAAAAAAATAAATTATCATTCTCATTTTATTTAAAATTAAGGATTGAAAAATGATAATTTAAAGACTAACATTCATTAATCATTATTGTAATAGCAATTTTTATTTAACTACATAAAATGTTTGACCATTTTCATTGAAGTTATTTAAGGAATTCCCATTATTCATTTAAACATATTTTTAGTGTCAGTTAAAAGAAAACATTTGTTTTAATTTTAGTGCTTAGTAGTGAGTATACTATAATGATTGTACTTTTATACAATTTAATCATTGATTACTAAAAAATATTTAAAATATTTTTTATTATCTGTTAAAAAAAATAAAAGTAAAAAAGTAGCTAAAAGCATTGCAACTATATTGATACGATATTTTTTTTTTAGGTTGAGCCATAATCTGAGAAATGACATATGTAAGTAACTAGTATAATTCTTGTATAAATAACATGTTTTTGTGTAATAATTCCAAATGTTACAATTACAGAATGCTGATCCTTAATATATTATCACTCACTTATTCATACTTTACATACTGGTATTGATTGTTTAGAGTTATAATTAAATTATAGTATTTAATATAGAACTAATATTATAAAAAATTTATTATCCATGAGTTTTTTTAAATCAAGTTTTAACAGTTTTCTATGTAATAAATTTCAAGCAATTAAGTTTCCATTAAAATGTATTTTCACCTACTATTTTTAATAATTTCCTTTATAATAATGTTAAATTGACGATATATCATAATGTATTTATGAATTTTATTATAATACACATATTCATTTAATTATGCATTGATTTTTTGACTCCTATTAAAGTAAGTTTATTTTAAAATTTGAAATTGTATAAAATGTTCAAACATGTTTTATGCGTAGTAAGAATAAGATATCAAACAAGTACGCTGACCTATCTCAAGTAAACTTCATGACGAATTCAAATATAGTATTCAGATTATTTAACGGATCACAGGTTCAGCCGAACAAAAATTGTACTATTATATTAACTAAAATGGCTTTTACTCATAGACAAAATTATTTAAATTAAAAATAATACCATGAAGTTTACACAAATTAACCGGTAAATTAATTGACATTTTCGAAATGTATTAAAACCACATTTTTCTTAAATATTGCCTATACAAAACTCCTTAAAGATGGTCGGTAGGTTATAGCCCAAGCCAAATGATTATTGGAAATTGTTGGAAATTGATTATAGGAATTGATCTGGTGGCATTGTTTATTATGAAAAAAATAATTTTATTTTAAATATGCCGGAGTTCATATTGATTTTTTTGTAAAAACATTAGTTTAAATACAAAAGTGTAAGAAAGCTTTTTAATAGGAAATTGTGTCATAAACATTTTTTGTTTGAAACCTTTTTTAATATTTGCAATAATGTTTAAGTTATTGACAAAAGCTCAACATTTTGAACTTTCCGGAGCTTATAAAAAAAAGCTCCAGTCCGATCAATGGGGACTTTTAGTATACTGAAATACATATATCATAAAACTTTAAAAGAAAAAAATGTTGGTTGGAAATTTTTCTTTTATTGACTGGCCTAATTTTGTGTTACCAGAGCTAAGAATCTAGACAATGCCAAAATTTAGCACACTTCAACGGATTATATAACTTTTTTTAACAGAGAAAGTCATTAAATTTATCCAGAAGCTAAAAATTAAATTATTAATTAATTTTTTTATGGTTTAAATGTGATGACATCAGGCATGTTAATAATTTTAAGTAACAATATTTACACTCTAAACAACGCCGTTTTATGAATATTGCCTAATCAAATCGCCGTGAAATCGTTATGTTTTATATTACATTATATGCAAACGGTAAAAATTTAATACCTTATTAGTTATTAGTCACGGGCACAGAATAAAAAAATCTTCAAAAACAGCTATTGCAATTCTATGTTAAAATTGAATTTATTCATAGTTTACCCTTAAAGGATCGGTCAAACAGAAAGCGGACTGTCCGCGCGGACATGTCCGTCCAACTAGTCCGCTGGTCCGCTGCGGACTAGGATAGTCAGACAGAATGCGGACAAGTTTGAGCGAACCAGTGTGAAAATTGTCACAACCAAGAGTGTACTGCTGGTTGTTTTTTATTTTTCACTTTTTTATCTCACGTTTTCTGTTTTCATTTTATTTTACAAAATGTCTAGCAGTTCTTCTGACAAAGAAGAATTGCTTCTTCTGCTTGCCTTGAGTCAAGCAAGACGAAAAAAATTAATATGGGTACATGAACTAAATCAAAAAAGAAAATAATTTGGGGAGTTTCACCGACTATGCTGTATTCTCAACGTTCAAACTAGAACTGAACTAAATTGAGTTCAATAATTTAAGAGGTCATGTTTTTATGAATTGTTTTAAGCCAGATTTTAAACACTAAAATATTAGCCAGAAACTTGATGTTTTAATATACTAACCACCTTAGATATTAGCTTGTTACTGCTTGTTAATATACTATATCATTCTATATATCATACTATATCTATCTATGATTATCTACATTCCACCACTACTTTAAATTAATTTGGTACTTCAACGAGACATGAAAATGCTCGTTCGTAGTTGCAGACTCGGCGGAAAAATTTTATTCAATTTTACATTTTTGTGAAGTGTTGATACCAGTCTTTTGCCGAATCTGTCCATTTTTCAGTGGATGCCGCGTATCATACAAATAAACGCATTCTCCAACTAGATCAATCAATCGATCATTTTCAGTGCACAATTTTAAAATGAAAAAAAATTTTAAAATTAAGTACAATATGTTGTCGTCAATATTGTTTGTATATATTATGTTCGATAATTACATAATAATAATATTCTAGAAGTGCTGATACGTGTGGAAAATCCAGTGTATTGTCTATATTAAATATTTTTCATTTTACAAAATTATTCCAGTCCGCCGCGAACTTTGTGAAAAAATACAACTGTCCGTTATCCGCTGTATGTTTAACCAGAATGATGCATTTAAATAAAGTACAGAGTCCGCGGCGGACCGGCGACCTGTCCGCACGGACAGTCCGCTTTCTGTTTGACCGATCCTTAACGATGACATTATTTTTAAACATCTCGGAAGTTGCAGCAAACACCACTCAACGTGAAATTTAATTTTTCCTCAATTATTTAGCCTAATTGAGTTACTAAAAAAAAAGTACCTAAAATATTACATAAGTTGGAACGTTAGAATTTTATTCTGAAAATACAAATGACAAATACAAATTATTATTAGAGATAAGTGATCATTTTTTTCCTAGGGGGGCGGGAAAGGTCAAGTGAATTTTTTTGAGGGGCAACCACAATAGTTTTACTTACTTCTGTCAATAAAAAACAATTATAATGATTTATCAGTGAAATAGTAAAAATATAAAATATGAATTTATTACATATTAAGGTACAATATATACTACCTAGTGCACAATTTAAGTAAGGCGACTTTTTTGAATAAACGTTATTTTTACCTGTCGGCCATCGATTAGTTCTTATTGTACTCTATGAAAGTCGAAGTAAAAAATGAAGGCTTATAAAACGCCCAACAACCAGTCAGTGGAGATATATATGTATATATTTTTTTTTTGTTTATGAATTTTTAAAAAATAGGTCATGTCTTGTTTTCAACTAAGAGTTTGGATAGTACAAATAATAAAACTGTTGTTGTGGTTTTTTTAAATAAATAATATTTCAGTAGAAAATTTCACTGCATACGTTACGTCGCTTTAAGTCGTACTCGAACCGTACAAGCCGTATCATTTATATAAAAGTATAATTTTTACCTACCTATTAGCAATAGCAGATTTTAATGATGGCATCCAAAGGAAGTTTTATCAGAATAGTAGTTTTGATATTTATTGTTTTAGTAATAATTACAGGTAATTTATTATATTACAAATATATTATTGTCAATAATGTAATAAAACCCATTTTTTTAATATTCATAATTTTTAGTCTAATACGTATTTGTTATAATATAATTTTGATAATTGTTATAGTAAAAATATACATTACTTAAATAATTCAAGCTTTTGGTGTCAAACTAAGGTCCTTAGTTTAAACGAGTCATAATTATTTACATTTGCTTTATTCTGTCGCCGTAGAAATAAAGTATCCTAAATGTTTGTCAATACTTTATGTATCCTTGGTAAGATTGGTCCTCAATTTGGTTCAGTTTTTTGGAACCCTTTTCAAGTCAGTCTCAAAATTAAATTTAAAAGTACAAAGGTGATCCTGCGCATAATTGCTTATAAAATTGGTATGTCTAGTAGGATAATGGTGAGGTAGCTGTTAAACTTAATATTCCAACGTTAAAATCAAGACGTTAATTAGCTGTTAGGATATTTGTTTATAAAATACTAAATAATATGGTTTAAATAGTAGATAACTAAAAAAAAAAAATAACTAGAAGTTAACTATTGATAAATGTGGGCAGTAAATATATTAAGGCCAGGTATTATACGACTACTAAAACATAAAACAAAAAACTTTATAGAATATATATATATATATATATATTTATTAGAGATAAGAGATTAAAATATACTGGTAAATAATTTTTAATGTTCTGGCTAATTAGTTTTTGTTGCTCATTCAGTATATTATATACTTTAACGCAATCATAGTTGACATATACATGTGCCTATATGTCCGCTTGTAGTGTGCATATTCGATGTTGTTCTGTCTTAGTTGTATCTGTTAACTCATTATATCCTTCAAGGGTGTATCATAATAAAATAAAAAAATTACAATTGTGTTGGTTGTTATCGTAAAATTATAATGTTTATTTTTTTTTTATATTTCAGTCATAAATGGAAAACCTTCAGGTGAGTGTAGGTTATACATTTTGTTTGAACCGATACGAGTTACTTGACAACTTTCCTGTGTTGTTAGTCTTGAATTAATTCTATATTATTTTATTTAAAATAAGTAGCTAGATTATTGTATTACTTCGACAAAAACCTAACAGTGAAAAAGGACCAAGTTCTAGACAGTGTAATGTGTCACCATGTGGCAGAGCTGTAACCATCATAAAAGCAAATACAATTATTCCCTTGTTATTAGAAAATTAAAATAATCACCAATAGTTAACATAGGAACTATATTAACCGGATAAAATTATTAAATATAACTACGAAACTTGTGAAAAACTAGACTCGGCAGTAATACATGCTAATAAAATAAAGCAACTGCAAAATAATGTTTATTTTTATTTTTTTTATGATCATTTAGGTACTTGATTTTAATTTTAATTAGTTTAGTTATTTTTATATATGTCTGATTTGATGTGTGAAAAACGCAGTTTTTGTTACACAATCCACAAGCAGATTAATTTTATTATTTTATTAAGTTAAAACAAACGTTGCGCTGTCTGATATTTATGATTAGCTTAAAACCTTTATTCTATGATTTTTTTACTTTTTTATGCAGGTGATAAAAAGGACCAAAACAATAACAATACACAAAGTATTTATACTGATTACTGACACATCTCTTTAGATTTGCACTAAAAACTATATTTTGCTTATATTAATTATTTACATTACTGTGTCCAAGATTAAATTCAATGGTTATTATAAATTTGTTATTATTTTAGAAACAGTACAACGTCGTCATCCCGGTATGCATACTTTTAAGTATACATATTTCTTTTGCATTTTTTACAATACATAATATTTCCAATAGGTACCTAAGTTTTTAAAACAAACCATACAAGTATAGAACTTTAAGAAAGTGATTTTTTTTTGTAGTCGTTCTCGTTTTCAGCTAAAACTAATTAGCCGTTTTCTCGTGAGCTTAAATTTTTATTAACTATAGTATAAATTACGTTTTTTTTTTAATAATGTTCGGATATTTTGATAAGGAATGCATTGAGTAGGACAGACTTGAACAAATGTGTAAGCCTAACTTGATATTACTGATATAAATGTTTTTTTTTTCAGAAGTCGTTGACATAAAAGGTTATTACAATTTATTTTTAATTATCTTTTTAATTAATTTTCATCACTATACAATGTATCAATGTAAAAAACCTAATAAAAAACTCTTAGTGAATTTAAAAGTTGAACATTTCTCTTAGAACAGGATACCAATTTATAAATATACACACACACACACATAACTATATATATGCTTAACTGGGAGTATACTAAAATGATTTCATTTTTATCGAACTAAATTATTCATTTAAAAAAAAGTATTAAAAATGTCATGATATTTGGAGGTTAAAATTATTAGTTATTATTGTAATAGCATTTTTAATTGAACTACATAAAACGTCTGAGCATTGTGGTTAGTTGGAGAATCACATATTTTAAATTTAACATATTTATTATTACTGCAGTTATGATAAACACATTGATATTTTTTTATTTTAGAATGTGACGGTTGTACAGGTAATAAAAAGTATTTTAAATTATGTTTATTTTTATTTAGTAATATTATAAATCTACATCATTGGTTTAAAACCGAAAACATACTAAAATGATCTTACTTTTATCAAATAAAGTCGTTTATATTTAAAAAATATTAATAGTCTCGTGTGATTAAATTTTTAAAAACGATTAATTATTATTATAAAAGTATTTTTATTGAACTGCATAAAGTGTCTGAGCATTGTCTTTTGGTGGGATTTTACATTGTTTACTTAAAAATATGGTTTTGTGTCAGTTAACAAAAAAGTAGCTAAAAGCATTAAAACCATATTAATTAATACAATATTTTTTTTTAGCCTGCTGCATATCGTAAAAGTCGTCAGACTTGAGGAATGAATCACTATAATTCTGGTACAATTAATACCAATTTCAAAAAATAATGATTATTTTATGCATACTAAACATATTTATATTGATTGTTTATAGTTATAATTATGTTATTAGTGTAATTATTTAGTGATACGATAATAAGTTGTGTTATAAAAAATATATTATGCATGATTTATTTTAAATCAAGTTTTAACACTTTTCTTATGTAATACATTTAAAGTGATTAAGTTTTCATTAAAATGTATTTTCACTTAAAATTATAAGTAATTTCCTTGGTTATAATATTTAATTTATGACATAACATAATGTTTTAATGAATATTATTATACTACATATATTCATTTAATTATACTTTGATTTATTGATTCCTACTAAAACATACACAGAACAAAATAGAAATGTGCAAGTATATAGGTTTAAAGAAACCGGATATAGTATTCTGATGGATCAGGCTTAACTAACTATTTGATCTAGTAAAATAAAAACCAATTAAAAACATTTCAAAATTAAGTTACACCTATATAAAATTATACTGTTCCTGGAAGTAATTATTACTATCGACCCAAATGGCATAACTTAACTCAGTTAAGCTATTAGACAATCTAACAATTATTCGTTTTAATCATTGTTTAGTAGTTAAGACAAACAATGTAAATTTTGGATTCTCAAAGTTTTCAATCCCTTTTTCTAAATTATTAATAACATAATTTACATTATGAGGAACAAATTCACTAATAAGTAATATTGCAGTCCCAATTACGTACAGCAACAATGGTGTTTTGAGGGCGAAAGGTAGGTTAATATAAATAACTAATTATGTAAATTTCAGAAGTATAATTTAAATTGGTAATAATGTGCGTACAAATTTACAAGAACTCATGGCATATATTAAATATTGTATTTATGCATGATTAAAAAAATATATTACTATATAATAATTTATACAAAAAAACTATTTTTTCTTTATTATAATAGTTATACTTTAAGTTCAATAATGTAAATAAAAATTGTATAAAATAAAGGAAAAAGTGTATTGGCCGCCCAGTTTTGAACCGGTGTGTCATGTGTCAGGGCACCATTTTCGATCGAATGAACTACATACTACTCAATTTGCTGGCTACCATTTATGAGCGGCTAGCTTTTAACACGGCTTGGACTATCTATGTATATTTAATCAATGCTTTGAAGAATGTAGATAGTATAACCCACAGATATATATTACAAAAATTATAAATGAAGCAGAAATGTATTTTTTAATATTAACTGAAAATTTGGAACGTTGAAATATTAAAAAATTACTTATTTTCGTAACAAAATGTTTTCGTTAGATAAAAATATTTTTGCAAATTTATCATGTAATGAGTCTTTGCTTGATAGACCTCACAAAATGTTATTAATCTCACTATTAGTGAAGCACTGTTTAAGTATAAGGCTCCATTCATTTGGAAAAATGTTCTCAACTGAAGTTTTGAATCCTGTTAGTAACGGGCAAAAATTAACTAAAGATTCTTTTTATGAACCAAAAAATGTTTTTATATTATTTGTAACAAAAATTTTTAATTATTCAAATTTGTATTATTCCAATGTTTTTTTAATTTATACTTATACATCATTTGTAATATTCACACATTTTAATTACCAAAAATTCTTTTTTTATGTTAGTTGTTTCAATTTATATTTTTAATCGTTAAATAAATTAAGTTTTTGTTTGGAATTTATATTTTGGTTAAAAAAAAAATATTCAAGTCAAAACTTTGGTACATAGGTAATACACGAGCGAAACTTTTGCGAGTTTTTTACATTAAAAACGTACCTATTATAGTAAGTCGATTGACAATTATACTGAATTTAAAATTAATTTTACTATGATAATTATATAATTCTTCATTATCATTAATCATAATGTAAGCAATGGGCTCTTTGATAAGAAAAGTCGGCCATTTACCCGACCTCAACATTAATTCTTATCTAGTATATCTGTGAGTATAACTATAATATACATGTAGATAGTATAACCATGTTTATGGTACTATATGGTCATTATTGTTAACAATAAGTTTTATCATTTCTAGATACTAAAATGTGCAATTGTGGGAAATTATTCGTGTAATTACTAATTTTTAGTAAAAGTATATCTGTAAATGTTTGGCCATTTATTTGTAAATAAATTGTTATTTAATATGTTATACCTTTTTCATAATTACATATTTATTGAACCGTTGGTAAGTTTCGCCTATTCGAACATATTTTTATGTCCTAATGGTCCATTGTCTCCTACAACAGTAATACATTAATAAATACATTTTTTTTTATTATGTATTTAATTTTAGGTTTCGATATTATAGTCTTGCCAGCAACAATGCAATTATTTGCAACATTAGTTATAATATACATATAATGAATTTAACATGAGTTGGTTTGTACGAAGTAAAGGATTTGAGAAAATTGACGACTTTGATTTGTCAGCATGTTTTGACAGCTTTAATAAACATTGGCAACAAACTTTTGAAATAATCGATAGAATTCAAGTAAGAAAATAAAAATAAAAATTCATGTCAACCAAAATAATATTGTTTCTTCTGTTATATTTTATCTTTTACTAAATATTGTTGTACAATGATCAAATCTGCTCTTAAAACCCTCCGTTAGCCAATTAAATTTTGATCACACTTAAATATGTGTGACTGGTCTACAATTGTAGTCCAACCACCTAACAAAGGGTTAAATAAAATAGTAATGGTTGTTTAGAGTTAAGATTGAAATCTATTAACTCATTTCTTTCATAATATACCAATACAAGGAATATTGTTTATAATAATAAAATTATGATTGATGTACACAACAAAAGGGAGTAACTATACATATTGGTAAATTACATTTATATTGTACAACAAAAGGTAATTTTAGAATCTTGTTGACATTTCGTACAATTACTTTTTTTTTCATTCCCCTTAACTCTTTCCTAAGTTTAGTTGAATCCTTGTTCTCTTAATTTGGTGAAAAATAAACCAACAGAATTAGTTTCTTTGAATTTAGCGGTGAATTATGGCCGGCACTTTTGCTCTTATTAGAGCAAAAAAGCTATTAATTTTTCAATTGAAAATTATCGAGATAAAAAAAAATACGTTTATTGTTAATATGTGCAATCTGAAATTATACGACCATTATACAATTTAATTGTTGACTTACAAAAATAATGCTATTTTTTAAGTTAAAAATAGTTATTATTATTATTTAACCATTCAATTATCTTAACTATAAAAAGTACATTAGTACATTTAAGTTAGGATTGTGTGTTGTATACATTTGTCTTTATAAATATTGTATTTTATTTTACAATGCTTAGACTACCAAAGGAGTTATTAAATATGATGATATTTCTGCCGTTATAAACCACTTGAACCAGTTGATAAAACTTCTACTGCTCGATGTGCAGTCGGCAAAGTCGACCAGTCAATCGCCATGTTTAGAATACTTCTTGAAGAATCAACTAATGGGCAAATTATATTCATGGAGTATAAAAACTGAAAGGTAAGTGTTTCTGTGTTCAAAAATCTATTGTAAAAAAAAAAAAAAAAATTTGTGAAAGCTGAAGCTTCCAAGTCGTTTCCTATTGAGATGAGATTTGATATTGACCAATTATTAGGAAGCCTCCCCACTTACTATTGAAAATAATTCCTTTCCCCCAAACCTTTTTCCTATTGCAATATTTTGTTTTCCATCTTATTCTCTTATTATATATTAATAATAATAATGTAAAATGTTAATTTAAAAAACATTAAATAAATTCATATATTATTTATTTTGTTATTTGGTAACAGCTACTTATTCTATAGAACTAAAATTATTATTAATAAATTCATGTATTTTATCGCTGATATTGTTATAGCTATTCTCTTAGTCTTTTATCATAATTTAATAGTCTGTGATGTAATCTCAGTCAAAAAATAAGTTAGACAATTTAAAAAAATAAAAAAATTTCTCTACATTTTGGGAAATATAAATGACATTTTCAACTGTCGTTTAACAACTGCTCTCACTAAGTTATTTTTGTAAAAAAAAAAATACGGGTCCAGTGATTTTTAATGTAAATATTATATTTATTACTAATTTTTATATATTCTTGTATTTGAATAGGTATGAGCTCTGAATTGAATTTGAATAGGTTTGAATGGTTCTATTATGTTCCAGGTACAAAAACTATTTGAAATCTGAACAACTTAAAATCTACGGGATTTTATTGGCAGAATTCAGAGGTCATTGTGTGCTCTCCGATGATTCCATATTAAATCCCTTATTACTAATATTGAATTCTTATGACGGAGATTCCTTATCAGTGGCCAATGAAAAACATTTGGTAACAGTCTTGAGGCAGTTCTGTGTTGTACTTTCACATCACCCGAATATATTAAACAACGTCTTAAAAAAAAATATCAACAAAAACTCAAAGTAAGCCAATGCGCAATTTTTTCTTTAACAAACATAAATAATAAATACATTGTAACACATGTTTTTGTGCATAGATGTATAATTCTCTCATTGCTGATGTCATTTATTCATCGTGACGGTTCGATTGGCGAAGAAGCTCGTGATGCGTTGTTGATTTTTGTGTCGTTATCCCGCAACAATGAGACACTGGCTAATAATATTACATCCAAATCAAATGTTAGCCCAGTGTTGGCAACAGGCTTGAGTGCATTGTATTCAGTGCTACCGCGAAAATTGGATTTTGAAAACGATTGTTATAAATTAAGTCCAGAAAACATAGAAGATGTTCCCGAACTCCGTAACTTTTTAGCCTCGGTGGAATTGTGTAACGCTGTTGCCAAAATATGTCACCAAACTGTACAAGAGCAATTCTTGGATTATTTATATCATGGTTTTCTACTTCCTGTTGTTGGTCCAGCATTGATGCAGGTAATTATGATTTTACAATAAAACTGTACACTTGTCTAGACAAAAATCTTAGTTTGTAAAAAAGATAAAGTGAAAAAACTGTAAAATCTTTAAAGTTTTATAAATATATCAATGTAATTAGCATTGTGCTCATCAGACCAAACATTTAGTAATATCCGTGATATTATTTTATTTTTCCAAAAAATGTAAATAAGACTTCTGTCCAAGAAAGCTCAGCACCACAAAAAATAATATAAACCCCAGAATTTTATTTCTCTGAAAACACTTCCTTTGTAGTTGATGGTAAAAATAAATAAATAATTTTCCGCTCTTCTCAAAAACAAATGAAACCAATTTTTTAAATATTAGACATACAAATTTATGAGAAGTCAAATTCTTAAATTGAAATATTTAAGGTACAATAAATTTTAATAACTTTATTTTGACGTAACATTTGAATTAGTATTAGGTTCTTAATCTTATAATAAATAAATAAACGGAATACACAAATTATTTTATTTTCACCGTTATTTTAGGTTAATTATTAATTTTTAATAATTTGTGAGTCCTAAAAGCCAAGAGGTATAGGCAAATCATGTAAAATATATCCCTCGACTTTGGTTAGGCGCCTCGGTTAATATAATTATTTGGAAAAGTATTTTTTATCTGTCTAGGACTTTGAAAATAGTTGCAGTATCAATACTCATTTGCTTCGGGTAACTTAAAATTAGTAATGAGTTGAAGTTTTGCATGTGTATATGCATATTGTGATATATTGCGTGACCTAGTTCATTTGCATGGCACATTTTGAGTTTTACAACAAATCGTAAGGTTTTATTAAAGAAGAAAAAATAGATCAATGTATTTTAACTTGTTTACTTGTCTTCTATATCGGTCATTTTTACTAGCTAAAATTTTTTAAAAATACTGATGATAAAAATACTATTTAATTTAAATACGAAATACTTAATCAAATGTCAAAATACTGTATAATTAACTAACATTTTTATTTTATTTTATTACCGTGTACATTATACATATCTGGTTTGTTCCGTCACAACAAATAGTACTTACAGTAGACAATGAATGATGTTAAACATTATGCATGCATACGTTGTTGTCGACTTGGCACTACCTATTAAATAGTCCACGAATAACTAGCAGTAATGACCGAAGTGTTCGCTGAATATTCTGTCTCTATACCAATTTAACGAAAATATGTCGATATAAACCAACGTACTTGTAAAATGATCCTTGTATATATGTATTGTAAAAGTAGTTAACAACTTTTATTCAACATAAATTAGCTTTAGTTTTCATAGAAGTATTGTATATCTTTTTTAAAACATATTTACTTACAAATTTATTATTGTAGAATTTGTATTAGTATTTGATACTAGAATCTGCCATTTATTTGTATTTAGTAATTTAAAAAAAAAAAATTCAACTCAAATCATTCTGCCTGGCCTTTCTTGATTGTGATCGAATATTACTATTTTTTTTTTATTTCTGACAATTTTTGCTTTTAATTTAGTCTTACAACCTGTGTTAAAAAATATTATTAATATATTTAGGTGGCTGAAGAAGAAGTAGCTACAGCAACTGTGTATTTAGATCTACTACTGCGGAGTGTTACACATCCTGGACTATTACAAACATTTGTCAAGTTTGTTCTTTGCGAACGATTTGAGAAAATAAAAATAATTGAACTACTTATAAATCGAATTAATAACAAATCTCCAAAGGTACTATTACTATTTGTTTTATGTGCATGAATGACAACATAAATAAATCAAATAAATTGTATTGTTTTCATTGTACATAATATTTTTACTAGTAAAAATATTATTTAAGTGGAAATTGATAATGTTTACTTATTGTGCAGATATGTATTGCTACTCTTGCATTGATGGAAACAATTTTGGATTTAAACTGTGAAGATGTAATGTTGGAATTGGTATTGAAATATTTAGTACCATGTTTGCACATTATGCTTAGTCAGCGATCTCGAATAAGACAGATGGACGCCTACTGTAAATCAGCTGATATATTTTTGTCGTTAATACCAGATTTGTTCAAGTATGTTTTTGTACAAATTGTGTATTTGCCGATATTTGTGTAAATCTATATGAACATAACGTTTTTTTTATATTCAGGTATAAAAATGTAAGTTCTGAAATTCTATTTTCTGAATATCGCTCATATTTGAACTGCGCTCGCATAAGGATAGCCGAGTGCGCTCGAGAAACAAGCAACTGGACTTATTTGTATGACGGAGAAAATCCATCCCATACAATAGGTAAAACACTTATGAATATACCTACGTTTATTTTGAATTTTAAAGCGATAATTTTTCTTTTTATGTTTACAGTTGAAATCAAAACGACCGATATAGAAAATGACCAGAACAGTATTTTATCAGCCGATGACAGTTCAAGTGGTTATGAAAGCTTCAAAGCTTTAAAAGACATTGAAAAGTATTTGAATTTATTTTATAAATACTATTAAAAACACAGCGTTAAAATATTATTCATAGATTAGACTTTTTCCTTTAAAAATAATTTTCGTGGCATGACTGTGTAAAATAAATTGATTTCAAAAGTAATTAAAATTAGTTATAAAAATGAAGTCAACATAATTTAAAAACCTGCTTTTCTAGTTAATAGTCTTGTCTATTTTAATGTGGCTGTAATATTTGTTCTGTCCAAACGATCCCAGCTCGTAGATCTTGACTCTATCACGTGCCGGCCCATACTATTTAGTATATAGAATTGTGTTTTATTTGTAAACAAATTTTGTATTTTCCTTGTTTTTTTTTCTGTTATTTATAAAAACTTAATTATTGTTGTAGGATGTTGAGTACGGACGACTGTAGACCAACAGACGAAATGTTATCGAATACTTCTTCACCGTGCGGAAGTGACTCACCTACCTTTTTCTTACGGCAGTCTATGTATAAAACCAAAGAGCCATACTCTCAATACCCATATTTAGGTAAGAGTAATAGCTACTAGTAATTTATCGCCCGTGTTATTAATTTCAGTCTTACACTTTACGTATTCCACTTACCAACAGTTGAAAAAAATATTGTCTTGCTGCAATGTTTGTTTCCTTGCATTTATTTTTTTGTCCGTATTTCTTAATAAATTAACTTTTTTTTTCAGGTCCTTTTATTGAAGCATTGTTTTCAAAATTGGAAAACATGCCCGAACAGGACTTCAGAATAAATTTACGTTTAACGTCAGTTTTGACCCGTTTAGCGATATACAACAAACCGCTGATACAGTCATTGTTACTTAACCATTCTATGATTTTCCAACCATGCATACGTTCTTTGTTTCAAGTAAATAATTATTAATATTATTATTATTATTATTATTTACGAGAAGTAAAATCATTATCTTTTGTATATGTATCGCACCCCATCCGGCGACCGATCTAGGCTCGAATTGGGCCTACCTAAAAAATGTATAAAAGAACTATTCGAACGTGTTCCAGATACTAAGATCGTTGAAACAAAACATTGAAAACAAGCTAAATGGTAAAACCGAGAAAATGAAGGAGGCTGAATTATTTTTAGAAGAACGAGAAAACAAGCTTTGTACGAATACCCAAAACAGTCGGTCAAATATCAGCAAAAACGTTCAGTCATTCGCTCGTGGTAAATTAATGCCATTATGTTTTAACTTGACAGTTTATACTAATTTTTACATTGCTACCCATTTCTGAAACTTATATTTTGTGCATCGACGTCATTGATTGGTTATTTTACCTTTTAAAGAAAACGTATGCCGATCTTAGTTGCTGTGTAGTACGTTTGATAAAAACTGTGTCCCGTCTACTGAATTTGTACTACCGCAACAATATCAAATAAAATTTATTTAAAAAACGTCGAGCAGATAATAGTTTGTAGTTGTGTATTATAGTGAAAATATAATTTTTAGGCGAGACAAAACGTCGTAGTATTTCTGTTGCATTCGGGGCGATGTTTCGAAAAAATTCTACTCAAAAAGAAGCCGTCCTTGAATCGACTAGCAACGGAGGATATAGGTAAAAATTATTGTACATAAAAAATTATTTATATATGTGTTTTCTCAACACTAATATTAAATTATTCATTTTTTTTTTTTTTTTTTTTGTACAACCAAACAGGTATTATAAAGAAAATGACTCTGAATCGCTAGACTTGCCGATCAATGCGATAATTCTTACTGAATGGCTGAAAGAGTTATCTGCCATTTGCCAAGAACACGCAATTAGCGTATAGATTTAAATTTTAGATAAATTTAATGTTGTTTTTATATTTTATAAAGTGAACTCGATTGTTTTTTTTTTTCGTAACTTGCCGCCTAACTATATTTTTTTTTGGCAAATATTTTTGCTCAAAGTTATTGTTTTTATTGATCTGTGAATTATTTTTTAGATCTAAATTGTATTATAATGTTTTCACGGATTTTTTTGATTACTGTTAACTTTTTGTTATGTTGTTTACCTTAAAAAAAAAAATATTGGTGAACGATAACAAACAAAAATCAAATTCCGTCCATTTGCTAAAATAACAAATTTGTTTTTATGCTCCTAAGATATTATGCTTTGTTGTTATATTAATGCCACACACCAACTTGTTGATACTGCTAACTTTATTTATTTGTAGTTGTACTTAACTAATATTGCTCTTCCGTTTGATAATATTATATCATAATATGTTCCTCCTTGTATGTGTTACCAACAATTAGTGTATTTGGTTCATAGCATGTAGTATGTTAATAAGTAATAACTTAAATAATATTATTTTGTTTAATTGAAAAATTTAAAGATTGTTATAACAATTTTTATAATTTTATATTGATGAAACGTTTTTTATAAAAATGTACACATTTATTATGGTTTCACCTACGCAATGTGACTGTCACAAATAATTGTTATTAAATATAAAATAAGTACTAACGTAATATAATACAAAACCATATATATAACTGTTGGTTTTATTATAAATAAAAATAACTAATATGTTAAAAATTGTTAACTAGTTTAATAGATAGTCGGGCATAGTATTTTTTTAATTTTAAGTGTAACGGTAAAACTCTTAATGAATTTAGATCTTTTACAGAGATTTTCTAAAAATTATTTCAATAATAACCGTTTTTTGATTTATACAAATGATTATTTTATTTATTCTTTTAGTTACCCAGTTTATTATTACTTCTTACTCTCTCATTGAGAGACATTTTGTATTGTATTGTTATATCATGCCATTTAGCTGTTATTTAATAAATATATGTAATCTCTAATATCTATTGGATATTTTTATTTTTGCTTATCTATTATGATGTAGTAACGACGATTACAAGCATAAAATAGAAAATGTGTCAGATTAGTATTGTATAATAACCGTTTAATTATCAACTAAAAATATATAATGTGTTTCGTATAAAAAAATAAAATAATAATAGTATATCTCAATTTAACTAAATATTGAACATATAATGTTTAATAAAAAAAAACATAAATATATTTATTATATAATATAAAGCAGAAAAACCACATATAGGTACAATTTAGCGTGCTAAAAGTGCGGATTCGGGTAGCGTCTTAAAGGCGTTCGGTGAATTAAACTTGGGGCCCAAGTATCTGGGTATGGACGATCGACGCTGTGAAGGCGACTGCACCCGGCTGTTGTTGGGTGGAGCCGGAGACGGTGTCCGGGTAGTAGGCGATGAATTTCTTACAGCCGGACGGCCCGGCGTCTGACACGGGTCGTGCCGGATTAAGAAATTCTCCAGAGTGTCCCATCCGCCTCCGACGCGTACCATCATGTGAGTTCCTTTGAGTAACTAAAACAAAAAATGTTTAACAAAATTAATATACAGGGTATAATTTAAAGTTCTACCGAGCTTCAAATGAGACGTTCAGGATGCATTTAATATAAAATAATTTCAAAGACACCGCTGAATTGAGAATAAAATCCTAACCCAAAATGATGTGTCACATGTCATATGGTGGTTTTGGTCACATGCCGGCCACTCGGTGGACGCAAGTGAGGCCAGATACCAAAAAAATCATGTTACATATCAATTCGACAAGATTTTTTCTGCCGATTTCAAATCTGAAATTATTTTTTTCGTAAAACAATTTTTCAACGAGATACGAGTTCTATTTTAAATAATTTTTTAATTAAAAAAAAAAAAAATGAATACCATTTTTTGTACCCATAAAGCACATCCTGAATGTCTCGGCAAAAGACATTACATTACACCCTGTACATACAGTAGGCAAGTATTATTATATACTATGTTACCCTTATGAAAACGTTTCGGCCGTGTACGCTGTAACGGCCTTCGCCGATTTTCTTCAACTTGAGCTTTTTGCCTCCTTCACAACGACAATAGGTCAGGGCCAGTCGGCTGGCTTGTTTCACCTTTCAGGGGGCAAAAATACAATTTGTTGTAATGTAAAAAAAAAAACGCAAGTATAGCCTATTGCTGTGTTAAACAAAAATGTCTATTTGTACTTTGAAATCGAGTTCGCTTAGGTTGTTGTTATTGCCGCCGTCGATGGTGTAGTAGTCTTCGTCGGTGGTGTCCGATTCGGATCTCAACGTGGCCATGGAAGCAGCTCCCAGACTCTCGGTTCTTCTTAGCTTGTTCATCGACTTGATAGCCATCGGTATGGCGCTCGTGGAGCTTCTGGATTGTAGAAAAATACAATAACACCATTCAAAAATGTCCAATATAATTGATGTGCAAAAAGTATTAGTATGTATACTGTGTATGAGTCATTGTACAAGTGTATTATGCAATATGGACTAATAAAGTATGGGGTGGATGTGCAGATAATGCAATAAAACCACTATAAGTGCAACAGAACCTAACTGTTAGAACATGACGTATAAATAAAAAAGGAAATACTCGGATCTACATCATTAAACTACAAATCTTTTAAAGTACTGCCCCAGTTAGGGATCTGTATAAGTTATCTGCTATTATATTGTGGTCTCCAACACTCATACTTTATCTAAACCAGTTAATAAAAGAGATTTTATAGCATATGACACTACTGTGCGATACACGAATAAAGAATTTGGCAAGAAATTTGTAGATTACCTAGGTCCGATTTTTTACAACTCGTTACCATTGGATTTAAAAAAAAAAAGTATTGTTGGAATTTAAAGTATTGTAAGTTTGTAGTTTATGTTAGCTTCGATGTGGAGCTGAGAAGGTATTGTTTTTACAATAATGTATTTTTTATTTTTATTTTTGTGTCTGGACCCACGATATCTCGTAAACCGCTGAACCGATTTCTTCGTGTAGCAACTCTATAGATCAGAAATAATACGTGGAAGGTACTTTAACGAGCCAAAAATTAAAAAAAGTCACCCCTTCCCCATCAAAATCGAGAAAAATACCCAAAAAATTTACAAATTTTTCAACTTAAAACTACGATGCTCTAGAACTTTTTTAAAAATAGTCGAAAATGTTCCAAATTTATATGAATTGTTCTTCAAACATAGTACTATCGATAAACATTAACAAACAAAAAAAATATCACAAACCCTTTCCCTTAGAAGGGATAGAATTTTTTTCTTTATTTCACTTTTTCAAGCAAAGTTTTAGAGATTTAGATGTAAAAATTAGACCGAAGGTAGATCTAAAATGGAACTATAACATATACAATTTTCTCGAAAATCTGTAGTCAAATTTTTTTTTATTAAGGAAAAAACCCAAAAATAGGGTAAATTTACACTTTGGCCGTAGTCAGTTTCTAGGTTGCTATGTGTGAGTGAATCAACAGTCGACAGGTAATGAAAATATTTTCATGACAGTACATTTTTATAGACAGACGATCTACCCTTATCGTATCCACCCTGCACAAGACTAAGTATTAAATGTTAAGTACATTATTGCTGGTCCCACGATATCTTCTAAACCGCTAAAACTGCGGTTTGAACATACTATTCACAGATTCGCGTCGAAGCGTTTATTTAAAAGTGATTTTATCACTTTCAGTTGTGTAATAAAATATGTAGACCTGTGACCTCTCCGTCCCCACTATGCCCCGACCCCACCGTACTGGCTTTTTTTTATTTTGTACTTGTCACATCTTAGTTATATTTTTCAAAAATTAGTTTTTCGACTACCTGTGGTGTTTAACGTTCTGCGCTGAACTTGGACGGTTGGTTTGGCTGCTGTCGTTGGCGGCAATGTGCTGCTGTACTCTGGCTTCTTCGGCGTCGATTTCCTTTTCCATCTGCACCAGGCCGGGTGGTTCTAGGCCGAAACGCGATGCCAACCGGGACACTTCCATTAAACACAAAACGACATTCCGCGGTTTGTTTTGCAAAACTAAAAATACATAAGAAAAAAATCTTTAGCACCCCTATATATATATATATGTTAATTAACTGAACAATAATCGTGCGCCACTCACGCAGGTGGTTCTTTAAAAGTCGGGTTTCGAATTTTAACCTCGACGCCCCCGAATAATATAAAATACAAATATTTTGCCATATTTTTCAATAGTTAGAAAATGTTTACCCTTTCGTTGCTTGTACGTAAAATAAGTATGGACTTTCTTAAAATGGAAACCTATGTTTTGTTATTACATAAATATGTAGACAAATATATATATATATATATATATATTTTGGTTTAAAATTTGAATTTTCATCAATCTATTCGTTTGCTATGATGACATTGTAAAGATTAAGATCAATATATTCGTCGTTCGGTTTTTACAGCAGTAGCACACAAGTTTTCCATTAAATAAAAAATATATTGACTACTGACGATAACACTGTCATCGTCAATGTGTTTGAACAGGTAGATAAGGCCCGCTTGTCTATAATATTATCTCAAAACATTTCATTGTGTGTCTGTTTATTGATATGTTCTCGCCTATCGGGCAATGCGAACATAAAGAATATGAATTTGGAAAACTGAAGACACATGATGATAATTATGAGGGGAAAATATGTAATGTCTTGCAAACAAACAGATTGATCAAAAAGCGTTCGTTGATGTTGAACACAATTTTTACTTGTAATTCTCACTAGGTACTTACCAAAAATAATAATAATATTATTTTATTATTATTTAATATCGATCATGGATCGAATTATTTGTTTCATGTATATATTATATTATACTAACCTAAATCGTCGCTTTCGAATAACAAGTGTTGATGCACGCCCAAACGGCGACAAAATTGTATGAACTTTTCGGTGTTGTCTCTGGAGAAAAAACTTTGCCGCGCAGCCGACTCGAAACAACGGGAAGATATCGTTGGTAAATCCTAAAAGTCATAGAAAGCAACATTTCATAATCACAAATGTTATGTATATTAGAAACAGTTGAGCATTTTTAAAAATGTATTAAACATAGCTGGTGTATTCGGCGATCAATTTATTCAAAAGTCACAAGTATTAAGCTCTTGAAGAGCTTTAAAAATTGTTACGCATATCTCATTAGTCATTTTTGGTATAAATTGATAACATTTTTATAAAGATTAGTTTTTTTTTTATTTTGCCGGGACAATATAAAGCTCTAAATTCGATATTACACATAAATAATTATAGCCCGAGTTTAATTTGTCTCTAGATGTTTTTCCAGCGTTAGTTTGTGTCAAAAATGATATTGTACAAGGCCAACACAATAATTTGATTACTGTTTGTAGGACGACTTACGCCTTTGTAGTGTCCTGTGAGTATGCAATCCTGGGCGAAACACTCGATTGTCTTGGCCAAACGGCATAAGACAACGCCGTTGTCCAACATGTCTAAAAGGTTAGCCGCGCTCAACCAATCAATTCCTGAAAATTAAACCAAACAAAAAATTATAACCCATATAAAACCACAAGAAATGGCACAACCACAACCAATGTAAATTGGATTTTTTCGTTCAATCTGAATCTGGCATGAAATTTTTCTCCAGAGCTTGAATTTTTTTTTTTTAATTGCTTCAAAATGTAAGCATCAAAAAATATAATATATATTAGAATTTCCTTATTTTTTTTGCCGCCATATTTTCTATTTATTAAGAGATTCAGTAGACAATTTTTGTCAGAAAAAAAATTGGTATCAAAACCAAAACTCAAGTGTACTTATATTGCCTTTGTGGGTAGTTTTATGCAATTTTTATTCAGCTCTGTAATTGAACAAGTTTTTTTTAAATAATTTAATCCCAAAAAAAAAAAAATTTTAAACAATTAATACAAATTTAACTCCAAGAGATATGATCAAAAACCGACCACATCATATTATTATGGTGTATATTTTTTTCTGTATGTTTTCCAAAATTTTAATACTTTACTGCGACAAAATAAAAAAGTAGAATTGCTTTTAAAAATGACTAGTGTCGCGACAAAAAATAACGTCCATTAACGACACTACGTCTTGTTAGGCTTAAAATCCTTTTAAATTCTAAATTAATTTCGAGACCAGGTAACAATTTAGAAAAAATAGAGCAAGCACCAATCTTTGTTTTTTTTACAACTTCAGCAGCAATTTACAAACTAGACATGCTAGAGTAAATCTCAGGCCAGATTAGGTTTCAGCAAAAGCAAAAATCAAGCAATGGTTGTTTTTCCAAAAAACAGGTCAAATTTTATTGTACAGTTATAAGTGTTATAACTTATAATATTATAGCTGTATTGATATAATACTTAATCAGTTCAAATAGTTTCTATAAATAACAGAAACAAAGTGATACTTATTACACAGTAAAAACTTATATAATGTACTACGGACCTAGTCCAACGTTTAATGTTTATCATTCGTCATTGCACCTAAAAAAACTTGTTTTATCCAATACCGAATAATTATAAATAATTGTTATTATCATTCAGTTCTAACTTCTAATTGTATTTGTATTGATTAAATAAAGCCATAGCTAAATTGACAGGTTTCAATCGATTATCAACAGTCACGTAGTTATATAACAAAACCAATCATAATATTTGTTATCTCTTTTAAAAGTATACAGTTCACTTTTAAATTAAATGTAGGTAACTGTTTGACTATATTTGAGTATTGACTAGATGGTAGAATTGAAAAAAAATTCACAAAGAAATCTATACATACAAGCTATATCTCTACAAATTAATTACATACTATTATTCATTCATCAGGATTCCGTGAACTACTAATAAAACGATAATATAGTTGTTATGTACCTATTGCAATTTGCATAGTATGTATTTGTTATATAACACGTGAAATTTATTTTAAATACAATCAAACCTTTTTTTTTAATCAGACATTTAAGTACAAGCAGTCCTTTTTATTAGGATTATTTACAATTTTTACCTTTTGAAGTAATAAATAATATATTCTTATTTTGAATTTTTTAATTAAGGTACGCAGAAGTTTCGCCAAATACATTTTTAATATTTAAAATTTATCTCTTATAGATCACATGAATAATAAAAAGTTAGGTAGCTTACGTTTATTTTATTCATGCTAACAAAATATAAATATTGCTGGCCCAATAATAGTGCTATAAATAATTATGTAAAAAAATCGACGAAGGTACTTAAAGGGAGTGAGGCGGGTCTAAGGTCGTACCTCGGAAGTGTTTATTAAAAATTACCTATTTTGGTATACACTTAATTATTTAAAACGCAAGTGGACCACCTATTCCTATCCAAAGCCTTAAAGACAAACACCAGAAATCACAATTTCAAAACTACCGCTAGAGACAAGCTAACAACAAGGAACAGCTAGGAAAAAAAGAATTTTTTTTTTTCGAATTAAAATGTAAATTTTAATTGAACCGCTCATTTGAGAAAGGGCATAAGTAATGAATAATACCAAATTTCCAAAAACTCCATGGGCAATGGGCAATGGTACACAGCTATAAACTTTCAACTACCAGACAATATATTAGGTATTACCAAAATGGCAATATCTCATCATGTCGAAAGCCGTTCTTTCTCGAATGGATTTATTCAATCACTTTAATAGGCGCACTGGAATCATATAACCGAAGAGACAGACAAATAAAATTATATTATATTTTTTATATATTATTTTTTAAATAATACAAAACAATAATCATAAGCGGTTAAGGAATAATTGTCGGCTTTCTTCGGCAAACTATTAGGCTGGAAAATTGTCGTTAACCAAAAGGGTCAAAGGGAATGGATATTGTATTATGTTTTCATCAAGCATGCGCATACAACGGGTATTAGTCACTTATGACCTTGAATAAACGGTGGCGCCAGACTCGGTAAGGGATGCTGTGAGACTGGGTTAAAGCGTTATCGATTCCACCCTCTTTAATAGTGAACAAGTGTTTATATTTGCACCAGAACGAATAGCATAATATAGCATATACTATACCACCGTTTTTTTTTTCATTTCAATTGTACAACGGAATTGCCGTCGTTTTATAGATTTTGTTGAATATATCGAAGCAAAAAAAAAAAAACAACAACAACAAATATAACAATATTGTGTGTTGTCTATTGCCTGTGTATAATATGTACAGGTATAGCCAACATTTTGTAACAGAAAATAATAGTCGACCGCGGAGAGAAGGATAGACCGGGCGAAACCATCACCATAGACACACATTTTGTCACGGTTTAGTGTTGGTCTCTTTTTTATTATATATATATATAGGTATATAATTGTATGCGTAACATTGCGACTGACACGTTGGCATAACAGTTTGTTACACTCAGGTGGAGGTGGGCGACCACGTTATATTGGCGTACGGCCAATACATATAATTTAAATGTAACATTTACCAATAATAATAATACCAAATAGAACACAACAGTAGTTTCTGACTTTTTGGCAAGACCATTGATTTTGTCCGGTGAATATCAATAATAATTATGGTCAATGTCCACACTGTATAGTACCCGGGTAACGGCCAACGAACCTACCCTACCTAACAGTTGCATTTAACTCTCGGAGCGGGCACACATCAAATGAGCATGCGTAGTGCGTTCCATGTGATATAATATTATGTAATAATACATAAAGAGTGAAATAATAGTAGGGTTTTCGATTGTGCACATTTCAAATAAAATATAGTAATTAATTATTCGAAAAAGACAGTAGTTTTTTACTTAAATAATATAATGTTGTGTCTATATAAAACAGATATATGAATATAATAAAAATCGACAAGCTTTATAATTGGTGCAATAACGTCCATCATATCGTTATTCTTTGGTCCAATCGTTAACGAAAAACAGATATTAATATATATATTATATTCATATATAGGTAATTTGTGCGTGCAATATGAGTTAATGAAATTAAAAAATTGACCGCTCACATTGTTGCGTTAGCTCCAACTATATTTCAAACTTTAGGATAATTTATTTATAATACTGAAACTATATAGGTTATATATCATAATTTTTAGTTGGTGCAAACAGTTACGTGTAGTCTAAATTTATTTGTACGGGCTAAATTTCAAAATGTTATTATGGCCTCTCAATCCCTTAATGAAAAGGGCTCATTTTTATTGGTACTGTTGTATGTACTCTGCGATTTAAACACTCTGTTTACTTATGATATTTTGGAATAAACTAGACTTAAGAACGGGTATTAATGTATTATGATTTATGCGATTTTTATTTTATATATATATGTTGGGCCATTTTCTATAGAACTTTTAGGAAGAAAAAAATTATATTAAACAATTATCTAACGTTTTGTAAATAAATTGTTTTGAACAATATGAAAACGGTACAGGTATGTAATCTATTTTTTAGAAATCATAGTTATGATATATTGTTATTTACAGGACAAAGTACTGAACATTTTGAGTATATGTAATTTTGTTTTCCTTGTTAGACTAAAGTCATGCTAAAAGTAACAAAAATGGCGGAGTAGTAGTTCTAATATCTAAACAATCGTTTACTGTACTAACATAGACTATAGAGCTTAAAATATATTAATCAAAAACGTTGTCTTTTTAAAAAATGTAATTTTTGTTACGAAAGTAACTAACATATTTTAAAAAAGAGATTTATTTATGTGTGCAGCGCTTCTTGCGCACTCTTATATCAACTCTTATGTCGTTTTCACCAGTTTGGTTGTCATTTAGTTAAGTCAAACGTATAATTTAGTAATCCGAAACTACATTTAATTTTGCACAGATTATAACTTCGACGACGGTTGATGTTAAATTAAAAAAAAAAGGAGATTTTAAAATCGCGCGTGTACATATAATTAGCATGTACTTTTTTTAGTGTTTATTTGCACTTAAACTCTCCTTAACCGTTCAAACGTTAAACGCGCAGTTTTATGCAATTAACAGCGGTTAATAACTGCCTGAAAATACAAAATGTAATTGTTTGCGATTTGTTGTCAAACAAAAGGGAAACCCGTTTCGCATGTACGCGCTTTTGCTACAATGTCATTTTCTAGTAATGCGCGTTTATTTTGTAACAGTTCACGTTAAGTACATTCTGGATTTCTCGGTGGGTATACCTGAGCAATGAACGATACTTAACAGGTACCTACGTACACGGTAGGTATAGCGTGACACACGGCTTCGAAAAATATCGTCGTAGACCGCGAGACGGGTATTTTACATATTTATGGATTCCGTGTTGGTACCCAGTTGTGTACTCAAAGTAATGCCCAAAATGCATAATATATAATACAAAATATCTAATTATATTATATTATGTATTCTGTACCGACGGTGGCACGATCGAGCTGGCTCATGCGTGACTTTCGATCAGCCATAAAAGTTATACCGACTATCCCATTGAAATTTTATATGACATGCCATATTGTAGTTCAAGAAAAATATGCCTACTGAATTGGCTAAATTAAACGTCAAATTTCCTGATTGTTTACACTATTAACGTGCAAATAGCAAACCGTCGTAAATCACAAAACTAGACTTTTCAACAACACACATAATTTTTAAATGCTTTTTGTTGCAATGACACATTTATTAGTATTATAATACGCAAGTTAAATTCAATCGGCCATTGAAGACGAGTAGAAAAGATTAACACTTAAATCGGAGAGCTATCATCTCCATATCTCTTTATCACATTGTATATTATGGCAAATAGTAGTATAGTGCCTGTACAGAAGTATGCATATAGTTCAGGGTAATGGACTTTTGAGCATTTTACTTTTCTTAACAATAAAATATTGTACTTTTAAATTAATATTTATTTCTAACCTAACCTCTCGAAAGATTTCAGAAGTATTTTTTTACACTTTCTTCCCCATAACGAAGTACATTTTCCATGCCAAATCGAACCTCATTTGACTTTTTAAGTTTGGATTTCGTTGAATTTTTTTTTCCACTTAGTGTCCATAAAAAAAGTTTTACTAATTTTACACCTATCATTTTTAACGAGCTATAAGTTTTAAAAAATATGAGTAGTATTTATTCGTTTTTTTATCAACACAAAAATCGAATAATGAGGAAGGTAAAAATTTTCGTTTTTGTCAATTTTTTTTTGGGGGGGGGGTGTTATAGGTGTTGTAACACCCCCTCCTGGCTACGCGCCTGCCTGAACCGGTTAAACATATTATAATAAATTGATTGCCATTTTAAGCTTTTGTACCTACTCACCGAGAGATTTGTTTATCCAATCAGCTAGATCTTCTTGCAGAGGGAGTAGTTGCCGTTTTTGATAATCCGCTATTTTGCATTGGTATTGTTCCAAGTATTCCTGATCCGTATCGACCGAAGGGATTTTGTGATCGACAAGAATTCCCTTCGGTTTCGCGTCCATTTTCTTGTAGGATGAACGCGAAAGTGCCTCTGATCATAAATCTCTTTGCCGTATAGTCGATCTGTGTACAAAAAATTAAAAAAAACCGTCCGGTTATGTATTTTGTTTTGCAAATAACATTAACTTGTGCATAAAAATAAAACGACTAGATTATTTAATCAGAAATAGAATAAATAAAAAAAAATTGACAGCATTGCGGACAGTGCCGAGCGGGGAGAAGTCGTATAAAATAACATTTAACCATTCGATTTGTCGATACGATTTAATAAACGAAAGTCAACAAAATTGGCTTATTCTATATTAATAGCATATAATAGCTGTTATGAAACGCGATCAATACTAATCATAAGACAAGAGGCAAGAGCACTTATGATACTAACAGTCGCCCGTCATTAATTTTTTACATTAACTAAAAATTATTATATCAAAGTTCAAAGTATTAGCCGTTAATCCATTTAGACTGTCAATATTACAAGACGTGCTTGTTATCTGTATATTGATCAAGACTCGCGAGAGCTACATTGATACATTGTGTGTATAATAATAGGTAATCATATATCTATTAAAAATTACACTTCGTTTCACATAATGTGTTTTATAACTTATAAGACTTCTAGCAAGTACGTATAAGGATATGGACCGGAAACATATGGTATTTCACTAAGTTATGAAAATGTAGAGGTCATTGAAAGGATTCTTATATGTTAAACATAAATTATTTTCATAGTCTAACAAAACTACATAGAAGTTTTACAAAAATTAACGAAACATAAATTTAAACACTAATTAAAATTATTCACCGTACAATTATCATAAAATATTAAATAGCTATTATAATTTATAAGTATATGCAATAATAACAATTATACATTTTTTAATCCATTTGTATAGCTGATAAATATATATTATATTAAAGTATTATATAATAATAATATTACTATGAATATTAAAATTATTTTAAGTCTTACATCTAAAATGGACCATTAAGATGGCCGAATGATATACAACATGTGGTCGTAAAATGTTTAACATAATAAGAAATATAGAGACCCTAAAAAAACTTTTTTTTCTGTCCCGACAAAAACATCTGGATAACCTTTCTACTATCTATTGAATAGTGTTGTGTGTATGTTTTCAATATACGTGTATAAGAATAATTTATTATGGACATTATTAAATTATTTCTAATATTGTTTTATAATTTAAATAACATATTCTTTTACAATTAATGCTCCTGGTTAGTGTTAAATTACTTGCTAATTTGTATTCTTAATACCTACTGTTTTCTGTAAAGTTGTATAGCTGTACAATCAAAATTGTATAAATTATTTTTGTTTGGCGTAATATAAATTTAATAAAATCATTTAAATATTTATTTCAATATTTAACATATATAATAACAGTTAGAATAGTTGAAAACTGTCAAACAATTTAATATTTCCTACACTTATATTGCGTTAAAATAAAATCCTTGTTTACCAGATAGTAATTTCTGATTTTACAAACGAATGCAAATTTAATTTGTTGCAAAAATAAAAAAACAACATTGTACAAGTCACACTTTCTCAGCTTCGCATCGAAGCTAAATGCAAATTGTCGATCGACTACTCAATATAAGTTTATTTGATACGTGTATTACTTTTTTAAACCGTTCATGAAGATATCAAATTGGTCATTTATAACAACAAGAGCAGCAATAAACAACTTAAGGCATTCTCATTTCTCATATATCCGTTTAGTTAACTCCATGTTTTTAATTCATCATGATGCGGGCGGTTCTGTCAAGTGACCGTTTGACCCAGTTGTCATGGGCCGTAAACATTTTGGTGAAAATGAAAAAGCAAAAAGCGTTGTAAATTAGATGGTCTACTAAACCAAATAGACTTTAAATCCGAACATCTCGCAGATATTTTAAATTAATTATTTAATTATTTCAGATTAGATATGTACTACGCAGCCGCCTAACAGTTGTAGAATAAAAAAAAAAAGTTAAAAAAAACAAATCTTTGATAACCCCGTAACATAAATCGTTAACACTGTATATATATATATATATATATATATATATTCCCTATTGTTTTTGTACAATTTTGTTGTTAGTCATCCCCGAGATGTAGATAAGTCAATAGTCATTCTCCAATCTAAATTATAAGTAGGTGTATATTGTTCGTGTGACTCGATTTTCATGTTTTTTTTTCTTGGTTTAGCTAGTTTTTTTATATTGTTCATGCACTATTTGTTCGATGTTTGATTACTTTAGAAATTTGTTTTACTTTTGCCTACCAAACTGTCGCATTTTTCATTTCCGAATATGCATTGGAGTACAAAGACATAAAAACCATTTGTTTTTACACTTAGAAATCACTTCCTATAGTTGTGTTATTATTAAGAATGTGTTTACTTTGGATTTCAATAAAGAATAGAAGTTATAATGTGTTATAATTACTATTTTATAAGGTCTAGTATAATAAACAAATATGATATGAGCCTACAATAGTTTTAAGCATATTTAAATTTCAATTACATTACATAATGCTAAAACATAATTGGTGTAATGGGCGCATACAATATTATGTATATAATAAAATCATTAGGCCTTGTCGTTTTTACCTACTTTATTATTTTCACAGACCAACCATAAGGCCATAACCAAACAAACAAAAATTTCAACACGCGTTTATACCATGAAACAAAATCTAATTTCCGTTTAATTCCTAAGGTGCCTATATAAGGTAATGAATAAATAATGATTTAATATATGACTTGAGCATGATGTTGTGACACCCATTCCTTACCAAAACATCCCTTTAAATCATTAAAACTGTCACTAGAATAATACGACTGAAAACGTCAATAATTTATTGTTATATACAATAGTGAACAGTAAATTATACTCTGTACTCTTTAGAGAGAGTCGGAATAAAACAAATTAGATTACAATCAGGCGAATGAAGTGGAGCATTTAATTCGGAATGCCGACCATCAATAGTAGTTAACTGCCCAAAATATGTTGGCCAAATATTTTTAAATACTACTGAGTTACGACTTACGAGCATTCATGAGCATTCAATACATAATCTAACTGGTACAGTGTATAGATGTACTATAAAATAATATGTCCAGTAAGATGATTAATTGAAATCTAAGAAAAATATATTAAGGACGACTTGAAACCTCCAAAAAACCTTATCTGATAAAAAATAATTCATAAAATAAACACATAACTTTGTAATTTGTGTATTACCCCTTGTGTCTGTAATTAGTTGTATTTTGATTTGAAAATAATTTATCTATTTCCACTATATAATTACTAAACTTCTTAGATAGGATTTTACTCGTATACCTTTAAATTAGAAATGAATTTAAAGATCATTGGATTTCATTCACAACATTATTTTCAAATCCCGTAATTTACTAGAATGTCTACAATTCTTCTTAGTCACTTACTCATACATCTCTTCCATTACAAATTGTATTTTCCCTTAATAGCAATTATTGCTTCCTTTCCTATAAGCGCTAATAAAATTAATTTGTTTATGATATTTCATTTTTTGATGCACTCAATTCTCAAGTCAACATTATATTATTTTGTTTACCTTTAAAAAAAAAAAAAGTTACCAATTAAGTAATTTATCCAATTTCTCGAGGCTGGCTGTAGTAATGAAAACTATTATTTCATTTTAGTACATTTTTTTATTGATGGTGTAAAGGACTGCGGAATTTGTTGTTTTTAGACAATAATGTTTTAAATTTTGGAAATGACTAAAAATTACAACTATACAACAAAAATAAATATCAATACAACAATAATATTGTAGTCCGTGTTATGTCAATAATCAAAACAAAAAACATTTTCATACAACTACACGGAAGCATTGATTTGGTACCGGTTAATTTGAAATAGCGAATTCAAAGGTTGCGAAGAATGATTTTTACATAGTCATAATTTCTTTCGACTTCACTAGTTTTCTCTATGACGTAAAAGTGATTCTAATAGTAAAATATTCTAACTAGCCACAGATGATGATGCAATACACTATGCATAATTCCCACTTTTCCAAATCAATAACAATTTAAGTTGACAATTGAGTAATGAAAATACTATGGTATCTACAAGTAAACACCATTGCAAATATAACTCGTAGAAAGTGTCTACTAATCAATTTGTTTCGCTGAATCTATTTTTTATCAATGTCTATTAAGTATTTAGGTGTATATATATATATATATATATATATATATATATATATATATATATATATATATATATACACCTAAATAAAACTGTTCTGAACTAAAGAAAATCGGTTATTAGAGGGCGGATTGATAACATGGTAGGTATAATATACAACTCCCAAGATTTTCTAAACAACTTCCTGATTTTGACAAGGAAAAAAGTCGACCTACCTACATAACATAAATGATAAAACACAACATTCAACACTATATTATATTATAGTGTATAGTATATCTATTGGCATTTAGATTATTTTAAAATGTCAAATGAAACTTCTTTTTACAATCAGTTGCCTAAAATAATTTCTTTAAATATTAACATTCATTAGCTTTTTAATTTTAGCTGTCTCATAATATCCTTAATTTATTAATTTAAAAATAACGGTTATTTTTAAACTCGATTATGTACAGTAAAATTTAATATAGACTATAGTAATCGTCGAACACGATTGGAATGATAGGCATATATTATAATTCCCATTCAACATATGTTTGTTTTGATACTATTTACTAATTCATACACATTACAGTTAGATAGTAATTTATAAAGCTAAGGTTTGTAGGACATATAGAAGATAAGGTAAAAAGACAAATTGCCAATATGTGCCAATGGTATTTATTCCTCCGTTATTTCAGGACAATGTACAAGTTTCCTCTCTACTAAAACAAATAGATGTATAGTTATATAACAAAAAGATTCTAACAATTTACTTTATACACACAAATAAAACAATATATTACAGTAAAATGTTAACAAATATTTTTTAAGGCTTTGTTTGTTTTCATTCCTTTTTTTTTTGTGTGAAGCAAGTAAAACTAAAATCGGCTTAAGTTGCTTTGTCTCGTATCTATATAGGCTCGTTGTATGAATACCAATTATTATAATAATATTATTTCAGTATTTACATTTTACACAATAATATATTCCTTTTTTTTTTTTTGAGGGTTTTTTACGAAGAATCACGTGCACCGCGGTTGATTTTGTACATGTATTAAGATTAAAATAATTGAATTCTACAACATCAAGTGATTTTTTATTGTACAGTGCGGTAGTAGAAAATCACCCAACTTTACATAGCTCGTTTGTAAAATATATACCAGGAATAACCCTCTACATAATATGTATGTACCGGGAATATTGAATAAACCTAGACGTGGTAATTTTTTTTCTTATCTATAGGTAATACATTTTTACACACACGGACAAGTGCATGTATATACGATGCATGTATACGTCGATAATACACAAAAAAGTGTCACGTTTTTTAATATAACCCGAGGTTGTCGTATTATTTAATTGGAAGAGTATATGTATCGTTTGGTTTTTTGTGTGTGCGTCAAACATAATAGCTACTGTATCACGGTGTATATTATAGATATTCTCATTTTGAGCATGACGAACCAGCTGCTCTGTGGAACACATCCTTTTCACATTGTCAAATGGACCTCATCTTCTCTATACATACTCATTTACACACTTGCATTGTAACTATAGTTTGATTCATATAAAGCGTTCTATAGATTAGGTACCTCTACACACGATACCTACACATACATATAATACCAAAATGTCACGTCGCAGTGATTTTTTTTTCAAAAAACTGTATCGATGGAAATAAATAATTTTAATTTCTAACATAGTGTGATAAAACGTCTATGATGAAAGTGCATTATTTAAAATATATATATATACTTTATATGTACGGAATTCCACTTGATTTGCAAAAGATATGCTTAAAACCACACTCCTTAACAGTCTAGTAAGTAACCGAAAAATAGTTTCATGGTCTGATAGATTAACTAATTCAATGACTTCTACATGATTATTCCTATTTCCTATATTGATTTTATTGTAAAACTTAAATATGTGGTCGTGTTTTGCTTTGCATTTATAGTTAAATTAATTCAACACTATTTGTATTTAATCATACCAAAAAAAAAAAACTATATAGAAATGATTGTATTATTAAAATACATTTTATGGATTCATCATCAATTATAATATTCTAATTTGTAATACGATAATTATAAAAATCAGTTTATTTATTATTCTGAACTGATAAAATATAATAACAATATCATAGGTGTATAATTGTATGTAACAGCCGCCGTACCGATTTATAATATAAATCTAAAACATTATTTGACTCACTTAATTGAAATTGAATTTTCCATGTTGTTCGTTTTCGTGCTTATTGTAACTGAAGATTTAAAAATAGTTCCAGACATTATTAAATGTTTAGACCGACGACAACGTTCAGAACGAGACTCCTCCACACTCACGCGACTTTGGAAACTAAAATAAGGCGGTGGATTTTTGGCGGCTAAGGACCAGTCGAACGGCCGACCAAACAGTGTTGCCTCGTACCACATAAAATATACAATAACTACGATATTTTTGTACGGGTATTCTTCAAATCTTGCAAAATTAATTTAACCCATTTCCCGAAGTCGTAGAGGCCTGAAACTTGGCACAGACACCCGTCTCGGACGACAATACAATATCTTGTAATAATATTGGGACCCCCGGACACATCCAGATCACCCTACACAGGGTCATATGTGGGGGTAATTTCACTAAAATTGCATGTTTTATCAAATCGTCCAAAATTAATTTAGTAATCTATTCAACAATTATTAAGTACCTTTAATAATAGGACTAAAAAGTAAAAAAAAAAGCCAGTACAGTGGGGTCGGGGTATAGTGGGGACGAGAGGTCACAGGTCTATAGATTTTATTATAACTGAAAGTGATGAATCACTTTTAAATAAACGCTTCGATGCGAATCTGTGAATAGTATGTTCAAACCGCAGTTTTAGCGGTTTAGAAGATATCGTGGGACCAGCAAAAATGTACTTAAAATTTAATATTTAGTCTTGTGCAGGGTGGATACGATAAGGGTTGATCGCCTGTCTATAAAAATGTACTGTCATAGTTACCCATTTATCATAATTAACAATATAATGAAAAAAAATTCATTACCTGTCGACTGTTGATTCACTCACACATAGCAACCCAGAAACTGACTACGGCCAAAGTGTAAATTTACCCTATTTTTGGGTTTTTTCCTTAATAAAAAAAAATTTGACTACAGATTTTCGAGAAAATTGTATATGTTATAGTTCCATTTTAGATCTACCTTCGGTCTAATTTTCACATCTAAATCTCTAAAACTCTAAAAAAAATTCTATCCCTCCTAAGGGAAAGGGTTTAAGATATTTATTTGTTTGTTAATGTTTATCAATAGTACTATGTTTGAAGAACAATTCATAAAAATTTGGAACATTTTCGACTATTTTTAAAAAAGTTCTAGAGCATCGTAGTTTTAAGTTGAAAAATTTGTAAATTTTTTGGGTATTTTTCTCGATTTTGATGGGGAAGGGGTGACTTTTTTTTAATTTTTGGCCTTATAATGTACCTTCCAGGTATGATTTCTGATCTATAGAGTTGCTACACGAAGAAATTGGTTCAGCGGTTTACGAGATATCGTGAGTCCAGACACAAAAATAAAAGTTAAAAACACATCATTGTAAATACAATACCTTCTCAGCTCCGCACCGAAGCTAAAATAATACAATCTTTGCGTACACGTATTTCGGTAACAGTTTTGTCATCTTCAACGCTAACGGAGGTAAGTGTAAGATTTTTGTCTTATTTTATTTTTATTAAGTGTGAAAATTAAACACGTCCATTTGGATTTTTTATAATAATTTACAACAAATAATATAGTATGCAAAATAGAGATTATATTGAAAATGGTCATAAAAGTAATTTACAATACAATATTAATAATCATAATATATAACTTTACCCATTCCAGCCGTACACAAAAAGACTGTGGAAGAAAATTACCAAACAAGAAACAAATAACTAGCCCCGCGCTCTGGCGCCATATAGTGCAGCTTTTAAAGTGAAGGCGGCAATTATTGGCAACATGAGATCGACAAGACAGCCTCGGCTTTGACGCGGATTTTTTTAAACACAGCGGTCCAAAAACCCAAACGTGGTTGGCTATGATAGCTTTAGTTGCTGCTCTCAAAAAGGCAAACTATCGACCATAGTCAATAGCGTCATCCCGGGCATAATCGAGTCTCTGGGTGGGCGCGTTGTTAGTCGTCATATTTTGGCGCTCGCGGTCTAAATTTTTCGGCTGACCTGTACTCCGAGTACCAGCCGTAGGCTTCGTAAGCTGCCATACATGCGGCACTACCAAACGCGTTTTTCGCCATCGATCGAAGCCCTTTTCTTGCGGCCAGGATGCCGCCGGCCAGAGCGCTGCTTGTAATCGTGTTCCATGGGTCCTCTTTCTTCCTGATGCCGACCATTGTGCATTCAATGGCGGCATACAGGCCACCCCAAACAGCAAATGTTCCGCCCATGGCCGGAGCACGGGTGGTGGCCGATTGAAAAGCGCTCTGGAAATCAAATCCCGACTTATTAAAAATTGTCTGATTTGGTGGTTACTTGTGATTTTCACACTCACGTTGCAACGCCTTCTGAACCCGGCCGGCCCGTTTCGGAAACCCTCAACCGCCTGGAATATTCCTCCACCGATGAGGCCCAAGGCAAACCCATTGCCGATATCATCCATAACTCGCATTGGGCACGGTTCTCTGTCGTAGGCATCCATCGTTAATGATTCCGAAAAACAGTGCGACACGATACAAATCAAAATTATACCAACACACAAAAATACATTTGACAGTATTGTCGTTATGATGGTCACATAACCATAGTAAAATAATTCACATATAAACACAGTTTTGACATATTTATAATCTCACAAATAAAGGAAAATGTATATAAATAAAAAGAATCTCTTGACCTGCATTGTCAGAAGCCAAAATTCACGCGATTCGAATAAAGAGACATTATGGGAGTGACCGAGTGGGCTCTCGCTAGCCCCCCCCCCCTCCCCCAACAATTTTTTTTAGTCTGCCTATGGGCCTATATTATGTGAATTGTAGAAGTTTAATATTGGCGAGTTTTTATAAACAGTTAGTACCTCAGCGTCCGAATGCCGTGCAAAAAAAAACCTCTATAATCTGTATAATATATCTATTTAATAACCACAACAATATTCTCGATACTATCCGCCTGCTAATAATATTAGGCGCACATCAACTGTACCTTACATTTTGTGCATCTTGCATGAAATACGGGTTTTTTTATTACTAATTGGACAATTTTGCACATTAGTGCACAATACATCAATTGAAGTTCCTTCAATTAAAGAGGCTTAGTTTATTGAACTCCTTGGTGCATACTTGTGTAAGTATTAAACAACATATTTACGCTTGCCTACGAATTTCAAAATCAAAAATATTATCTTCATTCGGTGAATGACTCATAACTTTCAAAATAAGTAATATAACAGTGATCAATCATTAACTGTAGTCTTATAAAAACATATTTATCTATAAATATATATATATATATATAATAAATGGGTAGTGTATTTAAAGTATAATATAATTTTTCACCGTGTAACATTTTATAAATGGCAACTTTGGATATTTATATATATATATAAAAAAAACAATAAGTCGTTTAATAAAATAATTTTAAATTGTTTACATTGTTTTTTTTTCGAAATTATATAGGAACAAAATAATAATTACATCTTATAATTAATGCTTAGATTATTTTTTGATTGGGGTTGTTGATATCTCGGTCCATTTAAAAGAGGTTGAACAGTTATATTATTATTTTTAATGGAATTAGGAGTAGGTTCATTACTCTTCTCTTGTGTTGTTGAAAAATCTTGAAACCGTTGCGAAAGAGTAGAAGTAGTCGTGTATATTTGACCGCTAAACAAAACATTTCTCGAAGCTCGATTGACAAGTAAAAATGCAAAAGGCCTGTTTATATTGACAGTTACGGGAGGCAACGGTGGTATACTGCTTAAAGGTATTACAGAGGCCACTAAAACAAAAAAACATACTTTTAGAAATTAAAATTTAGACATCAAATCAAAAAGCTTAATAGTGCCAATAAAAAAACTGTACAAATCAAGGTTAAAACATATAGATTACGATAACGTTTTCAATAACCTATTTTTAAAGGATAGCTTATAATACGGGATTAATCCTAAAAAATGTAAAAGTGAAAGAAATTACCCCCCCCCCCCGTCGGCCGTCCAGGAGAAACGTATAAATCATGAATACGTTTTATGGCGTCCACCTACTCGTAATCTTGTTGGCCTTAACGTTATAGGCCAACAATAGGATAGATTTTGATCTTACTGAAAGTATTACTCAAATTTTGAACCGACTCCTAGATATAAAAACATATAAATATTGTCCAACTTAGTAGTTGTCCTAAAGTATACCCATGTACAAAAACGTTTACCATCTCACTCTCGGGAAACATGTATTCCACACCATAACTTCACAACATATGGGAAAGAGGATTAGACGGTCGAGATGATGCCACGCATGGATTCATTTTTTATAAATATTAATGCATCTGCTTTTAATATAATGTTTACAATACTATGATAACCATATCTCCCCTCCCCGCTCCACCACCCCAGAAATCATCTAGCGTGAGACACTGGACGTGTGCTTGGATATCAGTTAATACCTTTATTAAATACTTTAATATTCTACAACCAGTACAATAATTAATATTTCTAAATTGCAGAATTGTTTTCTCAAACGACTATCGAATGCAATACCTAAAGCATTATTATATTATGTTTGTACTCACTGTAATTTCAGTGCATAATATACATTAAAACTAGTTGCTTACCAGTGACTGCAGCGGCTTTGGCGCCTTTTTCGTTGATCTCGATCACAGCTTTATGTATGATATCTTTAACAGACACTTGCTTTTCAGAATTAAATATCGCTGTCAAATTGGCATTTTTTTCAAATAGTGTCGATAATCCCATCTAGTAATTAACGCGTTACACAGTTAATAGAAATATATTATAATAAATTATCTTAAGTGCTTTAGCTTTTATATGCAACATAATATTCATGTACAACACATGTTTAAAAATATTTTAATTATTAAATACAAAATAATTAGTGAAATAATGACAACTATCGTCATTTCATAATAGGTACATATCATTATAAAAATAGTTCTTCGAATTGTTTAGACTCTATACGCTATTAATGTTTGGCTAACTTACTTTTTTAAGAATAGATGATAATTTCGAGTAATAATTTATGGTAAAGCGAGGTAAATATAGATTAACTGTTCTTTTGTGAAGAGAATTCGATATTTTTACTAAAGGATTGTGTTGTAAATCTTTTATCAATTGTAATAAATTAGTGTTTTCGTCTGGCAATAATAAAACCATTGTAAAGTTTTCATCCTAAAATTAAAGTACAAAGCAATACATTAGCAGATACTTATCTAGTATAATACTAAACATTAATACATGTAACTTGTAATATTGATTGTAATATGTTTTTTCTAACCTTAAATGGCAATTCCACAACTTGAGCACCGATGTCGGAAATTTCGCCGTATTTTATGATATCTTGCAAGTACATCATACTTGCTTCGGTACACAAATTGGGTTTCGTGTAAAAGCATTGGATTTCAGTCAGGCTTTCGTTGAATTGAACTAACCAGTCTCCTTTGAAATAAAGTATATTTGCCAACAAAAGGTCTGTATCACCGGTGAAATCGTCTATTAGGTGGTTAAAGAAACAATATTATTTTCAGTAGTTACTTAACCGAACAATAAAATACGATGCGGCATAATACACTTTAGTAGTTTATACATTACACATTTATAATTGTATTTTTGAACACAAATTGTTAAAAAAAAAAAGCTAGTACAGCAGGGACGAAGTATATTGGAGCGGTGGTGTCGCATGTCTACAGGAATCATTATAAATGAAATAACTTTTAAGAGGCAAAAAAACGGTCTAGGGATGCTCTATAACACTTAAACCCTTTTATTCGTGCAATAAAATGCATTTTCGAAAAAATGTCAGTTAACACCTTTATGTCCATTGACCCCTTCAATTAAAAGTTGAAAAATATGTACACATTTTTGGTGTTTTTCACGAAAACAGTGAATTTTTGGCCCAAGACAGTACCTCTTTCAAGTACGATTTCTGATCTAAAGAATTGCTACATAAAGAAATCTATTCGTGCGCTTTAGAAGATAATATCATCGTGGATCCAAGCGCACAAAAATAAACAAATAAAAACATAATTTTAAAACAATACCCCGTCTCAGCTATGGTCCGTAGCTAAATAACTAAAAACTCCTATATCGATGTACACATTTAACATAAATATATTTATGTAAATATTTGGAGCAAAAAAAAAACGTACCTTTATTAATGATCGAGTTTATGAGCCCTTTAGTCGCGGATGATACTTGTTCGTTAATCAATTTAACCGACTCGTCGATATTCGTGACATTTATTTCAGCTATGTCGGCCGCATAAAGGTCGGTAGCGATATCAATGAAATTGCGGTTTACACTATTTTTGTTTCTAACAAACACTTTATTGGACGTCAGTATGTCCAATTTAGAACTCTTCATCGACAATTGATATCTGTGCAATAAATTATGCAATGCCGATTGTTCTTTGGGTAGCCGCAAAACGTTGTTTAGCTCTTTCCAGGTTTCCCCTTGAGCGCCTTCCGACAGTAACGACAATACTTCTTTCACGCTGGCTGGTGAAATCACAAAGTTGGATTCGGGTTCGGCCAAATTAACTTCCTAAACAACAATTTTGGCAAATTAATACTAAACATGTATTTATATAATATTATATTTATTCCTGAACCGCCGAATCCCAAATACTACTTTCCCGTCACAAACTAAATTACCAAAAAAAAAACGCTTTCAATCGAATAAGTTTCCTTTCGGTAAAACGATTTTAAAAAATCCAATAGCTACTTCAATATTAGTTTTTATTAGCCGTTATTACTTTGAATAATTCAAGATCAAAATAGTAAAATCGCTGCGAATCCGAATGACTATTGTCTGAACCGATTTTCGTATCGATGTCTTCAGATGTGGCTGAAATCATTGTAAATTGTATTTTTCATTATTTTTTTTTTACACTAGTCTACTTAAATTAGTTTTATGCACAACAATTACGTTTTACAACAGGTATAGTGACTACCGGAGAGCCTTTGGAGAGTGGATTGACTACCTGTCCGACGAAAACTATGGTATCCGTTGTGATGTCTTCTATCATAAATAAAAACGGCCGATTTACTTGAAATTCCGCCTCGACAGAAACGCCAAATCTATGATCTAAATCCACTTCTAACAATTATAAATGAAAAAAAAAATTATAATTTGTTTTACAACAAAAAATGTAATTTAAACACGTTATTATTGTATAGTATATAGTACATAACATGTGTTATAAGTATAACAAAAAATATTTTATACTTAGAACTCACCAGTTACAGCATACGCTGTACTTCCTTGTTCATTGACATCGAGTCCAGCCTTTTGGAGAACATTGGACACGACGAGATTACCCAAACGTCCGGCTCCAATGTTAGTTAAGTTGGCTTTTGACCCAAACATATCAGTAATTCCTAGCTTTAAAAGAAAACTGAATGTATACAACCAGTCGCATTCAATCGAAGATGATAAAACTAGTGGTGAGTTTAGAAGAAAATAAATTATATAACGAGGGTTGTAGTGGAACAAAACCCGATGGGAAAGAGACCGCTTGGAAAGCCGAGATTAAAATGAGAAGATTTTATTAAGAAAGACGTGGAAGCATTGGAAGAATGTATAGATGAAAAGAACAAGCAACAGATGATAGAAAAGGATGGAGGATAAAGTTTATGACGGGGTGGTCTTAATGGCCTTTGCCTAAAGTAGATGAATAATTTTGCGGCCCTTGCGAGTCATTTTAGGTAGAGAAATGCTACCCCCCCCCCCCCAAAAAAAAATTAATCAAATCTCCGCCTATGGCGAGGCTATAACCCTCTCCGTTCAAAGTTTTAGTAGAACTAGTCGTACCATCGATTATACTTGTAATTAAGTGATTTAAATTTTGATTAAATTTATCACATAGATTATATTATTCTTATTAGTCATAATATTTACCCTACTTTTTGCAATAAGGGTCCGAGAATCGAAGTGTACTCGAACGTGAATTTCGGTAGAACCACTTTGGCCAATACCGACTTCATCGATTTTATTGACACGGCCAAAGACTTTGGATTGATTTTATTTACCAAATCGGAAAGCCCGTCAATCGAATCCGGTAATACTATGTACATCACGAATTTATTTCCCTAGAACATTAATCAAAAACTAATGACTAAGTGCGCCGAATTCATTGTAATTCTCATTAATTTACCGCATATGGCAAACATATCATACGAGCACTTAGGGTCGGTATAGATGATATTTGAAAATGGTTGTAAGTGGTCATCAACGGTATCTCGACTGTAGTTTTTGAGTTCAAGTTGAAAAGTCCATTTTTCGTAAGATCTTTGTTAAAAGGATTTGTCCAGTAGCCTTTGAAATATATGGCGTTCAACAAAATAAGTGCCGTGTTTACTTTTGTATCGGCTGTAAGGACAAATAAATAACACAATAATGATAAGTTTACCGTGTAATTATTTGACAACATTTTTAATTTCCAATCGACCTTCCGTTATAAGTTGTTGAATACGGCCATGGGTTACATTTTCTGCCCATCCATTTATCGCGCTAACCGCATCGGCTGGCTTGCTAAAATCAACCGTTTCGAAACTTGAATTGTACCACGTGTTTAATATTTCATTAAATTCATTCTTGGCTTTCGCCGATTTGTCCATAAACAGTTTTGTACCAATGTCCAACTCGTAGTCCTTTGTGTCATAACTCTAAATACAATATTAATACGTAATTGATGATTTTTATCAAATTAACGGTTCCATAAATATTTAACATACAAGTCAGCATTTATAGTTAAGTACATTATTTTAGAAAAATAAACAATACAAATCTGAAATCTGAAGATTATTACCATGAGTAATGTGTATTTTTACAAGATAGTTAAAATTCTACAACCACTTGTTTTTTAAAATCGTCTAGTTAAAATACACATATCGTATCAGCAATGACTTTGGTCATTTTTATTCGGGATTATATTAACAGTACCTACTTGAAACGAGAGAATAATTTTGCGATAAAGTTATTCCCTGATTGAAGTATTTGTATCTGTGGTAGACCATCGCAAAGCCATTTACAAGCGAGATTTGTTAATTTTTCAAGATATTCAAATATTAATATTATTATAAGAATTAGCCATTAGGTACCTACTATTTTAGCTTCGATACAGAGCCGAGCAAGTATTATTTACAATGTGTTGTTATATCTATAATTTTTTGTCGAAACCGCTGAACCGATTTCTTCATGTAACCTGTCTGTATAAAAACCGTACTCAAAAGATACTTTTGAAAGCCAAATTTAAAAAAAAATGTTCGCCCCAACTAAAAATCTAAAATAACGAGGATTTCCTAAAAATGTACATACTTTTTACTTGGTAAGCTATAGTTTTCCGAAAAATAGTCAGTATTTAAATAGGTATTCGCCCATTTACAGGGCGGTTTATTAAGATTAAAATAATTGCAATTTTTTTAGAGACTAGTTTATGTTATTTTACAAATGGTATTAGACAATGTTTTTACTTAGGTTTTTTCCAGAGCTCTATCAACTTTAAAAACTTAAATGGTAAAGTATATATTTAATTAACTTTTATAATTAAGAATAATATATTGACCATTTTGACAGTTCGACAACCAGTTTTCGATAACATTTACTTTTAAAGTTACTAAAGTTTAAAATTTAAGAAGTGTGGTTGAGAGAGGTAAAGTAATTTACACAGTAACTCACAAAATAATACTACACATTACTGTAGCGTACTTCACCTCCTGTCCTAAATTTTAAACTTAAACTTTAAAAGTACCCAATTATGCAAAACTGTTTTTATTTTCATTTTTTTTAAAGTTAATTAAATATATACGTTACCAATAGGTAAATTTTTAAAAGTTAATAGATTTCTGGAAAATACTAAAAAAGTTAAATATTTAGACATTTTATACCATTGTAGGATAACATAAAAAAAAACTTTTTAAGAAACCAAAACAAAAAAATATAGCAATTTTTTTTTTTTGTCTTATCCTTGATGATTGATGAATCAACCGTATGAAGTGCAGAGAACTAGTGTTTTATAAAATATTTATATATACCTATATGGATTATAGAGAAGCAAATAAACATTCTCAATGTTTCCATACGGGTGATGATCCCTGCAATATCTCTTTCAATAATTCGGGAAAAAAATGTAAATCAAATACAAACAGAAAAAAGTTTTATTGACAAAATAAACAAAAAGACTAAAAACTTGTTTTTAAAAACTATAAAAATATCATTACACAGATCAACGCATCAGTGGCGGATTTGACGGGGGGGGGGGGCGATGAGGCGATCACCCCCCCCCCCTTGGCCTAAGAAAAAAGTGGTTGTAATAAATTTCGACCATGTAAATTAATTTACCTGTTAATTTGTATAAGCTTCATGGTATTATTTTCAATTTAAATCATTTTGTCTATGAGTAAAAGCCATTTTAGTTAATATAATAGTAAATTTTTTGTTCCGTCACTGAAACAGATTTGAATTTGTCATGAAGTTTACTTGAGATCGGTCAGCGTACTTTTTATAAAATTTCAAAATTTCAAATTTGAAAAGGGTTAAAATTAAAAATTGAAAAAAGTACCCTGACCGATCCTAAGTAAACTTCATGGCGAATTCAAATCTGTTTTCAAATTACTTATCGGATTACTGGTTCGGCCTGTGCGATGGACAGAAAATGATGTGTTTTGACTGAAAAAGCCAGTATAGAACTTCCCTTAAATGTAGATATTATTGAAAGATTTGCTAAAGAAAAAAACGGCATTGATTTTATATTATAAATATCTGAGTATTGTACTTTACTTAATTATAAGTATGTACTTGATATTTAAACTAACTTGTAGCTATTTTCTATGAAAGTTTATTGGGTCAAAATTAAACTGAATTAATAATGATTAATAAAAAAATAACTAATCAAAATAATTAATACATTGTAACATATTTTGTAGACAATTAATAAAAAGTAAAAATCAAAAAAGATAATTTTATTATACCTACAAAAACGAAAATTCGCCCCCCCCCCTTGGACAACCCCTGGATCCGCCAATACAACACATAGAAAAGAGACGCTCCTTTTTCAAAATTCCTGGTAGGTTTTACTTAGAATCCAAACATTGAACTAATGCTTAAATGCTTTTTAGTGTTTCTACAAAATGTGACCTCCCCGACACCAGTGCGATAACTTTAGTTTATTTATAGTGCTAAAAACCGCTATAGTCTAGACTCTAAGGAATCCTTTCTTTAATGTGTTAGAAAATCTTTAAACAATATTCTTCCATTCAAACGTATTCTCTTTATCTACTATGCCACAATGATAGGCGGCAGTGTTACATATATATAACAATGTTATACCTATGCCCATTTGACAGTTATTTTTAAATTGGTCAGTAGCTATATAATTTTTTGGTCAGTTCATTAAAAAATCAAATTAGTTGTTTAGTACAATAATCCACGAGGCATGGTGGATAAGTATTTTTAAATCGTTTTTGTTACCCAAGTTGTAATTTTGAAGAAAAAAAAACTATACAACATTTGTATAACTAGAATAGAATAATGATCGAAATTATTAGGGTAAACTGAAAAGCCATAGGTAAAAACATATTATGTATTTTGTCATTTGTTACTTTTTATCAGTCTATCCGTTTAATGTTTTTTTTATTGTCTATTGTATTGTTAAAGTATTTAACAGTGTTTAAAGTCTTATCTTTATTATTTTCGTATTGATGAAAGCACCTGCCTTCTTCACCTTGTTTAATAACCAGATGTTTTAGATATTTTAAATTTATTTTTTTGTCTATAAAGTTATACCTACTGATATTTAAATATATATATGTAAATGTACTTTTTCCAAGTGCCTATTTTTAATTGATATTTTAAACATTATATCGTAATAGCATTTTTATAAGCACATTTTTAAAAAAAATCTCCAAATGTTTACTAATTTTGAGTATACAATTTTACTTGTGAGAAAGTTAACTAAACTTACCGAGACTTAACAAACAACACAACGCATCTGTAGGTGAAAAAGAGAGTCACATAATTTTTGAGTTAGGACCAACAATGATGTGACCCCTTTTCTAAGGTAAACATTTGTTGCATTGGGAGGAAAAACCATTTTTTTTTGGTCATTTATTTTGGATTTAAATATCGAAACATCCTATTTTTGACTTGTCGAAAAAGAAAAAGGAGGGGGGCTCACCTATTTGGAGATGCCTCAGATCCCTGTATTATCTCATGATTGAAATTTTAATTGAAAATTGATAACACAATCAATTTGGTTATCAGGTAAAAATCGTTTGGCGTTTCCGGGCTCGTGTTGCAACAATTTTCATAATATTTTAAGACTAAGTCCTTGAACTTCAACTTATTATTATCACTAAATGACACTAAAATCCGGTATAGAATAGTTCAATTTTTAGGGCATCGACTAGGTAATCAGAATTCACGCTATTATCTATTTTACAATAGCACTATATAATGTAATGTTTATCCTCGTACCTAACACAGTAAAATCATTCAAATAGACTGAATCTGTTTGTTCTGTAGTAAAAAATTATAATTAGATAAACCTTAAATTCCCAAAATTGAATACTAACTTATGTAGTATGTGCGAACGCGTTACTAGTTATTTAAATTTGACTCAAGAAAATTCATTCAATAGCTAATGCAATGTTATGGTTTTTTTATTCAATTCAATTAATTTATCATTATTATTTTTAATTGTTCCAACTTTACTTGTAAAGATTTCAATTTTTTAGAAAATCGTTCTCGGGTCAATTGTCTATTTCCGGAAAACCCAACTACTCGTTCGATTTGTTTGGCAGTCTCGCCGAGTGCTCCTTCATAAATCATCAACAACACCAACTTGACACTTATCGAAGACAACACAGCGTTGTTCTTTTCAACTTCGTGCAAGGCCTATACGTCAATCAATTAATGCAGCATTTATATATTAATTTAATATTAACAAACAAACGCCTGTACGTCATAATAGTTATAATATACTTTGCACAATTTCCAATCAAACACATGAAAATCGGGCACATTAAGCTCGGATACACCGTGTTGACCGACTCCGGCATTGTTCTTAGTTGGCGACTTAGGAGGAGAATATCCGTTTGTACATAACTGTTGGGTCGAACAATAGATGATAAAATAAATCGAAACATAACCTAAACATTATCGAAAAACGAATTGTGAGCAATCGTTATCAACAAAAAAAAACGGGCGTATAAAATATAAAGTAGTCACTTGCCTTTCATATTTCTGGATTTATCTTAACAAATCATTATGGGCTCAATTAAAAAAAAATAAACATCTAACGCAAACTGTAACAGAAACTAGATTATTTATTGTGCAAACGGTCGGCGAATGAAATGTTGAACCTCGCTGTAGAATTCTTTGCACAACAACTGGTTCTAGTGTCGTACGTAATTGTTTCAAAACAAGTTTCATAAATGACCCCACCACCTCACAGGTATTATTTTTAATGACTGACCACAGCCGGAGAAGGAGAACAGATTATTTTTTCATGTAATCATCTTATCTCGCGCTAATGGAAGGGAATTCCACTAATTATCCAATACAAAAACACACACAATGTTTCTCAATTTTAAGTATATAATCAATACACAGTCCATACAAATTAAATAGCCCAAAGGTGATTATCATTGAACTTATAGTAATAATAATAATATTATATAAAGAATAGACAGTAGAAACATTTTCCTTTACACTTATAAATGATAGAAGTATCGTACACGTTCACCGAGGTTTTCTTTTAATATTATTATTATTATTTATACAATATAAAATGTTCTGTATAATCGATAATAGGTACTATCTACGGCATTGAACATAAATATATAACCTAGTCAAATGGTTAAACTATAAGTGAACATTAAGTTAAACTGGATAGAAAAAAAGTTGAATGTCATAATAAAAAAAAATATATAAGTTCAGGATACAATTAAATCTCTAATCATCTCCAGATTGCGGGCTGGCATCACCATTTTTCTCTCTGGATGGTGAACGCGATTTGTCATCAGGAGAACGTGAATCACGTCTGTAAAAATCAATATTACATCAATATTAGTATCGAATTTTAAGCATAATTTTTAAATAATAGTTAACCATTAAAAAAATAAACAATTGTACATACTTAGCACAAATCATAATAATAATGGATAACCTAAGTTTTAGTAATGGATCTCTAAATAAGATTAAACTCCAAGCGCTCACGGCGTATGCAGTTGTCGACACGACTTTTGTTACTTAAAGACTATAGAGTACTTTATTATTACAGAAATTAATTGGCAATGTAAATAATGCAGTTCAGGCACCTACGAGATTTTTAAAGATTCGACTGCTTACATGTTAAAATTTATAATTGGGGTTTTGTCAAAAGTTAAAAACAATACATTTTAATTAAAACTTACTTAATACGCTTATTTGAAATTGATTGTGAACGCGATTGGGATCTCTTTTTGTCTATAGAAGGTGAACGGGATCGTGATTTGGAATGGGCTGGAGACCTAAAATTAATAAACAAAAAGGATTAAATAATAAATTCTTATAATAATCTCCGTAACGAAAAAACCTACTTGTAAGGAGATTTTGAACGCGATCCGGATTTTGACTTGGAATGGCTACGTGATCGACTCCTAGAAACATAAATTCATACGTTTATTAGCTCAAAATTTAACATTATTTCAATAATAGAAATTTACATATTAAAATATATCATATTTACCTTGTACGACGGCGGCGTGAACGAGACCTAGAGCTGGAACGAGAACGTGAACTCGAGGGACTACGGCTACGCCTACCATTACCACCGCCACCACGCCCACGACTACTGCTCCTGTCTTCTACAAGTCTTATTCGACGGCCATTTAACTCTGTATCATCCAACTTATCAAGTGCAGTTTTGAGATCCGAATAGGATGCAAACTCGACAACACTGAAAGTAAAAATACATACACAAATGAATGGGTTGTGTTCAATTTTCATAGTCATATTTTTATTATTACCCTTCATTCTTGCGTTGTTTATGTGCATCGGCATAAGTTACTTCTCCAGCTTGGCGCATGAAGTCCTTCAAGTCCTAAAGAACATTTTAATTTTAATAATTAAAGTAAAATAATTTTCACACAATTTATGTTTGTCTTAATACAAGATTGCTCTCAGACTTGAAAAAAAACAACCCATGACGGGATAGCGCATTTTTGCTGTTAATGTACTGAAGATGATACCGAAGTGTACACACAATAGGTTTTGTCGATTGATAAAATGCTGATTATTTGATAGTCATGTATGTGCCTTGGTGTTTTGATGGTCGATACCAAATTGCCATTACTGCTTCGTCAAACTCCTTCATTCACTCGTTATATTATAGTTTTAATAATTTATTTTCCACGCAATTTTGTTTGATTATTTATTTTAGTAAAGCCTAACAAATACCAAACATTGTTTATGTTATTATTTTAAATACATACCTCTTGAACACTTGAAATGGTATTGAAAAGCGACTCGGTCTCGGACCATGTGTGGGGCGACATGAATGGGGGGTAAACCAAAGTGGGCAGCTGATCGGCTCGTTTTGTTGGGAACACCTTTTGTGTGGTTGGGCCGATCATCCTAGGCCCGGTTTGGAATGTGTGATATCGTACTGTGATTGCGTGGTATCGGCTTATGTACCAGATAATACCACTCTTATCTTATTGGCCAACGATCAAGCGTTTTATGTCATTGGTATGGACATCAATCGAACCCAACACATTGTGGTGGCTCTCTTTAGAAAAATAATATTACATTTTTTTTTTTTTTAAATATATAAATTTGTTTTATTTCCGTCTTTTTATTCACACATTCATGGTTTAAAACTCATCCCAAAACTTTAACCATTTACTAAAAGAATACTAATTTAATATTAATTTGAAAATATTTTTGAACTGTTTATATTGTTATATAAATTTAATTTCAAATTACATTAATATATTATTAGCTCAGTCAATTAGAGAAAAACACAATATATACATAGGGTGTCCTAAGCAGATTTGAACAACTTTTGATTTAGTGAATATTTAAAACAAAAATGTTTAAATAATTTATACTCATTTGTGCTATAAATATTTATTTATGACACTTAACTGTTTTACTTGTATACATTTTTTTTTTTTTTTAATTTAACAGCCCATTCTATTAAGAATAATTTGCTTTTTAAATTATTAAAGGTTAAAATTTTAAAACAGAAGGTTAAGTGTGGTAGAGTAATTCATTTAGTTTTTTTTATTTGCGCACATTATACTACTGCAATATCTTGTATTAAAAAAAAAAAAGTAAATAAATAACAGCTATAAAATAGCGTTTAAAGCCCAAATGAGTATAAATTAATTATAGAATATTAGTATAAATTAATTATAGAATATTAGTATAAAAACAATCTTACAAATGTTCACCAGAATAAAAGTTATTTCATTTTTCAAATCTTTGTGGGACACCTGTATATGTATAAATGTACAAAATATATTAGGGGATTCTGAAATATTAATCTTAATAGATCGCCAATTAAACATAAAATTTTAAACCATTACACATTGCTGGTTAATCCTCAGACATTATTATAGATGGTATGTTTTTTTTATCAGCACTTCACAAAAACAAACCACAAGTGATAGAAATCAATCATCAATATTTATCTCCGAATAGAACAAAATATGGAGAAATAAAAAAGTATTTTAAATATGATACCTGAACACTAAATAAAATTAATTATAAATAAAAGTAATATAAAAAAATTAACGTATAACCACACATTCTTACCTGCCAGCTAACACGACTGGATAAATTTTCAACAATTAATCTGTAATTTGTTCTTGTGGGAGGTCCATACCTATCATTTCTATCATCCCTTAGTTTAAAAAAAAAAAAAAAAAAACCATACATAAATACATAATTTTTCTAAGTAATAAAATATTATTTTATCATACTTATTTAACATTAAATGTTAACGAGTTCAAATAAAATTACGAACAATACACATACCTAGCATCTCGTCGAGGTCTTCTCGGTGGAGGTGGCGGTAAATCACCACCACGTCCTGATCCACGCCAAACATCACTACCTCTTGGTGTTCCACGAGCACGTTCTACTGATACTCTGAAATTACAAATTTTATTAATTAGGTTTAAGTTGGAATAAAATTGCGAGTTGATGAAACAAGAATAAAATACATATTTAAGTAATTCATTACTACTTTTATAATATTAAAATTGTATAATTATACCTTTCACCATTTAGTTCACGACCATTTAATTCATAGACTGCATCATCTGCATCACGGTAATCGTCAAATTCCTATCAGAAATTATATAGTTAACAAAATTAAAAGTATAAAACAATGTAGTGTACATATTTAGTGTAATAAAATATTCAAATATATATAGCTGACCTGTTTTATAATTTATTAATTCTTACACCTATTTTACTTACAACAAATCCATAGCCATTTTTTAACAATATCTCTTTTATACGGCCAAATCCCCTGAAAAACCTTTCAACATCTCTTTCTCGCACTCCATGAGGCAAATGACCAATATAAACTCTTGAACCACTCCCCATGCTGAAAATAAATTTAATAATATTTTACACTTACCACAAAAGCATATCCATTCTTCATAGCAATGTCCTTCACTCTGCCAATTTTCTGGAAAAACCTTTCAAGATCCCTTTCGCGTACGCGATGAGACAGGCCACCAACGAACACCCTAGTGCCATTACTCATTCTGACCTTAGATCAGTGACCAAATGCTTAGATAGTACTTCTATACTGGATAGGCTAATCCAGATCCTGGTAACAACCACCGTAGGCAAGACAACATATTATAAATTGTATTTAGGCAAGTAATATGTTAATAATTTTTTTTTTTTTTTTAAGTAAAAGGAATAGGATGTTGTCTACAAGATGAACAAAAAAATATATATTAATTTTTTTTATAAATTTACTCATGCAAATTTAATGAAATGTATTATTTACTTACATAGTTATTACGGTAAACAAAAACTACTGACCCGATAATTTATTATTTTTAATTATTTAATGAATTACTATCAAACATATAGTTGGAAATCTATTCTATCAAATATTAAACAAGTAAAATAATAGTAATTATAATTCAAATTTACATTTCGTTTTTTAATATGAATGGGTTCGGTAGAAATATTATCATATATTTAAATTAAATTTTATCACAATTAATAGTTAACAAATTAGCTGGGTCCCCATAGCGTATTTAGAATATTTGCCTCTCGTTTAATCAATCTTACAAACAATTTCATAATAAATAACAAAAAAGCTATAAGCTTCTATAAGCTTGTAGTCTATAAAAGTTCATATCCGAGTCATTCTCCCTTTAGTCCTTGTGTTTAATGTTATACTGCCGGGTCTTGTAATCTTTTATAAGAATGTGATAATACCCTAACAATTTTTCCCAGTATAACCTAACATACTTTTTTTAGAACTCAATAAATAATTTTTTCATTTTTAGTTTTATTTCAATTTAAATATAAAAAAAAACCTAAAGGAATAATAATGAAGGAACCTAAGCACATATTTGTTAAAATAAATTGCATAAAAATCAATTGGTGTCGCTGACGGATATTAAAGATTCAAAGGATCACAGAAGAAGTGTTTTATCATAGGACAATTGTGTATGATATAACAAAAATTGGCAGAGCAAGGAACAATGATATAATCTATATAGCATTAACAACTTACAGTATAACTCATATAATAAATAATCATGTCATTGACAAAGTAGGCAAATTATTGAGTATTGTTGAATATAATGTAACAACAATATATTGTGCGTATTTATCCTTAGTACAAATAAGTATACGTTTTCTAAAGCAATAACTAAAATTACTTTAATAGTATCTTATCATTTCAAGTAGGTAGTATCTAACAGAGACAATGTTTTAATGAGTCAAGTGTTAGATGCGTCATTTGTCTTCAAAATGTTAATAATACTCTAAAATCGACGGATGTTCTATTGTAATTAATTTAAAAAACACAAAAATAATGATCGATCCCATTTTATTTTATCAAATATAATTAATAATTTAAGGATTACTCACGTTTCACTAAAAATTACTTTTTAGTGAATCACTGCTAAATTACTTAAAGTAACTCTAAATATTTAATTAATAAAATACATTAAAAGAAACAATATTTAGCAAACATGTTAGACAACCTAAATAATATACCCATACATTATTATAAATTAAATCTACAATTTTTCAGACCATTACATAACTTATTCTGCTTCAACTTTCAGTAAAACAGGATTATTATTTAGTGGAATTATATAAGTTAACGATCGATTATAACAAACAACCACGTTAATTTGATTGCATGGAAAGTAAAAAGTAAAAAAAATTGTTAATGAAAATCTAGTTTTTTATATTCTATAAAACCAGTATTTTATTTTAAATTATAATAAATATAGTTCTGGTGAACTTATCGCCGCCCCAAAATATTTATACCATTGTTAAAAATAAGATAACAAGGAATATAATATAGCGTTTTAAAAGCGTGTTAACTTTGTACACGATACGATATTAATAGTTGTAGAGACCTGTGCCACTACTATAATATACTAAATAGTCATTCTACCAAGTTCATCAACAACTCGAAGAAGCCGATTTAAAAACGAATACACGTCATTTTTACATTATTATATGAGTTATTACTGTAAAAATAGTACATAATTTACTAAAGCAAAATATATAAAGAAACATTTTCGGAGTCGGTATCCGAAGCACATGATGTAACCAATCACCAATGCCGATTGTAACCAAACAAATAGCGTATAACTATAAAAACATACCTAAATGAGTCCTTTAGCAGGAAAAATAAATTACGAACAAAATAACTCAAATGTACTAAACGTTAATAAATATAAAAATTGCATTAATTCACACGACTCACGAGAAGTACCTAATAAGTAAAGTAATAACAAAATACAAATGGTAAATATTAAATTGTAAAAAGATGGCGACTGACCAAGCGTCCTTTCCAATACACAGCGAAATGCGCACGCGTTAAAATATAATGAAACATGTTTATTCCTGGGAGAATAGAAAAATGTATTTGTTACGATTTCCTTCTATGAACCACGACCGTAGTTCGCAAAATAATACATCTTTGGTAAAGTCTTATCAATATTAACCAGTATAAACAATAAACAAACACCGTGATATCAGAAATCCATTACGTTTTGAAAACAAATATTATTATTATTGTTAATAAAATATGTAAAATACAATTACGAATAACAGTTGACACTTGAGTTTTCAGTAATTTCCCATTGTAAATTTTAGAAAGACCATATCAATGACAACAAACATAACACCATAACTATTTTAATTATGTATATTCAAATACTTAATTGTACAGAATAACAATTATCAACAACACATTTTAAGAAAAAATAATATGGCCACTAAAGACGATATTGATTATGATATTGGAACTTACAAGTGTGAAGGCGCTGTTGAACATTTCAAATTAAGGTAATCATTACATAAGTATTGCCAATTTCATGTGTCACATTAATTTTTTTGTATGTTAAACATTATTTAAATTATGAATTATTTAGGATATGCTTAGAAATATCTCGTACTTCGTTTCATCACAAAAATACAAATATTGATAAGAAACATAAAAGGATTGAAAAAATATTTAGTTGGAAAGAAAAAGTAGCTGAAGACGTGCAAGATCAAAATTACTTGGAAGAAACATCTTCATCTATTGAAGGAATACTGCTTGATAGTCATTTGTTAACTGATGTTATACATCAAAATGTAAGAGACCATTGTTTTATTTATAATTATAATTACTAGACTTGCATTAATATGGTTGAATAAAAATGTTCTCATCACTTTGATAGTCTTTACATTGATTTCACGCTCTAATTTTCTAACCAAGTTTTGCTTGTGTAAAAATAGTATTGTATTAAGATATTTTTTCTAGCCTTTTTTTAATCCAATATTTATGTAATCTTTTTTCAATTCAATAACGATTATGTTGTTATAACATAACAAGAGCTGATACCCAAAATTTGTTCAAAAATAATACTATACATAAAGAGAATTAACAAAATTCTGACAAAATATTTTTCTATAAAAACAAGTATAAAAATAATGTTGTAATTACTTAATGGAAATTATGTGTTTTTCAGAGTAATCGAGTTATACTACATGACATAGCAAACCGCGATAACATACTAACAAAATCATTTACGCAAATGAATGAATTACAAATGAATAACAAAAACAATAACATTTTTATTAAAAAATTTATAGACTATACTCCATCTGATATTTTAAAACTACAAAATAGATTACCATATTCGAACCAAATTATGCATGTGCTTTTAGACCTTGGAACTAACAAGTAAATGTTAAATATAATGTTATTTAAATGTTTGACTGTTCTGCAGGAATTAGAAAGAAGTTAAAACAATTTTTTTTTTTTTACTAATTACTTACAATTAATTACACAGCACAGAAAGTGAAGAAAACAACCATGTCCTTGCATCATTTTATTGGAATCCTAACAGTCGAATATTAACAGTAATGCCAGATTTCAACGACGGTAATTCGCCAGGATATATTCTTCCGATAAGTACTGTTAAAGATTCCTGTTTTGAATATCGATTTTGGATTGAAAATATGTCGACCGAAACAATAGAATTACAATCCGATACAGTAATGTATTATAATCTATTTTTCGAAACTAAAACTCATCCAAATATTCATCGAGTTCTTTGTTCTTAGTTTAATTTATTTAAAATGGACCACTACGATTTCCATACGCCAGAATTTGATACGATTAATGTTTTCGGGGAAATAATATCGGCTTCAGGATTTGAAGGCGAAAATTTATTTGTGCGTTACAAAATTAATGTGCCATCAGGTACTTTGCATAAATAATTAAATTTATTTATATTTAAAAAAGCTCGATTACAATTTTAGTAAATATTAAAATAGACAATTTCTGTTTTGTACTTTATATTTATACTAATAAAGTTATAAGAATTATGCATTTTTTTTCTAGCATGGAAATGTACGACTAGTGATGATTCACTTCAGGGCACAACACATACCTGTCGCAGTAATAATAATTTTACGTCAATATTTACACATTTATTTAACGCCACGATAGTTATACCTAAGGATTTAGAAAGTAATTTTCGCATTAAAACACTACATGAAATGTAAAATTATTCTGTAACGCTTAATTATAATATTACATTTTAGAACAAAATATAAATTTTGCATTTATAACATTTGAAATTTATTCAATTGATATTTGGGGAAAAGAACGTATAGAAGGATACACATCGTGCATAATACCTAAAAACACTGCTTCAAAATCATATCATCAAAATGTTAAATTAGACGCCTGGTTACCGGTTTCAAGAAATTATTGTGACGACTTGCGGAGATATTTTATTGGCGGCTCAGTTACATTAGCAGAGTCTACCTGTATACCTTCCTGTTTCGATGTAAGTACATAATTAATAACTATATTTTAGTTGGTTGATGTTTCAATTTTTATTTTAGGATAAAATATTAAGCAAATTTGGAATGGAAACAAAACCGCGAGGTGTATTAAGTGTTACTATAAGTATGTTAAAGCAGCGTCATAAAGTTGACGGTAATAAAGACAATACCATTACAAATGAAGGACTTTCGGCTCAAGCTTTGGTAAATAGTGTTAACTCTGTAATGGCCAGTTTCAAGAGAGCACGACAAAGAATGTTATTGGCGTGCCAACCATTATTAAGCCCTATTCACAAATGATAAAAAAATATTATTTTTTCAAAGCAAATTTTCTAGTCACTTTTTAGTCAAATATTATATTTTTCTTATGTTTTTTTTTTACATTATTATATTATATAAATAATTAACATTTTATTAAATAAAGATCACAATTGTTGTTTGCTAATAAAATTACTTTTTCGTAAAAATGTTTTGTCATTGACATGTAATTATGACGTCGATGTTATCATAGTCTCAATAAATGTTTTCATACAGGGTGATCAGTGTTACTTAAGACTGTATTTTTTTTTTAAAATACAGTTTTTCTTTTTAAAATTGTTACTGTTAAATATTAGACAATATTTTTAATTTCCTTTAAATCTTTTTTTTTTTACTTTTATCTCTTTTAAACTCCAAAGCTCTGTCACAATTTGAAACTTACTTTATTACATTTTTAAATTAAGAACAATTTACTAAAAATTATGACTGTTAGCCAACCAATTTTGATTAAATATTTTTTAATGTTTAAAATTTAGGACAAAAAGAATGGTGGGGTTAGGTAAAAACTAATCATTTGATTAAGCTTATTCAATACTGTTTATCAACCTATGCTATATTATTTTTAAAAAAGTCCTTTCTTGATTAATTAATTATTCATCAACTGGTTGAAATATTTAAAAAAAAAAATGTCATGGTAGAGCACAGACAATGTTGTAAATGTTTTTGTCTGTATTATGTGAAAATTTGGTTTTTGAAAAAAATAACGAGTGTGGGACGTCCACTCATGAATTTTAAATTTAAAAGATCATCCTGTACATGTTTAGAAATTTGAAAAGAATTCTACCCGCTGAATAAACAGTGTAACCAGATAAACAGACATCGGTGGTACTATGGGAATTTTCTATAACTGGTCACCTGCCGGAAAAACAATATGTCGGACACTTATCAGTCCCGGCCTAACTTTCCCTTCTGGTTATTCTGAGTAATAGGTATGATTACACTAATCATTCTTTTAGTTCAATGGCTTACCCCCTTGACTAAAATTTAGCCCCCCTAAAAATATTCCTAGTTGAGTAGAATATCAGTTAAATAATTTTTTTTGTCGTTTAAAAATTGAAAAGTAATGATTAATGAACGTCAGTAAAACTCAAAATGTTTTTTCAAGCCAAACTATTAATTATGCAAATTCGAAAATCAACAGTCAAGATTTTAGATTTTTTGTGTTCCAAAAAATAAACTACACTTGTTGGCTAACGTAATATTTAGAAAAAAGCAGAATTAAAAAAATATTCTTTTCCTAGAGATATTACAAATGTCAAATCATCGTGGAACAGTGTGTATTAATTATATGCTTATATATAATATATTTTAAAGAAAGCCTAGGGTGGGATTAAACAATTTTTTTCTAAATCTTTTTTGATTACTTTTATAAAATGTTTAATGATTACAAAGTGTAATCACGATTACTGATTATTTTTACATTGTTGTATTCAATAGCAGAAGAGACAGGCCGAAAACCCGACGGTTAAAAAGTATCAATTAAACTTAAAAACTTAAGTAAAAAATGAATAACAGATGGCGTAGGTCGTTTGGCAAAATGAGCAATAATAACATTATAATATTTTATAACGACCGTCGTCAAAACCCGTTTCGACCAATAAGTGACACGGTGTTAACGACTCGGTTTTCCGGAATATTTCCTACATTAATTTATTATGTAAAACTTGTTAATAACGTTAACTGAAATAATTGTATATAAAGAGTTGTTTATCGACCAGTTTTCTTATATTTCTAATACATTTTTCCAACTCACAGAAATCGCGTCGGTTGTTGCGCGCGTTGAAATGCATATAAAAAATGTATGGCAAATAACCATCATACATGTATAATAATCGGCTGAAGTCAGAAAGTCTATACTAAATGAGAAAACTGTACAAGAAAACTGACCGAGTCTTGACTCGTCACTAGTAAGGCATTACTACTTTTAATACAACAATCATTGCCCATTGTACTCGTGTAAAGTTCCTAGTTCATTAGGTACGTTTGTTAGTTAACTAATAGTCTTCATTATGCAATAGGTATAGATAATTACATATCATTATACGTCATATGAACGGTAAAGTCTCGATCGGCTAATTCTTAAAATAAAAAATCATATTAATAATGACTTGGCTTCTTGTATGGAAAATGCCGTTCATTTCCAGTCGCATCGTCGTAAAGTAAAACAGTTATCAGCATGGATTTCGGTTAACAAGGCAAAAACTACGGATTTTAGGTTTACAAAGAACTCGATGGGTTTTTTATGGGTTTGGGTTTTGATATAAATACTAAAGCGAAAAGAGTAATTATTTGAAAATATCATTAGTTTTTTTTAAACTTAGTTGGCAGTTTAAAAAAATTATGAATGCTGAAGAAATACTGTCGCCAAACTAGAAATCAAATTAAATGGTTGTTCTGCAAAACCGAAAATCCGTTTGGCAGACTTAAATGGTTGTTACGATATGTGTCAATGTGTTTAAATTTAGTAAAAGTCCCTTAGTGGCGTATATACAAAAACCAGAAGGAGATATAATATCTATCACCTCCCAGAGCCTTATTATTTGTAAAATATATATTATTAATAATCTATTTGTCAAGCAGAAAACTTTTCTTGTTGCTGAAGAAGTTTTGGACGAAATGTCACAAAAAAAGAAAATCTCTCATGTACAAAACACATTTTTTGTTACCAGTTAACAAACAGTTATGCTTAAAGAATAATCACGGTTCTCCTTTTTAGGTCCGGGCACAAGAGCAAGCTTTACATAAGGAAGTCGAAGGGAAAGTGTTTTATTGCATATCACTCCCAAAAGAAAATTGTTAAAACGCCACTAAAGACCCTTATTATCCAACACTTTCGAAACTCGATTAATTCTGGCTCTGTTATTTTTGTGTATAGGTACTTATTTTTATGTTGTTCGACAACGTAGGAAACGTGCACAATTTCAAGGATACTGAAAAAAAATCTCATAGTTTAATAGTAACAACGATCATGAGATCTATGGCAAATTTCAAATTTCCGTACAAATTTGGCCTTAGCGAAATTCATGGCCTCGGCGGCGGCGGTCGGTCGATAGACCCGTATTATGCTGTGTTCTCAGGGCTTGCCGCGCCGGGCCCACCGCCACTATAATAATACACGGTACACACAACACGACCAACACACACACGCAGTGAGCAGTCATTGAACTGCATTCCCGGTGGGTGAGGGAATTCCCCGCCGCCGCCTCCACCACCTCATCCGGACGACCCGGACCGCTTTTCGCCGGGCAATATTTACCACGCTGTGTGTATTATATTTTTACGTTGAAAAAAAAAAAAATACTGGGTCTGTAGGCTGCGCGCGCGCGCTCACTCGAGTGTGTGTGTGTGCCGTGTACGGGGAAAAATGGGCGTGACCGTGTAGCGTGTAGATGTGAGTGGCGACGAAGGGAGGTGGTACTGGCAGCGGTGATGCAAATCACCGTCGGCGGGGCGCGAAGGGTTCGACTGTTGTTATTGCCGTGGGCCGTGTGCGCGGTGTACAATACTCGTGCGTACGGGGACTGCGGGGTGAGCAGACGACGAAGAGGAGGAGGTACCGTTGTTGCCACATTGCCCATTGCTTACAATGTCTATTCAACTGCATTATTTTCCATTCCCAAATTTCCCATTAGACAATCGCTCTGTCTCTCTCGCGTCAAAGCCCCGTCGGCAGCCGTCACTATTTCATTACGAGTTATTTACAACAATACGGTACAAATAGAACCAACGTTGGAAAAAAAAAAAATAGTTAAAAATGTATTTTACCGTCCGACGTATTATGGCTGTATTTTTTTTCGTTACCTTTAACATTAATTCGTTATCTGCAAATCGGGATTAACTTTAACAGGTCTCTATGGTGGTACATAGTATTCTGTGCCTGTCTAACCCTATCGCAAGCAAAACGGTAACATAAATCTGTCATGCTTTGGGAGTCGTCGTTTTGGACTTTGGCGGTCAATATCGATTCGGTGGCGATTGGTCGAAACATTAATTATTCACAACATTCCATTATTATTTTTTTTTTTTTGCATGTTTCCCGTTTTATTTCTAATTGATTTTTAAAAATTTCTCCTCCCTAACTGAGTTTAGATGACGATCAGTTTTTGGTTTCCAATGCGACAATCGATATGTTAAACATTTCAAAATAATGTTCTAATAAAAATAACGGCACGTCGACCCAACCCAAACTAACCTAACCAGTTTTGAATAATTATTTCCAAGTTGAAATAAATTTTAAGTAATGACAGGAGGTTTAGCGCGGGTGACTCAAACTCTAAAAGCTTTTAACTATGATTCTTCAAAACTGGTTATCGACTAGTCTTTGTTTTTATTATATTATTAAATGAATAAAATATAAACTTATTTTCTAGACTGCTGTGTAAAACTCAAATGTTTATGCATTTTTTAATTTAAAAGTGAAAGAAATCATTATTATTATGTCATTTCTAAAAATATTTTTAATTACTTAATAGAATTTCAGGAGAAATTGGTTGTGTGTATTGGTTTCCATAACTGACATATTAATCATCTATTTCTTACATTAGCCATTTATATATATATATATTATACATGAAGAGTACATGGGGGGGGGGCAGAAAAGTCGCTATTTTCAATATTTTCTTTTAAGAAAAACATGTTTAAAAATGCAATACGTCAAAGCGAATTTAATTATTAAAAAATCGCCATTTTAGAACAGTGACCTTGATATTTCCTGTATCGTTTATTTAGCGAATAGACAACAGATTTTTTTTTCACTATCAATACATTTCAAATACCCATTATAACTTGATGGTGGATACTAGCGGTTATGTATTTATTTTTTTTTGTATTTAAAGCTAGTACTTTGAGTTCTGACCGTTTTTATTCACAATGATGAGTAATAATGAGTAATAACTTTTGGACTAGGCTACGAATGGACAGAAAAAACAGTACAATATTTATCATACTATCCATAATCAACTAAAATTATATTGCGCAACAATCGGGATAATCATTAATACGCTTAAAAACGATAAGAATGTATCATTTTTATTATTATTTACTATTTACCGCTAAAAAAATATTATGGAAATCAAGGGTTCGAGTCACAACGCGTTAAACTGAAGATATTGCACATCAAAACATTTAGCAATTAAAAAAAAAAAGGGCCTGAACTTAAATAACATATCGCTTACTAAAATTATTTTTACTGTGTATGAGTTTTTGATACAACATAAGTCATAATTATCAATTATATTATTTATTGACAATAACAGTCCGGATACATTATTAAAATAATTATTGTCGCCAGTGGAGATCCAGACAAAATGTTACAACAGCACACTATCGTTTTAACCAATCGGTGATAATAATAATTATAATTATGAAAAAAAAAACTTTACATTGGAATAAGTATAATGTGCGTGCGTGAATCGTGACCACAAAGTTATCATTCATTCGAATGATTTGTTAAAATATATTATAAGGTCAAATTACACGATTATGATGACGTACTTGTTTAAAGAAAAACATGGACTTTATCTTAATCTTTATTCGTTGTTCAATTTGTAATTAGTGTAATAAAACAACGAGAAGTATCAATTATCAATAAAAACTATTCCATAAATATTATTATGCATACCTATTTACTAAATGTTGATAGTGGAGAAAAAAGTTCGTCTTCGTCAAAAATATTATACATTTTTTAATTTAAAGTTGTATTATATTATATTATATGTGTCTAATTAACTGAATGTAAATTGTAATATTTTTTTTAACTACAAACTATTGAAGCCAAAAATGAATTACTTAATATCACCTTCATAGTTTTCACAACACCGCCTAGCCCATTCAAGTTTTGCAAAGATTAATCGCACTAGCGTCTAAGTATAGCACTTGTATAAATATTTATACTAAAATATAATTCAATGGCTTCTATTGTTGCGAAGACACATTATTAGTATTATTTTAACTATAGTGATTATTTTGGGAATCGCAGAGAAAAATAAAAACGTAGGCTATCGATTTATCATAAAAAATAAAAACATACTTAAATCCATTATAATTAAGTTTTATTTTGCGATTTTCATTATAGTGACAGACAATGCATATGCATTGCTTTGGGAATGTCTAAGCTTGTCTCTCTGCGGATTACTACGTTTGTTTTTAAACAGAAATAGATTTGTACAAAAAACATAATTACAAAAACGTGGTTTTCGCATATTACACAATTCACAATTGGCAACGTGGCATGTCGTCCGTTACGCCCACCGATTTCAACAATATTAATAACAATATCATACTAAAAATATATAATGTGAATAAAATATCAACAAACCGAATTTTAACGTTGATTTATTAGCTTTATTAAAACTAACCGAGTTCAATTACTTCAATAGTTCTACGAGCTGCATTCTGTGAAATGCGCGACACGAAATATAACGATTTCATAAATACATATTAATATGTACTGCACGTCAGGACCCGAGAATCGATAAACATTATAATTTTAGATAGTAGCGAAACTAAAGTTTAAACTGAACTGAACAGATATGTAAATTATTGTACAGAATATAAAAGCGATAGGATGTTTGTGTTTAAACTTTTCGTATTTTTCTTTTTTGACTAATTTGTGCCGAACGGATTTAATTTTAATGTGTTCTATTAAACATAAAAATTTGAAATTTACTAAAAAAAATAATAATATAAAAACTTATTGAAAAATGTTGAAACCATCGATTGTTTGATGCCAGACTGGCTTTTGTTGAAAACCCGAAAGGTCGAATATCAGCTAGGTAGTACTTTTGACAACTATTCAAAAATAATTAGTTTTAACCTGCTAATGAACACATTAGCATTCAGCGTTTGGTTATCGGGTTTTTGGAAAATTTTCTGTGTTTGGTTACACTAAACGACAAATGGTAATTATTTACAACCTTATGGATTTAATTTGTTTTCCCATTAACGTTAATATGCAAGTACAATGCCCCTCTACTTTATTTCACCAATAAGTTTTATAATTACACTAACTATAAATTTGCTCTTCTTTTTATGGCCCACAATTAACGTTGTTCGTATTCTCTGTCGATCGATGTAGAGCGACATCGACGTTGCCGCTCTAAAATATAACTTACAAATGGATAATAATAACATTTACACTATGAATACACTAGTTCATTAATATGAGTCATGTGTTGTGCAACTAGATTTTAAACCACAATTATTATTCAAATTGACTAATTTATTATTTTATTAATTATTTGATAAATCTATAAATTATTCATTTTAGTTGTTTTATACGTCTTATAATAGTAAATAGTTACATTTGTAGATGTAGGTATAGTTTTCCGTTATAAGAAAGTGATGAAACTATTGTATATAAGTTATATAAAAAATATGTCATCTATAAATTACGAGTGTCGAAATTTTGAAAAATGTATGCTTAACACGCTAACTTACTTATAATTATTACAATCTACTTATTTTTGTTTTTTTATTTGTTCTTATAATATTGGTATATTATACTGTTATTTCTCATTTGTAAATTATCTAAATATTGAAAATAGAAAAACGTATAAATTTAAGACATAAGATATGAACTCTTGTCTCCTCCATAAGCATCAGGCTTTTGGAGACAAACTTTTTCCTTTATTACTCATATGTTGTAAATTATGTATATTCCGTTTGAAATAATAAATAAATAAAATAGAAATATATAATATACAATAGTTAAAATACATAAGATAGGTGATAACTTAAATCATTTGCAGAACCATGCCAATTTTCAAAGAACATATGGTTATTGGTTTGTCAATACACTTATTAGATAAATATTGAACATCATTTTGTAAATGTATAATTGTTTACGTATATAGTGCGGCCTAAAACAAATATATATTACAAGTTATAAAATAAAACAAGTCCATTTTTAATATTATTTATTAAATATGATCGCTTATGATTTCGGATCAATAGACATGCTACTCGAGTAAATCTGTCAACAGAAAAAAAAGTTATCGTGCCTTCACACACAAAAACATCATTATAAATTTAATACGTACGTAATAACGTACTCAGCTCCCAATTCGTAACAAAAAAAGAAGTTATGTTCATAGGTAAACAATTTTTTTATATCAAGGGTCTGTATTTATTATAAAGACAAGCTCGTTTGACTATTTTTTCTTAAAGACTCGCGCATATTATTATTAAACATCTGACTGGTAATAATAATTTTTTTTTTAAATCAACAACGATTAGATATGGTCTAGAATAGACCTTAGATTAGAGTAGTTGCGAGACCTTGAATACAATTCGATAACAATAAGCGACGTCCCTGGTAATACTACCCATTGGTTAAAGAGAATTTGTAAATTTCGATCGTCAAATAGATAAGTTCAACAAAAGTCATATAATAACACTGAGACCAGTTCTCAATGTATAAACAAAACAATGTTTATAAATTTAACGATTTAATTTGTATTTAATACACAAGTAACATAATACGTTGAAAATAACATGCATTGTTTTTAAAAATTTTAGAAGCAATTTGGAAAAATTAAAAAAATCCAGGCACCATACAAAACATCCAGTGCCAGTTCTCGGAACCGGCGAGCAAAATTCTAAAAACGCATTGGATTTTGGTACGAACCAAACAGGAATACACGTTTCAAAGTACAATATTAATTGTTTTTAACGATTTACATCGTGCGTACGTATTGTCTATGACGAGCGAGGTAATAAAATAAGATAACTAAAAATAATATTCACAATTATTTTCGTTTATCGTTAGTTGTAGATCAACAGCTATCGGCCATTAAATTAAACACCAGTACTGATAAACTGATAGACCAAACATCAAAACCTGTGACAACTGGCGAGGCAGAACAATACAATAATATTATATTAATATGTTATATTATTTAACATGGCGTGGTACGGGGTACCTCTATTATGTACACAACACGGTATAATATGAATATCGTAATTCAGATTTAATTTTTCCACCGTACACGCATGCGCTATAAATTTAATAGTGCCATCTGCTAATATTTATAATGAAACTGCGACGGTGCCAAGTGTTTTCGGCGACCTACAAATATTTCCTAAGTAACCTTGCCTACGGCTCAGAAGAGTGAAGGGTACTGCGGCAACATTGTCCTAGCAGGTGTCGCGTTCGGTGTTGTCATTATTACAGTGGCCGCCGAATTCATACATAAAATACGTAAATAAAAGAAAACCGTTTATTTACATTTGAACCGTTCGCTGGAAAATATCGTCGATTCTATTGAATTGGCCATATTCATAAATAAGGTACACCGTACTCGCTGCATCTTAGTTAACATTAAAAATAGGAAATAAACGATTTTAAAATTAAAATGTGTGTGTATTTTTCATGTTTCTAAATCAATAAAAATAAAAATCTCGACTTGCCTAGTGTTCTTGCAATCGGCAGATTTAGGCAAGCTAAAGTCAAGATCTATCGAGCGATGGACGACCAATGTTATATTTAAGATTATAAACATCATAAATGTTTTGTAAACATTCTAGTCACGGATTAAAAATTGTACCCTTCAGCAATTATTAAAATTAGGTTGTATCGAGTTACTTCGCCGTTCAATGTTATGTCCGTGGCGTACTAATAATTTAGTTTCTGGAGATATTAATATTCATTTTCAAGTAAACATCACCAATAGCAAAAATATCCACCACAATCTTTTAAAAGTCTAATTATAATTTATTTCGATGGCTAATTAAACTGCTAACCTTTAGAAATGAATGATGATTGATGACGCAAGCATTTTACATTTGTATTTTTTGTAATGGTATTTAAAAAGAGATTTTTAAACAGTTGTTTATTATGTACAGTAACAAAAGTCTGGTCTGGGTTGTCTTGAAAAAAAAAACATTTAGGTATGCTTAGTTAAAAATTCAAAAAAAGTCATCCTAAAATAGTTTATTGTTATTTAAGCTAAACTTTTTAGTTTTTCCTGCCCAAGCTTACTGCTTCAACGCGGCAGTATGTGATTTGCAAGGCATACTCACCGGGTAAAGGGATAACCCCTTTTATAATAAGTACCAGTGTTTGCACAGAAGTCTAAAATATCTCACAAAGTGTATAGAACGTATAATTTCAACATACATTAATGTACAATGCAGCCCAAAAAATACATAGCTAAGTACTGGTGAATATAGTTTGGGTTGCCTGCTTAAAAAGATATTTAGTGTTAAAAAAAAAAACGTGACATTTTCGATAGATTATGAAAAATGTTAATCGTTTTTCATTAATAAATATCAAATTCTTTCTTACTCTATACAAATGCTTAGAACAAATAAAGAAAAATTAGTTTTAACGATAATTATCTGTAAATATCGAGTCTAAAAAAATCGAGTTCAAGGGTATTCTAAATTCAAATACATGTCGTCTTCAAAATTATATTAAACAAAGGTGTAAACAAATATAGTGACAGGATCAAGTATCAACCGTCGATTAACATAATATACACTTATGTTATTTATTATTGAAAATAGTGAATAAAAATAAAAATGTAGACTGTTTAGTTCAAAATTAGAAGACGGTATAATTGGTTTATCAATGGTATCTGTGCCAATTTTAAGTAATATTCGTTCTATAAATAAGTTAAAGCCAAAAATAATGTTTGATCACAAATTATGCTATTATTAATTTATCGTTACGGTTATATCGGATATTATATAATCGGGTACCTATTAATTGTTTACCTACGGGCAAATTTATAAGTTATTTAGAAACATAAATAAAAAAAGTCAACTACCGATCTTAAATCAGTAAAAATTATTTTAATGGTTACTTCGGGTTAACGTGTTTGACTACGTGAATAAGCAATATGTATATTTTGTTAAATAATGCATTTGCAAGTATACCTGCAATGTTTTTTTTATTACTCTGCGGTCAATAGCAGTTATTATTTATTAGTCATATCATATTATTTATTATTTATATATTTTCAACCCTTTAACTGGTCGATGCAACAATATAGCTAAGGAATAAGGATATCCATTCTCGATATAAAACAAAATACAGAGATGGTTATTATCTGATAATACATCCCATCGGTTGTTATTATATGTTTGTACTGTATTATTGTGCATGATGTGTACATACTATGCATAAATATGTATCATAAGTACGACACTTACGACTCGTAGATGTTATTCTAATATATTATTAATAATGATGGGGTATTGTAATTGTATATAAATAAGATCGTGACGATTAATATATTAATAATACGTATAGTGTATATATATATAATACATTTATATTATGATAAATTTTATCGTATCGCTTTGTTATGTGTGTCCATAATTATCGTACCAACTGACAGGACTGCGAGCCTGGCGAATCCATCTTGTTTTGTTTCGTTGGCGATCGACTAGTCTCCTTCCACGATTTGCCCGACTCTGCGCCTCATTGTACCGTAAACACCGTGGGATCGTTCGCGGTACTTTACCCCGTTGGCAGCGACCAAATGGATTTGCCCGAACCTGTTTAGAGACGTTTGATGTCAGCGAGCGATCGTCCCCAGCGGAGAACTTTTTGTAGGCGGATTACAAAAATAATAATAATAGTGAAAATGAGGAAGAAAAAATTTTGATATTTTCGTTACGTTTTTCGTTTTTTTTTTTTTTTTTTTTTCTAATAAATCGAGTAGCACAACGTTACAATATTGGCATGTCCGCAGTGCGATCGTTTGTAATTAAATAATTTTTTTTTCCTCAGTGTTTTTGGTGCGCACAATCGCGTAGTGCGTGGTCGTAATAAAAATGATGCAGATGCGCGTGTTGGAAATTGGTTTGCCGTTGTTGATATCGGATTTCCAACATCGAAAACATGCAGATTTGACGCTATAGTAAAAAGTAATTATCCGTACATTTTTATCGTTTCGGTCATAGGCGTTGATATTTCATCTTCACGTGGTCCGTCCATAATGACCTAATAAGTTCTATGTACCTATCCATGTTGTAGCAGATATTTGTTTACATTCACATTGGAACCGCGAGTATCTCTGAAATATTGCGATTGCAACGTATTTGTTGGGCTTTGTTTATGGTGATTAGGCGTTTAAATAAATACTCTGTGTAGACAACAAGCGGGTTGATATCACACAGAATGGATTTCTATTAACAACTTAACGTACATTTACACGTACGTACAATAATGGTTATATATTGGTAATTCTTCGTAAAAATAATAATTATTATGTCGTAATGGAATTATTATAATAGCGTGTTTCAGTGGTTTGAATTTTACTCGTGTGTCGCGTATAATTGACAAGAGATATAACCTAGAATGTCAGTGTTTACCTATTAACTATGCAACCCATTAAATTTAAGTCTTGGTTACAACTTATATATTTTTATCTAGTCCATTAAAAAAAACTATTTAGTTTTATAACTTAATAACCTACGGTGTAAATAACTACATTGCAGCTCAATAACAAACTAAGTAATTATTAGATACAATTTATTTGATAACCTTTTAATTTACTTAATAGTAATAATAACAAATTAATTTCATTTTTTAGTATATTAAACACATTAAAATTTGTCCCTTTTATTTTTTTGCCATCAATAATTTTATAAAAAGAGTAGTATAAGTTTTCCCATATAGTTGTGATATCTCAAATGTATGCATCATTTGTTTTCTGTACCTACATATTTCTATTAATAAGTAAATATTTTTGCTAATACTCAATACCTATTATAATTTATTTTATATACTTTGTAAGTATATCCGTTTATGTCTTATCAAATCTAAGAATGGTGCGATTATAAATTGAAATTGTATATAATAATATATATATATATAATATACTATTGTATATAATATAATATAATTTACTAAATATGTATTTTTCATATTGCTTGTTATTATTGTTTTTAAAGTATTATGTTAGGAGTATGTAGCAATTAATAAAAATAAATATATAGGTTATGTTTAACATAAAAACTCAATAGCTTTATATTGATAGGTTATTCTCTCTGATTAGATAAACAACCACTCTTCACAAAAACTTAAGAACTAACTTAGAAATTGTTTTTGTGAACAATAATTATTTATTTTAATAAACTTAACTCTTACCATAAATAATATAACAATATAGTGTGTTCAGCTTTGATGTTATTAGGTTAGTGGTTTATAATGTACCGCAGATTGTAAAGTTGGCATAAATTATTAGGAAATAGTTCCGAACGACTTTTGAATTACATATCACTTGGAAACCAAAGTACAATAATTCTTAATTGCTAAGTTAAAAGATTAGTAAGTGTAATTATTATTACTTACTAATGATATAATATGATAAATCTAATCGCTGATGACGTACTTAACTGCTTCTAAGAGGAATGTAGGTTTTTATTTGAGTTCAGATTTTATTTGTTTGTTGTATTTTCAAAATCAAGTAAGAAAAATAGCCCATATTTTATAAAATGTGTTTTTATTACAAATTTGTATAAAAAAAAAAATAGATACCTACATGGTTTTCTATAGTCTATAGTAAGTGATCAGAATTTGTTAATAATATTTTTCTAGCTTGGATGTTTTCATGTTAACTTAATAAAATTAATAGTTCTATCTTTGAGATATACAGGAAATGCATGTTCATTATCTATTATAATTCGTAAGTTATATTAGGGCAAAATTATTGTAATATAATTATATTTATGATTTAATGTTTTAAAGATAATTGATCAGTATGTCATAGCAATTTAATTTTCTTAGGTTGAATTATTGTTTAAGATGCATAAATGATATCTGACGGGTGATTATATTTTTTATTATAATTAATATGTTTTTTTTTTTATAGTATATCATACTAATATACATGAAACGTAAAAATATGTACCATGATGTTGTTTCTTAAGATCCTAGACTTATATTTAAATTAAAAAAAATTAAAAATTGTTGTTAAAACTATGTAAATTATTTTTCAATTTAAGGTTTACTGAAATGTTTATGCTTTGAAGTACATTTTGAATAGTGTTTCATTTAATTACATGACTAGGGCTATTCTAAACACCCCACTGTTATAATATTGAAATATTTGTAAATTCAATATTATTTGTAATGTTAAAAAAAACTTGTAGGGATGGTAGGAGGGTGTTAATAAGTTTCCTATTTTCATAAAATAACTTAACTTGCTAGATACTAAGAGTATAGAATAATGAAAACACATCACTTATGAAGTTCTGTAGGTTATTATTAATATATAATTAAATGTTAAAAACAACATGTCTGTAGCGTATTTTTCCATTTGTTCTAATTTGTAAAAACTATTTTTTTCGGGTTTTTTTGTGGTTGGCTTGTTGCTGATGGCTTATTGTCCTTGAAGGATTTCTCGCTTGTAATTGATTAAGGACCCTGTGACTGTGAGCATTACACATGGCCACCTTACGCATATAGCTACTAATCCTCTTTTTCAATTGAGATATGTAATAAAACCTGGTAAATATGAATCAATTTAAAAATAATACAATAGACAAATTATGTAGTAGGTAAATTCTTGGGTAACACTTTTAATATTAGATTCATTTTAGGGTTCATTAAAAAATGTGTTATTTGTATCTATATTAATTTTTTTTATTAACAATCCTAAAATTCTAGGCTATTAACAATTTGAGCTATTTACACCAGTTTAGTATTATTACAAGCCAAATTAATATGATGAGTCCAGTTTCTTTAAGAAACTAGTTAATTGATGACTAATGCAGATTATGGTCAAAGTGCTTCTTTAAGTTACCATTGTACCTCAAATTTAGCAAATGGGTGCCGTGCGGTTTATTAAATGTTATTGAATATTTGTTGACAATTTATTATTGTAATTTTATAATAAAATAATCTCTTTAAGGTACTGCTAGGTTAGGTAAGGTTAAGTTGTGCTTCCTGCTTCAAAATGTCATTAAAACTTTTTATTAGTTTATTCCCATCAATGTAACCTTTTTTCAAGTTAAAAAAATAAAGTTGTTAGATGTTTTTTTAAATCATAAATTGTTAGGTATTCAGTATTTGTTGTACCTATACAGGTCCAACATTTTTTAGACAATCATTTATATGACAATGAAACAAATATCAGAATATATTAATTGAAACTACAATTTTCACTATTGTTGTTATCACATGATTACTGTGTTGTTTTTTAATTCGTATGTATGTTTATAAATTAATTTTTCAAACTATTATTTTAGTGGCAAACCAAGAGCTTTGGTCCAGTTAAAACTGTTATGGAAGCTGTACAACAAACAGTCATACATCTGGACCGTCCTGCCATGCCTTCACAAGCTCAAATGGCCTATCCTCAAAGAAATCCACAAATTCATGGGTATGTAGCTTAATTTTAATAATAACTATTTAAATATAATTTTTTCAAATCTTGTTAAATAAGTAATGGTGTATGTTCTATTTAAAAAGGTTTAAAAAAATATATGTTTCATGTTAGCTCAAAATTAAATTTCAAATATTTGTTTACTCCTTGTAGTAATTTTATATTAAATGTATTGGCAAAAATAACTTATTTTATTATCTACTGTGATCAACATTTTTCTGATTCTTAAGTTGACATGATTTTGCAAAAAAAAATTCTGTACAGACTATTAAAAAAAACAGGAATATAAATGCCTTCCTAACTTATATATTTTTATTAAATTTTAATAAGAATTATTAATATTGAAATCTGTTTATGACTTTGTTTTTTAAATTTAGAAGAAATGTCAACCATGGTGTCGTTCAAGTATCAGGTGAAAATAGTCCGTACAAGACATCTTCGGCCGGTACTGGTCCAGTGCACAATAATTTTGTAGGTTACCCAGCTAATATACGATATGTTTCACAACCTGTTTACATGTCGGCCACAACAACAGCATCAAATGCCTACAGAGATGCTCCATATCATTCTAGAGCCTTAAATGTAAGTTAAAAAAACTCTATAATCATTGAAGGAATAATAAAATAGTGCTAAATGGTATCTTTGGAAATGCATGAAATAAATAAAGTGGCGATGTCCAAGTCTTAAACTCTTGATGTGTTGTGGCCACAATTGCTTACATAAGTGGGGAGAAAACTTTTTAGGCTTCAACTTTAAAATAGTCTGGATATTTTGAGAACTCATAAAATAGCTATGTCCATTTGATGAATGAGAAAATTAATCCTTTAAATTAGCATTATTTTTACTATAATGAACTTGAAAAGTTGTGCATTATTACAATGTATTATTGTACATTGATTCTTTGTTGATTTTTCAATTTTTTTTTTTCAGATATCTGATAGAGGTGTAGCACTAGGTGTCCCGTTTGAACTAGCTAGAAGTGATATGATGCCTCCTGTTGCCAGACAAAACCGTATATCATTGTTGTCGGCAACAAGTGATTACTATCAACGGAGTCGTATGCAGTGAGTACATTTTTATTTCTAACCAATTTAGTTTTTTTAATTTTGAATGTATTACTGTGTATTGCTGCAATTGAATAACAATTTTTAAAAAAACTGTTTACAGATTAGAACATTATCGAGATGAGTCGTTAAATCATAATTCACACAATACGGTTTCTATGAATTTCATGAGAGAAAGACCAGATCATGGCCCTCCACCACCTTTGAAGAAACCAAAGTTACTTCATCCAATATCACCTCAACCGCCTCTCAAAATAGATATTTCTGTATGTCGTTGGAATAATGGAGTCTGTGTAATTTTTTTGTCTAATTATAATATTTTATTTACAAATTTAGGATCCTCCTTCTACGAGTGCATACAATCCTCAAGTAGAAGCAATTTCTCCTACTGTCGATGAACCAATGCCAGAGTACAAGAAACTCAGTGATATTGCTCCAAAGTTAAATAAAATTGAAAGTGATATAAGTACCATTACCCAAGAAATTGAAGATTTAATTAAGTTAAAAGTAATTGACATAATTTATAAATATATCTACTGTAATGTTCAAATTGTATTTATGAAAAAGGAATTCTTTTTTTTTTTTTTAGGAAAATTATGAACAAAAAGAATTAAATTCAGAAGTAACTAAAATTGAACCTAAAGAGGAGGCAGATAAAGAATGCGAGGAGGAAGATCCAATGAAACATTTAACACCCGTTCAAAAAATTTATGCTTCAAACAGAGTAAGTCGTAGAAATCATGTTTTAAGTTGTAAAGTTACATTATCTACTTTTTATATAACAACTTAATAAAAAATATTTAACCTTAAAGTATGAATATTAATTTATAAACAATTTTACTTATACTATTTGCAAACTGAATAATACAAATTTATGTTTTATTATATATATATATATTTATATTTATTCCTAATTATTATTTTGTTTTATTTTTAGAAAAAGGCATATGAATCTCGAACTAGTTTAGAAAAGTTTGCTAACAAAACTGATCTTGTAAGTATTAGTTTATTAAAACTAATTCTTATTCTAATTTTTTTAACTGTTACAACAACTTCTAATTTCAGCCTTTATATAATCAACCATCGGATGCAGATGTTTATCATGAAAATCGTAGAAAGTAAGCGTTTAGAGTTTGTCATTATTTTTTAAAATATATTATTATTCGCATTAATTTATGTTTTTTTTTGTATTCATTAGGTATGCTGTATTCAAATCACGGTTATTAGAACATTTGCGGAAAAAGAAAATGGAGCAACAACAAACGAAAACTGAGATAACTGAAACTTATTCCAAATTATATAAAGAATGGATACGCAGGGTCGAGAAAGTAGAAAGCTCTCAAAAAAGAAAAGCAAAGGAAGCTAAACACCGAGAACTATTTGAAAAAGTTTTCCCAGAGTTGAGAAAGCAACGAGAAGATAAGGAAAGATTTAACAGGGTTGGTGCTCGTATAAAAAGTGAAGCTGATTTAGAAGAAATTATGGATGGATTACAAGAACAAGAGGTAAAAATATTAGTTTAGAAATACTTTAGAAGGTTTTTCAAATAATAAAATTGATGTTTAATATAGATGGAAGACAAAAAGATGAGATCGTATGCTGTTATACCTCCATTAATGTTGGACCCTCATGAACGTCATTTAACATACTTGAATAACAACGGACTTGTGTTGGACTATAAAACTGAGTACAATGAAACAAAATATATCAATATTTGGACTCAGCAAGAAAAAGATGTGTTCAAAGATCGTTTTATTGCTCATCCTAAGAATTTTGGTGCGATTGCATCATACTTGGATAAAAAATGCCCAGCCGATTGTGTTAAATATTATTATCTTAGCAAGCCCAAAGAAGAGTACAAAAGACTTTTGCGTTAGTACAATGCTATTTTGTTGTTTTTTATCATGTTATTCAGCTTGATTTTTTTTCAAGCATTTTTACATAAAAGTAAATTTTAATTACATCAGAAGTGCAATCAACTTGTGATTAAAATTTTAGATTTGGTTAAATTTTTTTATCACATACGTGCATACCTCTTAAGGATTTTAATTTTGTTTTGTTTTACAGGCAAAGCTAAGTGGCAAGCACGACGCCGTACTGCTCAAAATCGGACGCCGGCTAGTAGCTCCTTAAATTCGTTGGACATATTAAATTCAACGTCTATCGGTGTCACTACACGGCTTCAAAGAGAACGTCAAGGTAGTGAAGCTGCATCATCAAGTATAGCTCATGTGTCCGTAGCTCACAATCCTTTACCTGATAATGAAGAAACTCCAGCTCCTACTGAAACACCGAATACTATTGAACAAGATATGAATGATGTAACAGAGTGTCAAACAGGAAACCTGCCAACTAACAAAAGTGAAACAAATGAATGTGTGTCCAATTTGGTTAAGTCGCCTGTGCCTTCACATACTAGGTGAATTTATCATAGTAATTGGTTTATTTTTAGTAAATATTGGACCAGTAAGGTTTAGTAATTTATGTAATTTGAAAATATCACAATGCTTTTATGGTTTCTTATAATTTAATGTTTTGTTATTTAAAAGTTTCTATTTTATAAAGCAACAAATCGGTTTGTTATTTGTTAACTTCCAAGGCTTGATTTTACTAACAATTGTAATCACGTAACACCAACAAGCCAATTTTAGGCGGCAAATGACTAACCTTGCAATTGAAATTGGGCCCAAAGGATTAAAACCTGAATGCACCATTTGAATTCATTCATCCTATGTTGTGTTGTTTCTTATCTCAATAATACTTTTATTTACCAACATCTAAAACCACTGAAATATTTAACTAAAAAGTAACATTTCAACACGGGGTTTTTATAGCAAAAAAACATTACACAATGCAGCTTAAATATAAAAAATATTTAAATAAAAGTTTGGATCTTGCCATATGACAACGCTAGTAGGCGCTAATGGGTTAATTTAATTTTGATTCATACACTAATAAATAATAAGTTAGTATTTATTATTAGAGCCTCTAAAAATAATACCTATTTTATATTGTACACTGTAAATGTTACTCATTAGATACACATTTTTTTTATACAATCATAAAAATGAAATTAATCTGTTAAAAATTCTTATTATCTATTATAATTTGTTTAGTGAAATGAAATCAGAATCAAAAAAGAAAGAAAGACGAAAAGATGACAAACAAAAAGGAGAAAATACAAGTACAACGGACGAAGAATTAATGGATTCTCGACGTAAGTGTCATTTTTACATTAAAATACAATACATTTTGAACAATAATAAGATTCATATAATAATAGAAAAGCAGAAATTCATAAAGCAGAAAATTACACATACATAATTTATTATTTGTATATTTTTATAATTGATATTCAAAGAGAATGAGTATGTAATCGATAAACATATTTTTTTTTACATACAATTTTTTCTCGAATTTTTAAATAAAAAAAAAAAAACATACATTTTATTTAGTTGCTATTTAATAAACACTGGTGTCTCATCTATAATAGTTTTCTGTCACCAATAAAATAAATCCACTCTGAACAATATGCAGGGGCCAGCCCATGTTTTTCAAACTATTTATTTTTAATTAAATGAACAATTTCATCTATATGATTTGTGAAATTTGTCAACATTTTAAATGATTAAAACATTACATTATATTATTTAAACATTTTTAGGGTGCTGATGCAATGAAATATTGTGAATGAACATAACCAAATATGTTAATTGTACAATTTAAATAGTCTACATTCTAGTTATGTGTATTGTGGAAAGCGATTAAAGTTAAACAATTGGTACAAAATTACATTTGATTACAATTTCTAACACAATTAGCTTAAGAGTTAGTAGTGTGAAACACTATATTCATTAGTTGTTTTACATACAAATTACGAGCTATTTATTTTACAATACTTTCTGTGTTTATGGACAAAGTAGTAACTCGGAAACTTTGAACCGCACTGTCTGCATGGATAATATTGGACTGATGAATTTTTTTCATCTATTTTGTTATTTATAAAATGTGTGTTGATATGTCTACTTACGTGTTTTTCGTAACAGTTTTTATTTTTAAAAAAGTGATGGCAATATTCACAGCAAAACAGTTTACTCGATGTCGATTGTTTTTGTTTGAGGTTTTGATAATTTTCATTTAATACTCTATAAAATTGAACTGGCCCATCACAGCTAGCTACGTCCAATATTATATTTTTATTTTTTACCGGTGGCTTGAAGTTAGAACTCTCCGATATTTTCAATGTTCTGTTCTCATTCGGTCGTTGTATCGTAGTGGAATTGGCACAAGACGGAAATTTTGCTATTGGCTTTATTATATTCTGATCCCTTGTTTTGAAAAACGCCTCACATAACTCGGATGCATGCGGCATGTGTAAAGTGTGTGCCGCTAACATAACCGAATGAATATTACTATTATTTACGTCTAGTATTCCCGTATAAATATAATTTAAAATAATTGAAAAAGTATCATCTGTGATGTTGCCGGGTAAAATTATTTTATTCTCATCACAGTTTTTTAATGACCTAAAGTAACCGCTGTATTTTATGAGCATTTCTCGATGAGTAAAAAAAACGCGTGTTTTGTTTTGAAGTGGTGATGTAGTGTAAACCGATAAATCAGGTGCGATTAAAGGATACATGATTGTTGGTGGTGATATTACGAAACTGATTGAATGGTTTTTGCTTTTGAATTATTTAAATCTCGAGCCCTGTCGACAGCGCTCTCTATACAACATTTTAAGTTGCTTCTCATTCAGCAATATTTGCTATGTTGTTATCCGTTATTTACCTTTTATCTCCCTCGAGATTTGCTTTAACCTTAATTAATTTACCATTTTGAATCCCATCGTAAAAAAAAAATATAACAATAAAATAATAACGATGCTGTGATGTATTTTCATTTACTAAATGTCCAATTCAATTAACAAATCAAATAATTGTTTAACTAATAAAAATCCTCAGTTTTTTTTAAAAATAATTTTTTTGATGTTTATTTCGAAATTAGAAGTTCACTTTTTTAGTTATATTTTTTGTAATATTTGGCTTTTGAGTCGGGACTACTGCAGACTAGCTATAGGACAAAGATTGGCGTTTTGGTAATGATTGATAAATTACATTTTAAATGTTGAAATGATGTAGATTTTTTCGTATGTAATTAATTACGGTTGTTATGATTAAGTAATTGTTGTTTACTGGGAAATAGCTGATTATGGAATTTCTATCTTGTTTGTTTAATTAAATTAAAATTAAACATAAAAGTTTGAAATAAACTTGTTTGTTTTTATAAAAGAGATTACAGTTAATTACGTTATCCATTTAAAATTCCATGTTGATTTATTATAAAACATAGTATTTATCAGACATTATCAAATTATTATTTTTTATGTGCAGAGATCAAAAAGTATGTGTGTGTTTGCATAAAAGCTTACACACTTCAATGACTTTATTCCCTCGAGAATATAAGTAGCCATTTCAATTACGCTACACTAAATTGGGGTTGCTTACAACCCCTTAGTCTCTAGAGACTTGCGAGAATGATGCTTACTACATCAGTGTTTATAATACATCAGTTAATAACTAAATTAAATTGTACTAATCTCTCTTGGTCAATGATAATGAATAATAATAAAGCTTAATATGTATTAATGATACAAACAAATTATTTTAATGTTGATTAAAAACTAATTGCAAGCTTATTAATTTAACAAAACAAGCTAGAAGTACACTTCTAAAAATGTTTTGCACTCTTCCGTAGATAAATTGAATATTATATATAATGTTTGTTGTAAATTTTTATTCGACACATTATAAAACCATGTTTACTGAGGTTATGTTTTAATTTATATTGGTTGCACTATAATAATATGAATTGTGACATTTTTCGATTTAGTGACTGTTTTGTTTTAGATGAAGGTGGGACAAAAGGAGATGTTCCTAAAGGGATTTGTGCTGTTTGTAAAGCAGAAAATGTAGCTTGTCCCAGAACTCTGAATCCATCCGATGCTGCTCAATACGGTGTTAAGCCCGAAGATATCAAACCGGGTGCTCGAGTTTGCAATACATGTCGTTGCAAGGTGGTCAGGTCTCAGAATCGACGTGTCATCTATTGTCCTTTGCCGTCTTGTCCAACCGTTCAATCTAATAGTAGGCGACCCGTGAAAAGGTTACGTCCATTACCCGCAAAGTGGACTACCGCTCAAGATATTATTGCTTCCGAGTTTCGTAAGTATACAGTTGTTAACATATTTGTAATATTTACTATTTTTTTTAATGGTTGTTTTATTTTTCTTAAACAATTTATAGAAATAAGTCCAACAACGACTAAGTGTTGCTCGGCTTGTTTTAATCGCATACAAAGACGTTTAATGGCTCTTGGAGTTGTAGGAACAACGAACAACATGAGTACAGATAGTTTGGACGGATGGACCGACGAAGAAACCAACGCGTTAAAAAAAGGAATTCGTGAACACGGCACACGTTGGAGCGAAATCAGCAAATTGGTCGGGCCGAACAAAAGCCATTACCAGTGTAAAGAGTTTTATTTTAGTTTCAGAAAGAAATTGGGATTAGACCTCTTAGTCCAAGAGTACAAAAAGGTAATAATTATAATATGAATAATCTTTTTGTTTGGTAATGTATTGGAAATATATTTTTTCTTTTCATGTGTAGACGAATGGAAGTGAACAGAAACCAGCCTTAACCGACGAAGAGGAATCAGGTTCGAGCACTTCAAGCTGTGATGAGACCAATCTTGTATTGTGTGACAGTGACACTCAAAGTGCACCGTCGCCAACAAACACTTTACCTCGATCATCTCCCTCAAGAGAAACTATTAGTCCTTCTCAAGCAAAATTGACTATCGTTAAGGAATCGAGAGTTGACAGTGAGGGAACTAGTCGTTCAGTCGTTATTAAAGAAGATTATGACAGTTCAGCAACGGAGACTGCTGACGAAGGCACTGGTGGTACAGCTGAAAATGAATCCAACGTTATGCAACATTCCATTAACGAATCCGATAAAAAAGATAAAAACTTGACTGATTTAAGTGTATCTGATATACTATGTGATGTGATTGAAAAGCAGTTCACTAAAGAACATGTGTCTAATCGTGAAGTGAGTACTTATTATGTTTTTTTATTTTTTTAATAATTTAATATATATTTTTTTATCTTACTAACAGAAAGAAAATGGATCAATGCCCACTATATCTTCAATTCTTTTAGACCCAGAATATCCGATTAAAGATCGTATATCTGGGTCTAACAACGAGATGAAGCAGTCGATGGCGACTATATCGGTTGTTCCACCTAGAGAACATCATCATAATAAAGACGGCTTGGTTGTTGTGCAAGTTCAGTCTTCAAAAGTTTCAGACGTCAGAGTATCTGAAGGTGTAACTCTCGATTTAAGTATCAAACGCCCAAGAGAAGGAGATGCCTATGCAGACCCGCCTCCAATCAAACACGCACAGCCTCCACCACCACCTGGCGCCATGTACCGACCGCCGCCAACACAAATACACGAAACTAGTTCATTTTATTCTCCACAGGTTTGTCACTATATAAACTTTTTCATAGCTGTATGTTGCAATAAATACATGTGTTCTCTTTTAGTTTGCAGAATTGGGACGATGTGGTAAACAAGGTGAGATATATTGGACAAAGTTGTCGCCGGCCAATAACCATGTTATGGTTCATCCGTCTCAATCTATTCCTCATGTAACTGTCAAACAGACTTCTCATATAAAATTACCTAATAAGGTATGTTGATTAGATCGAAATAGTTATTCAGTGTAATAATTAATTGAATTTAATTGTTATTTTAGGTAACATCACCTCAGTTGACTGTTGCAAATGTAGTATCATCAAAGTTGTCTCCAAATATGTTAAACAATTCAAAAGCAACAGGCTCCATAATGCATGGTACTCCCGTTTCTGCCGCTACTCTATACATGCCTTCTCAGTCAAATCGTTATTCTCAGCCGTCGCAAGCGTCGGGAGGTTCTATTACTCAGGGAACTCCAGTTCATCAACGCATGTTACACAACAGCCAAAACATCAATCCGGATTATTATCAAAAACGTAATCCACAACCTCAATACCAATCCAGACAGCCCCATTTCAGTGAACAAAGACAAATTATCATGAATGACTATATAACATCTCAGCAAATGCATTCTAATGTTGCCGCCCAATTCCCACGAGCCCAAAAACCTCCTCCCGTTACCAGTCCCATGTATTATCAACCAACTCGTCAAGGTGTCATACAGCGTCATAACACTGCCCCTAAAGTCACTTCTCCGCAAAGTTACCCACCAGGACATGAAGCGTTAGGATCTCTGGTGGATGTGGCAATAAGACAACCGAGTTTACCCGTGCCCTTGACTCATCCAGATGATCGGCACAGAGAACAAGAACGGTTTGTGAGAGGATCTCCGGTGCCAAAAATATACAGGGAGCAACAAAGACAGGAGCTAATACAGAGAGAACGGGAAATGGTTGTCCAAAGAGAGCGCGAAATGCAAGCAGTAGCTCAAATCAGAGAACAACAGCAAAGAGAACAGTACATGAGGGATAAACAAATGATGCAGCATAGACTTACGCCAGAGCAGCATTCAAGAATGGTTGTTTCATTTCAACAGCAGCAGCGGCAACAAGAACAGTCCAGAGGGATGCAAATACCATCAACAGCGTCGTCGTTTCAACAGTCCAGATCTAACACCCCCGTATCTAGGCATCAAGAACCACCATCAAACATGCAGAGGTATGTTAGAATTTGTTTTCCTAATAAGTATTATTTATAAAAATCAATCTATAATTGATCATAAACATATAGTTAAATCATAGGCTCGGAATAAACTATTTACAGAGAATTATTGTCAAATTGTAGTTATAGGATGTTTTTTTTAATGTTTGTTTTAAATTCGTCAGATTATTTTTCATGTTACATTTAAATTTCATTTGATATTCATTTTATAAAACTGCATTTTTTTTCTCTGTGAAGAATTTATCATATTTTTATGTTTTTAAATTTATATAATAATTAATATTAACACATATTTATTAGTAGGGATAGTGGTGCTGGTGGTAGACTTTCAAGACAAGGTATGGAACATGCGTTGACTGCAGCTAATTTAATTGATGCTATTATTACTCATCAAATTAATCAGAGTAACGACGGAAGTGGCCATCCCCCTAATTCTACACCGGCGACTAGTCAAGTACACGTTCAACAACAGCGAGCTGGCGATAAACTATTTCAAGTAAGTGTTATTTTATTTTAAAGAATTAATAGTTGAAATGAATTTTAATAATTTTTTCCTTTGGAAATCTGTGTAGTTAAAACATTTTCAATAATAAATTCTGGTACCAAAAAAATATACATATTAGGTCTTGGTTATAGTAAAAAAGTTATCAACTGTAATAATAACTTTTATTCAATAATCATTAAAAGCATAAAACAAATTACGATCTTTCAATTTGTTATTGCTATTGAATACTAATTCTGTCAAAGACTTCAAATGTTAATTAGTGTCAAAAATGATAATCATGTCTGAAATTTTATAAATACTGCGCAAAAAATTAATTTCTGTAATAAATCTTTTCCAGGCATTCCCAGAGGCTAATGAAAAGCCTGCGGTAAAACCTCGAGGTAGTCCAGATATTGTTGGCCGACCCGGTGAACAACTATATTCTGCAGAACATTCTTTCAAAGAATACCCAGGGTCTTATATGGTGGCCGCCACGGCGTACGAACCACATACTTGGAAGTTACGACGTGCTCTTCAGCAAAAAGAATGTGAACAACAGATGAAGGACGATAACAACAGGGTGCGCTTTTATCCGACTCAAGCGGACATACCGTTATCGCCTCTAGATTATGTAAAAAACAGAATAGTCGAAGTCATGCGAACTTCCGACGACGACAACAAAACCGAACAGGCGTACACTTATCCATTCTCGACCGCTATCAATATGTCAACGTCGGCCGTACAGAAAAACAATGAAACGTCGGACACCAATATCGGCGGTAGTGGCGGCAGCGGAGGCGGGGGCGGTGGCAGCGGTGGTGGAAATGGTGCTCCTACATTAACTGCCCAGTATGAACCAATGTCTGACGAGGACTAACACTTCTGTAACACAGGGTATGAATATGTGTTGATAAGATTTTTACGTTTAAAAATCTAGTCGTTTCTTTTTTTGTGTAATATTTTTTAACAAAAACAAATATACTCTTGAAGTGTGTTAAGTATTTTTTTTAAATATACGTTTCAGAAAGAGGAACCGCATCTTAATCGCGACCGAAATAAAAACAAGAGATCTGTACTTTTGATATGTTCAGGATTTTGTTTTCACATTTGGTTCTGTTCTGTTCTTGTTTTAATTTTGACTAGTGAAAGTTGTTTAAATTTAAAATTTTCCATTGATACTTTAAAAAAAAAAAACTATTTAATTCTGGAAAACTAAACATCGATTGGTTGACACAAATAAGCTCATTATTATTTTAACTCATTCAAATTATCACGCGGTTCAATATTTAAAAAAGTAATTTCTTTTACTTTGTATTCTTATTAAAATATATATACTTATATAATAAATGGAATCTAATAGTGTAATTGTTCTGAAAATAAAATGTTTTTACAGCAACCGTAAATGTTTAAGTAGAAACATTTAATATACCTATTAAATATTTAAAACACATTTAGATGTAAATCTTAAACTGCCACGTTTTTTAAATTTTGGTCGGATAAATTTATATTTTTGTTAATGTAAAATGCATTCTTCAACATAATCATGGGATTCCATAATTCTCATCAAATTCGCAAAAGAAGTGTCTAGACTATTATAGATGTATTTTGAGAAGTACAAAAATAATTAAAATTGCTAACTATGTGACTTTTTTTTATTAAATTTTTACATTTGAACTTTTAAGATATTATCTATAAACAATAATTTTAAAATGTAATTTGAAAGTCAATTTGATAACAATTTGTCGTTTTAAGTAAATATTTTTATTTTATTGATTTAAGTTATTTCTTGGTAAAAAAAAAAAATATTCAATTTTTGTTGCATATTTTTTTTGTATTATGTTATAGTTATCGTGTCAACCAATTGGTTTTATTTTATTATTAAGATAAACATATTTTACCTTTTTTAACAGTAAAAATAAAAAAAAAAAACAATTTACTAATTGTAGTATTTATTTTGTTAAACAGTCTTATGTTTGATGTGTATATTAAAAATGTATTACGATTATAATTGTGTAAATTGTTTCATATATTTTAATAATATTTAAGAATATATAAAATGTATAATATTCCCTCCAATTTTTATTCGTCTGTTTTTTTTCTTTAGGCATACAAATGTAAATATTAGAGTATTAGCATATATTACTTTTGTAATCATTTTATTTATTTTTTATTATATATATATATTTTTTTTTTAATGTTGAACATTTGTAATTAATGGTAATTGTGTGTATATACATATAAATTGCAATATTTTTAGTCTTGAATTAACAATATTTGTATCTTTGTAAATTTAGTACGACATAAGTTGGAGGATATAAAATTAAAAAATACCTAACAGTTGTGATAAATATTTGATATTGACCTAATATTTTAGGTATTTGTTATCCGAATGAATAATAAATGTGATGATACCAATCATATTTTTTACATCAATGTTTTGAATTTAAAAAGTTCTTTACTTATCGTTCTAAATATTATTATAATAAAGCTACAGTTCGGCGACAAACACAAGGAATTGTGTTTTCCGCCACCTTTGGCTTGACTTTTGAGTTGTTAAAAGTTAAAATCACATTGGCCAAGTGTTTGTTTAGGGTTGAAGGTGAGGTTTGGTTTGGTTTTTACACATTGCCTCGTTGTTTGTCTTCAACAGCTCTTTGTCACACAATATTTTTCAATGTTAAACTAACGGTGAGCTGTGATCGATACCAATGACTTGAGATTGTTTCTTAGTCCATCTCGAGAATGGAAAAATTAAAATATTAACTATGTTGTTATTAATATATTAATAATAACCATACAAGTATATTATCAAACTATGTTTTTATAAACACGTTACGTCATAGGTCTGTCAGTCCACTTTAAACATTAATACAGCTATGAGAAACTGACGTTTTTCTAAAAAGTGTATATATATATATAATGTTAGGATCAATTAAATAACCTAAAATTTATAAAATTAATTCGGCTCACTGGGTATCCCTCTCATACAATCGGGTGTTTTCTTCCCCATTAATATTATTTATAAAAAAATATTTGCAAATATTAAATATCTCTGTAAAATTAAGTTTAAAATATTAAAAAAATTCCATACACAACTCTCCAAGATTGGAGGTACCATAAAGATTTTAAGGATTAAAATTGACTACGAGTAATTTGACCATAAGATATTTAATTTTTACTTCAAATAATTTATACATATAATATTATATTTGTACAATTTTTTAGTTTAAGATTTAGCGATAACATTGAAATATAAAATTTATTATGTATATGAATCAGATAGACCAAACAAATCGACCGTTTTTATTTATTAAAATAAAATTCATGGAACAAAAAAAAAAAACAAAAAAACAAATAATTAACATCATTTATGAAATGACGAATTATATAAATTAGAATTAGAATGTAATAATAATTAAAAAAATATAGATTAGCTAAACGTTAACCTAACTGCTTAATATAACCCGAAAGGAGAAACCTTATCAGCAGTCTTATGTACACGAGGCTTGAAACAAATTCAATTACACCTTAAAGTTCATCCTTTTCGGCATCTGCATCACCAGCAGGTGGGGGTGGTGCGCCACCAGTGCTAGCGTACAGTTTCGATATGATCGGATTGACCACACTTTCCAGTTCGGTTTTTTGTTGCTTGTATTGCTCAGAATCAGCATCTTGGTTCTCGTCCAGCCATTTGATTTTGGCGTCAATGACTTCTTCCATTTTGGTTTTTTCCGCATCCGACAACTGAAAATATTTATTAATTATAAATACCAAATTTTTAAAAATCATAAATTATAAGCAGCAAAATGATAAATACTTACTTTTCCGCCCAACTTTTCTTTATCGGCAATTTGGTTCTTTAACGAGTATGCGTACGATTCGAGTTCATTTCTAGATTCCACACGTTCCTTCAATTTCTTATCGTCGTCAGCAAACTTCTCTGCGTCCTTGATCATGCGTTCTATATCATCCGGGGTCAGTCTGTTCTGATCGTTGGTGATAACAATCTTTTCCCTATTACCGGTACCCTTGTCCTCTGCGCTTACTTGCAAAATACCATTGGCGTCGATTTCAAACGTGACTTCAATTTGTGGTACACCACGAGGTGCCGGAGGAATACCGGTAAGATCGAATTTGCCAAGAAGATGATTATCCTTAGTCATCGGTCTTTCACCTTCAAACACTTGAATAGTGACAGTGTTTTGGTTGTCCGCAGCGGTCGAGAAAATTTGACTCTTCTTCGTCGGGATTACAGTATTACGAGGAATCAATTTGGTCATTACCCCTCCGACGGTTTCAATACCCATCGTGAGCGGGTTCACATCCAAAAGGATAATGGCATCGGTATCTTGTTCTCCAGATAAGACTCCAGCTTGCACAGCAGCGCCGTAAGCAACAGCTTCGTCTGGGTTGATACCCCTGGATGGTTCTTTTCCGTTGAAGTATTCTTTTACCAACTGTTGTACTTTGGGAATTCTCGTACTACCGCCGACCAATACAATTTCATCAATGTCCTTTTTGTTCATGTCAGCATCTTCCATTACCTTTTGCACCGGTTTCATGGTAGACCTGAACAAATCCATGTTGAGCTCTTCGAATTTGGCACGAGTCAGAGTTTCTGAGAAATCGTCTCCCTCAAAGAAGCTTTCAATTTCAATGCGCACTTGATGACTAGCAGACAGACCACGCTTTGCTTTTTCCACTTCACGTCTCAACTTCTGTACAGCTCGTTTATCCTTTGTTATGTCTTTGCCCTTCTTTTTCTTGTACAGCTTGCAGAAGTGATCCATAACTCTTTGATCGAAATCTTCACCTCCCAAATGAGTGTCACCATTTGTAGAGACCACTTCAAATACTCCGTTGTCAATAGTTAACAAGGATACATCAAAAGTACCACCGCCCAAATCAAATACAAGAACATTCTTTTCGCCTTCTCTCTTGTCTAAACCGTACGCAATAGCAGCAGCTGTTGGTTCGTTGATAATTCTCATAACAGTCAAACCAGCAATGGCTCCAGCATCTTTAGTTGCTTGACGTTGACCATCATTGAAATATGCTGGAACAGTAACTACGGCGTGTGTGACCGTCTTTCCTAAATACGCTTCGGCGGTTTCCTTCATTTTTCCTAAGACCATAGCCGATATTTCTTCAGGCGTAAATACTTTTGACGTGCCTTTGTTAGTTTCAACTTCAATATGAGGCTTGGAATTTTTGTCTATCACCTATGAATAAAAATAATTTAAGTTAAAAACAAGAATAACAACTGAATTGTACCATGATTTACAGTTCAATTCACCAAAAAAAATTAAGTACCTTGAAAGGGAAAAACTTGACATCATGTTGGACATTTTTGTCAGACCAATCACGTCCAATTAAACGTTTGGCATCAAAAACGGTATTTTCTGGATTTGTTGTAAGTTGATTTTTAGCAGCATCACCGATGAGACGTTCACCTTCTGCTGTGAATGCTACATACGATGGAGTGATTCTGTTACCCTGATCATTAGCAATGATCTCAACTCGCCCATTTTTATACACTCCAACACTACAAAAAAAAAAAATTAGTTTTAAAACACATTTACATTTAACTTTTTATAATCAAATTATAGTGTTTCTTAATGAGTTAAATATATATCGCACACCAAGATCAAAACTGTAGCAACTAAAAAAAACAACTTTTTTCAGGAATTCCAAAAAACTTATTTTCAAGTAAAATTACTTTAACTTGTTAATTAAACTTTAACTGTTTATTTTAACAAAACAGTTTTGTACAACCAACGTATGTGGCACTCCGCTTGATGTCAGGGCAGAAACTTAAGTTTTTAACGGTTTTGGTAGTTATGATTATGAGATTAGTCATTTTTACAAAAGGTACATTGCCATATTTTGGAGAGCAATAAAGATTAATTTAAATTTGTTTTGTTGATTCATTCAACTTAGTTTGTAAAATCAGAGTATACAAATAACTACAAAAACCCACTTTTTGAGTTGTTACAGTTTTGATCTAGGTGTGCGATATAATATTTCTAGTTTACACATACACTACAAATTAAATCTTAAAACAGAGTTAGATAATGTAACTAATTTTTTAAATGAGAAACACATTTTTTTCAGATTTGTTTTTGCATATTTTTAATAACATTATCAATACATTAATAAAAGATGCAATTTTCCTAGTCAGTAGCCTTATATACTTTGATATTACACAACGAAAAGATTTGGATGCTATTGCAACTATAATCAAATTTAAAACAATTTTTTTTACTCATGCACAGTCAGCAGAAATGCTATTGTTTGACAACGTGTAAATTTTGACTATTATAGTTATGCTAATATATATTAGGCTATGTGTCAGCATAGTAACACATATAAAAACCATGACTGCTTTTTAGAGCGATCAAAGAAATTGCCCTCACTGTTCGTCATTTATTATTTTTAAAACGTGCCTACAGATATTAAATCTGTTTCAGAAATAATTAATAATAACCATTTATGCTTACTATTAACATACTATTAATTATTTTATTTACAAATAATAGTCACTGCTTAAGTTTATTAGTTAGAGGCTATAATATAGAAACTTTGAGTCCTCAGACAATTCATTGTAGACATTAAATCAATGTATACGTAAAATATTGTACGTATACAAAAAACTAACTTGTAAGAGTATGTAATATGCTGCAACATTTTAATTGAAATAAATAAAAAAATTAAAAATCAATGTAATGAAACGCTATTTTTTGAGAAAAAAATGTGCTTTTTAAAATACATTTTTTCCAAATTTAATTTTGACTCCTAAATAACTATCAATATAATTGAAATAATAATGTATGACTATTAATTATGAAAGAAAGATAGTTTTATAACGAAATTGATCTATATAAAAATTGGTGACTTGACAAATAAGAAAATTTACTTTACATTGGTATTACATTATCAGTGCGAGAAACATGATAATAATGAAGGCATATTTAATTTAAAGGAAGTTGAAGATAAATTTTAAATGGAATAACCCAATAATAAATTCTAACTGTTTATATACTGTCCCTTTAATACTACTTTAACTAAAAAGCTTTAATTAATATAAAGAGGAAAATATGTACCATGAATAAGTTGTGCCCAAATCAATTCCAATCACGGTTCCGAGTTCTTCTTTGGATTTTCCTGCGTCTTTGGCTGTGATCGAAGAAGCCAAAAACAATAGGACCCAAATGATGGACTTTTTTCGGTCCATGACCAATATATTGCAATATGCTAGAAAAACAAAATCAATGTTAAGTATGCGTAATACTAATTGATAAGTTTGACTTATCGAACTCGAAATAAATACAATTTCGTATATACTTACATGGTTAAATCGATTGAAATCCAAATAAACGTACACGTAGAAAAGTTACTTGAGTTCTCTTGAATGCTCCTTGAGCTCAGAACAGTTACAAGTTACAACGTATGCACACACTGAACGCCAACGATTAATATGATGAAATGAACGAGCGGAAAATTGACGAATAAATGCCTTCGTTGCAAGTCTATATACAGTTATACGGACATGTGGGTCAACGTCATTGGTCAGCTCCACATCACTTGTCTCGTTGCTATTGGTCCACGTTCGACAACGAAACGAAGAAAAACTCGATACACCGACATAACCTCAATGTTTTCCAAGCTCTTTGACTGCCACGGTTGAACGTAAACCGATATACGGTATCCGGTTACATCCCACAACCATAATGGTTAGTGTTTTTTTATGATTTGCGTTATCTCTGAATAATTATAAAATACGGATCCTTGCCCTCTATTAAACGCGAATGACTCTATGGCGGTTCATCAAGGTGAAGTTTTCGGTTTTTCATATTTTTTCAATTAATTAACACAGCACACTTGTCCAGTTTTAGTGACAGCGCATTTATTTTTTTGTAAATATCTTGTAATTTATAAATTATAAAGTAAAATGGCTTTCCCAATATCGTTTCATTCGTTCGCTTTGAAGGTATTGTTCAGTTTTGTACACATCTTTCTTATTATTAATTATAAACATTTTGTTTAATAAATAATTTTTTTTTTTGTTTTATCCAGGGTAGTGTTGGACTTATCAAACGAACGCTTTCTACATCTCGTGTGTTGTCTAATAAACAGGTAAATTTTATTTTAGATTATAGTAGTTAATTTCTATGGTTTATTATAACTTTAACTTTGTAATAGATGACTGTTCGAGATGCCTTAAATTCAGCTATGGATGATGAAATGGAGAGGGATGAAAGGGTTTTTATTTTGGGCGAAGAAGTAGCGATGTACGATGGAGCCTATAAAATTTCTAGAGGTCTTTGGAAAAAATATGGTGACAAACGTGTAATCGATACCCCAATTACCGAAATTGGATTTGCTGGAATAGCTGTCGGAGCAGCTATGGTACTACACTATGCATAATTTGTAAAATATCTTAAAATAAATTTGCCTACAAAATTATGTATAATAAGTTTAATTACTATAGAAAACTAAACATTTGGATTATCTTATGGTATTTAAAACTATACTGTGGAACTATCTATGTAATCTACAAAAGATGTTAGAGTTAATATTTAATTCATTTTCAGGCTGGTTTGCGACCAATATGCGAGTTTATGACTTTCAATTTTTCTATGCAAGCAATTGATCAAGTCATTAATTCGGCAGCAAAGACGTTTTACATGTCTGCTGGCACGGTAATAAAGATATTCAAACATTTCTTGTTTTAAATTAATTACAAAAAAATTACCTATGTGTACTAACTTTTTGGCTTACTATTAAATAGACATTTTTTTTAAATAGGTGAATGTTCCGATTGTATTTAGAGGTCCAAATGGAGCAGCCTCTGGTGTTGCTGCTCAACACTCTCAATGTTTTGGTGCCTGGTATAGTCAGTGTCCGGGATTAAAAGTAAATATTTCAATTTAATATCAATAAATGTATTATTAGTTTGATATAGAGTTTAAAAGGTATTACCTTCTACATCAGCAATCGTGTGTGTTGTTTTTTGTCTGTACCTATAATTACTTTTTAACTCGACAACTGCCGGGTAAACTTTTTAAAATATAGTTTAAAAAGTACAATTTGCTTAATAAAAATACTTAATTAGGATATAAGTTAATAAGTTTACTACTTCTTAATTACAATCGCAAAAAGTAACTTTAAAATTGATGTAATTCAAAATTAAATTATGGCTTTGTTATAATTTTCTAAACACTGGTTAAAATTGAAATATTTTTTAACTCAATACTTCTAAAATAGATAAGGAAAATATTTAATTTTTGATGTTTGAACTATGAAATAAATTTGATGATACATGTGTATAAAGTAAAAAAATATACTAAAAATAAAATGTTTCTTTTTAAAACTAAATTGTGCATTTACAAGTTAGACTTGGACTATACTAAAATTTTCAATATTTGTTCTAAAAAAATATACATTTATTTTCAGGTAATATCTCCCTACAATTCCGAAGATGCCAGAGGATTATTGAAAGCAGCTATCCGTGATCCTGATCCAGTTGTATTTTTAGAAAATGAGTTATTATATGGAAACCAATATCCTATTACTGATGAAGTCTTGGACAAGAACTTTGTATTGCCAATTGGTAAAGCGAAAATTGAAAGAAAAGGTATGTGAATATGTTTTCCATTGGTATGAATACATTTAAATGCTTATATTTATTAATAGATACACAAGTAATTTTCTTAAAAACTTCCCTCCAAATAAGCAAGAATTATTTTATCATATAGCATATTTATTTTTGTTTATCGAGTTGTTTTTAATTTAGGTGATCATATTACACTTGTCGCACATTCAAAGGGAGTCGAATTAGCCCTAGACGCAGCAAAAGAATTATCTTCTATCGGTATTGAAGCAGAAGTTATCAATTTAAGGTCGTTAAGACCGCTTGATATAGACACAATTGTACAATCTGTAACTAGAACAAATCATATTATATCTGTGGAGCAAGGATGGCCTTATGCCGGAATAGGATCTGAAATATCTGCACGTATTATGGAAAGTAAGTGTATTTAAGTAAAATAATAAATGTAAGCAAATATAATATTTATAATCTTTTAATGATTTACTTTTAGGTGAAGCCTTCTATTACTTAGATGCACCAGTAATCAGAGTAACAGGTGCAGATGTACCAATGCCATATACAAAATCATTGGAAATAATTGCATTGCCTCAGCCTAATGATGTAGTGGCAGCCGCTAAAAAAATACTCGGAGTGTAAAGTTATCTCCCAAAAAAAAAAAAACATTGTATACAAAAAAAAAAAATTATAAAACAATAAGATTTAGGTGCAATAAACCTACTGTTTTTTTGTAAATGACTAAAACGTAGGTTTGAAATTCCATTCGTGTATTAAACTATAAGTGTTAACCGTTTTTTGTTGAAGCTTTATGTTAAATAAAACTAGAATAAATTCTAGGCACTTCAGTGTTCTATAATTAAGACTTTTAATTTGTTTTTATTAAATATTTGCTATTTTACTTTTAAAAGGTTGTTTTCTTGAAGTTTCTTATACTTGAAATTAGTTTTTAGATATCATATGATTTCATTTACCTACCCGACTTGATATTTAAACAATTAATACCCTAGCAAGTTCTTGTTTTCTGTTTGTGATAAGTTAATTAACTTATCACACTTATTAGGTCTTATTATCAACTCATCAGGTTGGTATCATATGCAAGGTAGGCAATTAAATATTTAAAAAAAATAATTTTCTTTTTTAATTATCTAGTAACTTTAGTAATTAGTATCTGTACCCAAAGTAAAGTTGTACGTATGCCTTCAGCTGGAAAGTTGTTTGAATATCCCCAAAAGTATCTTCCAGCTAAAGACCAAAATTACAATAATTATGCATTACCTTTTTATCATAAGAATAATTTAGCTCTCAGACTCCCATTAGGAACCACCTTTGATGTTTAATAAAATCTTAATTAATCAATAAATATTAAGTTTCCATTATTGATTGTTATAGTAACCTTGTTTAATTCATTTTAGTTTGGATTTGTAGTCTAGTCTTTTTGCTTGAAATTCGATTTACATACTGTCACATTTAAATAGGTTTACACGCTGCAGTTAATGTAAAAACTTGGTCTCAAGTATTATATAGTAATAAATGAAACTCTTTGACTCTTTTTATTATTATTATTAATATCTTGCTATATTAAAAGTTAATATTTATTAAATAATTTAATATATAACAGTTGTGTTTTGAATGTTAGATTGTATTTGCTTTGGCTTGGTGAAGGTCACCTTTAAATCCATACCAATAGCAATGTACTCCGAGTTGCTCCATTAGATAATCGTGATGGCTGACCCGTTAAAAGAATTTAAAAAAAACCTTGCAGTGCCATCACATAAACATTGTGTCAATTTAATTTTTATAAATTACACCTGCAACAAAGAAGAAGGTTGTTTTCCATTTTTTGGTGAATAAAATAATATTCAAGTTTATATTCTCATTCTACATTTTAATTTTATCTTTGAGAATACATTTCACATTAAGCACACCCTGAATAGGATTTATATTTTTTATAACAATTATTTCCAAGTTTTTTTCATAGATACCATCTTCCAATAAACCTAACTCAACATGAGTTTTCTGTGGGGAAAAATTGGTTGGTTTTTTTTTAATACTCGTAACAAATTGGTTCATAATCTCATTTGACTAATAGAAATACTAATATTTTTACTGGGAAGATAATACTATATTAAATCATGAAAATAATTTAAAATTGCAAAAAATGAGACAATATTTTCTATAAGAAGAAACTAATTACTACAATAAGTATTAGTATTATCAATTTTTGTACTGTCTTATATATATGACGGCAGCAAGTCCCAAAAATCATAAAGGAACGAATTTCTCTTAAAATATTCAGTTTATCTTCTTTTATAGTATCTGATATCAGTAATGTTAATGTAATAGAAAGAAGTTTTGTCATATTTTTACATACATCGCAAGATGTTGTGTCAATATAAAAAATGTTTAATACAAATTTTTAATGTTGGTATTAAAATACTTATCAATCTATTTTCTTTTAAAAATTTTACATATACAACTTAAAATGAATAAAAATACATTTTTTTATTTCATATAGAATAATGATTTATATTTATTATTTAGAAAAACCGAATAATATTTATTAATATTAGGTACATGAAAAATTCACGTACATCCATCCATCCATCCATCCAATTTGAACATATTATGCTTACATCATAAAATTTAATCTCTCTGAGCAATTTGAGTAAGATGGCGGTCAATTTCTTGTTCACTTAAAACCCTGCAATAAAAAGAAAATCTAATATACTTGCAATATTTACTTAATGTATAAATAATATTTAGTGTCGCACATTATTATTTTCATAGACAGAACTAAATTATTTTAAATAGAGATATAAATTTTAGAAAAAAAAACTGATTAATAATAAGCATATTAGATACATACTCAAATGCCTTATTTTTCGTAGACACAATACCAACTTCAATATCACTTGGTTTGAAATCAACAGCCAACACATGAGAAAGACATGAGATAGCTAACTAAAAATCAAAAGAAATAATTGATAATATAATCTGTAAAAATTAAAATATTAAGTGGCAAGTTGGGTGTATGTCCAAAATATTATTTAAAACACTGCACCGGTTGGGTTTGAAGTATTTGTTAAGAGATATCATACCTCAATAGCTTCATCTTGAGTAAAATCTTTCTTTTTCTTTAATTTTTTTTCTAGATAAGTATTGGCCTCGGTTTGTTTAGTGCCGACAGATATAGCATGAAACGAACAATAATATCCAGCTGGATCAGTCTTATACACCATTGGACCTTTTCTGTCATCAATTCCAATTAAAATCATACCTAAAGAAACAAAATATATTTTTAATTTAGTCTTATTTTATCGTAATTATATTTAACGAGACCAATTAAAACATAAAATATTACACCTTTTGTTATTACACAATTTAGTGTAAGTAAAATATATAGCCTCGGATAATATAATACAGAGCCGGATGTTTATGACTTTTAGTGAAATCAGAATCCCTAATCAATTTATCGGATAATGTTTTAAATTGTAAGTTCTTTTGTAATTTAAATTTGGTTTAATATTTTTGTGTGACACATACATTTCATAATCTTCACTCAATGAATTTGGACTTTGTTAAATAGGGCTTTAAAGATGTTTAGCATTATAATAAATTGTAGTTAATTTTCGGTTGTTTTCAAAGTAATTGACATTTTAAATAAAATGTGCTACAATTGATTGGTAAAATGTTCTTAAAATACAATTATTTTTTACTTTTTAGTTCACTTTTAACTATTTTTAGAAAAGCATGTTTTAAAAAAGGTTTTTTTTTAATTAAATAATTAACCTGGGTAAAATGTTAGTTATATTATATCAAGCCAGCTATTTGAAAACTCGACTACATTAATTAACTGATTTCAATAAAGGCATATAATTGCATATTACAATACATTTATGGTCGTTAACATCTAAGCTCTACTGATTACTAGATACATATCCCTCCACTTTTTTTTAATTTGTCTATAATAAATGTATACTCAATTTTTTATTTTCACTATCCAAGACATTTTTTAAAACTAATATTAGATTAAAAAATTTCTTAATTAACTTACTACAACCAAGTGGCCTCATTTCGGCATTTTGAGTGTATACTTGTGAAATATCTGCCATTCGACTGCATAATGTCTCTACTGGCATTTCAAAACCATTTTTGTATTTGAATTCGCATGCTTCAGCTCTAGCTCTAAATACTTGAGAATGTCCATCCGCTAATAATTGTAATAGTTAAAACAAATAATATTTTAAAATAATAATAATATTTTTAATATAATTTAATAAGAAATTAAAAACAAAAAGTTATTATTTGCTAAATAATTATACCTGTCATTCCTGTCATGACACATCCAATACTCTTCGTAATACTAAATAAATGAGTGACGGTTTTTGGATCAATTAATTTATCCTAAAAAAATAAATAAATTTAAATATTGAAGCAGGCAAGTGACTAATTGAAATAAGGGAGCAGTGGAATATCGCATGGTCGCCAGTTTGAATTTTGGCTACTTATGGTTTGTTCCTATTTTTCTAGTATAAAAAAAAAAATATGACAGACTAATAGAAATACAAATTTGGAAAACTGTATAATTATAAAGGTTTTTTAAACAAAACATTGTAAATCATTTCTAACTGTCGAAAAACCAATAGTCTGTTTATTTTTTTAGATTAAATAGAAAATTGATAGGCTACAACCGGTGACACTATATTATACATACTTCTGGATTTCACCGAGTTAAAACTATTATGAAATCCAACGAAAGTAACGTCAAATCCAGAGACAAGTGTTGTACATCTACCTATACCACTGATAACAAATTACACGGGCAGCATATGCCACCGTGAAATCAGTCGGCCATATTCTCGGAGGACAAATCAATGTATTTGTGTATATATATAAACAATTATAATACAATTTCTCCGAAAACATCGGGAGTTCATTCCGTGATACGAATAACGTGTGCCTGCCTATACTATAGTTGATCTATGTTTACGGTTAATAGCTTACTGGCACTTTTCTTTGAGTGGCAACAACAGCCACATCTGTTCCTTTGATTGCAACTGATGTAAGCCCTCCTTGTAAAATTGCCTTAATTGCATACTCTAAATAAATAAAATCATAATAAGTATTAAGTTCTTCATAAATTCTATCTTGCTAATTGTTGTTAGTATGTCCTCTACTTACCAACTTGGTACAGTCTTCCTTCAGGAGAAAATATAGTTATATGCCTATCAAAGCCTGCACTAGTTCCGCGAGACATGTTTTTAAGTTTGTTTGAGTTTTACCAATAAGACTGATTTTTTAGAAAAGGATAAATAGCAATTTAAATTTAAGAAAAATACTACTTCTTAAACAGGCATAATAACCATCAATATACCAACAAAATTACATTAGCCTTTTGAATGATAATTCAAAATAATATACAACTATAAAGTAACATAACCTCAAAAGTTTGAATTACGTTATCTCTTATCATAAAACAATTTTTTTCTATAATCTATATTGTTATCAATTTATAGATTTATAAACACAGAACATTTCTGTGGTCCTACTTCCAAAGCACTGTATTATGTATTATACCTACTTTTATAAATATTAGATAATTTAAAATTGTATTTAATTTAAATAAAAATTAATTTTTATATAGGTACGACAATACAAAAAATATGTTATTTTCTAATGGCCAAAGAATTTAAGAAATTGACTTTCTGTAATGCAATAGTTCTTCAGTGTTACATATTATTTATATATTGAACTGTATAAATATGTTAAAAATTATAAAGAGGTTCCACTTGGAATGGAGTTTTTGTCGAGCTATTACTACTTTACCACCTCATGTTTCAACCAAGAATTTATCCAAGATATTTCATGATAAAATTAAAATTAACGGTCCAATTACAGTTGCCGAGTATATGCGAGAGTCTTTAAAAACATACTATAATGATGCCAATGTATTTGGATCTACTGGAGATTTTATCACATCTCCTGAAATTAGTCAACTGTATGGAGAAGTAATTAGTTTGTATTTTATTATTCATTTATTCATATCTAATAAGTAATAACTACTGAAATATAAATCTATTTTCATAGTACCTATTCAATTCAGCTACAATTCAATTTCAAAAATCTTAACTTGTATTATGAAAAAAACTTTAAATTTAAGGGTTGCTTAAGGGTCTGATAGTGACCCTATTATTTTTTAGGGCCCACATTTGTAACTCTATTATCAAAAATAACCAGCAATGATTTTACTTAATTAGTATCACACTTAGCACTTCTTAACTGTACACTTAATTGTCCACTGAAAAAATTGATTTTAGATGATTATGGTATGGTTTATAAACATGTGGGAGATGGCAGGAAGACCAACACCAGTGAATTTAATTGAACTTGGACCAGGAACTGGTGTCATGATGATGGATATGCTAAGGGTAAATTTCATAATTTTTTATAATAAATAATCATGTTGTATCATTACAAAAATTATACTTTTTTAGCAATATTTATAATAGTTCCCAATTTACCAGTTTTATATTTTGTAGTTTTTTTCTTGTCTACTGTTTCATACTAAAGTATATATTTCTTTGTTCATTCATTTAATTAATCAGACATCAAAATGCATCACTAAATTTCTTAACTATAATATTTTTATTTTTCTACTTTTAGCAATTCAAATGAATATTTATAATATAAATTAATTTGATGCTTCACCATCTATCACATCCTAAAAACTCTCATTCTATTTATTTAATCTAATAATTTCATACATTATTAACATTAATAATTTATTGTTTTCTTTCACCTTAAGCAACATATGTTTTGTCTTTTCACTGCTAAGGACACTAAAGACCTCATTTCTTGTTTAACTGAATTTCAATTTAATATAAAATTGAATGTTTTAACTTGTGTTCCAAATTATTAAATGAAATAAACAAATATTGACTAGAATTTAAATAATCATATAGCCGATAATAATATAATATATCTAGGTAGAAGTAGAAAACTAAACATTTAATATTTGGTTGAGACTCTTTAATAAATAATAATTATTATGTTAAGACATAGTGTAAAAAATGTATTTGTACATTAATGTACATTTATCACGTTTGCATGAGCGGTTCGATATAAGTACTTATAATTACTATATTAATATGGTTCTCTTCTAAGGTGTCACTCCCGTTCTCTTCCATCTTTTGCTTTTGCATCCAGAATTGCGCACAGTATGCTGACAAATGCTGTCCACACATTTTTTACACTCTATGTCAATGTCTTTACATAATATTCAATAAACAGACAGTCTAATTATTTGAATTACAAGTTTTCCTTGTTGCTGCTATATGTTTAGCAAATGTTGTTACTTTATTATTTATTTTTTTAAGTTATTAAACCAAACACAGTACAAGAATTGGATGAGCATTAGCATACATATGGTAGAAATGAGTAAAAAATACAGTCTTGAACAAGCAAAAAAATTAAATTGTACTATTTTGGAAATAGATAACTGTCAGAAATACTATCAACATGGACAGACATCTGAAGTATATGGAACGAAAGATATATTTTGGTATCACAGTATAGATGATATACCTCGAAACAAATTCAGTTTTATAGTAGCTCAAGAATTTTTTGATGCTTTACCAATCCACAAGTTTAGAGTAAAAAAATTATATAGTGAATAAAAATTAAGAAAATATAGTTTATGGCTATTTATAATGTATAGTTAAAAGTTGTATTTATTTTAGAACTGTCAAGGAAAGTGGCGAGAAATATTAATCGATATTGAAAATATCTCTGAAGGCACATTTCGTTATGTTTTAAGTCAGTGGCCAACGCCAGCATCAAATATAATATCTACAGTAAGTATTATGTCATATAAACGATTAATAATAAGTATAAAACCATGTCAAACTTACAAACTTAGTATAATAAGATATTATTTTTTTTTAAGCCAGTGTTGAACACGAGGAAAGTTAAAGAGTCATAAACATAATAAAAAGTTAAAATATAAATATTAAAAAAATATTTTTAACTGATTTGGAATTGACACAATGCTAGATGCTCTAGTGCATAATCACAAATTTACACATTATACTGCTCTATTCGTATTTATATTTGATGCCTATTGCCTTAAGGTACTTAGGTTCTTTAGGTTCTTATTTATTTATTTGGTAAATCTATAAATGTTGCCTAAGCTGGTAAACATTTTGATTATACACACTTATTTTAAATATTGAGATAAAGCCAGATTTTATGGTTTATCATAACTTTGAATTTTACCACCACTGAGCTTGACTAGAGTTTTGGTTATATGTTAAAAATATATTAATAAATTTGTTTTTAAAAATTGTTTTTTCAGATTGATTATTTTAAACCATCAAAGTTCACTGATGAAATTGAAATTGAAGTAGGGTTTGATTCATCTATAATTTTGGACAAGTTAAAAAAAAGAATAGTGACTGATGGCGGAATATTTTTATGTATCGATTATGGAAAAGATGAACCTATAATTGATTCACTTAGAGTATAATTATCAAATTGAATTACTGACTGATAATCAAAATTTATGATTTCCTATTAATATTTTAGGCATTTAGTGGTCATCAACAAGTTAACCCTCTACAAAACCCCGGTAGTGTAGATTTAACAGTTGACATTGATTTTAAAAGATTAAAAGATATAGCTGGAGTGGATGTACTTTCATTTGGACCAGTTGTTCAGAATTCATATTTAAATAAATTGCATATTAATTTAAGATATAAAGTAATTTTTCTCAACAACGCTATTGTAAGGAAGAAAATAACATATACTTTTTTTTATAGAATTTATTAGCCATGGCAAAAAATGAAAGAGAAGCAACATCACTTACATTTGGCTATAAACAGTTAATGGAAATGGGAAGTAAGTTTAAAGTTATAGCCATGGTTCCTGCAACTTTAGCGCCATATTTAAACAACAGTGCAATTTGTGGGTTTGAATAATTATACTGTTTTTTACGAACGGTTGTAAAAATTAGTTAATAAAATAAAATTATGTAACAACGTTAATAATAGCCGTTAAATTAATCTATGACCTTTAGACTATATATTAATAAGAGTGAAAGGCGACCTTGGCTTTGCAATGATAATATTTTAATTATTATTCAGTGATAATTAAATTTTAATATGATTTACAAGTATGTTATTTCAAATAGTTCATAAAATAAAATTGGTGATCTAAAAGAACAATGAAAAAAATAATACTAATCAATCAGTCATCAATATTATTTAATTGATTCTAATAATTTGAAAATGAAAATAAAAAGTATATTAAAATCTTTTATATTTAATATTTGTAGTTGTAAAATAACAATTTGAGAAATGTTGCTTAATAATAGAGATTACCAGTTTTTTTTATGTTCATCCATTGAAACACCACCTGGACCTCTGAGTACAATCATTAATAATCCTCCAACAACTGAGAGAGTCTAGAAATGTTGATAAATAGTTAATTTGAAACATCACATTTTTTAATATAAATATTCATTTATTATGTTTACCTGGAAAAAGTCATATTTAAGAAAATCCCGAAGTGGTTTGGTTTCTGGTATAGACCACCAAGCATTGTAGTAAAAATTGATACTTGTTAAAAACAATACTAAAACCAAGGCACTGAGTTTAGTTTTATAACCAATAAATACTAATATCATCATTATTGTTCCTAAAATGTCTTGTAAAAGCTAAACAAATAAAATTTATATTTATATTATCATTATAAGGAGTATTTTATAAAAAAAATTAATAAATTCATCACCTGAAAAAATGATACTTCAAATTTTAACAAAGTTATAAACATAAATGCAATCAAACATCTTCCTGTCAATTGCATGTAGTTCTTTTGTTTGTTTTCACCTAGATTCAAAACAAAATGATTAATACAAATATTTCCTAAAAAACTTAATATTATATTTATGTATTTTAAAAAAAATACCCAATGATGGTACTCCTGCAAGCAAAGGTCTGGATTTCACTTCACTATCAGCTAGGACTAATAATAAAGCTCCTATCAAGGCTAAGTTTCGTAGCAAAAAATGTATATCCCATAGTATGCTGTAAGCCACTGTCTAAAATATAAAAATATGATAAAGTTAAATTAGGCAGATGTATGTTTTTAGTAAAATCATGACACATTTTTAACTGACAATATAATAGTTTAACAATAATGATTTTTTTAAATATAAATTTTTCACATATTCTTGGAAATTTATAGTTTTAACTTTTAAAAACAGCAAGCTCTATCTTTTACAAAAACATTTTTATTGGGTCATTTGTTTGGAGAATACTTAAGATATAAAAACTGTAAGTCTACCGATCATTGATAAAAAAAAAATGGAAATATTAACTGTATTCCTCAGAAAAACCCAGTACAGGTTCTCTTTTTTTAGTGTAGTTTTTAGAAAATTAGATTAAAGTAGGTCATGTGTATACTATTATTTTTTCAATCTGCTTTTAAACTTTTAAACAAAATTAAAAAATATACATTAGTTTTATAATTTAAAATTAGAATAAACTTTTCAATGGTCTTCTGTATAATTAATAATAAAATGTCTTATTGTAAACATTTTAATATTAATTTTGTGTATGTGCATGTGTACATATATACACAAAGTGATTAATTTAATTAGTCTTAAAAATTCATGCGATTAATATATTATTTTTATAACAAACAAAAAAAAAATTTTTTCACTATTAATAATTTTTAATACTTATTTTTCACGTATGAATGTATTTTTAAGAACTCACTTGCAACACTACTATAAAAAATAATGTACCACATGCAATTCGTACATGCTTTTGTAGTACTATAAGTATGCATCCTCCTAATTGCCCAACTAAATTAACAAGCACAAATATGGTAGCTAGAAATATGCCACAATTCCAGGACATGTCCATGTACTTGCTCTGTTCTGACCATTGAAAATACATACGAAGTCCATCTTCTATAAATGTTGATATTAAACATAAACGTGATGCAGTCGGCAAGTAAGCATTACAATTTTTGACAACCTATGAACCATTATATTGTTACAGAAAAACTCATATATATTAAAATAAAGCAATGTCAATAGTTATTAATTACCAATTCTGAAATATCTTCTGCTTTGTCAATAACATTTTTAGGTATGATTGCCATAATAATATCTAAATAGAGTTAATATATCCACCGTTAATCAAATTATACATGAACACAGGTCATCATTAACTATTGGTAAAATTAAAAAAACTGGATCCGTAGCCACGGCAAGAAAATTATTACTATTTCTTCATAGTTGTTTTTAAAATTTGTTCGTGTTCAGTGTTGATGATGTGATTAGTATGACGATAGAAACATTTTCTATATCGACGTCATAAATGTATATTTTAAATTGTTAGTATGGAAAACGCAATTTCAAATTTATTAGTTTATGATTAAGGTGACTTATTAATAATTATTATAAATATATCTAGATTCTTAATTATATAATAAGAATTTCACATTTCAGAATTATTATAATTTTACCCCATTAAATTGTAATTATACGGTTTTTATATTTGATGCTAACTTCCGACAAGTAACATAATCTCAATTCTCAACATTTTTATCACATCCCAAATACGTAACCAAATACCATTGATTAAATATACAACATATTTAATCAATGTAATTACTATTGTATTGATAATACCGGTAACCGGAAAGTCAATGTTATTTGTATTGACTCAGAATTTTTTCCCCAATAACTGTGTTTTCCAAATCAAGGAATCAAAATAGCATTATTCTGAAACGATGTCTACACTGAAAATTGAAATTATACAAAGGCTCATAAAATATAAATTACTAATTATATATGATTATCATACGTATTATGCATACGGTATATTGTATCACAATATATGGACACACTGATGTTGGGGGGAAAAAGTGTGCCCCTAAAAAGATTTAGCTTTCCGGTATTATCATGACAAACGTCGAAACCAGTCCTGACTCCTGTTATCTCGACCTCACCGTGGGCAGATTCTTAAATTGTAGTGGTCACATTATCATTGAAAATAGTTGTTTATGACATAATATAATATTATAATATATATAGGCATATAGCTGCTATAGAAGCGTCCCGCGTCAGCTGTCAAGACTCAAGTCACAAGTGTAAACTCCCAAGCAAACGTAAATTACCTATTAAGAATTTGTTTATGAATTTAACACAAAAATACTGAAGTCAAGAGCACGTACAAATTACGTTTATTACAACTTGCTCCAAGATTCGAATGGTAGTAAATAAGTAAGAATGTTATTACTCAAGCTTTATTATTTATAGTTATTTATAATTGACTTTCGAGGGTTATACCTATTTCATTAAATTGAAGGGCTGCGGGGAAAAAGATCAATGTCAATTTTTTTGAAAATGAGATATTGGTACCAAATTATTTGTATTGATGTATTGTATCTTTTATGCGCTCGAACCAGCGAAAAAAACAAATTAGTCGAGAGTAACGACCGCCGGAAGTTTAGGCAAAATATATTACGTTTTGAAATTAAAATCATGATTTTCTCAGAATGTTAAAAATATGACATTAATTTTATTTCCCGCAGCCCTTCAATTATTAAATAAAGAAATAATATAATTCAAAATTAAAAAAAAATGTTATACCATTAATTTCATACATACACATTTTGTAAAAAAAATTGTATTACATTAAAGTTATCAATCAACTAGTATGTCAGTTACATTAATTTACGATAATTGTTTTCCAACAGGTGTAAAATACTAAAGTCTTTTTAGTAAAATTATCAAATCACTATGATTGAAATCACCTGCAATGACAGATTGGGAAAAAAAGTGAGAGTCAAGTGTAATCCTGAAGACACTATTGGTGATTTAAAAAAACTGATTGCCGCACAAACTGGGACAAAATGGGAAAAGATTATTTTGAAGAAATGGTATACAATTTTCAAGGATCATATAAGACTACAAGATTGTATCCTTTTTAAAAAATCTTTATTGAATATTTTTTTGTAATCAACTAGGTATAAAGTAGTCATAACAGAGCAAATAGAAATATTAGGGTTCTTTTGGTAATACTATGTTTATTTGTAAGCTGTTTAAAGAGAAAATTGGTATGGATTTATTTCGTTAAATATTATTAAAGAGATTGTTGTACAATAGAGCCTTCACACATAATTATCGATAATTGCATTCAATAGAAACATAGGCGCCCGCAGACAATTTATCAGGGAGGGGCATAATGAAATCAAACACCAAAAAGTACATAAAAAAAAGTTTATTATTTGCAAACAACAAAATATGTCAGAATTATAATATACTATTTATTCGTTATTAAATAAAAACTTATTTTTATTTAAAGAATAATAAGTTAAAAATTTTGAAATTACATTTGAAGTCCAAGGGGGGGGGCTGTCCAATGCTGTGTCTTTCCCCCCTCCAGGCGCCCATGAATAGAAAGATATTAATTAACCAGGGTAGACTCTAGCTCATCCACATGATATTATAACATTTATCAACAAATTGTATAGACATGATATGTCAGAACTAAACATTTTTTTTATCAAAAATATATTTCTGGACTAATGAATAATATAATAATATTTGCAAAAAAAGATTTAATTTAAGGCCAATCACACATTTGTATAAAGCAAGAGAACTTTTCACTTCCAAACTTGGTATCTATAAACCAGGAACTACCATGAATCATAATCATATAGCATGGTGTTCTTTAGAGCTACTGGAGTTACTGTACTGTATTTATATATTCGTAATTTAATCATTGTCCTTAATATAGCTATTAGATGAAATTCACGATGGAATGAACATTGAATTATACTATCAATAAAGTATTGAATAAATGCAAATATAATAATTAATAATTTATGTAAATATATATTTTGAGTTAGTAAATGAACACAATTATTGACATCAAGGAATAAATAATTTTTTTTATTGTGTATTATTTTACATTCTTTAAAGAAAATTCATTCTAACAAAATAAACTGACAAAATATCTTAAAATAGTTTTAATTAATTTTTAGTTTATATCATTTTAATGTAGTCTAGACGCATTGATATTTGTAGTATGTATTATTCCTTCAGAATGATCGTGTTGTGAGCTGTGTTCGCTATTCAACAAATCCCGTATATGTTGTACAATCAAATCGATAGCCACTATAATTGAACAAAATTATATTTTTAACCATAAAAAATCAGTGATATGCATGAACAAATACAAATTGAGAAAATATAACTACAATTAAAAGAAATTGATTGAATTTTAATTTAGGTAATGATATACAATTTTAGAAAAACTAAAATTAACAGAGTACAATTTTAAAAATATTTGATTCAATAGTTTATTGCTTAAGCAATAAACATCACTCAGTTTTGGTGATTCATAAACCCTGTAACCTCCTGATTTCACAGTTGTGTTCAAACAATTTTAATATCTCGTATATGAGTGTATGTTAGTAGTTTATCTTTTTAATAAAATATTTAATTATTTAGATAAACCCTTAACCACAAAAATAATCATCTATAGTGTGTATGTATTTTGGCAACAATGTTACCATCATAAGCGCATACCTCAGTCTGTTGCATGTGCTTATGATTTTTGCTGCTGAAATATGTATACGCTATAGAAGATTATTTTTGTGGTTAAGGGTTTATTTAAATATTTTATTATTTTATTACAAAATTATTCAGCTAATACAAAAACATGTATCCTAATATCGAAATATTAGTTACTGAGATAGCTAAAAATAATTTGAGTTTCTGAACTATAAAAGGATCACAGATTTGTATCCAGAATTATTGTATGTACATTTTATTACTATAATAATAGTACTACATAATAGGCGACACTAAATGGGGTATTAGATGACTATAGCACCTCCAAAGATTAAAACCCCAATCCTTGATTTGTACGCATAACACTTTAATGATGTGCATACTATGTTAAAAAATTTTTATTGTAGAATATTGTTTTTAAATATTTTAAAGGTTTAAAGATAAGAATTATGTTTAGTCAGGAATACATCATTTTAGCACTCCCTAAAATTTAACTTATAGTAATGTGGTTACTGTTATTATCACATCTAAATCATCCTAACCTAGTCATAATACCTAACCGGTAACAGGTAAAAGTTAGCATATTTTTATGAACAATACCATTTATAATACACATTTCCAAGGATCGCTAGAAAACTAACACCTCTTCATTTAAAAAAAAAATATTTTTATTAATTTCTAAAAAACGTACGATTTGTTGTGAATATACAACTTTTTTTTAACATAGTTTCTGGATTGTTCGACGATACACAGGGATCAGCTTTTACTTCCACTTATTGAAGTATCTTCTACCATCTACTTTGTCTAATTCCTAACGATATTATTGTCTCATCATTGAACTATCCGGCAACTATGTCGAAAAATAGTTGTATAAATTTAAAACAAATTGTGGAAAAAAATAAAAACTTAAATTTTTTAAAAATAAACCGGCATTATTTTCTAAACAATTCTTTGTACATATTATAAAGTAAATGTTTTTAATTGTAAGTCATAAACATTCAGTTTTACCAAAATTTTCAGCTCCTCTAGGTATGATGATATCAGCAAACTTTTTTGTCTGTAATAAAAAATAAATGAACTTTATTTGTTTCATATAAATGTATAAGTAAATTCAATCTAACAAGTTTACAATCCCAATCTATACATTTTTGATTGTTTAAAAATTAAATGTATGGCTCATATTGAATGAAAATGGTATGGACTAAATTTAGACAAATAACTTAATATAGTTGTATAAGAGGCTACTGTCCTGGCATTCATAATCGTCATTATTTACTAATTTTTTGCTCTCATGTCTGGTCTTTAAAAAGTAATTGTTACAAATTTATGTTATAAACATTGCATAAATAGCAGATGTAACATTTAACTACCGGTAATTCTGTCTAGCCGGTGATTATTTGGAGAAAAAAAAAGGCAACTGTTTCCCATTAAATATTTAAAGATAAACAGATAATCGTTTAAACTTTAGAAGGAACATTTTAAATCACTTACTGGTAAACAAAATTCTTCAAATGCAGGTTTTACAAAATTCATATACTGATTTAAAACCTGTTCTAAATCTCTGCCTCTTTCGTTAATGTCTCTAGGAACTTAAATCATATACTGTTAAACAAAAATAATTTATGCTACCATATTAAATTATTTACCTCGCCTTGCTAGTCTAGTGTCTGAATCGGTGTCTACAAATAGTTTCATATGAAATAGATCTCTTATTGCAGGAAAGTAAAATGCAAGTATGCCTTCAACTATAACAACATCTGCTGGATATATGACAATACTCTCATTCTTACTTCTTCAATACATAAAATAACATAGTTTACTTAAGTAAATGTCCATTTGCTTATTAAAAACTAAAGCATATTTCTGGTTTATGAATTTGTTTACCGAGAATTTGTTTTATAGTTATAAACTGGAATTGTGCATGTTTTTCCAGCTTGAATGTCAGCCATAGTTTGATACATAAAAACATCATCAAAGGCATCTAATTTATAAAACACAACATCATTTCATTATAACCAAACGAAAACTTTCAATAAAATAAAATTCACAATCAAAATTTTAGAAGTGTGATATCTTAGGTTTTTACATTTGTTTTTGATTGAATCGATTTACAGAAAAACAAGCAACATTAATTTTTAATAACTATACAGTCTTAAAATAAAGGCTAAAGGATATTCATTCTATTGTAGTAAAAATTGTGCACATTACCAGGATGATCAAAATTAAATTGTCCCTTAGAAGCTTTGATTTTTTCGGCCGCATTTAATTCTCTATAAAAGCTATCTTGGCTTATTGATACTACTTGCCTCCGGGTCTCATCTAAATTTGTTTGGCCCAGTTTCTCTATAATATTTTTGCATACAGTCGACTGTGGAATAGTTATTAGCTTATTATAATTGTTTTTGTTTTAAATAACCAAAACGTCTTCGATATTTACCTTTCCACAGGCAGTTCCTCCAGCAACCCCAATTAAAAATGGAGATTTCGTTTCAGTTTTATTAAAACAGGAACTATTCATTTTTAATATTATTTGTGTACAAGAAAATACTTTTTGTATTTTATTACTTTATTTTTGCACAATAAAATTCACTTGAATTTATTGCTATTATTAATTACGAAAAAATAATAAATATATTATACAATAATTATTATTAAAACTTGACATTGATATAGAAAATGTATTTACTATTTATAAATATTAAATAATAAATTCAACCTAAAGTAATTTTATTGTTATCTCTGCATAAGGAAATATGATATGATATCAATGTTGATTGTTATGTAATCACTATTATCATAACATGCCGTGCGTGTATGTCGCTTGACCATTATGTAGGCACTGAGACCAGAATGCTTTTTTTTTTTTAACATTAATTATATTAATAGTCTATTCTGTAATGCTGATACTAGAATCTAGATGTAGATGTCAATATGTCATACTGTAAGCTTGTATTGAGCATGCCTAAACGGTTGTAATTTGCAGATAACATGCATTCAATTTTTCAGTTTTGGATTTCTAAATATTTACTTGGATATAATAATAATAATAATAATACGCCCTAGTAGTTGGTACGTGTTGTATTGACAATTGGAATGAAACTGAGTTGAACTGACTTGTTTCTTATGAACTTCATTCCCTTCATTCTTTACCTTGTCGCCTTGTAGAAAAGGCATCTTCCCTATTCCCGAAAGACATGTTTGTAAACTAAAAACCGTGTGTCGCTTTCGTAATTCGTAGCCGTTTAATAGTACATTTATAATGTTTCCTCTGAGTATCTACCAAGTGCTAAGTATTTCATAATTAATATTTTATATTATGAATTTGACAAAATAGATCTATTTTGTCATAGTTAGGAGTTTATGACTCCTCCAACCATAGACCGTAGTCCGTAGTTGTTAAACCGATGTGTTGACCGCTATTTTCATAAACAAGTTACATGATGAATAATATATTTCAGTGTAACCAGTTCCTAGTTTACTTCAACTAATAAATGCCCTAATGGTAAATGTATACGTTACAGGTGTCATATTAAGACATTCAAGATATTTGAATTGATAATATGACCTTCGTGATTACAAGTTTTATTCGTTTCGAAGATATAGTTGGCGTAATTTAGTTCAATTAAATTTGTTATCCACCTACATATTTAATAATTAATGAGTATATTGAAATAAATAGCACAGTATTATAATTAGTTGGGTGTGACATATCAAACACCAAATCAATGTTTTATTTCATTTAAAGAAATATGTCTTTTTTAAGTTTAATAGGATTTATTTTGGTAGTCAAATTTTTGATATACTTCTTATTGTTTTTTACCAGTGACACTGACTTAGAGTTATGGTGGTATGATAAGTTCAGTCAAAAACTCGGTACGTAATAATATTGTTATGTATATATAAGGTTAAATTAAGCATATACCAAAATAGGAATGATTTTTTGTCATAGTTATGTACAAACGTGTGTTATACTAAACACATTATATTCATGTATATTAATCTATCAATGTACCATTTTTAATAGTGGTGGATTGTACTAATTTTGCCACTTTATAGGGGCGTGAAATGTGTACACTGTTCACATTATGTTCATTTTTAGTTAGTTTTTAATATTGGTCTAGCGACTTCTAGATTTATTAATTTTCAAATAAATTGAATTAATTTAAAAGTAAAAAAACTGCATTTTCTTCGTATTGTTTTATTTCTATACTGAATGTTTTCTGTGAAGGCTTTTTTTTTTTGTTAACCATGTGTTTCCATTTAATTATCAAGATTTTAACAGATGACTGGGAGATTTTGCAATATCTAATTTCTAAATAGCCTATAACCCTCCAGGAAATCAAGAACAATAACAAAACAAACCACAATCAAGCTGCTTCAGTACATTAGACAGAAAAAAGCAACACAAACACAACTTGAGGACAGATTATATTAATACTATAAGTATTAAGTAATCTTATAAAATGTTGTTATTGACACAGCCAATTCTTAAAAGTTGTAATTAAGATATATTTTTCGTACTTTTGTTATATGAATAACACTAGTGAGTAGTGATAAAATTGTTTACTTTTTTAAATTTGAGTGTTATAAATTATCATCTATCATTCTGTGAGCTCAGAATCAGGTTGCTCTCTTTACTCGAATATCAAACAATAAATTGTAGTGTATACTAGAGGTCTCATAGTTGTAATAATTTAAATTTAACTAGTTAGTCAATAATGATTTTAGTTATTTTGAGTACCTCTTCCAACAAACAATCTGTAACTAAAAATAAAATTGTCTATAATATTTGATTTCATTCAAAACTGATGAAATTGTGTTAACCTCCTTTGAGTAGTCTTCTTTTAAATGTTTTATGACAATAGACCTTCATTTATGATTAAAAAAAAAACTATTACGCTAAATTAACATAGATATTTAAAATAAATGTGGGTTTTTTAAGTATTAAAATTAATATAGGTAGTATATTTTGAAAAACATAGAGAACAAGAAAACAACTCGAGCTGTATTTTTAATAATTACTATTGAAAGTTGTAATAAAATAAATAAAAGATAATACATATTGTTATTATTTTTATTTTTTATTATCTTTACTCTTATTCACATGTATAAACATAATAATTTAAAATATTTTATATACATTTTTAGTTAAAGATAATTACCAATTTCAAAATGTACATGGCTTTTAGAATTTGTTAGAATGTTACATTTGATAATTTGAAAAAATTATGTAAAACATTTTTTTATTTTTATCAGGCAAAAGGAAATATGAAATATAAATACATTTTTTTCAGTCAGCAGCTAGATTTAGAGGGGGTTACTTTTGAAACTTAAAGTAAACTTTTACATTTAATTAGATTTTTAAATTAAGAATAATTTTCTGAAAATTTCAACGTGTGTGTACATACATATATATACTAGCTATATATTAGGTCATTTGATTATTTCGGATACATGTTTAAATTTATATATTTTTGTTAAGACTAACACTAAAATAGAATTTTTTTCTATTAAGACAACTCTAGTTTCCTATTTGTTAAGTGTAAGGTGATATGCATTTAATGTTGTATTACGGTTATTTAATAGATACCTTGAAAGATAAAGTAGTTTGGATTACCGGAGCTTCAAGTGGAATTGGAGAACATATAGCACTTAAATTATCTCAATCTGGAGCAAAACTTGTTTTGTCTGCTAGAAATAAAGAAAAATTACTTCAAGTGAAACAACATTGCTTAGGTAATTTTTTTTTCATTTTTGTCAGTGCTTAGAATATTAATTAGTATTTCTTTATCTACTAGAAATCAGTGATGGAAAATTGAATGCCAATGATATACTTGTGCTACCAATGGATGTTACCAACATTCCTAAACATGTATCGTGGTTTGATAGCGTCATAAATCATTTTGGAAAAGTATGAACATTTTGTAATGTTTATTCTTTATATATTTTTGTACCGCTAAAGAAATACTACAAAATCAAAATTATTTTTTTTTTTAATTTTCACCAAATAACATTATTATTCAACTACATTATCGAATGTTCCTTATTTTTACTGCTAAATAGCGATTTTATTTTTGTGACTAGAATATGTGAGATATTGTTTTAGTTCGCCCATTGAAGAAATGAAACCTAAAGTATTCACTGTTTAATACTGGTGTCTTTTTTATTCTAAAACATGCACTACAGAAATAACAATCCTGGATTGTTGAATATTGAAATTCTTATTTTATAATCCACTAGAAATTCCAATGGTATTATTTACTCTTTTCTTAGCTCAAATATACTCTTTAAGACACTAAAAAAATTATGTTTAACCGAGTTATGAGATTATATATATATATATATTTTTTTTTTTTTTAATTGGCTATAGGTGTATTTTGTCTGTATCCACCATAGCTAAAATTTTTTTATCTCTATAGATTAAAATCATCAGACAAAAAATAAGTTCTGTAATTTCACATGTTATCTTGGCAAGACTTTAATTGTATAACTTTTTCATTTATTTGAATAGTTTTTATCTGATTTTTTGTTCTCATGATATCACTCCCATATGGTGTGACCAATATGTCTTACTTAAATATAACACATTAAGGTTCAACCCTAATTTTTTTGGATATGATTAGTGATATATAATAACAATGGATACATTATTATAATAATTTTTAGCTTGATATTCTCATAAACAATGCTGGACGCTCACAACGAGCAGTATGGGAAGATATTGAACTTGGAGTTGACCGAGAAGCGTTTGATCTCAATGTATTTTCTGTTATAAATTTATCAAGAATTGCAGTGAGATATTTCAATCAAGTTGGTCATGGACAAATAGTAGTAACGTCTAGTACTGCTGGAATTTGTTCACCTCCATTTTCTGCTACTTATAATGCTACTAAACATGCATTACATGTAAATAAAATATTTTAACTATGGTTTTATAAATTTTATAATCAAACAAAGTATTAGAGATATACACAAGCCAGTCAGGAAGCAATTCCTTTATTCCTCCTGCTTAATCTGGATCACATAAAATCTAATTGTTCCAATAAAGTTCCGGACAAAATAACTCGGCCAAAAATAAATTAGTTAATTGCTTTATTTTTTATTACGAGTAAAATATGAATTTTATCCGGATCTTTATTATTTATATAATATAATATTTAATTGTTTATTCATTTAAAAGGGCTATTTAGGGGCTTTACAACGTGAAAAAGTTCATACAAATATCAGTGTAACGCTTTTATGTCCAGGACCTGTTTTTTCAAATTTTCTTAAAGAAAGTTTTACTGCTCGTCCTGGTGAAGTAATTATTAAATTCTAACAATGTTTACGTAGTATATTCAAGTTACAAAAAAAATGGCTAAAAATAAATCTTATTTTTGCAGAAGTATGGTCAGTCTCATTCACCAACAGATAATAGGATGAGTGCTGAAAGATGTGCTCATTTATCTTGTGTAGCAATTGCAAATAAATTAAAAGAATCCTGGATGGCAAAATTTCCAATTATTCCTTTAGTTTACTTTAATGTGTATTATCCAGTAATTTCAAACAAGTAAGGAAAATAGTTTTTCTTGTGGTTAAAATAATATTAATTAGTTTATAATGATATTTAATTTATGGATTGGCTTTAATACCAATGGACCTGCTTATTATTGGATTTTGATCATTTTTAATTTTAGTTATTATGATAAATGAAATATTTTTAAAAAGTCGATAGTCAATATTTTTACAGTAATGAAAACAAATAGTTTATATCGCTCAGTTAGTTTGACACAGAACATAATCACAAATAGTTCTATTTGAGTAAGAACTGGGAACTTATTAATATACTCACGAGGGAATAAAGAGCTGAAAATTTGACAAACATTAGATATTTTGTATAAAAATAATATTGCATATCCTTTTTTTTTTACAGGTTATATGATCTTTATGGGTACAAAATTATTCAGAAATTACGAGACAATCAGCCTATCACGACGTAATAGACCTACAACAGATAAATAAGAAAACTTTTTACATTTGTATTAACTTTTTTTTTTTAATGCAATTAATTACATGTTATATTTATTTTATACTATACAAAAATAACTAAAATTAAGTATTTTTGGAATTCAGTACTTCTTTTCTGATTGCTTTAGCCTTTAGTATTACATTTTTAAATAAATTACAATACAATTGTATTGCGCTTGGTGTGTCATCATTTCCAGGTACTGGATATGTTACTATGTTAGGATTAGCATCAGTGTCTACAATAGCAATAGTTGGAATCAACATTTTAGCAGCATCAGAAAGTACATTATGCTGTCCATCATTTCCTTTAGAAGTACTACTTAATGTGTTTAGTACTACACAAAGATCTGGCAGTCTTGTTTCTGCTTTAAAAATTCTTGAGGAATTTGTAAACATGCCACTACGCCAGTATCTAGTATGTGCAAACTCGCCACAATCTTTTGCACAATTCTCGACAGTTAAACAGTTTAAAGGTGACTGGCATAAAAATAAAATAACTCCACCACTAAAATAAGCCACAAATATTGTAATTAAATAAATTACCACAGAAAATAATATGTATTCAATATAATTTTAAAATATAGTAACTAACTCACCGGTATGATATATGAGCAGCAACATTAAGAGCTTGTTGTAATAAAGGTTTTGTTTGATTCAAATCTATAATAAGATGTCCTAATCTATTGCCATAAACGTACCGTATCATTCGGTCATCTAATGTTCCTTCTGTGTGACCATAATGAACTCCAGCTTCAAAAAGGTCTTTTATTGTTACCATATTTTTAATACCAAAAGCATCTGGATCCGTTAGTTTTATTTTTAGTTCTGTAATTAAATTCAAAAAACTATAATTCAAGCATTGCATTACTTACTATATATAACTATTCAGACCTTGATCGATGGGTTGAATATTATCTTCAATTTGAGGTTTTGCTACTGTTGATAAAGATGGTGCACAAATTCTACTTTTAAGATACAGAGGTAGATTTCTTCTAAACATTTGCTCTAAAACATTAGTATTGACATTATAACTTAATCCTAGTTTGGGGAATTTTAAAAGTTACATACCGATAAATTTGTATTTATAGAATACCTTATTGTTATAATTTATAAAGTAATTATTTTTTAATGGTGATAGATCAAAAAAGCAGCTAATTGATATTTTAATAAATAAATGGGTTTATAAGCAAATTCTGTAAAATCAAAATGTTCATTACGATGTTTCAATATTATTGATAAGGGATGTAACAATATTCATCTTTTGATACAACAATTTCAGTATTACTATTCGCTATTCTTTATTTTCAAGAAAAATATTTTGAAAAAGTATGATGAAGTACAATTAAAGGTTTGGTCCGTAAAACAAACAAGAACCCATTCGTAAATTTTACAATATCATAGAATAACTAAATTTTTATCAATGGGTTTAATAGGTTTACTTGCTTTATTGCCCGATGATTATGTCTAATAATAAAATTATGGGGAAAGTTATAATTCTTAAAATAGGTTTAGGTTGCTGGTTAGTTCATAGCTTAATATTCTGCAAGAAAACTAGTAGAGAGCTCAACATCTCATTATTTGGACCAAATCTTTAACTGTTGAAGTTTGCATAGATTGCTTGATTATTAGAGATCCCTGTTGTCTTTATTTATAAAAAAAATAATGTTTTGTGTACATCTTCAATGGTCACCGCCTAGCTCATAAAACAAGGATAATTCACAAAACATAAAAATAAAATGTTGTATACAATTGAATCGGTCATTTCAAAAACCAATTTCATGTTACTAATTCTTCAAAAATGACTTTTAGTCAAATTTGATAATTATATACTTAGTTACGTATTCTGTGTGAAAACTAAATTTGTCAGACTCATTTTGAATACAAATGTTAAGTACAAAAATCAGAAACACTGCAAAAACTAGTGATGAAGTTTTTTGTAGCAAGTGTAAAATTTCAATTTTGTGACTTGTGTCGTTTTTGAAATGACTAATTCAATTAAAATCTTATTTAATTTTTATAATAAATAAATAAATATTTTATTATCGATAATAGGTTAATCGATAATAGGCATTATTGAAACTAAGCAAAATTACTAAAACAAATTTCTTTCGATTAAATATCTTTAAAATATGTACATCTCTGTATCAAATCTCAATGACTGTACATCTCGAAGACATTCACAATATAACCCCTGTCTTTTCAGTAGCTAACATATTATACTCACTGCAATAACCAGTAGTCATTTTTATAATCAGCTATTTAACTCGTACAAAGATGGATTTAAGAAATACAAATATATTGTATAAAAATATATAAAAAACAACAATGAATTTAAAAAATAAATTAGGTCGAAAACAAGAACATTTTTTAAAACACAACTTAATTATCGTTTTTTAAATAACCACAGGGCGCAGACCAATGACTATGGCTGTGGAGTAGTGGATAGTGGATACTGGGCTACCAAGTATAATTTATTTACAGAACAGAACCATAGAACATGTGACAGAACTGTAATGTGCAGGGCACAGTATACTTATCTATGGAGCAAGGTGGATTAGTGGATAATGGATAATGGATATTGATAATGAATCATTTTCAATATCACAAAATACTATATTTATAGTATTTGATATCACTTATCTGTGTGATTAGTAAATAGATGGGTGATAAATGATAATCAGTTTCCTCAAACTGCACATAATAATTAATTGTTTTCCTCGAAGAACAATTTCAGAACTCATAATAATGGCTTAATAATGGCTTCTTCTATAAGATTATAGTCCGGCTCACGAAAAGTTGACATGTGGACGTAGTATATTCTAGGTTTTCTATTTGCTTACGATAATATTATAATGTCTTCATTGACAAAATATGTTAGATACCTATTTCTAGGTTATACAGTATAGATCGTATATTCTTGTCTATTGTCTATATTTTTACAGGTGTATATAGGTTACATTGTTTATAGATGTATACCGATTACTGACTACAAATTAGAAGAGTGAATTTAATGTACAATATAAAAAAATGTCACATATTAGGGTTTTGACGGTGGGCATACGTCATCACTGATCACTTGGAGGTCACACTGATGACTGATCTTTGCTATTTTGGATATTTACTAATACCTACTTGATTTATCACGGTTTGTTGTTTAATATTATTAGTTATTAGTAATTACCAGGAAAATTATTATTATTTACTATCTTTTGTACATTAATGTAACTGTTTGCTATAGGCTACAAGACCCATTGAGTACCGACTAAAGTACCTCTCAACATTGTTTTTATTATCTATTGTCTCAATCATAATTTTTTCGTAGTAATTGATAAGTGCCTTTTTAAGGTGTTGCCGTTCAGTTTCCCCGGTTTCGTAACTGGTATATACACAATTATATACCGGAACATTGGTACTGGTTAATGGGTGGAATCATCTAAATAATCAAATTAGGAATTTTGCTTTACAGTTTACACTTTTTATACACCTTATTATTATTAAAATGATGGGTAACAACATAAATGTTTTTTTTTTATTCTTAGCGTAGTGTATAATTTTATATTAAATAAAGTTAAAGTGATATAAGTTCTATTTGTTTTCATACGGTTTTGAAGTTTTAGCCGTTTTATTAAAGTTCAGCCGTATTTAGGAATTAGAGTATTTAATGCATTATGTTCAAGAAAAAATCATCAATCCTGTAATTTATACATGTATATAGTTTTTCATAATATAAACATTTAACAGTACCTACGCTACACTTTGCAGTTCTAATTAGGTAGCTATAAGAATTTGGATAATTATCTTATAGGTATGTTTATTATTTCTTTCAATACATTATTAAAGTATTCTTTTCAAGGCTAGAGTTTATGAATTATTTATTTATTATTAGATAGTTAGTTGTATTAAAATTATGATTTTAAAAGTGTCTATATTTTACAGCTATGTTAAGAAGTTGGACCAAACATTTGCTACATTGTGCCTTATTGGTAATAGTAATTTCAGTTTTTGAAATTTGGTCTGGAGGTGTCAAACTATCAGCAGATATTCAAAATACTTTTAACTTTAATCCATGGGAACGCTATGGTTTTATGTGGTGCCTTATGCTGTATTTACTACGGTTTTTAACATTCTTACCTTTACCACAAGTACTTTTAAATTTTGGTGGCCTTACTCTATACAATGCGTTTCAAGATAAAGTTATGTTAAAAGGATCACCTCTTTTGGCTCCATTTATTTGTATACGGATAGTTACAAGAGGTGATTATCCTCAATTAGTCAAAGCTAATGTGGCTCGTAATATGGCTCGCTGCTTAGAGACTGGTAATTCTTATTCTAATAATTTATTATTTTGAAATGTTGTGTAAAAGTAATTCAGTTGTCAATTTTCTTTTTTTAAAGGACTTGAAAACTTTATCATTGAAGTAGTAACTGACAAATATGTAGGATTACCTGTACACAGACGAATTAGAGAAGTTGTTGTACCAAAATCATATAAAACAAAAACAGGTGCTCTCTTTAAAGCTAGAGCGCTTCAATTTTGTTTAGAAGATAATGTAAATATGCTGGCAGATTGTGATTGGATTGTCCATTTAGACGAAGAAACTCTTTTAACGGAGAATTCCATTAGAGGTATATTGAATTTTGTCCTAGATGGTAAACACCAATTTGGTCAGGGACTGATCACATATGCTAATGAAGAAGTTGTAAATTGGTTTACAACATTAGCAGATAGCTTTAGAGTCGCAGATGATATGGGTAAACTTAGAATACAGCTATCAATGTTTCATAAACCACTTCTCAGTTGGAAAGGCTCGTTTGTTGTCACTCAGGTAAGATTTAAGTTATTTTGTATATCATAATATGTCGATGCCTATTATGTAGAGAAGCAAATTTAATTTGTCTTGTAGATAACAGCATTTCAATTTGTTTAAGAAAAAAGAATCACGTGGGATAGTTAGAATATACAGTCTATTTTCTATAAAACCAATAACCATTTTTATAATTCAAGTTAAATACATTTTGTTAGAGGGTAATTTTAAGTTTTAAATGTAAAATAATAACATATTTTATTTGTTTATTTAAAAAAAAAAATGACATCAGCAAAAAGATAACTAGTTAAAACACACTTTAGAATAAATTCTTCTTAAATTATTAGTGTTTAATGTATAGGCTGGGGAAGAGAGGATATATGTGGACTGTTTTGTTGTTTTTAACCTCTGCCTGTACTTTTTATTTTCTCCTACTTAAAATGCTAATAATTTAAAAAATATTTTTATTGTTTTAATTAGACAACTGTGTATATAGGTCCTCTTCAACTTTTTAAAGTTACCCTATATAATTACCTTTCTAACTGTCCTTTGAAATAATATGTTTTACTTGAACTATAAAAGTGTTTTTTTGTAACATAATAATGACTATTTGTGAAACTTATAGTTACAACAATTATTTCATTACAAAAAATACTGCATCGTAAAACTGTAAATTTGCTGTATTTGTTTTTTGCCGCCAAAACCAATGTATGCAATTTTCATATTTAATTTCAGGTGGGTGCAGAACGACATATTTCCTTTGATAATGGCTTAGACGGGTCAATTGCTGAAGACTGTTTCTTTGCAATGCGAGCAGCTAAGGAAGGTTATTCATTTAATTTTATTGAAGGTGAGATGTGGGAAAAATCACCATTTTCACTTTGGGATTTCATACAACAACGTAAACGTTGGCTTCAAGGCATCTTATTGGTTGTTCATTCTGCTGCATTACCTACTAAAACTAAAATTTGGTTAGCATTATCTTGTTATTCATGGGTAACTTTGCCACTATCAACATCAAATTTAATACTGGCAAGATACTTTCCTATCCCATGCCCAGCTATTATGGATTTTGTCTGTGCATTCATAGCTGGGGTTAACATTTATATGTATATATTTGGAGTAGTAAAATCATTTTCTTTGTATCGTTTTGGTGTGATTAAGTTTACTTTATGCATAATAGGAGCTTTGTGTACAATACCTTTTAATGTAATAATTGAAAATGTTGCAGTGATATGGGGTCTCTTTGGTAATAAGTACAAGTTTTATGTTGTGCATAAAGAAATTAAACCACTTGTAACTGTATAAACAGGTCATATATATTTTTTTTTCATTTATATTGGATGTAATAAATGGGAGGGGAAAGACTATCTTGCCATTTTATAGTATAAACCATTATAGGTAATACATAGATGACAACCTATGGCTTACTAAAAATGTTGACATTAATTCCTACTAAAACATCATGTTTAGAATTTCATAAAAAAAAAACATTTTTTTTTACATCTATAAAACTAAATTGCTATTTATTTTGTAATTTTATATTTATCAAATTTTTTTAACAAACTTAAGAATTCAAAAATTACAAAATATTTTATACAAAAAAAAATCCTCCTGTAATAATTTTCTTCAATTCCAGTTCCAGTCAACATTTTAAGTAATTAATTAACACTACTTTCATAAATTACCTTAAGCCGAGAATGCCATCAATTTAATTTTAAAGGTCAAGATCTCGGATTTGTACCTAAAAAAGGTTTGGCAAAACTAGTCATAACCTAGTTTTATTATAAGATTTTTTAAGTATGAATATGTTAATATTGTTTATATAGACCATTATAAAATATTTTAAATGCACATAATTAGTACCTACTTAAACACTAAGTTTTATAAACTATGATCAAATACATTACTTATCAATCACCAGTAAGATCACTTTTGAACACCAATTATTATTATTATTTAATAAGAACAAATTTACATAATTACATTTAGCATATTTGCTAGTCATATTCATGTCAACGAAATTTTCTGTTGAAATTATTAATTTTTTTCTACTACTTAAATGTTGTGTTATCTATTAACTACTTAATCATAAATTTTTACTTCTTATAATATTGTGTAAATGTATAAATTTTATTTTATTAATGTATTTACTTAATTATAATTAGATATCATATAAAATTATTATTTTATTTTATATAATCAATGAGCTTCAAATAGTTTTAGTAAGTATTACTATCTGTTTTTAATTCATATTATATGTTTGGGCGTTTTAGATGGATTTTTATTGTTGTTATGTTTAATTTATAATTTTAAATTAGCAGTAAAATTTACACTACTTTTTATTTAAACAGGAACAAATATAATACTAATTCTTTAAACTTAAACTTGTGTAAGTATCTACTATTTGTTTACACTCAACCCAAAAACTTGACAAACTAAATTAGTACTTCAATAAAGTTATACACAAATTGTATGTGTGTTGTAACTTGTACTTAAACAAACACTGTACTCAAATTGTCTTATAATAACAGTTGGGATATAAGCAGCATTAACCAATCTAGATTAAAAAATATATATATTTTTTTATGTAAGAAAATTTAATCTAGATAAAACTTAAGCAACTTATGGTTATATATAATAAAGAAATTAATTTTTAAAACCCTTAACCATAAAAATAATACACTGCATATTCATATTTTGGCATCAAATATTGGAGTTAGGTCTAAAGAACACATAAGGATTATTAAAAATCGAGAAATACACAAATCTCTTTTTACGGAACATTTATTGGATACTAATCGTGGCATCAATTCTGTAAAATTACCAAAAAAAAATGTAAATTAACTTTATAATATGAAGGCAATAGAAATATTAAAAAATAGTATAAAAAAACAATTTAATGAACTGGGAATTAAGTCCATTACAAAACATTTTATTAAAATTTATAAAACGTGTTCATGATGAGTCATAATTTCCGGTATGAAGGCGCTGTATATGTAGATATATGTATTTGTTACAATTGACCGCATTTCACTGAATTAATAAAAAATAGCTTAAAACAAAAAAATACAAGGTAGTTATAGATAGTTTTTTAAAATGGGGGATGTTTTAGTTATAGAATGTTTTCAAAAATATGTTTTTTTACTATTATTATAACTATGGATTATGGAGTAAAAACTAAATCAATATAAATGTATAAATATGTACGTCGTATAGCCTCCAAACATCACTATTAGATTTAACATAATACGGCATAGAATAACAAATTACGATACAATACGAATATTAAAATGAGTTCAAATTGTAGGTCAAAAAATAAATCGATGACAATTCGATTTCCTTTCCTTGATTTTTAATGGACAATAATTTAGCTTTTGTTTGTCGTAAGAAAACGCACACTTTTAGCATTGATTATAAATAATATTATTTATAATCAATGATTTTAAGTACATTCCCGAAGATTCAAATCACTGTCGAGCGACATAAAATGGCAGCATTTTATAGTATGGTTATCAGATAGTAAATATTACGATGTTAAAAAATGATTTTAATGATAAATTAGAGATTTAATCACAGAATACTTTAATTTAGCCTGTGATTTAATAATTGAAATAGCTAAATTTAATGGGTATGATGCAGATATGATTTTTAGATTAGTTAATAAGTATAAATAGTTAAAGGAACTAGGAAATTAGAACAGCTAGCACGCTTAATACGAGGGACGATGAAAAAATTATAATATCGGGTATGGTGGTTCATTTTCTAGGATCTCAAGGGCTTAAAGAATTTTTTTTAAAAATTACGGTACAACTCTAGTTGCATAAAAAAAGTAATAATTTAAAATCTTTATTAGGTAGCACCGAAAAATCTGGGATTTATAAAATACAATGGCATTGTGAAGAATGTGATAAATATTAATTATTATATATCAGACAAGACGAAATATTGGGGTTAGGTTTAAAACACATAAGGAACAGATTATAATACCAAGAAGCACATAAATCTGTGACGAAATTTTTTTGGATACTAATCATAGCACAGATTAGTCTAATCTGTATCATATCATAGTATAAAATCAGTAAAATTACTAAAACATGTAAATAATTCTAAAGAAATTAATTTTAGAGAGGCAATAGAATGTTAATAAAATAGGAATAATTTTTTAAACTGGGACTTGAGTCCCATATAAAACATTTATTAAAATACCTGTTCACTGATTATTTCCGGTATGACGACGCTTTTTAAATATTCAAGGTGTTTGTCCTTATCAGTATTCAGTCTCAGTTTGTGGTAAGCGCTCAGCGCTGATGATTGTAACATTGCAAATTGCAATATAGAATACAATGTACGATGTATAGTATTATTTTTTTGGTTAAGGGTTTATTTAAATACCTATTTCGTTATTTTGTTTCTTTACTATACAAAAACATCAACCAAAAGTATTGCTAAAGTTTTTTCTAAAGGGTACTTATTACTGGTTACTAATTCTGGCTAAAAACTCCGGACAGTCGATAACTCCATTAAAAATATTGTATACAAATTTAACATCAGCAATAAATCGTCTAGAACTAGGGTTTATCCACCATATTTATTTTATTAGCCACCATACGCATCAGCTTTATTGAAACAAAGCTTCTCACTAGTAATTTCATTCAACTTTTGTTGATTAACTTTATAATATATTAATGATGAATAATGCTTGGTAAAATGAAAAACAGTCGATGAGAATTGAGTAATGTGTATACCTGTTATGAAATAATAATTATCATATTTTGTTATTCACAATTGTTAATAACCATTACTCTTCAATAATTAAAATTCATTAAAAAATCAAGTTTCTTATCTAAAAATGTTACAATGAACTTCCGGTCAATAGTAAGTGTAGTACACTATTTAATGATAAGTTTAAAAAATCAATAAATTACGTTACTAATAAGGCTTCTAAAGTTATCTATATTATAGTTCTGTGGTAGGACGGCCACTTTATTTAATCCCTGTTTAACAACTTATCTGTATAATTACACCAAAATAAACAAAAGTGATTTCTTAGCTTCTGCCATCCTACCACAGAATTACAATTCAGAAAATATTAAAACATGAGTAGAGCAGTAGAAATGTATGAAATATTTAATAATATATACTATATAGGTATTGGGTAATATACATAAGTATAACGTCTTTCACGTTATTATCTGACAGAAATCAGAATTGCATATAAAATATATTTATACTTCATACCATCGCAACACGCCCAACATTTATTTATAAAAAAATAAACAAATTTTATTTTTTAATATTTTCTTGAAATGTTGTAATTTTTTTTATTATAGCCTTTATTGGAAAATATTACAGCTCAAGAATTACAAGGTTTAAAAAAATATATATATTATTATAATTATAATTATGTATATTGTATGTGTACGGTTTAAAATATACTTAAAAGTAAAAATCTAATGTACAACCAGAATCAACATTTACCTAAATATACATTAGCACTTTAAAAATGTTGATTCTAGTTGTACATTAGATTTTTACTTTCAAGTATATTTTAAACCGTACACATACAATATACATAATTATAATACTATATATAATTATAATAAAATATATAATACTATATATTTTATTTATAAATCTTGTAATTCTTGAGCTGTAATATTTTCCAATAAAGGCTGTACAAAAATATATATATTTATGAATTGATACGGAACCGGAATACCTACATAGATAATGTATTATGATTCATTGTACTCAGTACTGAATGATATCAAGTTGCGTGGTTATGTTTTATATCTTTAGTACCTTTTTATATTATACCGATAACATTGATAATTAATTATAATTTAAATAGTATCTGTTGCACACCAGTCACCGAGGTGACGAATGAAATGAATCACCGACGTATAATTCATGATTCATGACTTGTTAAAAGATTATCTAGTAAATATGCGTAGGCGCTGTTTAAAAACAACTTTCTGTACATCGCTGCCCCGATAGAACAATGACACAACTGCAATAATTGAAATTTACAGGCAAACCAAATTATTTTTCACTAAAATGTTAATAATTCATGAATGGACAATTAATTATTACAACTAAATTATTCCCACTACAGTTACGTCGTTTTTTTTTACCTTATGCGTTCGCTACATCTAAACACATTGAAGCATTTAGTCCATTTTACCAAATTTTGCGGTTGTTCTACCGGGGCGGCGATATAATCATTAGTGACTGTTTGCACCAACTATACTTCAGATAGGTATACTGTATAGGTTTTTACTTTTAGCTTTTAAAAGTTGATTTGAATGAGCTATAAGAGGGCTTTGTCTCCACAACCTCTGAAAAAATATTGATTTATTAAATAAAATTATTTTTTTTTTTTTACCCACATCTTAAAACAAGGATGTCAAACCTTTAACGGTAAATAAGCACTCTATGCAGTATAATTTCATTTATTTAATAAAATAATTATTGTATTTAAATACTACTGTTGGACAGGAAAAAATGGTCTCGAAGTTCGAACTAAATTCTGTAAACTGTAAAGAAGTCTATGTCTCGAAACCGCTAGGCGCTACCTCTTGATAACCAAGTAGAGTTAATACTTGAAACTGTGTATTCAATGGTTTGCGTTCTGTTTCTTTTAAATCAAAAAGCCTGACAAAATTACGTTTTCTTAAGATGGTCCGATTTCAATTCTACAGAGATATACGAATTCTTTGGCTACTTTACTAGGTTATGTAGGACTCGGATTTTTGATGGTTTGCTTATGTAAAAAAATTGTTTATCAATATTGAAAACTTTCCAAATTTAATTTATTTTATTATCTACTAGAAACTGAATTTGTACATAGTCTATAGGAGGATCATTCTATGCCAAATCACCTGATGTATGTGCGAGTGGATTTTTGAAATGCCTCAAACTTACATATCCTATGCAAATAGTTCCCATAATACCAAAAAAATGATGACAAAATTAAAAACAATTTTTTTTGGTCTTAGGCGATGCTATTTTGGAAATAGCAGAACAAATTCCGGAAATTTGTTGTGAAAACACCTTATTTTCACGATCACGTTACGTAATGACTAATTATGATATCGTAATGGAACTTTCACTAAACAATTTTAATTAAAGTGTTCTTTTTCATAATATACTTGAAAAAATGTGTTTTCAAATTTTTGAGTACTTAAAAATTGAAAATTTTATTAATGTCATTCAATTTTTTTTCTGACTTAAGGTCAAAATTTCAAAACTTTTTTTTTTTATTCTGATACATCATACTATACTTGTTTGATTCATAACTTTGTTTTAGAATTTTTTTTTATTTTGTAATGTACAAGGAACTTCAAAGTTTGGCATTTTACTAAAGTGATATATTTATAAGCCTATAACTTTTTATCACATGAACCAAAAATTCTGAAATGTTTACAGCACTTATTTATATGTATGTAGAACATTTGGTAAACGTTTTGTAATGGAGACTTTCTTTATCTAGGAGCTGTGAGACTTTGAATTTTTCATTATAGTCCTACAATACAAAATTCAATACAGAATTTGAGAAATTCCACGGACATTTTATATATACGCAATATTATTACCTAATTAGTACCTAGGTTATTTCCAATATAATAAAAATAAAAATGTGGAAATTTTGAATACAATATCTCCAATCAGTCAGCAGTTTGGCCGTATTTAATTAATTTCTCGTTTTCAGCACTGTTATAGCAATATTAAAAATTCCCGCCAATAATTTTATCAAAATTACATTTAGACCTCTGGCCCTAGGGCCATCATGTTTGCCGACAACGAACAGATTTTTGATTAAACAACGTGCTGTTTCTAAGCCGGTCAACGGTCAACCCTTTTTTTAATAAATACTATTAATTATTTGTATAGATTATTACGTGCAAACAAATTTTACTTTTCTGTTATTAAAATCAGTTTGGAACGTGAATATTTTGAGTTTTCAGAAAAACGTGATTTTACAGGTGGGTAAATAATTTAAAATGTATTTCGTCTTGCCTCTGCCTGTTGAATAGGAATGACGAATAAGAAGGTTGGCTATCATCAGTGGGCAGTAACTTATTGTAAAAACGATTTTGGCTGAACTTAAATCTTGCCAGTTTTTAATCCTGAAATCTTCTCAGTTTCTCCACAGTCCACCCCATCATTGTGTGCTACCATTCGCACATTTTATCGTAATTCATTTTATTTATAAAAAGAGAAAACATCTGAATGAAGTACCGTTGCTTGCTTGGTACCTTCAAACTGGGTGTCACATTGACCTCCCAACGAGAGCTATCATATGCTTAAGTACCAATTTTTATTTTTAGAGTTCCAAAAGGGGTGTTATATGATGGTTGATTCATTTCTCTAATTATGGTGGTTAAACAAATCAAGAACAATTTTCCATGCTACCACTGATGTGATCCGTACTTTTTGTAATGCATTTTAGCTGCACTAGGACCTTTTCCTAAATTCATCAGTGTCGTTCTTTATTGGGGGGGGGGGGGGCAAATACCCCGTACTTCCCTGGGCGGCTTAATCATTAAACCCCGTTAAAGGGGAGTAGGGTTTTAAAGTGTTGCTCAATTATTTGGTTTTGAATTTCACTCAAAAACTTAAGGCGGTGGAACCGCTGTTTTTTAACTGTCTAATGACCAACTAGGAAGTATTTTGTATTTTCATTTCAATCGTTAAATGTGATCAGCGAACAATTTTTATTCTTCCATATAGGAATTTACTTAATAGGCTGCAATTAAAGAGTTCAAAACGTTGATTTAATTTTATGTAAAATATCTTACTGTGTTAAACTAATATTTAGTTTGTTAATTTTAGGATGGCTGTTATTCGATATTATCAAAGAGCTCAACATTTACCAAACCACGAATACCATAAAGTTCAGAATATTAAATCTAAACTAAAAGATTTAATTAATGTTGAAGTTGAATATTGTTTTTACATAGATATTGACAATCATGTAAATTTAGCCGACGAAGACTTAATCAAATTAGAATGGTTATTATTAGGTTCTTTGGAAAAAGGAGATCTTAGCAAAAGTAATTTTCTTAATGAAAAGAATCATAGTAAGCTAATTGAAATTGGTCCAAGGTATCTATCATAATAATATCTATAATTATCTAGTTAGAATACTTGGATATTCTAATTTTGGTTAACTTTCAGGTAATAAATTATTAATTCACATTTTTAGGTTAAATTTTTCAACACCATTTTCTAGTAATGTGATGTCTATTTGTAAAACAATCAACTTAAATGGTATAAAAAGATTTGAAAAGTCTACTCGTTATTTATTACATTTCTCTAATAATCAAGTGTCAAATACCCAAGCAATTGATCTGGTTCGTGTTTTTTCCTAATTTAATAGTAATCATTTGCTTGTTTATTATTGTTTAAAAATATTAATGAAGTAGATATTACATTATTTATTTTTATGAACTGTTGAAATTAATTTTAAATCATTTATATAGATAACTACTGAATTATGTGATCATATGACAGAAATTGTTTACAAAATGCCATTAGAATCTTTTGAAATTCAAAGTAACAAAGAAAATTGGTATGAAGTTGATGTTCTTAAAAGAGGAATAGAAGCTATGGCTGAAGTTAATGAAAAACTTGGTTTGTTTTTATAAATATATAATATTAAGTAATTCTATTTGAGGTATGTCGGTTATCCTATTTTTTTTTAAATAAGGAAGTGACCCTGCCCCACCCTGTACTATAGTTTCAGCCTTTAGGAAGACGAGTGACCGAGTTAGTAATGTAGTAGGGTATTAGTTCTCACTTTTGCTGGTTGAATTATTGGTCAGGTTGCTTCATTTTTTGGGTAGAAAACTATGTAGTGAAAAAGGAATTGCTCTCCCCTTCTAGAATTTTAATATATTTAAAAAATGAAAAATTTATTTTATTTAGGTTTGGCGTTTGACAAATGTGATCTTGAAAACTATACTAATATGTTCATAAAATCTAAGCGTAACCCAACAACCGTAGAGTGTTTTGATTTAGCTCAATCCAATTCTGAACATAGTCGTCATTGGTTTTTTAAGGTAATTTTAAATTCATACATGTTATATGTAAGAATACACAACTCATATTATTTCATTGTTTTAGGGTCAATTAGTTATAAATGGAGAACCAATAAAAACCTCTCTATTTGATATGATAATTGACACACAAAATTTTTCAAATAATAATAATGTGATCAAATTTAGTGACAATAGCAGGTTAATAAATTATCATTATGTCCCGCTTTCCCCCCAAATAAGAAAAACAATTTTTTTTTGACGTCATATACCATTGTAAAAGATTGTAAGTAAAAGTTTTTTTTTTTTTGTTAATTATTTAGTGCCATTAAAGGATTTAGCGTAAAAAATTTCAAGCCAATAGAATCAACTGGTCCTAGCCCATTTATAGCTGTACAGTCAAACTTACACTTAGTATTCACGGCTGAAACTCATAATTTCCCTACCGGAGTTGAACCATTTAGGTAATAATAATAATTATAATAAGAGTTTATTTGTAATTATATAAAAGCATAAATCCTAATTGTAGTGGAGCTGCAACCGGTACGGGAGGTAGAATAAGAGACGTGCAAGCTGTTGGAAGAGGTGGCTTTTGTATTGCTTCAAGTGCAGCATATTGTGTTGGCAACTTATATATACCTGGTAATTTCTTTGTAATTTAATGTAATTGGTACTATCAATAAACATTATTTGAATTACTCTACTGTAATATTATAAAGAAAAGAACAGGAAAAATAAATAATAATTTTATATAAATTAAATTTAGGTTATGATTTGCCGTGGGAAGATAAGTCATTTGTTTATCCATCAAATTTTGCAAAACCCTTAAAAATACTCATTGATGCTTCTAATGGAGCATCTGATTATGGCAATAAATTTGGTGAACCTATAATTTGTGGTTTTGTTCGATCATTTGGTATGGTAATTAATGATGAACGTCGTGAATGGATTAAGCCCATAATGTTTACTGGTGGTCTTGGGACTATGTTAGCTGAGTATACTAAAAAGCTTGCTCCATGTAAGGGTTTGCAAGTTGTGAAAATTGGTGGTCCGGTGTATAGAATTGGATTAGGTGGAAGTTCAGCTAGTTCTTTCGAAGTTCAAGGAGTTAATAAAGTCGATTTGGAGTTTGAAGCTGTACAAAGAGGAGATCCAGAAATGGAGCAGAAGATGAATCGTGTAATTAGAGCATGTATGGAAAATTCAAGTCATAATCCAATATTAAGCATCCATGATCAAGGAGCAGGTGGAAATGGTAATGACATAAAACTCTGAGTTTTCTTAATATGTTGACCGCTGTACAGTACCGCTGTAGCCTGTGGAAGCACAGTTGTTTATTATTATATGTTTATCGATAAAATATGGTTGACCTTCACAATACATATTTGGGTCCGCCATCGATTGTATGGCAGCCAACATTTAAATAGTCAAAAGTAAAATATTAAGTTGTCTTAATAAGGTAAATGATACATGGTTCGAATCTTTTTTTCTCCTCTATGCCATGATTCAATTGTATAAAACATTACAATAGCAAACAAATAAGTTTTTCCTAATTGAGCCTAAGGTAATTATAAATTATCTTTAAATTTCAAAAACTATTGTATAAAACTACCAATTGCAGTAATAATTTATTTTTTTAGTTTAATTAGACGTTTAAGTGTTTTAAAACCAGTTTTATAAATCACTAACATAGTATACAGTTAAATAAATGTATATATTAAGAAGTATAGATGGGAGAAAAAAGCTACAAAGTAGTTTTCAGTTCTCCTTAAAGTTTTTATTTATATAATAAAAGGAGTTCCCCTTAAAAAAGTCCATTTTAGATTTAACTAGTCAGGTGATATTTACTAAAATTATAAATTAAACACATTTAAGATTAAAATTCAATAAATATTAACAAGTGTCAAGTACCTTATAAATTAGTTAAGGTAATATATGTCATAAACTATTATTTTGTCACTATTCATTTCTTTTCTTGTTAGGTAATGTTTTAAAAGAAATAGTAGAACCCGCTGGTGCTATAATTTATGCAAATAAATTTGAACTTGGAGACCCAACGATCAATGCATTAGAGCTTTGGGGAGCTGAATATCAAGAGAATAATGCTATTTTATGTGATGAAAAAGACATAAAGTTGTTGAAAAAAATATCTTTACGGGAAAAGTGTTCAGTTTTACCGGTTGGTGTTGTAACTGGTGATGGAAAAGTAAGTAAGCTACCTTTTTTATTTTTTAAATATGTTGCACATATTACATTTTTTGTCTATAGTTAAATCTTAAATAAATTTAAAATTAATTAGTAATGTTGAATTTAAAAAATTATTATATTCCTATAGTATTGAATGATGTTAATTTGTTAAGGTGATTCTTGCTGAAGATGAGAAATCTGTTTTTCAAAACGGTAAATACCCAGTCAATTTGGATCTTAGCATGATATCGAACGAAGTTCCTCGTAAAGTGTTTAAACAAAAATGGCAATCATCAACAAAGAGTCCAATTAAATTACCCAAGATCACGGTGATTGAAGCATTAGATAAAGTATTGAGATTGCCATCTGTAGCTAGTAAGAGATATTTAACCAATAAGGTTGACCGTTCTGTTACTGGTAAAATTGCCCAACAACAATGTGTTGGTCCATTGCATACCCCTCTTAGCGATATGGCTGTAACGGTTGTTTCCTTACTTGATACGGTAACTAAAAAGGAAAATCTATTTAAGCACTTATTCTATAATTTGTTTTAAACCAATTGTCAAAGGTTGGTATTGCAACTTCAATTGGCGAACAACCTATCAAAGGCTTAATCAATTCTGCAGTTGGAGCTAGAATGGCTGTAGCCGAGTCCTTAACTAATTTAGTTTTTGCTCCTATTTCATGTTTAGAGGTACTTTTGATTTGTACAACAATATATAGCCTAGATATTTTTTAATATACAAAATAACCTGATGTAGGATGTCAAATGTAGTGGAAATTGGATGTGGCCTGCTAAATTACCAGGAGAAGGAGCAGAATTGTTTTATGCTTGTAAAGCCATGTGCGATGTAATGAAACTACTCGGAATTGCTGTTGATGGTGGCAAAGATTCTTTGAGTATGGCTGCAAAAGTTGGTAACAATAATGTCAAAGGACCTGGTAAATATTATTAGTAAACAATTTTAACAACTAAAATTACTAATATTATTCAAATTTTATAAGTTAATTTTCAAAAAAAAATTATTAGGTTCAATTGTGATTTCCACATATGCACCTTGTAGCGATGTAAGACTAGTTGTTACGCCTGATCTAAAAGGACCAAGACAAAATCTAATAAACAAAACAGAAAGCAGTCTCATTTTTATCGATTTATCTGGTGGTAATAAACGACTTGGGGGATCAGCCCTGGCTCAATGTTACGGACAACTTGGCGACATTGCACCTGATTTAGATTATCCAAATATGTTAAAAAATGCTTTTCAAGATATTCAAAAGTTAATTAAAAGTAATTATGATTGAAATGTATTTTTTAACTTAAAATATTTGACTATATTGTAGATTTTTTGTAGGTAAAAAATTATTGTCCGGTCATGATATAAGCGATGGAGGATTAATAACTTGTGTTCTGGAAATGGCTTTTGCTGGATTTAGTGGATTCCAAATCGATTTAAATAAAATAAAGAATACAATAAATGTCAATGATATTGACATTTTGTTTGCCGAAGAATGCGGTTGGATAGTAGAAGTTGAAAATCAGTTTGTAGAAGAAGTTTTATCAATTATCAGAGTACCTGCCTATGTAATTGGGCATACTTCTACATATGGCAATGAATCTCGTGTATGAACTTTTCATGCAATAATTATTATATATTTTTCATACTAATATGGTTTTATTTATTTCGGTTTTAGGTTATTATAAAAAACAATAAACAAATTATTTTGGACCAAAAACTAATTTACTTGTTTAAAATGTGGGAAAATACAAGTTTTGAGTTGGAAAAATTGCAGTCTAACAAACATACTGCTAAACAAGAATATGATATATTATCGAATAGATTAGGATCAGTTTATTCATCAAACTTTATTATATCCCATTCAAATAAATTGCCAAGTGTGTTGTTATAATATGGCTTTATATAGTTGTTTTAAAATTATTCTTATTTGTTTTTCTTTAGGTGCTAGTCCGAAGGTGGCCGTCCTACGAGAAGAAGGTACTAATGGTGATCGCGAAATGAGTGCTGCATTCTTTATAGCTGGATTTGAAGTATGGGATATCACTGTTCAAGATCTCATAAACAATGCAGTTAACATCGATCAATTTAGAGGATTAATATTTCCAGGGGGATTTAGCTATGGAGGCATGTATATACTGCAACATCTATTGTTTATATATATTTATAATTTTGTTTTAAATTTTTAACATAGTTTTGTTATTCATTTTTAGATGTATTGGGTTCAGCTAAAGGATGGGCCGCTAGTCTCACATTTAATGCTAATGCTAAAAAAAGTTTAGAACATTTCATTGCTAAAAAAAATACTTTTAGTCTTGGTGTTTGTAATGGTTGTCAGCTGATGTGTAGTCTTGGATTAGTTGGTAAACTAAAGTAGCAATATTTGATTTTTAAACAACTACAACATCTTTTTATCTTTTTTTAGGTGACATTAATGCGAGTAATTCCTTAAATATTGAATCTCCTTCTGTAGTTCTAGCTCCGAATAAGTCTGGAAGATTTGAAAGTCGTTTTAGTTCTGTTAAAATAAATCCTTCTAATGCTTTAATGTTAAAAAATATGGAAGGAAGTATTCTTGGTGTATGGGTTGCACACGCTGAAGGTAATTATTATTATTTAGAACATACTATTGTATACATTTGTTTTATCATTTATAAATTGTGTTTCAATTCAATTACTTGCTATGCACTATTTTAACGATGTACTAAATACCTCAAACAACATTGAAACTATTCTGACAATTTTTCGGAAAGTTATAATCTGCAATATTTTTGAGTTGAAAAATGTAAAAAAATTAAGTAATATTATAGAAAAGGAATGATTTTTTGAAGATAAAGTGTTAATAATTATTCTTACACCTAAATATGAACTTATTTTAATTTAATAATGTTGTAAAAATAGTAATAATATAATATATGAAATAAGTACTTAACACATTCGTTGCGTCGAAAAGTTGATATACCTCATTCAATGTGTCTTAAAACTGGTAAATAACATTTTTGGCAGTGCATCAACATTTTAAAGAACATATTTTATTGAATAGACATGATGGCGGCTATAGCCGCCAGGCACACCGCTAAAATATCAATGAGTAGCACTAGGGGCAGTGAATGTGTTGAGTATCTGTAATAAAAAGTGTAGTATTAAAATTCTACGTTATACTTGAATAATACAATTTTTTCAGGTCGTTTTCAATTCCAAAATAAAAACATTGCAGAGTCTTTAATTATGAATAATTGTACTCCTATAACTTATGTTGACGATGAATACTTACCGACAGAGCAGTATCCAATGAATCCCAATGGTACTTTTGGTAAGCAAAATAAAATATCTTTGACAGTTTGCATAGTATAAATTTGAGTATTAACTATCAAGTTAATTTTATTATTTATAAGTTATTTTTGTCATGCCCTTTAATTGTTTTACTTATTACCAATATTTTACTTTAGGTGGAATAGCTAGTATATGCTCAACTGATGGCAGACATTTGGCAATAATGCCTCATCCAGAGCGTAGCATATTTACATGGCAATGGCCATATACATTTGGATTAAATCTATCTGAAGAACATAACTATGCTCCTTGGATGCAGATGTTTTTTAATGCTTACAAGTGGTGTTTGGAAAATTAAACTAACACAAATAAACCTTATTTCAAACCCTGTACTTTTTTGGACAATATTGTTAAAAATACAAACTAGACACTGTATAGATATTACAATACTCCATTCAATTACAATTTATATACCTACTGTTAATGTTATTTTTCAATATATTTTATATGTTATATTCTACTTTAGATCATTAATTACTTATTATATAAAGAACAATTCGAGAAATAATTATTTGTACCCATCAAAATTGTTGATTCTTTTAAAATAAAGATTTTAATAACAAATAAATGAATGATTTCTACCTATGTTCAGAGTTTTAACAATAAATAATAGTGGAAAACTGAACACTGCGTACTACAGCCAAACTGGATCGGCAGGTTTGACTTTTTCAAGGCAAGTAGGATGTAATCGATAATTATTCTTCTGTTTAAGTATTAAAAACCAAGAATTTTTTTCAAACTTGAAAAAAATTATATCTACTTTGCAGGTATACACTATACAATATAGACTACAAGAAAATATAAATTGATTAAATAGAACAGCCAACATTCACAAAAAAAAACATGAATTTATCCTTTTAATACGCATGAATTAAGTAAAACAAACATACCATATAAATAAATATATTATAATATTTGATATCTATTTTATTATACACATCTTATCCCTTGGTATCACATAATATTTCAAAATTCAATTTTAATCTGTAATCTAACAAGTAACATGTGATGAGATAGCAGTATCTCAATTTTTCATATTAATAGATAAGAACTTTTGTACCATCGATCGAACATTGCAAATAAGGTGGATTCATAGAATAAAGAATGAATTTAATTTAATTTATTAATCCACCTTGATTGCGAGGTATAGGCCGATGCTAATCTCTGATTCTGAGTCGGGTATCTTTTACTTATATATTAGTATTTTTTTAATTAAAAATGGATTCTTCTGAAGTTCAGATTAGTAAACCTACGTCAGAAGTAAGTGTCCTAGTAACTGGTTACGTGAAGTATGAAGAACTTTATGATTTAAAAGTGCTCTGTTAACAGGTGACCAAACGCATTAGCTTTTTTATGAAAAGAAAACGCGAGGATAATGATGACAGAAACCCTAGACTCTACTGTAATTCAACGGTGGATAGTAGTTCTGCAAGAACATGTTCAACAGTTGCAGCCAAGAGGCAAAAAGGATCAGAATGTTATGTAAAATGTAAGGTAGAAAAATGTCAATATTAATTCATTTCTATTAAGTTCTGATCATTATTTACTAGTGACCAAAGTGCACAACGATTCAGGACCACAGTGCAATGGTGGTTTTGACCCTGCCAGTAAAACAAGTTACGAAATATCAAAGCAATTTAATATGGGTTTGAAGTCTGACATTCGTGAAAGAATATCAAATTTAGAATCCTGCATGAAAATTAAACCAGTCGAAATGGATATATACAAAAAGCTTAAAATACTTGAGGATCGTGTATTAGAGCTAGAAAGCATGTTGAGCAAAGGAAAAGATTTATCATCTATTATGCCTATTGATACTAAAACAAAAGTAAATATTGTTTAAACTTTATTAGTTTAACATAATACTAAAAATGTATACATTTCATAAAATAGTTATGATATTTGAAGTTTCATATATTATCATGTATTGTCTGTCTTTGACGTATTTAGTCCCTATTTAGACTAAGAGTATAGCGGTTGTCATTAATGTAAAAATATTCCATCTAATAAGGCCAGTTGTGATATGTTTAAATGTATTTGGCGAGAGCCTAGTTTTGTTTTATTCTGAATAGAGTTAGTAATGGTGCATATAACCAGTTGACACATCAATGTAAGCCTAGGATTTTTTTATTTAAAATTGTATATTGTACTAGTACAATATACAATGTAGTACTGAGTAGTATAGAATTTTCAAAAAAAAAAAAAAAATCCTTAATATGCTAGTGCTTATATAATTATTGAATGGTAATACAAAGTAAATTTTAATAAATAATAAGTATTATATATTTCAGGAAGAAGTCATGACTACTAATGATTGTAGTATTAGCCAAATAAGTGAAAAGACAACAATTAACAGTGATAATTTACAGTTAATTACATCATCAAAAAAACCAAATAAATTATTGCGAGAAAATAAACCTGTAAGTCAATTTAATATCAACATATAGTAGACATTACTATTTAAACCCTTAACCATAAAAATAATACACTGTCTGTGTACACGTATTTCGGCAACAAGTTGTCATCAACAGCACTAACAAGTAACGACACACTGAGTCTGTTAAAATAATTAAAATGTAAAATTATAAGTTATAAAATAAATATTTCCTTATCTCCTCTTGATTTATTTGAATGAACATGTGAAATATGTCGTTACATAGCCATTATATAAATAGGTGGTCACCTATTAATATTGTGATGTGTGTTACCTGAGTTAACCACTGTGTCACCGCATGCCTCTACAATTATTATATATTGCAAATATTACCTAATAAATATTTACATTATTTTTACAGAAATATAGTGCAAGTGAAATACAGCAGCTAATAGAGGAAATAAAAAAGAAAGGAGGAAAATGAACATTACCATAATTTTTCTTAAGTTCACTAAATTATTTCATTAATTTAATTATTTTAAAAATTCCCTCCAATAATGTGATTTGAATAATTATTTAAATTTTGATACTGAGCTATTATTGGTTTTCAATATATATTTGTGGAAAATTGTATCAAAAGTTAATAAAGTTTTTATTTATTCAATTGATTGAAATTATAAATTGTTTTAATTATTTATTAAATTTGTTGAGAAAGTATTCTTCATACCAAACCAGAGAATCCTGTACAGCTACAATGTGAAGCTAAGAAGGTTTGATTATGTCCAATCAGAATTTCACAACAGACAGTACTTTGCCCAATATATATATATATATATATATAAGTAAATGCTACTAGTATAAGATTTAGTATTACTATTTTGTGGCTGTACACAATATCATTATATCACTTATCAGCTGTATAGATTAACTCAAAAACACAACAGACGATCAGAAATAATATCCGAATGTTACTTTGATGAGCCATAAATTTAAGTATGCTACTTATTATATGGGGAAACCGGAAACCCAAAAACTATTATGCCAACTAGTATTAACTATTGATGTAAACAATGATAATATTTCAAACGTTAGTAGACATCGTATTTATATAGATGAATATTAATTGTATAGGCGAAAATAGGAAGGGGCTTAGTTTCCCCACAAGAAAAAATCTCTGTAGGTGCTTCAAATTTGTCCATCCTTATTTGTAACAATGCTAAGAAATATGAAAGCATATTTGTGCACGATAAAAGTTAAATTTAAATTTTATGGCTCCTAAATAAAATTTTATAATAGGGAATCATTCATATTTGGTGTCTTGGTAACGCCAAGTAGAATTGACGAAAAGGTAAAACACATGCCATTTTTTCTTGAATAAACAAGGTTAAATAGGTTAGCATTCTGTACATATCTGAAATATCAATTACAAATTATGTTCTGAAAAAAATCGACAAGACTTGTTTTTGTTTCTTTTTTTTTAAGGTAAAAAAAAATCTCTTAATTTTTCCTAGTTGTAATGGAAAACGAGAAACTCATTTTTGAGAAAAAAATTGTTTTAACGAAAATTGTGATTATCCAGTAAAACAATTGAAAATGAATAAAGAATCCTCATTACTATATGACAATATGCTAATAAACATATTATTATAATTATAGTTAGAGTTTAAAATTAATTTTTCATGAAAAATTTCTTGTACGTAAATCTTTAAAAAGTGGTATGTGTGGGCGTGGCGTCTGCTTAATAACTTTAACAAGATACTGAAACTGGAATTGTTATAAAAATAAGTATTCATGGTATTAATATTAGTTAAATAAATCACGAGAAATCTTCACATTTAACTTCACCTTAAGGCGTGGTATAGTACCACCCGTCACCTTAAATAGTCATAATATCCCAAAATCCACTAGCTCTCGCTACTTAGGCCAACGCTTAATCAACGCAAACCATATAAAAAGTAAAAGAACCCTTCTCAACTCGAGGCGGAAATCTCTTTACTTCTTGCTAGGTAAACATTCCAAACTAAGTATATAAAACAAACTACTCCTTTATAAAACCCTATTGATGCCTACCTGGACATACGGCATTCAATTATGGGGAGCAGCCAAAAAATCAAATATTTATAAAATTCAAACTTTTCAATCTATAACCCTTCGTATAATCACAAATGCCCCTATCTATGTCTCAAATCACACCCTTCATACCGACTTAAGAAAAGACACAGTAGATGAAACAGCATAAAAACTATACAAACGATTCCGCTCACAACTAACAAACCATCCAAATCCCTTAATTTCAGCGCTAAATTCCGACGCTATTCCTGGTAATTCTCCTCGCAGGTTAAAGAGAAGGTGGTGTCTTAAATCAAAATTAAATGCTAATCATAATTAACCAAAGCCCTATGTAAAGTGTCGCCATTGGGTGGCTACTTTTCTCACGTGTATCATGTCAAAAAGAACTTACTTCCGCATACATGCTTATTGTAATAACTAAATTACAGATTGTTTTTAAAAATAAAGTTAAAAAAAAAAAATTTATTTTAGTTAATTTTACAATAGGTTTGTATCTGAGCCTTGGAGGCATAGGCGTAACTATATTATAATCTCGATTTTACAAATGGCTCAAAGCCCAAATAGGTTACATTATAAATTGCATTTTCTATTTACTTAAAAGTTAAATTATAAACACATTTTGAAAATTAAAATTGTTAAATATTTTTGTTTTGCACTATGTTATACATTGTTATGACTTATATTTTTACAATAGGTCAGTCTAGTTTATCTCATAGTTAAAAAAAAAAAGGAACCAATAGAATATTACGTATGTATAAAATGTTCTTTTCTGAAAATCAGATGTATTCATATTAGATAAGTCATTAGGATACTATTTTTAAAAAATAGTTAAAATATATAAAATTTACGAGGTACCTCTTGTCATCTAGGAAAACGACTTAAAAGACAGTTTCCATACATTATTTTATAGGCGAGTTTCTTTTGTATTTTTACTAGTGTATAAAAACAATACTGTAGTAGTGATTTTTAGTTTTTACTGTTATAAAAATATTAATTAATATTTAATACCTAATTTTCACCGTCTAAAAATACATAAGAATCGAACTCAAATCATCAAAAGGTTTAGCCAAGTCATAACCTTAGGTGCAAATCGAGGGAAAGTAGGTGAATTTGCTTCCGTGTCGTTTGATCATAATATAATTCTGAATTAATAGTGACTATCCTACCCCGACCCCAATATGCCATTTTTTTTTATTAATGAAAAAAAAATATCAATAATATGATCTATTTAATCTAAAACATCCACTTTATTATACACATTAGTAAGACATAATTCTGATAGTCTATCTTCAGTCATCCTTGAATAAAGCTAGGTTTTGAGTCTCCCAAGTGCAGAGAAACTCCTTTCAGCAGAGGTAACGCTTACCGGTAGAGTTGCTAATACTTGTATTAATGTTCTAATGGTTGAAAACGTATCTTCATCACAGTTTATGTATAACAATATACAATTTGTTTGAAATACGGGCCCCCGATAGTATGCGCCGTATGATTTCGGCCGACACGCTGGGGTACGGCGCCAAATCATTCGTTAGTAGCACTTGGCCATTGAAGCTATTGGTTTTAAATATAGTTCAAATTTCAGGACACTTATCAGTATGTATTTATCGTATCGGGTTCACAGACTAACTCAACAGGTCCCTGGCGCCACTATGAATGTACAATGCGGTCCTTGGACCCTGAACGATATGTGGGATGGTACGTCGTGCCCTTTGGCATTCGAATATTCGACGTCAAACGCTAATAATAATATCACAGAAATCCCTGGTCTGGACGGTATTTAATGTTGGCGGGAAAAATGCCGCGAAATCACGAGGAATGAGTGCAGCCGCCAACTATTGTCAATGGAGCAGTATAGTTGGGTATCCCCCTCTACGGTATTGCACTGTCGTCTGCTGTCCATAGTATAGGCATGTATTTAATTCCGGAATCCGGTGTGTTGGGACTTGGGACCAAGAAGAGGTAGGCCGTACCAAAACAATATATTATAAGAAAAGGTCAAAAAAAGAAGGAAAATCAGACCGTGTAGGCGCCAGTCTCCCGCCAAACCCCCACTACAGGTATCTACAGCCTAACTACCGATCATAATACAATAAACGCGTTTTCGAAAGAAAAAACTAGCCCGCCACAAGCATGTAGGCCAGTGCGGTTGTCAGAAAAATAAATAATGATATATATTACGATTTGCTTTTTTAATCTTTGCCTTCGCCCTTGTATGTTTTGTACGTTTGTTGACTTGGTGATTTAACTAGTAGTACTTACTACTTGGAGAAAAGTTCATTCCCGGCCGGCAAAGTTTCGCCAACACGCATAGTACACGCCACTATATACACCTGCTAAGCCGTAAAATCTGGCAACGCCGCACACATTGTCAGGACCATGACAAATGCTGTATAGTGTTCCACTGTCGACAGCGTTGCCGCGGTTATTCCACAGCAGAACGTATCCGAATTGCCGCCGTTGTTGTCCACTGCTGCTCGTACCGGATTCTAATCAATGATGTGATGTGCGTTCTCGTCTCCTTTCTCTCCGTCCGTAACAAACGTCCGCTGCTATTCAAAATCTAACAATAGCATAACAAAAAAAAAAAAAAAAAATTATCCATCTTATTTACCAACATTGTGATTTGAAAAAAACCGAATCGTACGCGTATTTGCCGTTGTGGGTACCTTGGTCGGTGCAGCTGTTGACCGTTGTTTCTCTCGTTTGTCCGTCAGTGTTTGTAGGCAATTTGATAAATTTGGTCACTCGCTGGAGCAATGGAAGTAGACGAATTCGATTCAGGTCGTTCGTCGTCTACCATTTCGTCAATCAACAGCCTGTTCTCCTTTACCAGCCCGGCAGTTAAGAAATTGTTGGGCTGGAAGCAGGGCGACGAGGAAGAGAAATGGGCAGAAAAGGCGGTGGACGCTCTTGTTAAGAAATTGAAAAAGACCAAGGGTGCTATTGAGGAACTGGAAAAAGCACTTAGTTGTCCAGGACAACCAAGCAAGTGTGTTACTATTCCAAGAAGTCTCGATGGTCGCTTACAGGTATGGTAAAAGGCAACGACGACAAGCTGTGATAGTAACAAGCTGTAACTCGCAAGTTTATCTTGATTTAGTGTATTTATTAAAATTTGTAAACAGGTGTCTCATCGTAAAAGCTTACCACATGTCATCTACTGTCGTGTTTGGCGATGGCCTGATCTCCAGACGCATCACGAGCTCAAACCACTCGACCACTGTCAGTTTCCCTTCTCCACACAGAACAAACAAAAAGACGTGTGTATCAACCCTTACCATTATAAACGAGTAGAAAGTCCTGGTAAGCTATTCTTTTTCAAACCTATATTTGTATAGCATTTCTCTGATTTCATAATAACAAGTAATATTTTAATGTGTCAAGAAAAATTATGTTGAACGTGTAGTTAAACTTCTGCTTTTTGGCAGAAATTGTTTAAAACTATTATTTCTTTTGGGCAGGAAGGGAGTTTTTATTAAAGTATCGCCCTGAGTTGCAAAATATCCAGACACAGCTCTGTTTTTACGCTTTGTCTATATCCCCGACCAGTCAGGTAACAATTATATCACCGACCGCTGTGATAACAAATGCGCGTGGGTGGAGACTTGTGTTTTTCATTATTATGTGGTCGGCACCTCAACAAACAGCCGACCAAATGTACTTTCACCGATGTATACTCTACTAGGAGGAGTTAACAGGTTTAAAGTTGAGTAGTTTATAGCTTCAATCTACTTTTCTACAGCAGGTCACAGAGTGTTTTGGCACTCGCTCGCTCGGCGCCGTTGTTTTGCTCCGCTAACTAAAAATATCCTAGGTTTGCAGGCTACAGTCTAAGAGGAGGTCACAGGTTTAAAGATAAGTCAAATGATTTGTGTTGTAAAAACATGATAATTATCACAAACATCAATTAAATGAATCATACGAGGAACATGCTGAAGATGTCACACAAGTCCAATATTTGAGAAACTTGGCTCATAATATCTACTTATAACTGTAAATTACATTATACAAAAACACAAAATAATTTATAAGTGGTATCAGAATAGAGTTTCTTGTTATTCTTTTGGAAAAATTTGCAGAATCTTGTCTATGCGGAAAAATTTCCATACCTATATCCCCGCGTACGCGCATTTGTTATCACGGCGGTCGGTGATATAATTGATACCTGACTGGTCGGGGATATAGACATAGTGCTGTTTTTATGGCAGACAACATCTTCCAACTAAACAAAATATTTATCTAAATAATCTAAAAATGTACTTGTAAAAATTATTCTGTTGAATTCACATAAAAAAAACCTTGTACACTTTTGATTATCTTAACATTTTCTCATACATGTATAATAAATTATTTTTTAGTTTTACCACCGGTATTGGTACCAAGGCAGAGCCAGCTACCTCCCATGATGTTTCGCCAAATGCCAGAAAATCTTCAATATAATAACTATAACCAAGGCCCAAATTCACCATCATCAAGTCCTCCTCCGAATAGTCCTTTCCAAAGTAGTGCTTTATCGGGTAAATATAACTAATTTATAGTCTCTTAGACTTCAATTAATAATAATTTTTATTCTAGAATTGGGCGGTTCACCTAGACCTGATGAAAAAGCTATGAGCCCTGCTTCTGGCACCCAAGTCTTGTATCAGGTATATATGTATACAAATCAGCAATAATTTAAACTGATATTTATTTTTCAATAACGTATTAATTTCTTATGCTATATTCTGTTCAAAATGAGATTGTACTTGCACAGAGACTGAAACGTGCTACACCTGGTCAAGACCTTTCACGTCTATCTTTCAGTCTTTGGGCAAGTACAATCTCATTTTGAACAGACCATGAAATATTTCTATTTACACAGTACACAGAAATTGAACATGGGTTTTTCTTAACACCATGACAATGACGACTCATTCTTTTAAATATTTGTTATTTTAAATAAACCTAGTAATTTTTTGTATTTAGGAGCAAGCCAGTTGGGCTAGCATAGCATATTATGAACTAAATAGCAGAGTTGGAGAACTGTTTCATTGTCAATCTCCAGTCGTAGTTGTAGATGGATTTACAAATCCAAGTAATAACTTAAACCGATTTTGTCTTGGACAGCTATCCAATGTTAATCGAAATCAGACGATTGAAAATACTAGAAGACATATTGGAAGAGGTAAAACATTGTATTTTTACTTAAAGAATACCTAATAGTAATTTAAATGACGGTATTCTTTTTTTTTTGTTGCTTAAAGTTGTTAGCAATATATAAGGGTAAGACAAACAAGCATTTGATTGACATCATGAAGTCTGTTGTTAAATTGTATTATTGCTTTACTCTATAGTCACAAACTCAAAACAAAATCAAAATAGTCGTTCGGATATTTCGTAAATTTGACGTTGACGATGGAAAAGTTATTCTATAACGTCTGTTGCGATTTTCGTATCAACGTTACAGATTATTATTCTAATATATTTTAATATATCTACTAAGATAATGTTTAATAAGATAATTAATTGACCAAGACTTATGTTATTTTAATGTGCGTATGTCTTGTGTATGTTTTTATTTTTATGTTAAAAGTATGCGGAATTATGTTCATAGTTCGAAAGCTGGTGTGACCTTACTCTAATATTTGAAGATGATTTAGTTTTTTTAATTATGTTTTAGGCTGGGGTTCACTAAGATAATTTGTTAAATGTTTTATCAGACTACACATATTTATTTACTCGATTATTTATTCGACCAAGTCTAAAAACATTACCATGATTCTACATTTCCAGCTTTTGCTCAAAATTTCGTACAAATGTTGTTATAAAGCATTTAAAAATTAAAATTGTAATTAATATTGATTAAACAAAATTGTAACTTTTTTTATTGAAAATTTTGTTGATAAGTATTGGTGATTTTTATTTAAGTGATTAGTTACTTACAATAGTACGATTAGTATTAACTACCACCTTGGAGCTGTGTCCTCCAAATACATTAAAAATGTATTTTTACTTTTTATTACAGGTATACAATTACACTATATTGGTGGTGAAGTGTATGCAGAATGTTTATCCGATTCAGCTGTTTTTGTACAGTCACGTAATTGCAACCATCATCACAACTTTCATCCGTTGACCGTTTGCAAAATTCCGGCTGGATGTTCATTACGTATTTTCAATAACCAACAGTTTGCGACATTACTAACTGAATCTGTTAACTCTGGGTATGAAGCCGTGTTTGAGCTCACTAAAATGTGCACTATTAGGTAAATATTGACGATTTTTATTTCTATAGCAGCTACCTGAGTTGTTTAATATATAATGATATGTTTGTTGTTTAGAATGTCCTTTGTGAAAGGCTGGGGCGCCGAATATCATCGACAAGACGTTACCAGTACTCCATGTTGGATTGAGATACATTTAAACGGTCCGCTACAGTGGTTGGATAAAGTCTTGTGTGCCATGGGATCACCACATAATGCTATATCGTCTGTATCATGAGTCCAATGGTTTTACACTTGCACAATTTTTTTTTTTTTAGTATCAATTTAACAAGACTTAATCTTAATCGGTCGCATATTTTCTTAGTAAAAAAAAAAATTATTGACTTTTAAAGAAAGAGTACTCAGTATTTTTTTGTACAAATTCAAGAAGTGGAATATATATATATATATATATATATATATGTAATTTATATATATAAATATTGTTTTTATAATAATTATGTTTGTAAAATGATACAATTTTATATTATTTTTTTATGCGTAATGTTATTCTGCTAAACGTTTGGTGCTTAATTATTATTATTACTTCTTTATTTATTTTTTTAAAATGTATAACCATTAATTACATATTTGAAATGTATTTTAATTATATAATTTAAGATCAACTTTAACATAATTCATGAATTCAACACAACAAAAAGTCAAATCTTAAAACCAAAAAAAAAGTTGGGTCCTCATAGTCAATTTATATTATCTTAATTATAAAGAGGGAGGGATGTGTGCATTTTAGAAATAATCAGTGCTTTAAGAAATGAAAAAAACAAATGCTGTAATGCCTAAAATAAGACATAATTAAAATTATATAACAGTTTTAAATAACCTAAATATAAAATTACCAATTAAATCTTGTATAATTTGTTGAAAAAAATGAAGCAAAATTTGACCAATTAAAATTATGTACTTAATGCTCGACATTGAATTTATTTTAGCCGGCTGACTTGAATTGTAATTATTATAAAAGAAAATTTGTATATCTTTTTATATTCTGTATGTCTTTTCGATTTTAATTAATATTACTTGAGCTAATTTTACATTGACACCATTTCTGTAGTGTAATATTATATTATTTTACACCATTATTTTTTATTACACTTAACTGCATTTACTTGAATGGACAATTTTTTTATTACTATTGTGACTATATACATGCGTGTGCCATTGTAATATTTTGTTTGTCATAAATTACTTAATTCTTATTGTTTAGTTTTTGTCAAATGTTGACACTAATATTAAAATTAGTACAACAAATCACTATACAGGTTGTTCTTAAAATGTGAAGTACAGATATTTTAAAAAATTATTGTAAATAACAAAAATATGTGCAATACGAGAATATTGTGTATTTACCTTGTTTTTTTTTTATAAACTTAAATTAGAATTTCCATCTCATTAATATTTTGAGTTTGATGTATATACATGTTATTATCATATATATATATATATATATCTCATGTATATGTATTATTTATAGTTCTTATATTTTTTTCTAAACTAGAGCTTATTTAAAAACAATAAAGTATAAATTTATTGATTTTATATATATATATATATATATATTTTCGACTATTACTGTATACATTACTGTATGACTTTGTAAACCATAGTTTATACTTGATAATGTATAAAAAATTATATTTTACTAGTAAAAATGATATTTTTTAAATTGTATTCTTATTTCCATTACAACATTGAACATAATGATCTTTGGGATGAAAGAAGTTGAGGTTTAGAAACATTGAGTTTTAAATGGATTGTGAATAGAGTCCCGGACTGTAATATTAAAGGGCAGCGACGGTGGTGTTTAAAACTCAGGCCTAAAATGTACGTACGTCTACCACATAAATTGGAGCTTGTAAATCACCATTGACTATTAAGTACAATTACAAAAATGTACCCACAATATAATGAGTAATGTAACAATATTCTTACTCTCGTTAATTTATGTTTCAATATACCATATCTTTACTATGGCCGTCTAATACCAATGAATTCGGATCGTAATTGATTTTAATAGATTTTCAATATTTAATAGATATTAAATATTTTCAAAGAGGGTTTTATTGATCAGTGTTTTAATTAGATAAAAAGCAACCGAGTACTTAGTATACTGTTACGAAATACTTAACCCGAATAATCGTTTTATAAATAATAATAATTAGAATTAATGTAATTACATTATAATTTTGACAGCACTCTAGACTCGAGTGTTGTTTATTGTTTACCCGAGTCCCGGACTCCTAAAATGGGCGATCTACTTAGTAAGACTATAAAACAATACACATTTTAGGTGTTTTTTTGCTGGTGTACTCTGAGGTGGATGTGGCATATCGCCAAGCCCGGAGCGACATGGGCCGTGTACAACTATTCGTCATGTGCTTCAATATTATTTCATTGGCTTTATCAGGAGCGGCTATTAATTTAAAAACGGTCGAGCGAGACAATTCGTTTGCAGAAATATTCGCCTGTCTGTCGAACGTGACCCGCACGTATTTCGACCGACACACCACTTACTTGTACTTCGACAAAAGCAGAGACGCGGCCGACTTGTTCACAAAAGCCGTGCAGAGTCCGAAAATGCTCATGTACAACCAATTCACCGAGGTCAAAGTGAAAAGCGCGTTCGCGTTCATCGCCGAAGACGGCATTCACACGCAACTGTTGAACACTACCGCGCAAAGTTACTTCATCGCCGTGTGGAAAACCGTGTCGCCGAAAATGAACGACATCGGCAAGCTGATGAAACACTTTTGGATACACGGCAAGCGCATAAACGTCGTCGCGCTAATGCTGACGGAACACCGAACAGTCAACGCGTACACCTACAGGCCGTTCTCGGGTTACGGATGCGGCGAGCTCGGCACACCGTACCTGATCGACCAGTGGATAAACGGTTCGTTCCTGACCGGCGCCGATCTGTTCTCTTTCCGGGTGAAAACGGATAACATGCACGCGTGCCACTTGAAGTGCGTGGGCAACGAACATCCGCCCGACAGCATCATGCGTACCGACGGACGCCGGTTGTTCATGGACGGCGCCGGCATCAAAGTGCTGGAAATCGTGGCCGGCCACATGAACTTCACGCCGTCGTTCGTCACCGCCAGTCCGTACACCGGACAAATGTACAATTGGCACTATAGCGCCGACGAGCTGGACAACATCACGGTGATGCTGAACAACGAGCACGTGGATCTGGCGTTCGGCTGGTACTCTTACGCTACCCATAACGAGCGCAACGCCGAATTGGCCCGGACGACCAGCATCGACTGTTTCGGATGGGCCGTCCCGTATCGGGCGGGCCCGTCGCCACCGCCTTGGACAAACTACGCGTACGAATTCGACCGAACCAGTTGGGCTTTCATCGCGTTTATTTTTCTAGTAGTCACTGGTCAGTGTAATGAAGTTTTACCTTTTGATGTTTTCCAAAAACCGAAAAACCTACCTATTATTAATTATTAATAATCTATTTTTTGTTTTCTAGGAGCATTTCATTTTTTCGTTAAGTTGAAAAAATTACACCACTGTAACTCGGTGGTGTTTTTCGTGTTCCACACGACGATCGATCAGCCGCTCAGAGTGCACACGACTTCGAGCAGCATGCGCATGTTCTTGATTCACTGGTTGTGGTATTGCATGGTGATCAGCGTGGCTTACAAAGCGTCTCTGGGCAGTTTCATGACGGTACCGTTGCACGGGTTGGAGTTCACCAAGATGAGCCAAATACTGGACTCGAATTTGATCGTCATGACCACCCCACAGTCGTTGCGCATCATTAACGCCACAATGGCCACCACGAAAATATCCAGGAAGTTCATGCAGCGGCTACAACAGCTGCCGCCCATAAACTTCGAAAAGGTCATAGACCGGTTGGTGATCGAGAGGGACATTGCGTTGTTCGAGGTGAAGCGGTCCATATACTATTATTCTATACCGCAAGCTCGTCTCATAAAAGTCAAAATACCCATAAGATTCTTACCCGGGTGTCTGTTGCGGGCTCACACCACTCAGTTCATGTTCAATCGCGGCTCGTACCTGACAGAGTCGGTCGACGACATCCTCAGCCGACTGTTCGAAACGGGCATTGTCGACCATTGGATTGTTCATCTGGGTTCCAACAAGGTTCTGCCTTTGGAAAAAATCAAAGGCCGGGTATTGAAGCTGAAACGTCTGAAGGAAGCGTTTTTGTTTTTGTTCTTCGGTTACGTTGTCGCGTCTGTTGTGTTCTTAGCAGAAACATGCTGGTCAAAATGCATTCACGGTACAAGGGTATCTCCCGAGCACGGTATCTTTCCATTCGTACATTAATATCATTTCCGTTTTAATTAAACTCTAACAGAAGAGTTGGTTTTAGAAATGAAATTGCCTTAACAGTATAGATTCGAAACTTTTAAAAATATTATTGTTAAACGTGTTTATGTCAAAACGAAATGGTCATGGAAACAAATTTCGACACCGTTAAAAAGAGAAACTTTTTTTTATAGACTATCAGTCATTTATATAGCAAAAATTACAGTTTTTTGCATCAAACCATTTTTTGTAGTTAAAATACCGAGAAGTTTTGTGTGAACAAAAGACCAAAATTCTTTCATAATTTAGTAAAAAAACGAAAATGCTTACCATAAAGATGATAATAATATAGTAATATTCATTATGAACATCTAATTACAAAACAACATTTTTATCACTTTTGTATCTATGTTACGATTTAAGATTATCTTTATTCGTGGCATATGATCATTGAAGGCTTTTAGCATTTGATAAACGAACACATCAATTTCACAAAAAAAAAAAAACACATTTTTGGCATTCTCTTAAAAATTCGCCAGTGCAAAAGCACAGTTAACACTACCAACAGCCACACAGATGATAATAACCACCTCTCGCCAGTGTGATTATAATAAATTAGTACCAATGTTTGACCCTAGTCTAGTAAATGAGGAGACATAGAAACAAAACAATGACGATATAAAAATAATTTTATTCGTGTATAACATTTGATTAACATATAAAATAAGTTTATTTTAAAAATTACTTTATATTAGGCTGATCACATAGTAATCATTTGGAACTTATACAATAAAAATAATGTGTAGGTTTGTATTCCGAGTTGAGTTTTTATTTTTTTATTTAAGAGTTCAAAGTTTCATTTTAATAACAACATAACATTATTTATTGTTGCTTACACTCGGCTGGGTTAACTTGTTTATTCAATAGCTTGTCTTGGCGTGGGTTGTACTCGGGATCATTGCCAGTTCCTTCCTCATCATCGTCATCGTCGTCATCTTCATCGTTTTCAGACTCTTCTTCTTCATCGTCTTCATCGAAATCATTTTCGTCTAGTAAAGCCTCACCTATACCAGTACACTTGTTAGTCATATGATTATTATTTCTAGTTAAAACTAATTTGTTTCTCAACGAACTAACCCGTGTAATAAAGGACAGCCCTGGGAATTATTCTTTCACGTATGTAATGGCCAATTTCGAAATCTGTAGTTAGAAGATTATCAATTTCCTCATCTACTTCGGTTTCTGGATCATCCGGCACTATATATGGATAACCAACAGCATGTTATAATATATTCGACACAATAATATCAAAATAGAAATAAATATGACATTTATTTTATTCAGTCTACTCATCCACGTGTTACCATTAATATAAAATACTGCTAACGTTTAAGTACAATTTATCATCAATATAAGCTCAAGTTAAAGCCACAATTGCACTATTTGTCAAAGTGGTAGTTGTATGAGCCACTTTTTTTTTTGCACTAAGTTTACTCAAATAAAACACCAATAATTGTGTTTTATGTTATTATTACGTGTGCATTTGTTTATGACAACATTTAAACGGATTAATAACAATATATAAATAATTTTAAAAGCATTATATTATATTCATTCTTAGCTTTTTAAATTTGTACTCGAAATGTCAAAGTTTCTCCCTTTTACGATCTAACGTTTGTTATTAATTATTTTTAAGAACATATCTCAAATATAATTTAGCAGTGGGCAGACTAAAGAAATGGAAAAATGACACATTTTGAATGGTTTTATTGACAAACAAACTGCGTTACCATTAATATAAAATACTGCAAACGTTTAAGTACAATATATCATCAATGTAAGCTCAAGTTAAAGCCACAATTGCACTATTTGTCAAAGTGGTAGTTGTATAAGCCAAACTTTTTTTTTGCACTAAGTTTACTCAAATAAAACACCAATAATTGTGTTTTATGTTATTAACACATGTGCATTTGTTTATGTCAACATTTAAACGGATTAATAACAATATATAACTAATTAGAAAAAAATTATATTATATTCGATTTTTAGCTTTTTAAATTTGTACTTGAAATGTGTCAAAGTTTCTCCTATTTACGATCTAACGATAATCGTTTATTTTTATGAAATTTTTTTAAATATAATTTACCTGCGGGCGGACTAAAGAAATGGAAAAATGACACGTTTTGAACGGTTTTATTGACAAAACGAACTGCTCCCTTGACCTTATGTTTTTGTTTCTTTTTTACGACTTTAACAGTTACGTTCTTTCCTTTGTTCCAATGAATTGTACAACCCTAAAGTTTTGAAAAACAAACAATGAAAATTTTTCGGTCAGTATTAATGCCGGAGTCTGAATGAAATGTATTTACTTTGCACTTGAAAATTTCAGGGCCTTCGAAACTCAACGGATTGTTTTTATCTGGCACGCATTTCATTTCATATTCCTTAGTCAACACCGTGTTGGTGAACCATTCGTTCGGAGTAAAATGGAACTCCAACGCAAAACCCTGAAAATTGAAACAAAATTGTTTAATGCCATAATGGATTGAACAATTATTAAAAACTTTATCGTTACCATAGGTTCTTCTAACAGGTAAACTTTAATATCCGACAAATGGCTTAGTATTGGTTCGTCGTGTGGCTGTATCATTTCGCTTATTAGACTAGTGTTCTTTAAAATGGTTAACCAAAAGTCTGGAATGCCCTTTATATTCTCATCGCCTATAGATTCTCTGTTGGAATCGTAAAAAAAGCATTAAGAAACTAAATATATAGTGTACGGTTACACTTAATTATTTAAAACTTACTGTTTCTTTTCTTCTAGTTTCGCCTTTCCTTCCAGGTCGGCTGAGAGTTCCTTAACGTCATCTTCATCTTCAGAAGGGAAATCGCATTCTTCTTCGTTTGGTTCATACATTCCCTTGACAATGTCACTTCGCTATGGATAAAATATGCAATATAAAATAAAAAACCTAAAACTTGATCGGTTAATTATTTTGTTACTTTGTTGTAATAATCCACATATTCTTTATGATATTTACATTCCAGTAGGTGTAGTTCGGTATAAAATTTAGTGTCTACTGCAGTCTGAGCAACTAGCAACTTTTTTAAGGCCTTCACACGCTTTTTGACCACTGGCGGAAGATTCTAAAAAATAGAAAGGTACGTCATAAAATAAAAATATGTATAACACTGTTTGATTAATAAAATAAATTATAACAACATACAAAAAATAACTTATTATGTATATATTACATAAAATTACAATGCGCACGACAGGTTGTACAAAAATAAATTGAAGATTTGTTAAAATTGAATGTTGATCGATCATAAAGATGCTTTAGTATCATAAATGTGTAGTAAAATTTATCAATGTGAGCTAAGTTAAAGCCATCATTGCACAAATGAAGAGTTTGTTAAGCGTTTTTAATAATAGAAAAAGTTTTCTAGAGAAAATGTAGTATTTTTACAGGAATTATGTCTTCTCCTTCTCCTCTGAAGCCAGACTTTAATTGTGGAGGACAATCTTGTTCCATGTCGGAACTTGACGACGAAGAATCAACAGCGTCGTTTTCAGCAGACATCCTGTCATCAAAAAAATTATTAATTTCTTTAATTTAGAAATATTAAAAGACATAGAAAATTAAACAGTGTATTATTGTTGGTTAATTAATACAATACAAGGTCATAATTTTGCTTATAATGAGTCAATAACACTATGATTATTAGTTTGCATTGCTAATTACAAGTCATTTATCTTTAATATCTAGTAGTTGACTGACATGTAGGTGCTATTTCGATTCTTACTCAAATAAGCACACCAGTTTCAATAGAATATTTTTATCTTAATATGGTACATTGATTTCTGATAGTAGTGACCATGTTAAGCTTTGTACTTGCTTCTTAAACATTTCAATAACTTCATATACAAATTATCAAGAAAATTGTAGTTAAATGCATATTTTAAAAGGGTATTGAGTAAGTATATGATGAACTTTTGGAAAAAAACGTAATATAATTAAGCATAAAGGTAATTTTGAAAACACTATTGGTAATATATTTACTGTTTCATGTTTGTATTTTAATGCAATCTCTTAAATGACAATGACCAATATATGATGTTTCAACAAGCAGTCTGTTCACATTTCACATTCGAAGGAAGTCTAACAAAATAACAATAAGACAAAAATACTAATGTTTATTTCAGAGCATTTCGTTTCCATAGAGAATTCTGTTAGGGTGCTTGCCCTATACAGATCAATACGACAATAATAAAAAACTTTTATAATAATATTAATAGTTTAAAAATATTTCATGCCTCTATAACATCTTTAGGTGCATAAAAATGTCAACGAGTAATAAATAATTATAAACAATTAAAAATATTTTTTTAACTGAAAGCTCTAAACTAGATGATTTAAGCAAATTGAATAAATTAACTTACTGAACAACGTGAAACAAAGTTGAATTTATGTTTTATCTATAATCACAGATAAAACACACTGTTATTTGCTTTTTTGGCAACCCAATTTTTGTCGCGAACCTATATTAACCATGTATTTGTTGCGATTATCTCTATTCATAGCCTTTACCATACATTTATGCCCATAGACTACAAAATCTATGTATGCTTTAATAATAAGAATTCAAGCACCCTTTCGAGTTGCAACCGAAGGAAGTATAATATGTATTATTAGTCATGACTCATGAGAATTAATAATGTTAATACCTATCCGAGATTTTTTTTTTTTGTTCAAAATAGAATTCAAAAAAAGGCACAAATTATTTGTTATGCGATTTTGAATGTTTTGTACAAATCAAGTACAATTAATAATTTATTTTTACAGCAATCTTCGTTATTTTATTTCAGGATAAACTGCAAGAAAGAAAAATAAAATGGTTGGACAGAATACATGAAAATTAGTCATGCAAAGCTGAAAGCACTCCGGCGGATGCTATTTACCTAACCTCTTATCACACATAAAAGCCGGGGAATCTTTAGGGTAGGAAGGTTAACTTTTGACAGGTAAACGATTCGAAATCAAGCAGTTGTATAAAAAAGGGTTCGGGAGCCAAAATCAACGGTTTTGGGAATGGACAAAAAAAACCCTTAAACCGGATAGCGAGTACACGGATACCGAAAAGCACATGGTCATAACCACCGTGTGAAATATTATAATAATTAATATCGCAATAGTCGGTCTTACTTATATCCGCCAAGTCGACTGACACCGCTAAAGTTTAACACTGGATCGCACGCGATGGACCGACCGGTCGGCAGACTGATCGTCAAGAGTGAAAACTTGCGTTACGCGCGACAGATAAACCCGCAACAACAATGTGAATAACGCCGCGAACACTGCGAGTATCGAAACGAACGGCAAATAACCGAGAGGCAAAAACGTAACGACAGTTCGTACTTCGCCCGTTTCCCGGTAGTCGTCGATAACAATGGACGAGAATCAACCAATTACCGATCACGTAGCGACCGGCCGTCTTGCCGTCAAAGACTCGGCAACGTGTGTCCGTTCCAATGCTCCTTGGCCCAATGTACGTCGGATATGCGAATCGCGCCATTCGCTACGCAATAATAATCAAATTACACAGTAAATTGGTAATACCCGTTGAAATAATAATAATTAATATTTCATACACCGGCAAGTATTTCGCAATATAAATATGTTGTTTGTCTTTATGATAAAAATACTTAGTTAGTACACAGGTACAAATGTATTGGAAAAACAAGGTTGTTTTTGTATAAACACCGCGTGCAGTTGTGTACGCGCGTCGTTTTACGGGTTTGGCATATAAAGGATTGTTTGTAAAAGCTCGGGACTCATTTTGTCTGGAACGTTTTTATGTGTACAACGTGTGTGTAGTATTGTTATACTGTTTTATTATATTCTATACGTAATATTATCTATTATATTGTAATTACTACCTATATACGTTTGACAACAGTAGTGTGTTTAATCTTATAATTTATTCGTGTTGTGTTATTAATTCAAATACTAAATCCACTGACGCTCACCCAATGTTATAATATGCTAAGCATATTAGTGTATAATATTTCAACAATGTAAGCAATTGTGGCCACGACACATCGAGAGTTTAAGAAGACTTGGGCATCACCACTTTGTTCATTTCATGCATTTTCAAAGACAACATTTAGCACTATTTTATTATTCCTTCAATGATTCTAGGTTTTTTTTTTAATTTACATTTCAGGCTCTAGAATGATATGGAGCATCTCTGTAGGCATTTGATGCTGTTGTTGTGGCCGACATGTAAACAGGTTGTGAAACATATCGTACATAATTAAAAATATTTCAGTTATAATAATTAATAAAAAAGAACGAGGATTGAAAATGTCAACTTAAGAATCAGTTATATGTTGTGATCACAGTAGACATTTTAAATAAAATGGCTACAAGGAAAAAAAAATAAATTACATACCCATGAATTTGTGGATTTCCTTGAGGATAGGCTATTTGAGCTTGTGAAGGCATGGCAGGACGGTCCAGATGTATGAATTTTTATTGTACAGTTTCCATAACAGTTTTAACTGGACCAAAGCTCTTGGTTTGACACCAAAATAATAGTTCGAAAAGTTAATTTATAAACTCACCAACTGTACATACATACAAATTGAAAAACCTCATAGTAACTATGTGATATCAACAATAGTGAATACTGTATAGTTTTAATTAATATATTCTGATATCTGTTCATTTTAATATAAATTATTGTCTAAAATATGTTAGACCTTTATACCATTGTTGCCCACTGACCGTCATCCCCCCAGGTTCCCCTAATTTTTCTATGTATTATATTTTATTTGTTCATATTGGTACATATTACCATTGAGTATATATTGTACAATTATATACTTCAATGAAAAACTACTTTTTGATTATTTCTTCCCCAATAAGCATTGCTTGTGGTGGGGCAAAAGAGTTACAAAATAAATATTAACTAGAGAAAAAATCAAGTTTTAAATTTATGAAATAAACTGCAGGGAAAAAAATATAACTAAGATGTAACAAGTACAAAATAAAAACATAAACTTTAAAAATATCCGTAACATGATTACATAATATACACTAACATTACATTAGTTCATTTAATAACCAAACTTTAATAATTTTCTTGACGTACATAAAATTATTTTTCAACGCTTTACAATTAACTATACTTTTTTTTTAAATCCAATGGTAGCGAGTTGTAAAAAATTGGACCTAGGTAGGTAATCTACAAATTTCTTACTTAATTCCTTATTTGAGTATCGTACAGCATGGCCGTATTTAGGGAGGGGTTCCCGGTTCAAACCCCCCCCCTCCGAAATTTCATCGAAAACTATTTGTATTACCTTTCCTTTATGTCTTTTTTCCATTTTTTTTTAAAGTATTCCTGAAAATGATATTAAATAAAAGAAAAATATTTTGATGTAAGTTTTCTTTCAACTTTAAAGCCTAAAATAGAATTAAATAGTGATAATACGTGATATTATCGTTATCGCCTGCTTAGGCTTATGGACACGCCAATGAATTTTAGTTTTTTTTTTCGAATTTCGTTCGTGTACTTTATTGGAAGACGTCAATAATGACTGGGTACTAATGTTTACATGCATATTATATAGAATCGATTCAACTCTGTATATGAATTAAAGCACGAGTCGTGTCGATAATAAAAATATTATATATATATATATATATATATTGATACATACAAATATAATTTATAGTGTAGTCAAACTATATTACATTTTTGAATTTGTACCCAGAATAACGAAATATTATACATATATATATATATATATACACAAAATTTTTGTGACAAAAATAATAGTCATTATCAGCGTCGGCGACAACGACAGGGCACCGTAATCGTTTACTGGAAAGATCTGTTATTTCAACCTGCTAAAAGAGTCAAAACAAAAATCCAAATATACCACTGTAAAGTAGATATTCCAACGAATAAAACTGCACATATAACGTAATAGTCACTTGATAACTGAGATGAAAATTGGCCCGTAAAGATACATTCATACACCTGACATTCATCGACTACGCGGTATATATATTAACCTAAAAAAACTGATATGGTTTTGTTTAATAAAAATCCTAAACATGATTTATTAGTTTTATCTTAAAATAACCCCCCCCCCCCCAAAAAAAAAAAAATGAGTGCTGGATACGGTTCAGTTTATCTGCTTATGATTGAAAAGAAATAGTACATTAATCAAAGACCATAATATTTTGTTGGTAGGCAGAATAAAAACACAATTAATATTAATAACGTGTCATGGAAATGTACTCTATTTTTAACAACATTACGATGGTGTTAAATGGTAAATGACATAAGAATTAGGATTAATCAAAAACAATCTATTTCTCAGTTGTTTACGAGTTACGACGCAAGTGATCATAGCGTACAGTCCGGGGTCCCCTCTATAGACTTCTAGTTATCTTACACGTACTGTTCATTACGCGTTACGTAGTAATCAGCCAAGTCTTTAAATTGCTTATTAACACTTACTATAGCCAATACATATTTTATTTAACAACATACGCATGGTCCTGCAACTCGAAACTAAAAGCAACAAAGTGAGAAAGTTGTAAACAGGTTATTCAATAATTAATATTGAAAAACAATTAACAGGTAAAAATAACAACAATCAATAGTTTTTAATATGTCCAAATAGAAGTAACTAACAATCTTATCTAGAAACCATAGTTGTCTATATTAGATAGGTATGTAATCATTTTTAATCTAGTATTAGGTACATAAATACACTTTTAAAAAATAACATTTTTCAATGAATAAAACAATTGCACAATAAAATATGTATTATTAGTTCATGATGTACCTATAAAAATCATTTTTTTTGTTTGTATCCGAAATTGAAAAAGAATACGCCATCACGGTATAACTTGTTGTCCTCACCATTAGAAAGAGCGAGCTGAAATAACTTGTCTAGATTTAAAGGTGGAATACTTAGTAAGGAAATTAAAAAAAAAACTTAAAATTGACATTTTCGCAATTCTTACAAGTATATCAGAAATGTGAGACCAGTTTTTTGTTAAATGTTAAAATTATCATGAATAATAATACATTCTTATTAACTTAAAAACTTAAAAAATGTCTTTTTTCTCATATTACATTAAAAATATAATTGAATTGTTAATTTGCTGTATCTAAACTTACGCTATTGCAGAAATCTATTACAAAGGAGGAGAGAAGAGATAAAATATTAAGACCTATGATGCACTTCTCTCTCGCATCACTAAAATTAAAATTAAAAATTGTAATTAATTAGAGATAAAACAAAATTTTTGAAGGGGGCTCAGCCTTTCCAGTCTTCAAATTTTCCGCTTAAAACTTATGTGTAAAATTACAATCTCCATTTTATAAATAATTAAGTACCAAAACTAATTACTTCTTAAGGCACCATCTATAAATTCAAAATAAATATGTTAACAAATAATACATTTACAATTGCGTAAAATAATTTTCTTTTTTAAGTCACTGGAATATTATGTTTGTGCTTAAAAAATATAGCTTTTATACAAAAACATTCGTTATAAATAAATCACTGATTTATCTATACTTACAAATCACATAATTATCACAATCAAAATTATATACAATCATCAGTTTATAATTTAGAGGAAACGATAAATCATAGTCATTTTTTGACATTTCCAACTGGGACGTTTGTATTTAGGTTAGACTTGCCGGCTTTACTTTTGGCTGACAAAAATATTGGAAATAGTTTGTGCCGTTTGATACGCTTTACAGAGACTTCGCTTGGTACTGATATCACAGATCCATCTTGTTGGCTAGATGTTTTTGATATTTTACGATGTTTCTGATCTATATTGGATTCTGAACTAGAATGGCGGAAAGAGCTAGGAACATTCTGAAAATAACGAATATTATTTACCATCCATTATCATTACATTTAAACTGCCGAACGAAAACCAACACTATAGCCCTTTATTCATATAAGCTAAATTGTTTTTTTTTTTTGTACATATATATATATATATATATACAGTTAATTCGACAAACTTACACTTTGTTCAGATAGAGTTGAACTTTCGCTTTCACTTTGTAGCTTTGACAATTTTTCTGATGGTTGGACAACCCGAGTAGATGATTTCGCATCACACTGGTCGTCGCCGAGGGTGAAACAAAGTTTTGTATCTGAAGAGCGAATTTTCTGATCTTCGGCTTCGCAGTCGGGTTGATCGCTCTCCGAAGACTCCTGGTCGCCTTCCTGCCATTGTTCGGTACTTTCACAAGCACCAAGGTCTTGATACGACATCCCTGGAAAGCAAAAATAATTCTTAACTGTTCACTAATGTTATTGTTTATTTTTAGTTTGGCTAAAACATAAGAAGCAATGTTAAATATGCTTCTTGATTTGGCAAAAAATAATAAACTACAAATTTTAAAATTTTCATTAAATGAAGTCACTTATATTTATGAGCATCAAATAAGAATACACACATCAAGTATGAAATCAGATTACACTAAATTAACATTGTTTGTAATATAGGTATAGAAGACGGAACAAATAGTTAAGCTGTGTTAATTATAATTTATAGGTAATAATATAATAATCAATTTTAGTTTACTCTATGGACAAAATGTTTATTATAGAATAATACAATTTTTAAATATTTAGTAGTATCTGAAAATAATCAATTAAATCATTCAGAATAATTATTTTTATTGTTTATATAACAGATCAAGTATTATTAATAATTAATAAAAAAATAGAATAAAGTCTGTTTTAATATTATAGTCTTTTTAATAATATGTTATATTTATACATTGCTTACCATAAATATTCATCTTCATGCAGCAATAAAAGTAAAAATAAGTTTTTCAATTATTAAATGCATTAAATAAAAAGTAATACAACATTTTTAAGTATAAGCCAATTCACATAATATAAACTAAAATACATTTGCCACAAAACAAATCTATTTTGTTAATAGTAATTGTATACAGTTTTAAAATAAATAAATACACACATCCAATCAAACCACATAGAAAAGACGAGCAAAGAATTTTGCAATTCTTAATTGCGTACAACATATACATAACTTCAAAGATATTATTGCATACTTAAAAATATAACTAAGGGTTAAACAAAACATTAAAATAATATAAAGATAATGCCTATTAATAAAACAATTCAAATAAAAAAAATGTAATTGGAATAATCTAGTTACAATGAAGGGTAATATTTATTAAATTAAAAATAAAATAATAAAAAAACAAAACAAGACAAGACATCAAACAAAAAAATTGTTAAATTGTTTAATAAACAAAACAGTTAATTATTGTTATTGATTGAATAACAATATCAATATGCTATCTATATTAAATAAATATATCTATATTTAATATAGATAGGCAATACAATAATACAATAATTACATTGCTGGACTTGAAAAAAAAGCAGAAAGTTAATAAATGGGAATTGGCCATTAGTACTATATTTAATTTATGTAATTATCAATTTGATTACTTTAAAACCGATGAAACAGTATCAATTACGATTGATTTAGGTTAAATAAGTAAACTATGCAATAAAGGATTTTTACTTTAATTTAATAGGTACTATACTAGTGTCATTAAAAAAACGGTCAAAACTATTGAAACATGTATATATTCTTTGTTTGATTTGTAATTAACTAAACAATAAATAATTAATACTACTGCAAGCAATAGAAAACACACGAAGAAACATAAAACAGATAAGCGTCCAAATTTCAACCAATAGATTCATCATCTCTTCCCTTACCTGTACCACCCACACACACTGAATATTGGCTAGAATCATCTTCAAGGTCGTCTTGACTACTCATACGTCCTGAAAAATAAACACGTCAATGGCTCTTTACGTCAATCAAGTCGGCGGCATCAAATTGGCACTAACCTCTTAAAGTGAAGTTACGACCATTTGATACGTTTCTATATAAGACGTTCTCTAATTGCGATAGACCGTTATTGTTAATTATATTGAATCCACATAATGATTCGACTTGCTTCCATCGATGAACTCTTTCTGCTAGTTCCTGAGTCACTTCATTCAACGAAGTTCTGCAAAATGAAATTAAGTTGTTTAAATACAAAAAAAATGAAATAAATAATAGCAAAAATACTAGATAAATCAAACCTTGCTTCTACGATACTTCGGTCGACATCATCAATTGATTTTCCATGAGTCGACACAAACGCGCCAACCAAACTCGATCGCTTTTTTCGCAATTTTTCACACTAAAAATATAAAATAAATATATTAATATAATTATTATAATAGCGTGATTATTTACAAATGTAATATAATATGTTATTTTTACTTTTGTTATTGGATTGGTATAACATAAAAAAAAAATTAGTAGTTGAAAATAGGTTGAAAATTTCATTAAGACACAATAGACTTTTATGTTCAATATAGTAATTTGGCTGAAAGTTTTAATTAAATATATCACCAGTAAATCGAATATTAATTTTAATAATACTGGTTCTTAGTATAACCAGTATATTTTAATTAGCTTAATTTTTACAAATAATTAATTCAACTTACTGCTTCTCTAGCCTGTTGTAGTTGCTTTTCAGCACTAAGTTTTTTTTTAATATAAGATTTATTTTCAATTTCATGTGTCAGTTGTAACCATTGTTGCAACCCGTGTGGAGGTGTCCAACATCGATCATCTAGCTCGCCTTCAGCTCTAGCTAATTCTCCGCGCAACATCTACAATTCAAAAATAAAATAAAATATTTACAATAAATCGCTCATTTATAAAATAAAATAATAAAACCAATTACTTCGATTTCATTTTTAAGTTGGGAAATTTCCAAATCGGAATATGATGATTTTAGTACAGATGAATTATCATCTTTAATCTGCTGTTCTTGTAATTGTTTTTCTAAATTAGCCTTCTCAGTACTAACATACTCCTGCTCTTGTTTAGCTTTTTCCAATTCCCTCTAAATACACAAACAATTTAATTAAATAGTAAATGTTAAAACCCAAGTAAAATTACCTGTAAATCTTCAAGAGCTGTTTCAGCTTTTTGCAAACTCTCCATGTCTTTCATCATTCGCTTTAAATGACGAGTAGAACTTTTATTTTGGTTATAAGCATACCAACAGCCAATCAGTGCTCCCAATAGCAGTGTTATTAATATTAAGTCCTTAATGTGTGTATTAGACTCTATTAAAAAAAAAAAGATCAAAATTACATTATTTTTTTTTTTTTTTGAAGTATTAAAAATTTAGTGTTATATTGTCAAATAAAAATTCTGTTTTCCTTTTGCTGATTTTTATTAAAATCTAATGGCCATCTCTTAACTTTTTTGGTAACTAATTTTTGTTTTAATAAAATATTATATCTTAAACAGCTTGGACATAAGGGTTCATATTTGCTTCAATGAATAGTAAAAAAAACATTACTAAGTACTCGAGCATAAAATTCCTCAATGTATATGTAATGGTCAGGTTAGAAGCCTAAATTTCAGTATATATTTTTTTCATATTCATAAAAAACAAATTGTTATGTATAGAACAAATTTTACTTCAAGCGAGTTGTGCATAGTTTACCTTTTGGGGGGCCAAAGAGAACGACGTCCATCGCCTTTAGGGCAATTTTCTGTTTGTGAATTGGGTCTTTGATCCCAAGCACATTGCTTAAAAATTGCATATTGCTGACTGCTAGTCTAGAACATAATAATTTGAAAAATGTAAGTATGGAAACTATTATAATTGATTGTTTTTATTATTATGACCAAAAATCAGCCTTATAGCCTAAATTTACAAGTAATATAGTGGGCATTTACTTGTAATCTATAATACTCGTGGCCGGACACCGAAATCGATTTATACTGTGACTTCTTATACATTTTCAAATATAAAAGTAAATCTAGATTTATGTTTCATTAGAAGAATAATATAAAATACAATGCTAAATGAGACTGGTGTACAGCGGTAATTCTGGCTTTCTATAGGATCCAATTTTATCTCAATCGTTTTGTTGATCAGGCCAATATAATAAACAGAATATGGGAAGTCAAAGTTATTAATCAACCTAAATATCTTCTCCTCGACGGCGACCATTTAACATATATATTAAATTGACAACGCTAATAAATCTGTGATTAAAATTTTTGGGATTTAAATATTATTAGAATTGCTCAGGACAAAGATACTACAACGCAACGGGGCCTAGCCAAATTAGCTGATTACAATATCGTACTTAGTCATCTCTCAAGATGCTAATTTTTTATTAGTATTCTTTAATTTTTTAAAGTTAATGTTATGTTAATGACTTTTCAACAGCTCGTACCCGGAGAGAACATAATATGCTAGATTTGTTTGTTTATTTTTTTAACAAATAAATTTAGCAAAACGATTTGTAATAAAAGTCGGTGTTAAACAAGATCCAAAATACATTACATTAATGTAATAGGTGTGTATTATATATTGTTATGAACAACTGGTAGGAATGTAGGTAGTTGTTTTTGTGCATTTTTGCTTATAGCTATAACCGACCCTAAGAACATTTTATCGACCATGGTACAGTTATCTGATTAAATACAATTTCTCAACGTTTTTGATAGTTTTATATACAAATTTGCGACTTTAAATAAATTATATTATAGATTTTTAATCGATAAAACAATGCAAGTCTATAAGTCAAATACATTGATAAAAACCGAATACAAACAAGAACATGAAGAGGTTATCTTCACTAATCACTATTATAAATAATACGATTTTTTTTTTTAAATTGTAGTTTATTTAAGATGTACAAATAACCTATTTTAAGTGGTTCCAACAGCGATTTCGATGTTATGATCATTTTAGGTAAACTAGTGTCGTCAATCGCATTTAAAAGCACATTTTCAAAAATTATTACTACGATATACATAAAAAACGAATGGACCGATTGAATTTAAACTTTGTAGGCTTGTTATATATGTTTAAAAACGGTGTTATAATGAAGAACTTTTTTTAGTTTCATGAACTTTAATTCATAGACCCTATAACATTTTGCCCTTAATGTGGGGTTTCCACGTGTAGTATAGTATTGTAAAAAGTTAAAAAAAATAATTATTGTAAATTTTTTTTTTTTTATAGATTGTATGTTTCAATAAAAGAGATTTAAAGTAAAAAAAAAATCCTAACATCTTAATATACAAAAACCCAAGTTCTGGGTTGTCTAAAGCTTGACTGGTTTCATAAACCATGATTTGGACCAATCATATAGAGGTTTATTAACCATGTACGATTCATGGAACCATTAGTGTTTTGTGCAACCTAGTAAAAGAAGTTGAAGTTTGTAAATCGTAGTCGAGGCAAGACGTGTATATTCGAACGATTTCCAAGTAAATTTACTACAATGAAACTTACAAAATACTTATTAGGATAAATTATTAGTTTTTTTAAAAAAAATATTCTAAAAAAAAAATTACATTTATTTCTTGTTTAAACTATGCATGACCTATGTGTACAGAGAACGGCACCACGGTAGTAGCATTGATTATATAAAATCAATGTTTGTAGGTATGTGTTAAACACATTAATTTTTATAAAAAAAAGTCTTCTTTTATTCTTTGACCATTATTTTTAACCATTTAGGGTGACCCACCCTAACCTTCAACTTGCACTTAAAGCAGGTCATCACAACTTTAGCCCTGCCATTCTCAAAATACTGTTGATAACCTCTGACAATATGTTTACTGCTTCAATTTCCGACCAGAATCGTCACTATGATTAATGTTGGGGGGAGGGGGTATTGTTCCAAATTAAAAAAATTCGTTTAAAATTTCGAAAGAGAGGTGGTCTGGTAACGTGTCGGATTGCCTTCGATCCTATCTAGGCTCTCGTTGCAAAACGTCTACAATACCTCAATACATTTTCTCTGATACCTAAGATTCTATACACAAGTTTGTCTCAGCAGTCATCACATATCAACACTCCTTTTCACACTTCAAATTGGCGAAAGTTCCTTTATACTGAGAATGGGGGGGGGGGGAATAATTTGGTCGTTATATCTGCTCTATCTCCTCTATAACTGTCATACTCTGGCAAATATAACCACATCAATTCACGTAAAAAATATACACATCACAAATTATTTATTTTAAATTGAATGGTTCATAACAGCTGAGGAGTTTTAAGACAAATACTCGAAGGCCATGTTCTTCCGACGTCACAACGTGTATACAATTGAGTTACAAATAACTTTACTTTGTCACGACTAATTGCTATCGAGAATTATGAAATTGGTTTCAAAAAAAAGTACAAAATAGATCATTTTTGTTTTAAATTTGTAAAAAAAAGTTAATTTTTTATGGCAGGACTTATTACTTTAGTTCTAATTGCAGTACTAAGCATTACGATATATATCTACTATTTCATGCAATATTTTCAGCATAATCTCAAACAAAAATCCATAAAAAAATTATATATTATATCTATCAGGAGGACATGGTATGCGTTGTCGACATTATAGTAACAGTATAAATATTTATGATATTATGGAAGGGACAAAACTATATCACCTGAAATAGTATAAATAAAGCATGCCGAGCCCACATTCACTGTCAAAAATCGTATGCAACACCAAAGTACTATAAGCTGTTTATCATGGAAATACAATATTACTGATAATATTATACTAAAATTATATTAAATTAAAAACAAAAAAAAAAATATATATATACACACACACTAATATATTAAATTAAATATTGGAAAAAAACTTTTGATTATCTGTCATTAAAGATCAGTGCTTACAGGATATATAGCTAAAAAATAAATTGTTATTTTTGTATTGATAAATTAAACAGCCATCAGAGTTTTTCCGGGTCTGTAAGTCGGATTCTAAACATTATTTTTAGATTTGCGCCGATTGATGACTTAGTGGTATATTCTATCTTTGATAATTACCTAATTTAAGTAACATGTAACTAACTTGATAAATATTTACTAATCGTATGTATTATTATGTATATACTATGTACGAAATTCGTTCGTGGTATTTTCGACAACAAATAGATTATTAATGATTAATGAGTGACCCTCTATAAGCTTTTTAATAATTCCGCAGTACTCGCTGAATTCGAGTTCGGCCTCAGATTTTCTTAAGTACTTCTTGTAATTTTTTTAAATCGCTAATTGTCAACTATCAACAAAGTAAAAGCAATCGATCCAGCCATTCTCCAGTGAATGATTCATTTGACCGTGACCATGTAAAAACGTTCATATTAGTATTGTCTTCTCCTTCGTGTTTGAAAAATGGGGATTGGTCAACCAAACCATAAATGTCTATCCATCGTCATATTTTGTTCACTCCCTTCCTTTAGTTATCACACCTACACACTTCTTCTTTGATCTACTTTTACCTCTAAATTCTTCTACCTTGTTTTACTATTTTACTTCTCTTCCTTCTTTCCACATGACTAAACCATCACAATCGGATTTTCTCATATTTGCTTCTATTGACGCAACCCCCGGAAACATCTAAAATGTACATTATTGAGCCAAACATTTAAAAAAATCACCTCCTCCCCTTTAAAATCGAGATAAACGCCAAAAAAATGTACTAAAAATGTATTTTTCATCTTTAAATTACGATGCGCTATAAATTGTTTAAAAATAGTCGAATTAGCCCAAAAATTTGTATGGAATAGTCTTTAAACACAAAACTACTGATAAACATTGACAAACTAAAATAAAAACCTGGACCTCCTACTTACATACTCACTACTACTACTACCTACCCACCCACCACTATTATACTCACTTAGGTATAATCATTTTTTTCTGTGCTTGGCATGGGCTGTATTATTTGTTTTGTTTCTTGAGAATAAAACACATTATTTCTAATTTACTATATTATATTGAAGACTTAAATTATAGGTATTATGAATTTTTAGACTATTCAAACTATTTTAATTCATTTATTTAAATGCTACAATATTTCCAAAATTATCCGACTTTAAAACATACAAGCTACTTAAATTTGCAATAGCCTAAGTATCGACGGCCTTGGCTAGTCTGCCTGTTGTCGGAATAATGATTATGAATAAAGTAAAAATTATTTCTCACAATAGAACGCAAAACAGAATAGGTCGTTATAACCGTGTAATACGACCTATCATGTGGTAGTTATTAAAAAGGTACAATTATAGAGATAATTTATAAGAGACGTACAATTGAGGAAGACCGCTTAAATCAACAGTGTGTCAATGTTAAAAAAAATGTGGTTACTGACCTAGGAAGATGAGCTCCAGTAACTCTATAATTGATGAATACAGGAACATATTGAGGTAATTCAACAGATGTAGCAAGCCAATCACATGTTTGTTCAACAGTCCAATTATGCACCTGAAATCGTGAAAAAAGGTATAGTGGAAATAACATCGTATATTATTAATACTTCTATACGGATGGCTAATAAATAATGAATATACTTACTTCAGATTTTACCCAAGCATCCCATAAATCTTTTACAGATATATACATATCATCATTTTGATGGAACGCCTTTTGTCGTTTTTCTGCGCCTTTTTCATACTTTAATTCTTCACGTAAAAACTAAAGAAAGAAAAACAATTGTTACAATGTTGCCATTTTTTTGTTGAAATTAATTAAATCCGAGTTTTTTCTTGACTGACGAGGCATGTTTAGCAAGACAATTTTCTATCCTAATAATTAGCATACCTAATTTCTATTCAAGGTTTTTTTAAAATATTTTATTTTAACCCGTCTAGAACAGATGTTTAAAAAAAAACTAATACTAATATAACGTAAATTAAAAACGTTTATACTTTTTATACGAATACATTAATTGCTAATTATACATTTAAATTCTACTGTTTAGTTGTACTCATGTATATATATATATATATATATATAATACGAGTGTATTGTAAGTGTTAATATTATATATTATTTATAACCGTAGAAATTGAAATTAGAAAAAAAAAATACAATTTGTTTTCGATTCGTCTCGACCTCTAAAAGGGTCAACGCCTTATTTCCTGTGTATTAGTGTTCATGTTATTTTTTCCAGAATTCTTTCAACTTTTAACAATTACATGATAACGTATACCTATATTTAATTGAATTTCTAAATTAATAATAATTTGCTAAACAATGACTGGTCGCAAATCTACAACTAGTTTTGGATAGTTACTTTTAATATTACAAATGTTTAAAATTTAAAACGGGAGGTGGAATGTGGTTGAGTAACGCTCAACTACATTCCAGTAATAATAATACTTGGTAACTTTATACTTTGAATTTTTTTCCAATAGGAAATACTACAAAATTGCAATTAATTTCCGAGAAAATAAGTGTCTAACGATAGACTGATCACCTATTATAATATACCTACCTATATCAAATGTAATTTGCTGAAAGAGCTTAAAATTAAGAAACTTGATGTTTAATACTTTAATAAAAAAGAATTTTTTTTTTTTTTAACTAGTGTTCAAAGTATACATTATCTACATTTTATGTATTATATCGTATTGGTGTTCACCACAGGACAATAAATGTAGATAACTGTAATAGAGAGAAAAAAATAAGTTAATGAAATTGCTATCTGCTAAAGAAGGCGTATTATTTTCAAAATTTAATTGAATAGTAACTTGTTAATTATAAATAGCGTAATAATACAATCAAACTGTGTAAGTGTTTAATAGTTTGTCGAGTAGTAGTTACACTTAAGTATGCAAATGTTATATAATATACATTACGCACTGCGTTCGCGTTCGTCGCAATTGTTTTAGTCGACTACAGCATTAGGTTTGTATTATTAACCCAATAAAATTGTACTGCGGAGAGACAGATGGTAATCAATTTACACATATTGATCAATCACTATTTAAGAATTCACACGACACAGCCTTGACCTAACAATACAAGTGGAAAACCGCTTCGTCTTGATGCAGTTAATAGCAATGCACCAAAACACTATCAAGGGTAGAACTTAAAAATGTCATCAGGTCCTTTTGATCGTTTAGCCAAAGATAATGATTTTTTTTTTAAATTTTAATAAACAGCCTTGTATATTTTGTCGACGCTATTCCAGGTCTAGATTATTTATAAATAATTAATATCAAATGAGACGCGTATTTATTTTGTAAACTCTTAACGGAACATTTTGCCAGTCTCCACCAAGTGGGAATTCATTATAGGTGCCAAAATAAGTTCTACACTATTTATAAGATAGCAATAAGACAAATATAAAAGCGACCCACCTATAATAATGTCTTTAAGCGGTGGAATGCCAAAAAACTAAAATGTCCGAAAATATACTTTAATTTCGACCGAGATTACTTCAATAATAAAATGAAACACAAATCATAAGCATAAATTAACATTACTAACATTTAAATTTTGCGAGGGGAAAATATACATATGTAAATTGTGACATAATTTATTTAATAAAAAACAAAAACAGCTAACTCAATTTGGTAGAATTAAAAAAGACCCACAATATCATACATTATAATACATACTAAAATGCGTACATGTGAGTTTGTTTATGAGGTCTATAACATCAATCATTAAAATTATTTAGTCTTGGCGGTTGATTTATAGACCGTTTGTTTACTATAAAATACAGTAAACATTGTCAATTAAACAATCATAATTGTTCAGTAGCAAAAATAAAATAAATATTACAATTTTTGATACCTGAAATTATTGTTGTTTTAACAAAATAAGAAATGCGTAGGTGTAGCATTCCACGTCAAATCTTACACCATTTGAAATTTTCATTTCGATGATAAAGCTTTTTGCACTTAGCAAAAAACTTAGCTTTGATGTGGAGCTGAAAAGGTATTGGTTTTATAATGTGACTTGAGACACTAAAACTTTCTTCCTGCGTAGATCAATATACTCGAATAGTATCTCTGATCATACGAAATTATTACTAAAAATGGGTAAAATGCAGGGACAGTTCTAGAGTGGGGCTGAGGAGACCGCCTGCTCAGTTTTATCTCTTAAATTATTAATAGGTACTTATATTTTATTTTTATTATTATTTGCATTCGCCTGCTAGATTGTTCTACTAGTCATTCGTATTCTCAGTACTCTTAGATTTTTGTATTATTATTATGGACAGTGTTTTTAGTGTTATACATTTTTTTATTTCTCTACAAACTCTGCATAGGAACAAGTATCAACGGACTGTCTACATCATATGTGAGAATTTTCATCAATCGAAGATAAAGTACAACATAAACAATTAAAAAAAAAATGTATAATCAAAAAACCAGTATAGTGATAACAGTTTAGGTATCTGAAAAATATTTCCATTGTGTTGTTGATTTGCCTACAGGCTATTGGTAACAACCAAACATATCAATTCGTATTCAATCTAAAAATACAATTTATAGCACATTATTGTCTTTATTTTGACAAACATGTATTTTAATTTTTACCGATGTTTAATAAATTTACCATCTACATCGCATCGAAATTTTTTTAAAACTTTGCCAGCATTTAAAACTGAAAAGTGAATGGCATACGAGAGATGAGAGATGTGGAAAAGGTTTACGCATTCACCCTCGAAATCTATAAATTCAATTTTTTTTGTCAACTAGTCAGTTTTGAGTTTTAACTTGCTATAAATTTGCGAAAAATGGTAAAATCACATATTTAAAGTGTCCTTGTTAAATTTAAATTTTAAAACCATTGGACTGATTAATTTGAGCAGCCAATTAATCAATTGGAAATAAAAAGATAATAAAGGGGACAAAGTGGAAAAGTTCCGCTAAAATCAGGTAAACCCCCCAAAAACTACTAGATTTTCGTTTAATTTATTTTATTTTATAACCACTACTTTAGAACTTAGAGCTCAAAATATAACTTAAAATATGAATAAGGTATCTAAACATTAAAAGTTCAACAATCTGTAGTTAGATTCCTAAAAAAGAGTAAATAAAAACAGAAAATAGTAAAAGAATTTTTTTACCCACAACTTTAAAAAACTTGAGTACCAAAGTATAATATATTCTCTCTCTTTCGTTATTCCCATCGATCGGGGCTTACGCGGTTTAGATTTAGCACTTTTGGGCTTATAGCTGGCTGCCGACCTAACGCTACCAAACAAGTTGACCCCAAAGAGAGGTACAGGTGGCCATTTCTTCCCCCAGACAGTTGCTCGCCCTTAGTAGTATAATGTGTACAAAGCTTAAAACTACAGGGTTGGAACTCTCAAACTTGAAATTTGCCATAAAATAAAATTAAGAAAAATAATAATATAATTTTTATTCAAATCAATTCCATTTTCCACTATACGTAGAACACACAAATATTGTATACTTTAGAATTTTCATGACCGAGTGAACCATTATCATTTCTTGTTGTAGTAAAAATTGAAATAACAAATTTAGTTAACAGTGAAGTATTTAGCGCATTTCTTCACTAGAAGTGACTAATTAAAGGTAAGTATTTAAACATATATATTAATTATAGGATAATTTAATGGACTTATGATGATTATTAAAGTCTTTGCAACTTGCATGCATTTTGTACTATTATACGGCAGATGCAGTGGACTTTTGTGCGAACGTATAATGTCAGTGAAAACGAATTGTAGATATTTAAATTATTTCTTATAACTGTGGTTTTAGAAATTAAAAATTAGTTCTATACTAAGGTTTGTTGAACTCGATACAAACTTGAAAGACATTACAATTTAAAACAATCAGTAGCACTAATAGTTGAACCAAGCTATCAAACTAAAATAGTTAAAAAAATAACGGTAACTAAGACACGCCAACTAAAATAAACTTATCTTTTTAAAACGCAAGTTTAAAAGCCAAAAATTATAGATTGTTATCTAAATGTATCAATAGGCCCATGAAATGTTTTCAATTGATCAAAATTCATATAAATTTATCTAACATTTCAATTAATTTCTCGAGTTATGGAAAATCAATTAATAAATGTACCCTATTTAAATATTTGTATAACCAATCTTTTACTGATTAACTAATTTTTTTTTACGTTTACACGTATCAAGAACAGTGAATAATAATTTCAGTTGCAAAGCATTATTGCTTTATTATACTTTTTAATATGCAAGATAATAAATCTTAAATAAACTTACATCATCAGATTCTGAAAGATCTATTGTGCCATCTGCATCATCATCAAGTTGTCGATGCAATGAACGAATAGCTTCTAGTCCAACTCTATCTTGTGTTGCCATTGTTAAACAAGCAATATCATCATTGCATGAATCATTAACATTATCTGAAAATTCATAACATATATAATAATATAAAATATTAAACAAATTAATAGTATTTATATTGTTGTAAGACTGGTAAAAAAATTGGCTAGATATTTAATAGGAAAAAAAAAGTTTTGACCGTTTTGTATACTATATTATTAATTTATGTTGCTAACTTTCATTTTTTGTGGTAAAGAGGATGTATAGTGGTTGTGTAAGAGTCGGTTGGGACCATGAGTCTCGGCTGGAGGTGATATATTGTTATATTGTGTGTGCTAAGCTGTATAATTATAATATTCCACTGTTATTATAATACTATCACTTGAAGAATAATGTTTTATAATTTTGATAATCAAGGGAATGGTGTGGAGCACTGGTTAGCTGCAGTTGCGGTTCATCAATGAAGTTAAACTGATAAGGTATTAGTATTTTCCGGATGACTGAAAATGTTAGAATTTTTACCAAAAAAGCTACCATAAACTACAATAATACATGTTTCAAACATCATTGTACCAAAATTATGCATGACTTGCTATAAATACAGTCAGAAGTGTTAAAAAAAAAAAAAAATTTGCAATGTGCGTTAATAATGTAAAATTATAAAATAAATTGTTTTGAAAGTTATTTAATAACTCAGAACTTTAAGAAATAACGCTTTTAAATAGTTTTCACCTTGACTTCAAAACGCTCTATCATTATTGTGCTGGTCTTTTATTATTAATAATTTTAATGACAACTTTATTTATCAAGTAAATAGTTTACCTCATAGTTTAGGGATTAACGTTTTAAAATAAACAATATAGGTAAACTATAGTCTATACTGTGGCCCACGAGAGCATGACAGTGCGCAGAAATTTAAACACATTACTTCTGCATGCGCCTGCACAAACAGTAGTAATGGAATAAGTTTCTGCGAACGGTCGTTCTCTAGTGGGCCGCAGTATAAGTGTATATATTCTTTTTGTTTACTGTAATAACTCATTAACAGATATTTACATATTATATCAAAATATGAATATAATCACTTTTTTCAAGGCCATCAAAAATAATGGTTTTATAATTATTAAAAAGAATAAACAATAATGAAATTTATGATTTGTACTTTAAATAATGTGTTTATGTCGTTTATAATAACTACTGAATAATTTGGATTCATTTATAAAAACTTAGTAGATCCATTTTATAGCAATTTACTGAAAATATAAAATTATTCTAACAAGGAATATCATCGTCTAATTTAATAACTGCAATAACTCCATTAATGGGTAAACATTTTTCTTACCTATTAGAATTTTTTACTAAAAAAATGTTTTTTCTATAAATCATTATTTCCGAACTAATTATTATATATTTTTAACTTATGCAAATGTTAACATTTACTTGTAATTAGTAGAGAATAATTTAAGTTGTTTAGTAAATGTTATGACAAATGTTATAAGGAAACAAGATTGAATTATTAAGTATGTTGGTGTAAGATGTCACCGATAGGCACAACTAGTAAGAACTTTGTTATGAATAATTAACATTTTCATTATGAATAGGGGTTTACATGCATTACTTATTTAAATAAATGTTAAACATTAAATTGTGAATGTGTGTAAAGTAGGCCTATACTAGGATACCAAAATTATATGAGTTCACTTTCGAAAATTTTATAAATTATAATTAACAAAATTAATATTTAATTAACTGTATCAACTTCTATGTAAAGAAATTTCCGTACATAAATAAAGAGGAGCTAGGAGTAAGGTTTTCAAATCAGCCATTAAAAGTTAGATATTAGAAATAATTGTAACTTGTATGCTCCAATTTATTGTAGTTTACAATTATGATAATATTGTAAATCATTGAACAGAATTTAAGAAACAGACATTATTCACATTAATATAAATTATAACGTGTAAAATTTAATCGACATTCAAGTTTGAAGCACATATCCGACTTACTTGAATCTGTTGGTTCTGTTACACGGACTTTGGATGAGCTTCGAGGAGCATAAGTTTCCTTGAGTATATCACAGTTCGATGAAAGCACCAACATAGACACTAAACTAAGCCAAAATGGAAGCATTTGTAACTTTGAACACATTGTTGAATTACTCGGAGGTTTTATCTTAAAACGAGAAATTCGACTCGATCGAAACGTAACGCGGGAATTGCAAAGTACGATTTTAATTAATTATGAAATCGCGAACTTTCACGGGCATCGTCGTTGAATATATTTTAAAGACGGCATCATGGCAACACAATCCTTGCGCCGACACCGAAAAAAAATTGATTGCCGAAAACGCACCAAAATTAACACATTTAAACACAATCGAGATTCGAGACGAACAAATTGCCAAAAGAAAAATTGAAAACGAGATTAAAAACAAAACATTTAATAACGAAACTGTGCAGGCGATTGCCGATTATGACCACGAACTATATGTCGTATACGGAGTGCCGTATAATAATGAAATATGAAAGCAGAACGGGTACTGATAAGGGGGTTTCATATTATGGTAAAATCATGGTTGGACCCCGGTCAGCATTGGTACAATTTTGATTGGTTCGGTTGACAGCTGATTAATATTAAATGAAACGAAGTTACTCGATAAATAAACAAATAACGATAATAAACACACGCTTATCACAGTAACACAAGTGATAAGGCTCATCTTGAATTTTCCGTCAAAGTAAGACCTCTTGGCTCTTGGTAGACCGTAGGTACCTATCGTTTAATTTTGCGGGTGTTGCAGCGATTCACTGTGAAGAAGTTGTGTCGTACCCTCGATTTAATTAACTACTGTTATTAGAACAGTTCAGCATTTTTCAATGAAATTATAAATCATGTTGAAATCACGCACGGTATGTTACAAATTGGGTATCAGTACCCACAGCGGCTGGATTCCTTTTGTACAATGCTCTTTATCTCGTGCTGCGTCTACAAATGTTCAGGAAGCTCGAGAAATAGTTGAAACGACTAGAGAAAATACACTTTCCGACAAAGAAGTGGAAAGAATTTGCAATAAATCTCGTTTAAATGACGCTCATAGAAATCTGGTTAATGGTCGTGTACCATATGATACACCCGTACAAAGATTTCACAATACCGTAAAATATAAAAGACGAATGTATGGTAGGTATGGAAGTACCAGTGGCGTTGACCCCGGATTAGCGTGGCCAACGGCTGAAGACCTAGAAGATATACGTGAGTACGAAAATGTAGCACACCCATCGACTATTCAAGATATGTATCGTCATGCGTTAGAGAGGGTGAAGAAAGAACAACAAGAAATTCAAACACGCCAAAAACAAATTGACGAGAATTTCAAAAAATTAAATGGATGGCTAAAAGAAGTAAAAGACAAAGCTGCTAAGAAACTACAAGAAGCACAAGAGGCTAAAAATAAGAAAGCTAGACTTATTGAAGAGGTGAGAAAACATTTTGGTTATAAACTGGATCCAAAAGACGAAAGGTTCAAAGAAATGCTAGCAAAGAGAGAAAAAGAGGAGAAAAAGAAAATAAGAGATGAAAAGAAGAAGATTCGCGAAGAGAAAATGTTGAATTATATAAAAAGTTCTGAAAGTAGTAGCGAAAATAAAAAATAATTTGTATTGTGTGTAAATTTAAAAATTTATTCGTAATTAAATCAAATAGAAAAGCATATATGAGTGCATTTGTAGTTTATTCTTAATCTCAACATGTGTTCAATAAGAAAACATTGTCTTAACATCCTAATTTGCTACACAGAAATTATAATTAACTATCAATAGTTTTAATATAATTAAGTTTTCTATACATTAGATACTAATTATTTTGGCGTTTAATTATAGGTTTCTTTCTTGGAATCATTCACATTTTTAAAATTTAATTAATGAAATTAATATTAAAACTAATTGTTCTAAATTATAAATCAATAAGTAGACTGCCTGAATAATGTAAAATTTTTAAATCAATTTTATTTCAGTCTATTTGTACAAGGTATTTTAACACATATTTTTTTTGACTTGACACATAAAAAATAATACGAGAGAATTATTATTATCAAGTGTATAATAACAACAGCAAAAGTTAGTAGTAGGTAATATACTGAACAACGTTTTTATTTTGAGTTAATACATTTTTTAAAGGAATGCATTAAAAAAAATCGTACAAAAAAAATGAATAATATTTTAATTTTTAATTGTTGTGGAGTCGAACTTAATAATGGTTTCATTGATCTGATGTGTTACATTGTTAAGGCGATTCATTCCAAGTAATTGGTTTGCGTTCATTGGGTGTTGAATCTGTCATCCCACTAGGACCTGCTACAGGAGATTCTTCCCTAACAGTTTCACCATCTTTACTAGGCGAAGAACTTACGGATATAGTCTCAGGATTATTAACACGAGTTTCAATATCTACAGTCTCGTTTTCTTCAATTTCTAATGAGAAGAAAAAAATTATTAAAAATCAAACAAAAAAAGTATTTCCTTACCTCGAGATGATTTTATTTCAACAATTTCACCCTCATCCGACGATATTTCAATTGGTTCTTGTTCTAAAACAAAAAAAAAAGTATTTAAAGCCTATATTAAAATTTTGATTGATTATCTTAATTTACCCAAATCTAGAACATCGGTTTCAACCATTTCAGTAGATTGCGAAACGCCCACTGTGTCGTTTGTGTCACTTGAATTTCCTAAAATTTAAATAAATTCCGGATTACGATTAAACACAGAAAGCTGAAAGAATCTAAGAATTTATATATTTTTGCTATAAATGTATTGAAATTTTTATGGAAATAATGTATTTTTTTGTATTCAGTTATATAGTATATATTTTTTAAAAGTATTTTTAGTCTATAAAATTTAATCTTGCCACACTATTTAAAAAAAAAAAAACATTACCAAATAGTTACTATGTACTAGGAGACAAGAGTTAAATTAAATTACTAGTTATGAGGTAATATATTTTCTTTTTTGAATATAGTTCTGTCGTCCGGGACTCTGCCTCATTTGCAGCCAGAGCCATGACCGAATGTGTCCAGAGGAGCTTTTTATGTATTGCAGCATTTTGTCTTCCTATCTCTGTCCTCCTCACGACTACTCTCCCAACCAATATGATCTTAACCTTCCTTTCCTGTCTGAATGTAAGTTTGCAGCAAATGTCATTCCTGACCTGTCTTTTGTCTGGGAAAATTGATTCCTCTAATCCCCTATCTTAAATGATCTTAAAAACGCCTGTACGTTCCACTTGCTTTTCCTTCCACTTCCTTACTCCCAATTCTTCTACAAAATACTTTCAGAATTCTCCCTTAAACCATCCAAGAATTACTGGCAATACCGAAGCATTATTTTTCAGTTTTTTAATTTTCTTGTGTATTAATAATACCATATAAACCATTTTTAATTTTGTAAAAAATTTCTATAAATAATGTTTTTAGTTACAGTTATATAATTGTTAATTACAACTATTCGGGCTTGTCTTTTTAAGTAATAATAATAATATTAATAAAAAAATATTATGCAGCTTCTAGGACTTGTTATAGCTAAGCTCATGTCCCCCCATTCTCCAATAAATTCTGCTCTATACCACCTCAATGGGCTCAACAAAATATAGTCGAATATTATCACCTTGGGGTTCTGTTGGAGTAGAATCACTTTCGTCTGGTCTTGATTCCGCATCTGAAGTAACATTCTCTGTGTTTTTTCTTTCTTCACAGCTCTATTCATATAGTAAGTACAATAAAATATATATATATTTATGAGTTTGAATTATTTTTGACAATGAAAAAAATAAAATAAATTACAGCAGAAGAAACTGGTGCAGGTTGATGCTCTTCGAAGTTAATAGTTTCGGGTACTTCTTCTTCATCTTCTTCCTCAACAACGGCCATTGCTGTCGCTTCGGCATTTGATGAAGAATGTTCAGGTGTATTTTCGCCAGTTGCTTTGACAATAAAATTATCAATTAAATTTACCATATAGTAAGAAAATGATTTTTTTTTTGATAAATTTGTATGTAATAAATTGTTTATCATTAATTAAATACTCATAATTAGTAGTAGTAATTTGACGAACTATTAACTTACTTTCTTCTGTCTCCTCATTTTGCATATCGCTATTTTCATTCATATTATTTGTATCTGCTGTGCATTCTTGGCTAGCTAAATCTACTTCATTATTTTCATGAGTAGCTTCACTAGTTACTTCCATATCAGTACTTGCGTCAACTTCCTATAAATATTGAATATTCAATATATTATTACAAAAAAATTTGATTAAAAAAAAAAAAAAAAATACAATTTAAAAATAAAATAACTAGGCAGTTAGAATAAAGGCATACTTTGTTGTCTTGTTGGTTACTTTCCGCAGTTGTATAAGAATTGCTAACTTCTGAATCTCGTTGAGAAGATGTAGGTGCTTCATATTCAGTTTCCCTTCTATTCTCTTCTCTAGGCATAAAAGATTTGGACCTCTTCATCTAAAAATAAAATTAGTATATTTTACATATATAGAATACTTTTGTATAAATATTTATCATCACATACAACTTTGGTATTAAGTACAGCTTTTTATTAGTAACCATATTTAAATAGCTCATTAAACATAGAAATATTGCTAGAAACAAATTTTTAACTAAATCATGACTAACTGTTTTAAATATAATTTAAAAAATAATTTTCCCTTGCTTTAAAAATCATTTATAAGTGTATAGGCTTACATAAGATGTTACAAGAAGATCGGCTTTCCGTTTTCTTTGACTGTTGTTGCTGTGTGTTGTAGTATCTAAAGAAGAACAACTAGGCCCACTAGTACCAGCTGTGATCACAGATGGTTCAGATTCTGTTAATGGTCCTGGTGCCGATGAACTAGCAATATTGTTGGTACTACTGGTTTCCATCGTTTGACCATTTTCAACTTGCACACTAAATCATAAAATAAATAAATAAATTCTATACTTTTGACACACACACATACATCACTATAATAATACACTAATCACGATAAAACTTTGCTAGACATAAACACATAACTATGATGGACTGTTAAAAATATCACCTGTCAATTTGACTTTGTGATGGAGACACGGTTGATACTGATACTGTAGTTTGAGATACAGTGGTCTGCACTTGCTCTCTACCTTGGGGTACAACTAGAGCAATACTTATAGCCGGGCTTGCTTGAGCAGTGGTGCCACTTGGACTTGCGGCATTTCCTATTACCTGTTGAAGTGGCGAGATTGCAGGTGGAGCAGTTGTTTCATTAGAATCAGATACAGTAGCAGCAGATTCAGATCCCTTAAATATTTCAGAACAAATTTTCAATTTTTGTGGAAAAAAAAAAATATATATACATTTATATATTATAATTTAAATTGCATTAAAAAAGATAAAAAATTGTTCTATAAAAATGTGAAGTGCAAAACAATTGTTTGTATCATTAATACATTTTGTTATTAATTTAAATCCAAGCTTCTGTAAATTGATTGTTATTTTTATAACCACATCCTACACTAACTAATAATATCAATGTACCTCGGCATGAAGTACAACAGTACTACTAGTTAGATGACGACTTTGTGCTGTACTATTTGCTTCTGATGAGTCTAAAGCATTACCGCCGCTGCTACTAATATCTACTGATTGCGGCTGTTGTGGATGAACAGCAATGGTGGTACTACTGCTAGTTCCACTTATTGAACTAAAATTAGCACAAAACACAAGTTAAAAAATTTGCTATTCGACAAAATAAGTCCCTTTGAAATACCTTTGACTGGAAGTTGATGATGTTTGGCTTGTGGGTAAGACAACCACACTCCTAGATTGCATTGTCATGGGTTTAATACTAGCCAGTGGAGTTTCTGCAGCTGCCGATCGCCAAGGGTTAACAGTTACAGAATGATGAACCTGCAAATAAAATATAAAAAAAATTATGCCAACTTAATAACAGCTGAAAATTTGTTTAGATTTGTTAATTCCACTTTTATAATAGATATAGACGTAGATTGGGAGAAAGCCCTTCTCCTTTTTCCTCCTTAAAAATAAATAAGTTACTTGAAGCTGAAGAATCCACTAAGTTGTTTTTTACTAAAAAATGAAGTCCTATTTTGACATAGGTAATAATAGGGAATGATAAGCAACTAGAATAATTCCTAATGTAAACTATAAGAAAATTTAAGTATTTTACCGCAAAGGAAAAATAAAAAAATGTCTTTCTTTTTTTTCTTTTCTAAAAAAAGGGACCTACAATACCTTGATAACTTTGTACAAAAGTAAATAAAAATTTAATTAAGTAAATCGATGGTAACTATTATGTAACCTTTGTACCTTTGTACTGCTTGAGAAAATATTTACAAGACAAATAAAAGTATTCAAACATGTACTAGTAATAACAATAGTAAGTCCTTACTGGTTGAGGTTTATTAACTGCAGGGCCTAAAGGTTTGATATTTGCTGTGGGGGGTTCAACAACTTGCTTCTCGGGACCCGTACTGGTTGCTGGTTTTACCTGTGTAATCAGTATATAAATGTGTTATCTAATCACAAATAAACTAAATAAAAGTATAATGCAGTAAAATAAAAATTATTAAACAAAATAAATAATATATCATTAATAATATTGTGATACATCACTATTTATATAATTATATACCGATTTATTATTATAATATTATATAAATAGGTAATAATATATTATTATATTTTACAATTATATTTCTACCTGTTGGGTAGAAAATTGTCTCATCAACGCATTGACTCTTTGATTCAAAGCTTGTATGTCATGTGACAAACGAACTTTTTCTGCTGTAACCTGTTCTTTATCTGCTGTCAGCTTACTATTTTCCAACTCTAGTCTGCTAATGTGCATTTGGAAACTTTGCATTTTACCACCTTTAAACCAGATAAAAATAACTCAAGTTGGAAAAAAAAATATTCATAAGTATATTTTTGGATTTTAAATATAAAAATGTTAAATCATTAATAACAATAATAATAATAACCTCTTTCTGCTTCATCTAATCTAGTCATTAAACCGTCACGTTGTTTTTTGGTAGTTTCGAGTTCTTTTGAAAGAGTCAACATCCGGTTTCGCACTTGTTGTAAAAGTTGTTTTGCCCGCAATTCCTTTTCTTGACTGTTAGTTTTAATAATTTCAACTTCTGATTTAGCTGCATGTAAATTTGCTTCAGCTTCGGCAACCTTAATTCATAACAATACCATTTGTATTTTATACAAAGAAAATACATAAATATTTTAACATTGTAGAACTGAACATTTTCAGTATTAAACTTTGTTTGATTTCAAATTATACCAAAAAGATTTATATCTATACTAGAATTAATAAAATAATATATTAATAAAATAAAAGTATATTTTTCATTTTCCCGTGTACTATTTAGAAATAGAATTATGTATTATAAATTTATATAGAATTGTTAATAATACAAGAAAGATAAAGATATAAAAACATAGGTGTTCAAACCTTTGCCATAAGTTCGTTGACGACTAACTCGCTAGCTGTTTTCTGTTCTTGTTTTCCTTGATCAATTAGTTTTTCACGTTCTTCAAGATCAACAGGTATTTTACTACCACCCTGTTGCAATGCATCAAATTTAGCTTGCCAAGAAATTTTTTCTGTGCCTAGAGTTTTGTTTAATTCTTCACTTAATTGTTTATAACGTCTTGCTAAGATTTTCACCTAATAAAAATCAATTTATTAATTAATTAATAACATTTAAATCATTTTTAAAAAAAGTAGAAAATTTAAAAGTGTAGCCCACTTTAGATATTTCTGAGGCAACGTCTGCAAATTTCTGTCTGTAGGTTTTGATTATATTTTTAAAGGATTCCATTGATTTAGAGTTGGATACAATTTTAGTTTTGAGTTTGAATATTTCTTGTTTGGTAGCATTTATTTCTTCAGAATGATTAGTTTCTTGTTTTTTTAACTGACAAATCATAAATATTATTAATTTAGAATAATTATCAAATATTTAAAGCCCTAATTATTAGGCTGGTAATAATAATTAAACTGTAACTTCTAAAGCGAATCGATGGTGAGAGTTTAATTATAAATTTGTATAATACATGGTTAAAAACGTAACCATGTAATATAATATCAAGTACAATGTATAGACTTTACCAATTCTTCGAGTGATGCCTTATCAGATTTCATAGATTTCAACTGTTCAAGAGCTGTAGCCATTTTACCCTTTTCTCTCTCTAATGTATTTAAAATTTGTTTGTATTCGGCATCTGAATGAGATCCAGTCGATCGTTCTTTCCATCTAGCAATTGTTTTTTGAGCAGAAGCAATCTAAAAGAAAGAACATAAACCGTAAAGCAATTAGAAATAGCTCAATTCTAATGAGAATAAATTTACATTTATAATTAAATTAACTTTTAATTTACCAGTTTCAAATATAATTATTTTAACCAACTAAACATTAAAAAAAAATTGGTAATTAAAAATGGATTTTTTTTTTTACTTATTAAAAACTAATAATAAATATTGACATCATCATGATGTAGTTAACGGGCCTCAAAGGCCAAACGTTGCCACCATGAGATGGTTTATAGACAAATTTGCTATCTGAAACGGGTCGTCAGTCCATCCCCAGAGAGGAGAGCGGCTCCTTTGTACCAGATGTTTTTTTGCCCGGCAAAGGGAGTGCTCGTGACTAAGAATCGTACCAGCAACAGTGAGCACCAAAAACACTGACGCCTTACCTACTACTATCCATTCCTCCTCAACAATAAATATAAAAATTTAATAATAGTTTTTAAACTCGCCTCTGCAGTTTTTTGATCAATTAAACTCTGCATTCCAGTCATGTCGTCTTTTAACTGGGTGAGTTCAGTAGTTTTCTTCTCATCCAGCTCCTGTAGCTCTTTTAACTGAGTTAAAATTGTTTTATTTTCTTCTTCAAGAATTTTATTTCTTTCAACTACTTGATTACAAAATGTGATCTAAAAGACATTTATTATAAATATATTACTTATATAATAAAAAAAATTTAACAAAAAAAAAATCTTATTTTATAATACTTTTTCTAATATTTGTGCGTGGTTAAAATCTCCAGATGAGCCAGACGCATGTAGACCCCTTAATTCTTCCATTTGAATTTGCATATCATTTAGTAGTTTTGTTTTGTATTCTAATTCAGATTTTAACCTTAAAAAATGAAAATTGTCCTTATAACACCAAAACATTTGTAATAAAATAGTAGAAAACAACATAGTTCATAATTACCGATTACATTCGTTAACTGTTTCATTTAATTCTAAAATCGTCGAGTTTTTTTCATCTTTTAAAATATTTATTAGCTTCGTCATTTTTGTAAATTGCAAATCACTGGCAGATGAAATAGAACTGCTATTTAAACTTTCATCTTTATTGGTCACTTTACTACTATTCTGTAAATTAATAGTTTGTATTAGTTTTGTGAATATGTAATCTAGAAAAAACTTAAGCAACACTTGTGGTTTTATATTATAAAATAATAAAATATTTAAATATATCTACGTTGACAAAAAAATAACATACTAAATTAGTCAATTCATTTGTAATTAATTTATATTGATCAGATAAAAATTTATTTTCAAATTCCCAACGTTCGATTTTTTCTTTCAAAGCGTTTATCTCATTGTCCATATCTTTTAATTGGTTCTCATGGGTTTTTTTAATTTCAATGATAGTATTTTCCATACTAGTCTTTTGGTTTTTCAAATGCTCAATTTCAGTAGATTTTGTTTTGTTAAATAACTCTAGTGCATCTAATCTCTAGAAAACAAAATGTCAATAATATATAGTAAATAAAACAATTAAACTGTAATTCATAAATATAAATACAAAAAATATATCTTTTGAATTAACTAACCTCCAATTTATTTTTATAATATGATATTTTATGATAAAGTCCTTTTTCTAAACGTTCTTTATTATGATTTGTTGATTTTAATTCGTCTTCAAGATTTCTAATAACATTGTTTAATTTAGACATTTCTTTCGATAATTTTTCATTATTTTCTTTTGTGGCGTCAAGTTCTTCCAATAGTTTATCCATATTTTGCTCATATTCTAATAGCTGATTTTGAAGTTTATTAATATTTCCTTTTTGTGATAAGTTAAATTCACTTAACTCTTTTCTTCTGTAAAAAAAAAATAAAGCAAAAAATTACTCTATGTAAAATTTACTCATTTACAGTCAATTCTGGAAAATTTAATTTTAAATAACACTTTTTAGCTTTGATACTGATCTGAAAAGGTAGTGGCTTTATAATGATGAGTTTTTATTTTTTGTGCCTGTACCTACAATATATATTAAATGGCTGAACCTATTTCTTCATGTTACAAGGCTATAAATCAGAAATTGTACCCAAAATGTTATTCATTGGACCAAAAATTGAATAAATTCACCCTTTGCCCATCAAAATTGAGAAAACATCCAAAAAATATACATACTTTTAACTTAAAACCAATAACTCATCATTAGTCACGGTGCTTACTTGATTTTTTATTCACCACTTGTTCAATTATATATTTAAAACATCTATAACACATATACCTTATCCAGGAGTTGCTAAAAAATAATAGTTTAACAATATATTGTTAAAATAATCAGATTCGTTGAAGTGAGCTCATATGCAACTAACTATTCGTGCATATATTTTATTTTGCCTCAAATGTCTATTATTTTGTTTTAGAAAAATTCTCCGATGTGTTGAAATAAGATATAATTGATATCGAGAATTTACAAATATAATTAAACAAATGATGGATAAAATAATTGCAATATACGCAAATTTCATAATTACTTGAATTTTTTTTAATATATTTGTTTAATATAAATTAAACCATAAAAGTAATAATTTGTTAGAAGGAAATCCATTGCTGAGCATTGTCATACTTACGCATTCACTAGCTCTTGATCTTTTTCCAAGTTTATCTGTTTTGTATTTTCTCTTTCTTTTTCTAAATTTTCAGAATATTCACCCATTTTCTTCAGGTTTTCTTCTAGAGATTTGTAAAGTTCTTTAGTAACATTTAACTCCGACTTCAGTTGAATATTCAATTGACCTTAACAACATGTTTTATTAATTCCGGCCAAGATATGGGTATAAAAAAAAAAGTATGATTCTATTTCAACATTAAACAATACCAGTTTCATTGAGTTTTGATCTTAAATTCTTCACTTCGTGCTCAAGCTTGCTAACTACACTTTGGAAATTAGTACGCTCATCAGAACACAAACTTAAAGAGTTTGTCCTGGATCTCGATATTGAAGATTCTCTATGAGAACTGAGTTCATCAATCGCTTCCAGTTTTGACAATAAGTTATCTCTAACGTCCTAATTAGCACATTATATTTTATTATAGTAGAAATTTCATACACGGGTGGTGTGCAAAATAACTGATTTAAAAGTAGAAGAAGTTTCAGATAAAATCAGAATCGAATGTAAATTGCTTTGCTTAAAATTTTTAATTAAATTAAATTTGCATATGATAATTTTATTATAATGAAAAAATACCTTTAATGTTTTTGTTAATTGTTTATAATCATCCTTATATTTTCCTTCTCCGACATCCATTATGTAAGCTAGAGTAGAGTTCCAGTTTAATATGAGTGAATCCAATTGACTTGTCAAATTTTTTTCAAAATCTTTTTGCAGCTCAGCTTTTTGTCTCAATTCGCGTGAATAATTTATATTGGAAATATACAAGTTGTCATTTTCTTTTTTTACAATGTTGTACTCGGTTTTCATTTTTTCAAATGCAGTGTTTACCTCGTGATTTTTCTAAAAAAAGTTAAAAAGTTTAATAGCAAATGAATGAAACTAAGACAAAGCATTCAGCATAAAAAAAATATTTATAGCTTACGAGTTCCAAAGAAGCTATAGTATTTTGCAACGCAGACACTTTTTGAGCATTTTCACAGTGCCTTCTATTGGAGTCTTTTATTTTCTTAAATAGCTCATCGATTTGTTGATTTAATTCTTGCACATGTTGTTCTAGATGAAGACGAGCGTTGCTGTTGGTTTCTAGTTTGTCTTTGAGTTGTTTAATAGTCGTATTAGACAATGACAATTGATGTTTAAGATCTTCGACGTTTTTAATATTCCCTTTAGAATAACTTTCATCTATACAATCCGATGATACATTAAACTGAAAAACATTAAACTAGTTTTATACTACATTTTAACTTATAAAGGAATCGCTTGAGCTTACTTTATCTTGTACTTCATTATGTTTTACTTCGTCGTGTTTATTAGACATACCATCTAAAAGTTGTAGTTTGGCTATTTTTTCCTAGAAAAATAAAAAAAGGTCAATTTTTTTTAATATTAAAAATATATATTATAATATTCTGTAATACGACAAGAATATTTTACTAAACATAGTTGACTGCTTCATGATAGTTAAAGATAGACAAAGTCTATATTATATGTTTATGATAATACAAAATAAATCTTTATCTAACATTACTAACATCTTTCTGTAGAAGAATTTGTGTTTGTTCATCCAATTCCTTCTCCAATATATTTATTTTATCCTATAAATGTACAAAATTTAATATGTAAATGACAATTTTTCAAATTCAATAGTAAAAAAGAAAGTTTAGTTACTTTTAGATCTGAAATCTGTTTGACTTCATGTTCGTCTTTAGCACTAGACAGAGAACGAAGTGCATCTAATAAGTTTTTATTTTGGTTTTGTAGAGTTTGTATATTTTCAAAAGTAACATAGTTTTTCGATATAATCTGTAACACAAAATTACGTTAATGAATTAAATTTTTGTAATGTGAACTTAACACATTTATTATAACGTACCGATTGTGGACTCATATCTGTTCCGGTATTGCGATTGTCATAACGTTTTTGAGATTGATTGTTACGAAGTAGGAAACATACCTAAAATAATTTTAGCATTTGATACATTTAACTAAAATTGTTAAAAAAAACAAAGAATAAATACTTGTTTGCTTAAATCATCTTCTGTGTATTGAAGTCTTTTATTTTCTTTGGATAATAGTTCACATGCTTCATTAGTAGACCTGAGTTGACTAGATACATTATTCAATTCTACCTCAAGTCTTGAAATAGTTTCACATAATATTTTTATTTTTTCATTAGCTTCCAATAGGTTTTTTTCTAATTTATCTACATCGGGAGCTTCATCTAAAATTTGCTGTAAAAATGTAAATAATAAATTACTAATTAAAAAAAAAAAGACCTGGTTTAAATTTAAATCAAAAAGAGTTCAGTAAAATTATTTAGCAAAAATTAAATTAAAACCATTTAGAATAAATGTATTTATCGACCTGATTTAAAATCTTGAAATTCAATTCACTGCGTTCGAGTTTTTCAATTGTGTCTTGTAATTGGTTATATGTGTCTTTATAAATTGCATAAACATCAGTGATTGTAGTTTCTTTGTTAATAACATAATTGGTATTGTCTTGATTAACTGAAACAAAATATTACAAATTATAAAAGAATATCCAATAGTTATGATTCACTTAAATATAAAAAAAAAATACTAAATGAGAATCTACAATTATAGATTTTAATAATAACTATATTTTAAACATTAACTTTCCAGCGGGCTATTTGCGATAACACTTATGTTATCGCATAAGTACTTGCGTGTTGTATAGTTTACAACAGTACTAATAAGTAGTGATAATTGTACATCAGATTAATTTGTATAAATATTAATTAAAACTAATAATAATATTAATTTATTAATATTTATAATAAACATTATAAATATTATTACTGTACCTTAAACCATAATTTAATTATAGGCTGTAATAAAATAAAAACATTGTATACACACAAAACATATACAAAAATAACAACAAAACTAAAAAAAATTCAAAGCTGTTGTATTATTTACAATGCCTGCTGGAAGGTTAATGTAAACTATCCTTGATGTATAAAAGAAAAAAAAACACAACATTCTAGGTTATTAGATAGCTTATTTGACGCCCAACTTGCTTGGTAAGCATTAGGTTGGCAGGCAGCTTAGTTCCAATTAGTAAAAAAAAAAATATATAATTTTTTAAATTAAATTGTTTCAAATTGTATTTTCTCTAAAAATGATTTTCTACAACAAATTCTAAAATGATAAAAACAAACTCAACATCAAATTTGGATCAAAAAGCCCGACAATCCCATTCTTCGCCACAACAAAACATGGTGCAATGATTTGCACGTAAAAAGTCTTTAACTTAAAAAAAAAATAATAATAAAAATAACTATACAAAAACTATAGTTTTATTTTATCTTCATAATTATTTAAAAATTGTCGAAAACACACTGAGTGGCTCTAATATAAATTTTCGTTACCTGCCCACCATTTCATTTATTACTTTGGTTCAAAAAATTTTGTATTTACATGATATGTAGGGAAGAATGTTAATAATTAATGTTTGAAATACAATTAAATTAAAAGTACATATGGGTACTAACATCAAGTTATGTATGCACAAGAAAAACTAATATTTAATACCTGGAAGAAGTTGTTTAACGATGTCTTCTGAAGCGTTGAGCTTGTTTATTAAGATGTTAGTTGTATTTTTTGTATCATTTTTATATTGTTCGTACTCATTCATAACCTTATTTAACTTGGTTTCAACATCATCTAGCGATGAAGTCAGTGTATTCACATAGTCTTTAGTACTGACTATCTCTTTAGTCAATTTGTTGGTTTGCTCTACTTCGTTTTCATAACATTCTAAAATGAAAATGTGTATTAGCATAATTTATAAAATTATTTTACTAGTAATAACTTGGCAATCATTTAAAACCTTTATAATGGTTCATTAAACTTTGGCTGGAGTTAAATTCTTGTTTTAATTTATCAATTTCATTCTTATGATTATCATTCAAATCATCGGCTTCCTGTTTCATTATGCCAATAATATCTTCTTGGTTTTTGCACTTGATTTGTAATAAATTTACATCATTTTTCAGTTTTAAGACCTATATAAATGACAATGCATGTAGATTAATAAATTAAATTTTTAAAAAAAAACTAACTAGGAAAACAAAACATAAGATGCAACAGTTTTGCGAAACTAAACTAGTAACGCTAACAAAAAATATTTCTAGTAGAACATAATTAAATAATAGATAATTAACTGTCTTACATCTGCGTCTTTTTGATCCAATTCTGGTTTTAATTCTGTAATGTCCTTATGATATTTTGCCTCAAGATTAGTTAAATTTTGAGTGTATTTTAACAAATTTTCATTTAATGTTTTTATTTTGAGTTGTAATATTCCGTCATCCATTTTTGTCATTCTTTCTCTATAGCACAAAATACTTGTTTATTAGCTATTAGCTATTAGCATTCAATATCAAATTGAAATATTGCAATACTTTCAATATTAAACAAAAAGTCAACATTGAAATTGATAAATTACAATACACAATATTGCAATATTGATTTTGCAATTACTTGTTTGATATTTGAGAAATTCTAACAATTTTGAGAAAAACAGTTATACCTACGTTAAAAACCCTAGGTATTTAATATTTGTTTCAAACGTTTACAACACATTTGATAGCAATACTTGTAGAAAACCATAACTCTGGAGATACGCATTTTTAGAAAACTCAACAGTTTTTTTGCAAATAATTCAAATTAACTCACAAATAAAATTAAAAAAGAAAAGTTCATGTAAATATAAATAATAAAAGTGATAAATAAATCATAGTATCATGGACCAAGGAAATATAATTTAAAGGGTTCATATGTCCTGTAACTACTTAGTTTCCAACAAACTTGCACCTTAAGATATACATTATGCATTGTAAAAAATACTAACGTAACGTCATTTTAAGTGCCTGACCATTCAATTAATTTTATAGTACAACTAAAGCTTACCTAGTTTCGGCTTCGTGTATGCTTTTTAATAATGATTCATTATTCAACATGAGCTCATGCTTTTGCCTTAAAGTGTTTTTAAATTGACTGTTGATTACTTCAATTTCTTTTTGCAATTCCTGAAATTTTGCTTCTCTGATGCTAGTACTACTATTTAACAAATCAAAATCAATTTCCGATGTATTTGTTTGAACTAAAATTATTAAGAAAATAACCATCACATTAATATCAAATACTAGTATAGTATAATTCTAATTGCGCATTACTTGTTGTGTTAATACCGATATGGTTGACCATTCTCTGTGGAACATGCAAATATTGTTGGAATTTACTTTTAGTGTCTTCCGAAAGGGCATTGTACCCATCGTCAGCTAAAATGGAATTTATTAAACTGGAAATATCCATGGTTTAAAGTATGAATATATTGAATCACTTAAATTTATATAGATCAATATGCGTTTTCAGCAAACATCACTTAATAGCTTAGGCCATAGATCATATTACAATATGATCTATTAATTGAATTAATTAAGCAAAAAAAGTTTTACTGCGTCGGGTTATTAGTTTTATTATGTGCATATAAATACTGTAAAATTCACATAATAAATAAAATAAAATTAGATTTCAAAAAAAAAAACGTGCGAACTGAAATGTATATAATATTCAAACTCGTCCGATTAAAACTTAACTCAAAACGACAAATCTCAATATATCGGCAAAGCCATTGACCGGAGTTGTGACTTGTGTCAAGATTTAAACTTTAAAGAATAAAGATACGTTATGATTTCCATACGGATTACGGCATTCCACCACTATCGACTATCGAGTAGAAAACCATATAGGAATAGAAAGTAGCCAACAGCAGCTTGCAACAACGATTTCTTTATCAATATTATTTTTATGAATCGAAAAACGTGATATTTTTACTTCCATGAAATTTCCAATTGACAATAATCACATGCCCCGCGGAATTCAAAATGTTAATTACCATCATGTGTAAAACATAAAATACTCGAAAGTTACACAACTTTTATACTTTTATATTGATTTATATATTTTTATCAGTAAATACGGCAGGGCGAGTAGCAATGTCAATGGCTGAATGTAAGGGTGGCATTAGATAAGAACTCTTGTAGTCACTTTTTTTTATAGCTCGATATGCATTATGCAACCAGTTCATGTGTACATAGCCGTGTTCCTGAGATTATAGATGGTTTTAAAAGTAAAGTATATCGATGCAATTTTACCTTTTTGCCAAATCCGGACTATGGCGTGATAGACCGTCATTCATTTTACTAGTTTTTATTTAAAAAGTAACAAACAAAGAGAAAAAAAAAATCAAATGTTCATACAAATTGGAAAAGTGTTAACTATTCATCTGCACTAAAAAATTAAAACACCATACCTTCATGTTACTATGGAACATCCGAACATGCGCCCGTTCGCGATCGCATCGACTTGTGATTAGGTTTTTATTGAATATTAGTATATTTTCAGATATTGTAAAGACTTAAAAATGAAAACTGATTTCATGATAACACAATCGTCAACACATGTTATGTTTTTCTAATTTATTACCAATATCGGCCATGCCCGGGGGAGCACACGGCTGCAGCATCTGGCGGCCGGCGGCCCTCGCCGAATGGCAGTATATACATTTGATGTGCAAACAAGGAGACCAAGGGATTATTTCAATACAAATCTGAAAAAAAAAATTAGAGAAACATTTTTTTTTATATTTGGAGCCGAATGACAATCATCCAACGCCATGTCAAATTTAAGGACTATCCTAATATATACAACATAGGTCAACGGGTAATTTAATAATAATGCAGCAATGCTAATAGGGCGACGATAAACTTTATGGTTTTAAAATTGAAAACCACCTAATAATAATAAATATTACCACAATCCCGTTGGTCTAAAAACATTTTATAATTATTTGCATTTATTTCAGTTCTAATTACATATAAATAAATTATTTGTCGTTCTAAGCACTAGCTTACAGTGTTTACTGGGAAATACGCCACTGGCAGAATTGCAGCCGTTTCTGCAGTTGGTCGTCCGTTGTCACGCATACGGCTTATCGTAGCTTTTTTTTATAGTTATTACTATTAGGTAAACTCTCATAAAACATTTTAAAACATATTTTTTTCTTGTTAGCTCACGTGCTAATATTCAAGTTGCCGTTTTCCTCAATGTATACTATATCTAAAAAAAACAAAAAATATTGATTTTTTTCACTACATCAAAAATAGAATAAATTAAATATCCGACTTTGATAGGAAGTAGCTAAAATATCACATTACCTACGGTGATAATTTTTACTGTAAAGTAAAAGTTTATTTTCATGAATACTTATTTTTTAATATAATAAATTCGGTTATGCATTGTTTTTACAATGCAACATTTAACTAAGTGACTATTGCTTAAAATGCATATTTAAGGTGAATTTTTTTCTAGCCCTCAAGCTAACTTTGATCGATTATGATAATATCATATGGAGGATAAAAAACCCGTATATTTTAATATTTTTTGATATTGGTAAAGTAAAAAAATATGTATATTAATAAAATTTAATTAATTCGATGATGTACTTCGTATTATTTATTTATTTTGTATCCCTAACAACTACCAATTTCAAATTTCGAATTAACATTTTAAACTAATGTAAAATAAATATGAGAAGGTATTTCACAGCCAAAATCAACACAATATGGTATTTCGTTTAAATAAGGTCAATTTTAATAAAACATTAAAAAAAATATTTTTTTCTTGTTAGCTCACGTGCAGAGCTTTTGTAGGTAGTATTTGCGTTTAACCGTGTTTTTTTGTTTCGTTATTTGTTCTTGAACTGAGCAGATGATAATAATACTTTAACAAAACATACATACTAAAAAATAACTTAACATACGTAGGCTATTGTAAATGATGTCAACTTCTATACTAATATAAACCACAATAGCGTTACAAGAAAAACATGAACATTTTGTAGATAATATCTATATTATATTACTATTGAAAATTATAGGCGTAAAATGTTTAGACAATAACAGATACACTAACTGACTTTTGAAATAAATAAATAATCCCAATTACCGTGATCATTAATGGATTATAATTAATTAAATTAATAGTACAAAATGTATACAAACTTGAGGTCAAAGTTTCGGCTAACAGACAAATACAAATATTTAAAGATTCATGTAATGGATAGGAGGGACTGTTAAAAGATTAGTGTATAAAGCCAGCTTACATTTTGAAATGTGAGCTGTAAAATGGAATAGCCATTTAAAAACAATAGATTCTGGGACAAGGGGAAGGGTGATAATCACTCTTGAGTCAAAATACAATTTATTATTATTATAACCTTAATTAATTTCATATACAGCGGTGCAATAACAGTGTTGCCATTGCAATAGATCTATCTTAACTTTAGTTTTCAATTTTCATACATTAAGTTATTAAACTGTGCAAAAAAATGTAATGGGTAAAAAGGGTTAATGGTAATTTCTGGGTTCAATACTGTGTACATCTGTATTAAAAATTGTATTAATTATTTTTCATAACATTATTGCACGCTGTATTCAAAACTAACATCAAGAAACTGCCGGGCTTAAAATGTTTTAGAAATGTAAATGGAACCTTAGGACATTATGATAAAATAGACTTCAATGTCAAACAATATGCTAAGACAACAAGGCAATATCAATAAATTGAATTATTTCGGACATTTAATAGTTTTTGTTAATAATTTGTAGTCCTTTATGGTGCTAAATTATTGGTAGGTTTTGAATTTAACTGTTTCAGTGTAACCTATACATTTTACAACAGTAGTGTGAAAAATATTATTCATATGTTAATCACTGATGCAAAAATTAAATAATAAAGTTGCTAAAACAATAAAAAGGGTTGGATGTATCAAACCAGGTTCTAAAACCAATAACAATTATGTGTTGTTTACACGTTTTATTCGTAACAATAGTACACGAAATGTTATTATCAAACAATGAACACACAATAGCACTGCGTAAACAATGAACAATGTATACTCCCCTCACCTACCAAATAAGACATACATTTTTAAATTTTGTGCAGCACATATCCCTCTATATAACATAAGCAGCAAGCGTACTGTTTCTCTGGTGTAGTATTCTACTTCTTTGGTATACTTTACTTAAACTGTAAATCCAATAGTTCATATTTCATTTGGCGTTTTAAATTTTGTACCTTTAGTATACCATTTAATAATATCGACTTGAAAAATGAAGTTAAATAGCATATATTTGTTTTTAACAACATTGTTTTGCGTTATCATTTTAGCGTATGCAGGTATATAAAAAACATTTTTAGTATATCATTTTTTATAATTTTTTTTTTTTTGTAAACAAATTTCTATTAAGTATTTCAAATACTGTCGTCGTTTTTATCCGTTTTTTCGACTTTTCTATACATTTTTACCTCATTTCGTTTGGTTTTTCTAAGCGTTTTTACGAAGATCTAAATTTGTAACTATGCACACATCATGTAAAATTTCCTCAGCTTTCTGATGAACAACTAGAAGAATTTTCATTTTTCGGGCAATACGAAAATACAACTTTTTAGATAATAAGCTCAATTTTAATGACTATCTGTTACACAAAAAATAAAATAATATATTTTTTTTTCAGAAAGCTGATAATATTTTACATAAAATTCTCAACTGTAATAACTTTTTTTTTGATGGCCAAAGATACTTTAAATAATAATAATTTAAATAAATGTTATAACCTTCGGATTATTTTTATGAGAATTCATATCAATTAGATCACGCACAAAAGCCAAAAAAAATTGACAACTTTATGAATTTTATTGTAGATGAATAAATGTGTTTTTTTGCAAACTTAATATTTATTTATGAAGATAGAAAAATACCTATAAAAAATCCATTAAAAACGAGTATATATTAAAACAGCTGTGAACTTAGCCCTAGAAAAATAAGTCATACAACGCATTGGAATGAATAAAATGTTTAAGTCATTTTTTTCGTTATTTTAGTTGATCCTGATCGTTTTCCACCTGTTGCCGGTAAGTTTTTGAGACTGCTATAACTTTTATAAATAACAAAAGTGTAATTGAATATATATTTTAATTATTTGTTTTTGAAATGACTGTAAAATGTTGGATGATAATATTGTAAAGATGATGATAAGCACTTTTTGTGCATTACAAAAATACTAGCAATTTTAAACTTATTTTCAAAAAAGCTGAAAATGTGTATAAAGTGTTACTAATGCATTGTTCATAACTAATGCATTACAATGTTGATAATAAAAATAAGTTTATCATGTCCATTAGCATATTATTATATAAAATTGAATGTCGAGTAAAAAAATTATTATTAGTGGCTAACACTAATTTAAACGCTTTAGATAAGCAATTAAACCCTATTACACCAGTAAAGATTCTTAAAAATTAAAAATTAAATTGGAAAAACAAGTATTTGAGTTATTTTGTCGGTGTTTCAGAACCTCTTGGAGAAATACCAAGAGTACCACTACCGGGTGGTAAGTTTTTGACACATTAATAAAACTTATACAGCTTTATTCATCTAAAATAAATAAAATGACGGGCTTAAATTGTTTTAAAAATATATATACATCTTTTTTTTTTAGTGATCTTAAAATTTCATCGGAATCTTAGGCCATTAGTAAATAGTTATTTACAGATGAAACATGTTTTAAAAATATATATGAAACACTGCTGCATAATGATAACATAGGTTTGCTTTGATAAACACTGTGTTAAAATAACACTGTAATATCAAATTAACTGTAGGTTTTGAATTTAACTTTGTCCCTG